ATCAGACAAATGAGCCCTCTTGATTACATTTTCCATTTTCCCCATAAAAAAGTCAGGAGCCATTAAATCCGGTGACCTTGGTCGCCAGCTGACATCACCAAATCGAGGAAATAAACGTCCCGGAAATTTTGTTCGTAAAATATTCATTGCTAGGGAGCTGTGTGACAAGTTGCTCCGTCCTGCTAGAACCACATGTTTTGCAGGTTAAATTGTTGGATTGAGGAGTCAGAAAGTTTTGCACCATACCACGGTACCGCTCGTCAGCGACAGTAAGAGCCTGCAACGTATTTAAAGAAGTAAGATCCAAATGACACCTCCATACCAAACACCGCACGAAACTGTGACTCGACGAGGATGTAGTGGTCGTTGATGGATGACACGGGGGTTCTCTAATGCCCAGATATGATAATTCTGCTTATTAACAAATCCGTTCATATCGAACTGGGCTTCATCGCTAGTATTATCAGTTGTCGGTAATAATCGTTATTTTGGGTATTAAACTGCAATATTACATGACTGTATTGTCGTCGACTTTCATGCTCACTAGGCTATAGTTCTTGGGTTAACTGAATTTTGTATGGCCGCAAATGCAAGTCTTTTTTCAAAATAGTGCATAATGACGTGCGACGAATAACCAGTTCTTGAGAACGATGTCTGGTAGACGTCTCAGGGCGCTCCACTACACTTTCACGAACTCTCTCGATGTTTTCCGGAGTACGAACAGTTCGAACACGACTCGACCCTGGCAAGTCTTTAACTTCACCTGTTTGTTCAAATTTACGGACCAACTGACGAATGGTATTGACACTGGGCACATTATTTCGGCCGAAATCTTGTCGTAGCGCTCCATGATGAATTGGACGCATGTGCTTTAAACAACTACCACGGCACCACCTACTGAAGTGCATATATCAAAAATGGTGTCACTTGTATGTTGGCCATCCTGTATTATATAAAATGCCCTTTGAACGGACGCTGTATATTGCTCAATAAACTAGTAGTGATGCCCGAAAAATAGGTGATTTGGGATAAACAATTAGAAATTCTCAAACACGACTTGACCAATCTACTCCAATTTTGTTGTGGTTATTTTGAAGTACGAATCCTACGAATTTGAAATATTTCAAATATCTGCAAGAAATCATCGTCGCATTACCAACAAGAGCCAAAACCTGCAGTTTGCCTCAGTTTTCGGCCATAACTTTTCTGCTATTAATCGGATCTTTTTACGTGTGGTCTCATTTTGTAAGTCTTATAAATACCTAAAAATCTTATATTAAAAGTTTTTTCGTTCCTGCCAGCACTTTCAATTGAATCCCAAAAAAACACGTTTTCTTTTTCTCATTCTTTGATGTCAAATAAAAAGTTTTCCCACAAAAATTGGTGTACCCATTTTATGCGTCCATGTTTTGAATTTCCCCTTGAACAACTTGCTTGAATAATACAAGATTTTACAATTATTTCGCAAACCAAGGCTATTTTCATCTAATCTTATTATATTAGTATCTGGTAAATTTGGTCCGTATTGTGGGTAGAGATATCGATGCCAGCATAGACAAGAAACCAGTTAGTATCGTCGCATCTGCTCGGAAAAATATTCTATTCTGTTTTTTGCATAATCATTTTCAAAATGGACTCTTTTTAACGAATATTCATGTTATTCGACAAACAAAATACAAAAATGGTTCGTTTTTCGCTTTGCACAAGCTGTTTGGGTCATACAACGAAAAAGGTTCTTATTGACATTTCTTCAAAGTTGATAGCTTTCTGGAAATAAGCAATTTACTTTCAAATTTATACTGAAGCAGCCTTGTAGGGCGGTTATGTGGAGAAGAGTACTATGATACAGGGTGCGGCAGAGAGGACGGACGTTTTTGGGATGGGTAGTACTCTCCGCCTCCGTCTACGAGAGAGGTGGGGAGGGTGCGGCTTGACTCGTGAGATCCTAGCATTATTTTACCAGTTGTCGTTATGGAGCCTTGGAAGGTGGAGCACCGCGTTTTCGCCTATGACTGTTTCGTCCGAAATAATGAGTCAGTCATCGTCGTACAGCGTGAGTTTCGTCGCCACTTCAACATTCATCGGAATATAGCTATTCCCTCTCGAAACACCATCCTTCGTTGGGTTGAATCACTTCGCAGGCGTGGTGAACTGATCAACAGAAGACCAAGAGGAGCGCCGCGAACAGTTCGAACTCCTGAAAATGTTAAACGCGTTCGACAGGTCTTTCTTCGCAGTCCGACTCGATCTGCCCGGAAACATGCTGCTGCACTTCGCCTTAGTGATCGTTCGGTAAGGCGAATTTTGCATATGGATCTCCGCTTTCACCCCTATAAATTGGCCATTTTTTTTTTTTTAAATCGAAACAGCCGCGCAGGCAGAAGCCTAAATGCCGGAACACCGCGGCTGCTATGAGGATCCCAAAGAAATTTTGTTAATACGATTTTTGAACTGCCTAAGGTTAGTAGAACTGGGAAAAGCTTCCTCCCGTAGATTGTTCCACAATCTAGACACCCTCGGGACAAAGGAGCGGTCGTATCGGCCAGTTCTGGATGTACGAAGTTTGACACGGTTAGGATGGGACGCCGAAGTCAGGCGGGTCTGTCTGGCAGGCACATCGCGCGGCGGCATCATGGAAGAGAGCTCTGAGGAGCAAAGCCCGTTGGTGTAGCGATAGAAAAGAGCTAGATCGCCGACGGCCCGCCGGTGCGAAAGAGTCCCGAGACTGTCTGTTAGAGAAGAGTCATCAATCAGTCGGACCGCCCTCCTCTGGACAGCATCGAGCATGGACAATGTAGTCGGGGCGGCAGCTCCCCAAATGTGTGAGCAATACTCGAGGCTAGGCCTTATCTGGGCCTTGTATAGAGTGAGAAGGTCATGCGGAGAAAAGTACTTCTTAGCCCTAAACAAATAGCCTAGCTTTTTCCCAGCAGCTGCAGCTATTGAAGAGATGTGTTCGTGCCAGATCAGGTCCTCGGTGATCTGGACTCCGACCAGCCGAAATGAATGGCTCTTTGGTAGAACTCGACCGTCCATCGAAACTGTATGAGCGCTAGGACGCTTTTTGTTCGTCAAAGTACAGTACTGTGTTTTGGAAGCATTGAACTGTACAAGATTGTTGCGTCCCCAAGCAGTGATAGCCTCCAGGTCTCTTGTCAGAGAAGAAGTCGTCGCTAGTCTTCTTTTTTCCAGCTCAGCGGCAGAGATCGGCTTGTCAGTCTGAATTCCTGCATGTAGCATTGTGCAACAGTTACAGCCCGGAGATTATGCACGTGAGATGGAAGCACTGATCAATCAAAATGAGAACCTCATTTTGTTTATGAGTGACGAAGCTCACTTTCACAAGCCACAAGCTCCGAACTCTGGACGAATTGAAGGGCGAAATTCGCGTGGATGTCGCCCAAGTTGAGAGAGCGATGTTGGAGAGAGTCTACGCGAACTTCCAAGAACGCCTCCAGCACTGCATCAACGATTTCGGCCACCACATGCCTGATGTTATTTTCCACACTTGACTGTCTCAAATGCTATTTCCTTGTGAACCTGATTCCATCAATAAATTTGTTTTCGAGTAAAAATTAACTATTTTATGATTTTTTTAAAACCGTCCATCCTCTCTGCCGCACCCTGTATAATACTATAATACTACTACTGGCCCTAAAAAAATCACCAAGCATTTTCTCAGCAGATGCCTCTATTGACGAGATGTGTTCGTGCTTGATCAAGTCCTTGGTGATCTCGTATCTTGAAAAGTGACATTATGCCGATTTTTTGATATTATGCTGTTTTTTGACATTATGTAGGTTTTTCTACAAGATGTTAACTTAGAACTTAGTTGTACGTGTTGCCTAAACGTCATGAGGCTTGTTATCAATATTTGGCTCTGATGTGATGTAAAATCTGCTTCTGAGATGGCATTACTGGAGGTCTAAGCTGTAAGTTGTATGTGTTGATGATTGCATTGGGTTCTTGTCTCAAATACACTTAACTGAAATTCAAAGCTAGAAATTAGTTGCGCATCCACTTTTTCTTATCCATTCTGGAAATTACATAGGTATACAAATTAAATAAAATAATTATATTCACTGTGCACTGTCGAAGTACAAGCCATATACATGCTAACTAATAATAACTTTGAACATAACCTCTCTTCAGAAAGCACAACATATAAATAACCTGTCATATTCAGCTTATTCAGTAATGATTTTCTCACACAGCAAATATCACTGATTTTATACACATGCAGACCAATACGCATAATCATCCAGATGCGATCTTGCTATTCAATCAACTTTCTTCTCAGAGATAAAACTACAGACACGGATCACTCAGCCTCGCAAAAATATGCAACCAATAATGCGTGTAGTTTAATTGAGTGATTCCTCCATAGATGGACGTTCACGACGATCCTAGTGAGCAAACGTGGAATGACTGTTTGCGCCCTAAAAACTGCATAGTCTGCAAGTTGAGATCTTATACGTTTTTTTTTTTTGACGTTTTATAGGTTTTTTACATTATACTCGTGCTGGACTACGTTCAGCCGAAATGAACGGCTCTTTGGTAGAGCTCGGCCATCCATGGGAACCGAATGCTCGGTAGGGAGCTTCTTGTAAGTCAAGGTACACTTCTACGTTTTGGAAACATTGAACTGTGCCAGTCTATTGCCTCCCCCAGCGGTGATAACCTCCAAAGGTCTCGGTTCATACTACCTACCAATCCACCTGTTCATTTCCTCGTGGAGCGCCCTGTATATAAGAGTGTGCAATTCTAGTTTTCCAAATCCGATTTGTGAACAAACATATTTACCTACATGACAACGCCTGAGTTATATACTGACGCGTCGTTTTTTTACCTAATCATTCCATGGAGACCATTGGCCTTTTTTGTTCGGAACCTAAAGAACTTGTTCAGCTTAAGGCTTTGCCATAAAAAGTTGCTCATTTTTTGCAAAAATAAACGTCATGTAAAAGATATGCCCATATTGATATTACTGTTTCTTCTAGATTTGGTCCAGACTATTACGCGAAATTGGCCGCCACGCCGAGCGGGGGCCGAGTGGACTCACCAGAGGTAAGTTTGAGCAAGAGGATAAACCAACTAGAGGAAGCGTCGATTTATTCTAGCCTGCCAAGAAGCTTGTACACATCCAAAAACTCGAGCAAGAATTTCGTTAAGAACCCCTTGCTTAATTTCCCAGAAAACCAGAAATCATTGTGACGTTCTACGTACGCAATTCTACCTCGAATAGCTGTCCAGAGCCATTTTGTATATAGTTTTTAGTTGTTGTTAGCACCCAGTTGAGTATTGTTAAGATATTGTTTGAATAAACATAAAAATGAATATCTCAATATCTTTGTTTCGAAATAGATATAATGGCTTACGTGAAAACTGGTAAGTTTTGTGAACGCTTCAAACTTTTATAACAGCATTATCATCAGTGTTTCAACTAAATGCATACATACTATTAAAACTATAACGTACCTATTAGATATTTTTGTACCCTGAGGTCTAATGGTGGAAATATAACTTGTACAATGTGATGCCATATCAACGCAATACTAACAATACTCAAAGCTTTTGTTAAACATTCTTGTCATTTGCTATATTATTACGCTTCAAACATATCATGTCCATTTTATATCATTGCGTCATGGGATCTCTGGACTAAGACTAAACAACCGTGTTCCATATGTCCATTTTTGACTTGGTTTTCTAACACAATTATGTTATATTGCATCAATACAAAATCATCGAACGAGATACCGTAGACTGAAAAGTTCCATATTTCTTATTTTGTATGAAAAAAATTCTGCAGTCGTTTTTCTTAAATAACCTGTATATACAGTGTTTTCGAATAATAGACGGAGATATTTTAGACGGTAATTCCTTGTTAAAAAATATGAAAAAAGTTCCTATAAACACGGGTCCCGAAATGCAGAATTATCAAGATACATGGTGATAATTTTTTTTTAATATCTTAAAAAATATATACTCGATTCTACTGAAATTTATTATTGGCTAAAAATGTACGCCACTGCCTTTTTTGTAAATTTAATATTTGTTGTTTGATTGAGCATCTAAAAATACAACTTCTTTGCCTCTTGAATTTTTTCGTATCTCACTTCGTTTTCGAGAAAAAAATAAAAACCACTTGTTGCATTCCACTGGACAAATTGGTTCATTAATTTTTGCTAAAAAAATTTCTTCACACGCATTTTCGATTTTATTTTTTAATTCTTCTATTGTTTCTATGAGAGTAGCGTAAACCATGATCTTAAGGTGCCCTCATCAATAAAAATCTATTGGATTTAAGTCAGGGGAGCGAGGTGGCCAGTGAATTTCATTTCCTCAGCTCATTATCGTTATTTTTCGATAGCTATATAATTTTTACTCGCTTACGTATAGTAGTAATAGGCGAGGACAGAGCCGGAAAACAAAGTGACTTTTTCACGCATCGAAAAGAATCATATAGTCGAGCAATTTTTAAAAATCGAAATTTCTGAACAAAAATGGATAAAGAAAAAAAAAAGACGCTATCTTTGAGTCCGATGTCCGGGCTTTCTCATGCAAAAATCGTCAGGTTCGTAGCTCCTTTATCTTCGGAGGAGATCGAAAGTGAACGTCGAACAGCACGAAAATCTACCAATTTTTCGACTTTACCGGCCGATTTCGATCTGGTTTCTTTCTCTCACCGCGCCGGCTGTCACTCCCCCGTGAAGCGCCAAGTTTCTAGTTTCCGAAACGGTATCGTTTTCCTTCCGAACGTTTCACGAACCCGGAAAAAAACCGAAAAAATGGGAAAGTAGCGCGTAGTCGAGGAATTCAAAAAAATCGAAATTTTCGAACGAAAAGGGATAAAGAAAAAAAAAGAAGGACGCTATCTTTGAGTCCGACGCCGGGGCTTTCTCACGCAAAAACAAATACTAAAGTTACAAAAAAGGCAGTGACGTACATTTTTTGCCAATAATATTCGCTAAGGCGCCTCCCGGGACGCCACTGGACCTAATAATTTTAATCTATTTCGGCCTACATTAGCACAACAAGCTACAACAGATGATATTACCAAATTTCAACAGAATTGATTAAATAGTATTTTTTAAGATATTAATAAGACATTTTTTTTTAATTTGTCTTGAAAACTCTGCATTTTCATAGCCATGATTATCGAAAAAATGTTCATATTTTTGAACAAGGAATCACCCTCTAAAATATCTCCATCTATTTGTCGAACGCTCTGTATAATACTACAGAGTACTAACCAGTTTGGAGGTGATGGTGTACATGGAAAATAATTTTCATTTAGATTTCCAGGGACGCATGACCCGCTGATTTTTTTACACCATAGTGGTTCAAAGCAATATTGTACTTACCTGAAAAATTCGCAATCTCAATTTCGATAAAATGAACCGTTTTTGAGAAAAACAGTTTTATTTCAATACAAATCGATAAGGCCTAAAACTTGGTTGAGTAATCTGAAAATGTATATGCCTGGGTTTTTTCTGGTCAATGATTACAAATGTACTATCAGAACTGCTGAATTTTCAAAATGGTGACACCGCTAGACCGATTCCATACTACAATTAATAAAACTTACTGAACAAAAACGTTCGTTATATTAATGTCAAAGAAGAAACACATTTTTCTCGTAGCTGAGCTGTGTAAAACTTACAAAAGTTGTGTTAGGGCTATTCCGTCTCTGCAGATCTAAATGACTTGTTTTGTACAACGAAAACCAAATACCTCTGACGTCGTAATGTGTACGAGACAGAAGCGTGCAGTACGTGTGTTAGAAAGAGATAGAAGCACCTCGTTGCCTCGCAACCCGAATACGAGGTCACGGATGTCATCGGTGCACTCTTTCTAACATACATATTGCACGCTTCTCTCTCGTACACATTACATCAGTCAAATTTGAACCTCACCGTATACGCATCACGTGAAGCTAATATCTATTACTATGCATCCTAGAACGTCAAGATATTCGCGAATACTCAAGGGATGTAGTATATGTATTAGTAAAATAGTTTTGGTTTAATATTGTTCCCTGGTTATTCACTGGCGACCTTGAATTTGACGTTGAGCCTGACCTTGAAGGACTAATCAAGGTCAATACAACTTTTTTAAATATGACCCTATACTTTTGACTTAAACTGACATAGCGGAAAATGTTATGATCAGATATGACCTCGGGTGAGCATTATATTGACCTTGAACGTCTTGGTCAAAGTCAACGTAAAAAACCCTCGCTAGAAAAGATTTCAGAGATATTTCTAAAGGTACAGCGAAAATAAGGACCCAAGGATATCAGAAGCTTCAATTTTTCTCTGACATAGAAACTAACATTTACCTTGACCTTGAGGGTAAAATCAATGCCAAGACAATTTTCTCTAATAGCTCAGTTCAGAAATAAATATAATGGGAAATTCTACATTTAACCTTGGGTCATAGTTATGTTGACTTTCGTCCTCCTTGTCAAGGTCATCGTGAAAAACATTGGTTTGACAAGATTTTAAGGATGTTTCTAAACATAAAACAAAAATAAAGACCGAAAGACAGAAGGGGCTTCGAAATCCCAGGCGATTCACTGACCTTGACCTTGACCTTGACTAATCAAGGACTAGACATTTCTTCAATGATACCCTAAACTTGTAACTCTGGAAATGGATACAGCGTAAAATTTGATTTCAGCCTGACCTTGACCACGAACGTTCAAGGTCAAAATAATTTTCGCCAAGGTCATACATACATTAAACATACAATTTTTCGTTCAATCCGTTTCCAGTGTCAGAAGTCTAGGGTGCCCTGACCTTCAGGGTCATGATTAAAGTCAAACTCAAGGTCACCACTGAATAGCCACGGGGAAAATCCCGAACTGCTACTATTGTACCTTATTTTGGTTAAATATTCCCAAATATCTTGATGTTCCGGGATTTTTTGATCACTCCGTATTAAAGAAAAACCGATTTCCGATACCGTAAAACGGGGTTACATTGCTCCAATTTTACGTACTATTTTAGGATTACTATAAAAACAAATCATGAAATTTAACTAAAACCCATTATTCGTTCAGTACTCACAGATTATACCTAATAGAATGAATATTTGTTGGAATTTGCATTTTAGATTGTCAACAATACATATTTTTTTTTAGTTGAAAAGTGGAGCAAAGTATATCATAGCTTGGGATTACTTTGCTCCATTTAAAAAAATATGTTATAATGCATTCACCCATATAGGTGGAGCAAAGCTACGTGGCTGATTTGTCAACTTTTCTCCATGAAACATAACTATGAAGCAATTTTCTTCATATTTTCTTAAAAATATATGTTATTAAAAAAAATCGAACTTACGGAATAATATTCTTTATTTGTATGGACAACTCAAAATAAATCATACAAAACAAATAGAAACATAAGAAATAATTTTAACATAGATCAAAAAGTGGTGTTAACTCAGGAACAGAGAAGGTTCCTCTTTTGGAAATTTTCTTGGGTGTAGCAATGCCGCCTAGAACGTCAGACCAAGGGTACGTTAGTTCGTCGCGTCTTGAAGGCCATTTCCACATCTTAAGGGACTTTTCCATCGCGTTTATAGTAACTTTTTCGTCATCAAAAGCTACAATTTCCCCTGGGAATAATTGTCCCATATAGGAGAATACTACGAAACGACTCACTTCTCGGATCACGTTCGCAAAATGAAATTCATTTTTTTGACCTTCTATAAAACTCATAAATTCCTTTTCTATCTGTTGATCTTTGTCCAACTCTTCAAAGTTGACATCGTCCGAAGAGTTGTCATCAAATACTACATCTTCATCCTGTCTGGAAAAAGAAGCAGTAAGCTCGTCTAACGAGGTCTCTTCAGTAATTATGGATTCATCGGCGCTAACGCTTTTTCCAGCAGGAACGTTTATCTTTTTTCTACGCTTGGTTGTAGTGTTGGTTATCGCTGTCCGTTTCGCTTCAAGAGATTCTAGAAACGCTGATTGAACTACATCCGGATTGCAAGTACTCCTAGGGATACGGCTTAGGACTTCTTCGATATTCAAGGGAAATATACCGCACTTTCGGAAGCCAGCTTTTAAGTTAGCCTCAGCATATGGCGTAATAATTTCCATCAGCTTTAATAACAATGGAGGAAAGAATTGTTTCTGGATATTTGTATTTCGAACACCTTCTTCACTGTTTTTCCAATCTGATAAAACTTGACGCCATGCAATTTTTAAGGGTTGCTCCGGAGCAAAGTAACCCTAAATAATTGAAATTTTGCCTGTCTCAACAAGAAAAATATTATCTTACTATTTTATCGTTTATGAAGGGTAAAGTTATTAACAACATATTCTAAAATGATATTAAACTAGTACAAAAATACTCACTTGCCAGATAAAATGAAAATATCCACTGCACACAACAAATTTCCACGTTCAAATTTCTACAGCTTTTTTTGCTACCGATTCAGCCTCAGTCTGTTTGTTTACTAATGCTGGTGGAATGATGGTTTAGGCGGGAGTCTTTTCCAGGGAGGTAACCTTCAATATTTTGCAGTTTGTTTGGTTGCATACCTATCTCTTCTAATAATAAAAGTACGAATAAACTCTTTTCGGTCAAGGGGCAAAGTAACACCCATAGGAGCAAAGTAGCCCCGGTTTACGGTATCGTACTTTTGAAAATCGGAAAAAGAAATTATGGTCATTACACACATCTGAATGTCATGCTTTTTCCGAAATTCGCGCCTGTGGTCATAAAAGTTTAGTCTACAGTATCTCAATGTTACTCTAGCTAGACTAATCCTAATATTTTGATAGGTTAACGATTTCATCTGGACTCCAACTAAAGAACGGGAAACCGAAGAGCAGGAAAAGAGCATGATAATCGAAGATGTATTTTCAAGTACCGACGCTGGCACTCCAACACCCAATGCCTCGCTAAAATCAGTACCTATTCTATCTCCAGAACCCAAAACAGAGCTAGAAATGACCAGTGACAGCGATTTGAGCGTAGTCAATTGCTACAACATCGCAAACTCTGAGGTATCTGTAACTCCCAAAGTACGAAACGGCACCATTGACAACGCTAGTGCTAGTGAGTCTGAGATAGAAGTTGTCAAAAAGATATGACAGAACGGCCAAAGTACCTAAAGCTGAACTCTGCAGCACCTTCTAGATCGCTGAAGTCACCGCTTGAAATAACCAGTTTGAGAAGGCACAAAAGTGAGACAGACTTACTGTCCGAGGATTCTTTCAATAATCCTCCAAGAATTCTCGGTCGGAAAAAAGATAACACCTTAATTTCAAAGATATATCAAGATCCACATGTTCGAAAATTTGCACTATCAAGTAGGGATCATCTACCTGTAGAAACAGTGAACTATGGCAGATACGATGGCAATCAACTTTGTTACAACTCAGATGATGGTTTTCCCAGAAGAAAACTCTTAAGCTACGATGATGATTTATTGAGTTCAAACGTAGTTAGAAAGAACGAACAATTTAGAGGACTTAGAAGAGTCCAACAGAATTTAGAAAAGGGACAAAGACAACACATTTATAGTTCCAGTGAAGACTTGCTCGGCAACGACGAATGTGAGAAAACATCGCCGAGAAAAGATAACACTATTGTATCTAAAATATACCAAGATCCGAACGTCAGAAGTTTCGCTTTAACCAACAAGGAGCGGGAAAGTTTACGTAAAAAAAGTTACAGTTCGGAGGAGGATGTATTCTCCAACAAAAGTTCTCCAGGCTCGCCGAAGTTGTCTTCTACCAGATCAGAAAGTTGTTTAAATGACACAATCACTAAAAATGAAATAGAAATAAAAACACGTTTCGTACATACGCCTGATCCAGACATTGATGAACTCTCGAAAAAGCAGATCGTTCATAATATCCTAGATCGGATGTCGAGATCTCGAGATGTTTCGCAGGAACGAGGTCGAAAGGATGGTTATATCACAGATGAGGAGATCAATGTCTCAGTCAAGGACTTGAGAAAGCTCTTTGAAAGCAATGAAGTAAGTATTCAATACTTCGCGAAATATTCAGATAACGAATAGTTGACAGTTCTCAAAGTTCGTTTTCCGATTAGGGTATTCTCTACACAAAAAAACATTTTTAAATAGATTGATTCATGTTTTTTTCTGTATTTCGCACCGAAGGGATCAGTCAATCGGATTTCATTTTTATTCCGGATACCGATAGAAGGTGACCCTACATTTAATCTCAAACTATCAACGTCAGAGAATAAAGGTTATTTTACTCACTTCAGTCAGAAACTCAGATGGTAGAAGTGAGGTTACAATATTACGGCATTAAGTTCGGAATTTTAGGTTTGACTGAGAGTAACACCCTCAATATATTTTTGAAAGCAAGATATAAATATTTCGTTGCTGTAATAAGAATTATGGAAAATATGTCATTCCAGTGGTAAAGATAATGTTCCGGATGCAATACTATTTAAGATAAAATGAAAGTTCATAACAAAACGTGACATGTAATGTAGATAAATATTTTTTTTTGAAAATTTGCGCATTTATTATCTCAGAATTTATGTTTGTGTAATTATGAAATGCTGATTTCTATATCGTCAGCTTGCTGCGAAAACAATTTCCACGTCACCGTTATCCCCATTTTACGACCTGATTTAAATGTTGCCAAACATGTAAATTAAAATTACCTATTATAAACTTAGTTTTTTGAGTTATCTGGTTCTTACAGTAACCCGACGATATGTGAAATATACACAAGAATATAAATCTTTTTCTTTTCAGATTACTGGCAAGGTGATTTCTAGTCTAACTGCCAGAAGTTTATCCAAACAAATTAGAGAAGACTTGAAGCAAAAGTAAGAGCCACACAGTGCAATTGTCTAATAATTTTATGGGCAATTATACATATAATTCCCATATGTACACTGATTTGGTTACCTAACTTCCAGAGTATTATATTTTTTAATTATTTTTATTTATTGTGTTCAACACATAACCCAAAGATATTCGTTTTAAAATACATCCTTTATTGTCATACTATGTACATAACAAACTTAATTATATTAAATGTATATTATGAGAAATGTATGCCTTCCTGGTTGAAAGCATGTAGAATCCTGTAAAAAATGATTGTACTTTAAATAAAGAATTTTATTATTGCTTAACCTTAATTTTGTTTAAAACTCAACCAAACATACTGTGACGCCCTCGTAACTACAACTTTTAGTAATGATGTGCATAAGATGTATGTACATCGACACTTAGGCAACCGGAATTACGGACGCCGCAAGCATTTGTCACCCTTCAAGAATATAATATACGCGTGCCGAGAGGGAGCAGCAGAGTAGAGTCGACAGAGGAGTCTCAATAGTCCAGTGGACATAGTCATAAATTTGCAAGTGTAGTAATAAATTAGTGTGGAAGTAATAAAGTAAACTTTAAATACTAAACATGTTTTTGTTATAATACCACCATGCCTAAATATCTGTGAATAGTGTTTTGTTTTCAATTCGTTTCTTTTCTAATCTTTTTTACTGAATCGACATTAATCCAGTAAAAATATTATAAACATTATGAATTAGGAATGAGCTGTCTCAAATAATGACCAATATTTGCAAATGTTACACATTATACAAAAAATTCCTAATTTCTTTTTGTTCTTAGACAAGCATTGTGAAAAACTACTCACACAATAAAATCATCTATATCCATAGTTCTTGCCCTCTTTTGATCAGCATTTATACTCGTAAGTACCTTTTCTAACATCTCTTTCATGTTAAAATTTTTAGGCACCTCCTGAAAAAGTAAAAACTAATAAATCATATACAGTAATGGACAAAAGTATATAGACAAATACGAATATCTACCTAAAAATACCTTTAGAAAACGAATTCATACTTCATTGCTCCATAAACACATGCATTATTACTAGAAAAACTAAATTCCTTGTTTTTACATTAACTGCAATGAACACAATACAAGTCTGATAATAAGCACTTTTTTATGAGGGACAAAAATATGTAGACAAATTCTTTTCAACATTAGTTTAGTACAGTTTCGTGTCAGAAGAGGATTAGTTTGTGTTCATCAAGTATTTTTTTTTTTTTTTTTTTTTTTATACTCCAACTACCACGAAGGCCTAAGGCCTAAGCACCCATTGGGTACCGTGGGGCTATGGGGGATACATGGGAAAGGGGGGACGCCACACGGACTCTGGCGAGGGAACACGTGTGCATGCAACATGCACACATTCTGGCTCCGCCTACGAGAACCGCCGGGTGGTACCTCCGCGTTCGACAGTCAGAGACCATCTACCACCTACGGACAATCACAACATCCATGGCCAAGAGAAACATTTCTCCTGGGACGGGACTCGAACCCGCACAGCGCACGGCGGCTGATCAGGAGACCGAAGGGTCTACTACTGCGGCCACCGCTGCTGCCTAAAACAAGCACACAACATCCATGGCGAAGGCGAGATTCGAACTCGCGGCCCGGCCGGCCGGCTGATCAGTAGCACGACACTCTGACCCACGCGGCCAACCGAGGTCCCGAATGTGGAATAAGTCGAGTGATTTTAACACCATGCCGCGTGGTCCAGAAATTTCTTTCGATGTGAAAACTAAGATCATTGAGTTATACAAAGATGGTCAACGACAAGTTGACATTGCCAAAAATTTGAAGCTGAAGTGTAAAGCAGTTTGGGCAATATTGAACAAATATAAACAAAAAGGTATCTTGGAAGCCTCTAAGAGAAGTGGCCGGCCTACAAAACTAAATGCTAGATCAGTTAGATTAATAAAAGAAATTTCGTCCAAAGATCCGTTTAAAACCCCCAAGACAAATAAAAGCCGAAATCGAGTAAGAAGCCGCTAATCTCGAGGAAAAACCGTAAAGACCGATTACAATTTGCACGGTTCGATCTTGATTGGAGCATCTGTGACTGGAAGAGGATATGTTTCAGTGACGAATCCAAGTTCAGTATGTTTGGATCAGATGGTGTTCATTACGTTAGACGTCCTAATGGACAAAGATTGAACCCCAAGTACACTTTGCCCATTGTCAAACATGGAGGCGGGTCTGTTATGGTTTGGAGATGATTTTCGGGGTTTGGGAAGGGACCTTTACATAGAATAGATGGCATTATGGATAAGTTTGTATACACAGACATACTAAAGCATGTCATGTTACCCTACATATGCCCTTAAGATCAATCTTCCAGCAAAATAATGACCCAATTCACACTTGAAATCTCGCTGAGAAATTCTTTCTGGATGAAAAAATACCAGCTCTCAAATGGCCTTCACAGTCTCCCGATATAAACCCCATTGAAATTCTATGGGAATACTTAGATAAGCAAATGTGAGATAAAAATTATTCAGACAAAAATGAACTTTTTGTCATCTTAGAGAAAAAGTGGAGACAGATTGATGAATCTTATATCAAGAAACTTCTACAATCTATGCCGAGACGATGCCAGGTGGTGATTGATAATAATGGTTATGCTACAAAATATTAACACAAACATGGTTGGAAAATATTAACACAAACTATAATTCAATGAACTTTGCTTCTTTTTTCTATAATTGTTTTCCTTTGTCTATATATTTTTGTCCTTCATAGTTCCAGTTTTTTTCAATTAATTCTTTATTGAAGGGAGTCTAATGAATTTATTTATGTATAAGTGAGTATTATGCTATAAGGAATTATGCATACAGGTTGGTGTATTAATAAAACAAGTTAAAAAAGAAATACAGCACAATATTAATTTGTCTATATACTTTTGTCCATTACTGTATATCAAAAGGTTGTAATTTGGAATATTAACATAGGAAAATTTAGCTATGAGTAAAGTAGAGAAATGTGTTTTTTAAGAAGAGTAAGGTAATTTCAATTATACCTTGTTATTTAAGCTGCAGTGTAGTTTGTAGTTTTTTTCCAACATTGCCACAACAGCCGTTTGTCTGAAAGCACTGCCCAATGTTTTATTCTTCCTAGTAAAGGCAATTCTAGTAAGACCGTCCCACTCTGTATAAGGAATGGGTGGGGGTGGGTTTATAGGTTCTATCCTAACAACAGCAGACTCCACTTTTGGTGGGGGCCGGAAATTATTTTTGCCAACCTGTAATACAATACAAAATGTAAATTCTAATAATAACACATTTTAAAGGATATGTTACCTTCATTAGCATATGGACTCTTGCCAACAGTTGGGTATTTACTGAAAGACGACAATATAGCTTATCACCAGGTTTAGCTACAAGTCTTTGAGCAAATTCTAGTTGAAACATAAGTATAGCGCATCTACAGAAAGGCCTATGTAGCAGTAATTTGAATACTAAAGGTGATGATATCTGATACGGTATATTTGCCACACAGATATCAAAAAAAGGTAGCTCAGTCTTCAGTACATCTCCAACTAAAATTTGTAACTTTGATTGTAAAGGCGTTCCTTGAACTCGTTTTTGCAATTCAGCAACAAGTCTGGTATCTATTTCGCAGGCTATAACTTTTTTACTTGCTCCAGTAGTTTTACAGTCATGTTACCAGTACCGGGACCGATTTCGAGACATACATCAGTTGGACGAAGACCCGCTTTTTCCAACATGGATGTAATGATAATGGGGTTCTTAAGGATATGTTGGCCAAAATCCTTGTTGAACAAAATCCCTGGAAATATAATACATTTGTTTTGAAAGAGAAAATGAAAATACACTAAGTACTTACCCTGTTTAGCAATTTCATTATGCACTCTATTCTTTTTTTCAGCACGTATCTTGGGCATTTTTACCGTTTAAATCTAAAATAATTCTTATCCTATAACGCCAAAGATTATTATTTTCAGCACTTTAATAAGCCTTAAATTGTTTATTTACATACGACTCTGACATTCAGAGAAACACGTGCAATTTATTGGTTATGACATAAGCATCATAATAGACGTTGTCCTGCCTTGACCGTATGTACCGATGAGTAATCGTGATCGTGGTTCTCTGTTATGTAACGGGCTAACATTTGTTAATTAACCAATCTGACGCGGAAGTTTCGTTGCTGGTTGAAGTTTTTTTAAACGATATCGTTTGCTACTTTAATTCCAAAATTTTCTTGATTCTGTGACTGATATTGCCGTAGGAAGTGTACACTGAAAACCAAATACAACTGACGTCGTAATGTGTACGAGACAGAAACAGGAGAATAGTGCAATACATGTGTCAGAAAGAGTAAGAAGCACGTCGTTGCTTAGCTACCAGGTCACGGACGCCATCGCCGCACTCTTTCTAACATACATATTGAACGCTTCCCGCGCTTCTCTCTGGTACACATTACGACGACAGCCAAATCTGAACCTTGCCGAGGTCCAACAAAGGTGTACATAGACTATGCATTAAAGGTACAAAAATTATTGAGAGATACGACAATCTAGATACTTTTTGGCGTGTTCTGCCAATTCGATAACATCCACGTAACCCCACGAGTTGAACCTTTCTATAAGTACAAAAATGACCCTATTAAATTTATTATTTTTTAGGAGACTACCGAATAGGATCATAAAGCTTATCTTGGTCAAAACAATAGTACTGGTGCTGAAGACACTAATTGGGTGATTACCACAGCTCTGCAAGTCATCTCGGCATCTTATTTTTCATTTACACAGTCGCAAGCACGGTTGGCACGTCGAGTAAGATGGTCAATAAACGTTTGTGGCCGGCCTAAAAAGGCCAGTGGCGTAACCACAACAGGGCGAGAGAGGTCAGAATCGTATTTTTGCTTTTTTGTGTTTGCAATATTTCGGTGCGATCTTTAAAAAAGAAGCCTCCACAGTAACAGTGAGACTTTCTCACACATCGAGGACCCTGTAGACGTCAGGTGGACAAAAAGGTAAAACGGATCATGAATTCGGCAAAAACATTCCGTGAACACATCTCTATGGTAAGACTATACATATCGCATACTTCATTTCTTACTTTAAAATGAAAGATTAGGATGTAACTTGCCCGAATATATCATTTTTTCTTTAAGGAACCCTCTGCTTGCTATTTTATAGAACTTCAAATTTGCATTTTTGGTGGTAATACTCTAGAATGGAATACTGTTTTATACGATTTTTTTTCGCTTTTTGCACAAAATGATGCTCTAAATTATAAGAATATAACACGTAAAACAAAAAATCGTTGTTTTTTTGCAAAAAAAGGTTCAAAACCAGCCAGTTCAAAATATATACGTAAATGATGGTATTTACTTGGTAAACTGTGTAGAGGTGTTGTGTTGTGTCTTCTTGAAGTTCCTTAACCATTTTTTTCGCATGTTTTCAATGAGATCAAAGTTTTTGCGTTTATAAGAAATATTTGAAAGTACAAACTATTCTGAACGGCCATTTTGTAACGTTCATTTCTTGACAGATAAGATAAATGATGTCCATAGTTGCCAAGTTGCACCTTTGTTGGGAGAAATACGTGATAAAAAATGAGGTTATTTGCAAAATAAAAGTCTTAAATTTATTGTAAATGGCTTGTTTTATAGGAAGTTGACCCAATATTTACCGAAAACTAGGAGAAATTTTGAACAGTATGTATCTAAACAGTGGAAAATGCAGCAGCGGCTCGCGTCACTTTAAATAATTCTTCAAGTATATACATACAAAAAGTAAATAGATTATAACTGTAATATAGGAAAAACAATAACCGAAGTACTTTTGTAAAGGGAATAAGGCATTCTTCAAAAAAGTGTCTTTAGCTAACGCTATCGTCGGGCACGAGGTGGATTTAGTACAGTAAAACCTGCCGGCCACACCTCCAAATCGCATTTTCATGACAATCCTGTGCCGATTGCCCATTTTTGGGCTAGTATATAAGTAAGAATTTGACAAACCAAATTAGGGTGTATAACTATCCATGATTTGGCAACATCGCAACTAGATGGAGACAGTAAGATAGTGATGGTGGTGAATGGTAGTGTAGTGAATATTTATCTAAAATAAAATAAATTACTACTTAACAATGAACTATTTTCATCATTAAAATAATGCAAAATTGCATTATTGTGATGAATAGTGTCACAGTAATTTACATTGTATGTTATATTCATATAATTTTGAGCAATGTTTTGTGTAAACAAAAAAAACAGCTTATAAAGCAGTATTCTATCCCACAGTATTACCACACAAAATGCAACTTTGAAGTTCTATAAAATAGCAAGCAGAGGGTTTCTTAAAGAAAAATATTTCCATGCAAGTTACATCCTAATCTTCCATTTTAAAATAAGAAATGTAATATTTGCGATATGCGCTAAAGTATAGTTCAGCCCATCTCTATACTTTGTTCTAACATCACATTTTAATCAAATTCAAGCGAATAACCAAAATTTCTGTGTTATGTGCCGCGGTTATAATATGGTTCAAGATGACACACGGGTTGATGACGTCAGTTACACGAATCGCTTGAACGCGTTGGTTTTAACCGCGGTTTTGTTGCAAGTTGTTTATTTTATAAAAGCGCGTATATAATCTCTGATTATTTTTATTATTACTTAATAATCGGTGCTTTTTCGTCTACAACTGTATATGGAAAGTTTAAATAAGAAACCTTTCATAATATTGGCTTTGTAGCTATGATAACTTTCAATTCTCTAAATTTTTCCGCATGTCAAAGAAAACATTTATTGATTCAGCAGAAATGATGAAAAAAGAAATTAGCAAAACCGTATACAGGTGGATATCATCTAGTGAGTTTATATGGCCATATTTTAATATTCTTGTGGTATATGGCTACACAGGATACTTTGTTAAGCATAGGAACTACATTTAAAGTGTCCCCAACAACCGTAATGAGTATAACTAATAAGGTGCTCCACTTTATGGTAAAACAGAAGTCAGCCTGTATCAATTTTCTCAAAAATGAATCTGAAGTACAATAACAATATCCAAAACCCGGCAAAATTCTAACTTGTCACATTTCAAATAATAACCAGAAATATAAAACTACTATTGAGTTGGGTAAATACCACAATTTTGCGGTGATAACTATGACATATAACAGCTGATTCGTGACGTCACGGATTTATAACCAAACTGATAACTACACTCGCTTGAACGGATTGGTAAATACCAAGCCAAAATGGTAAATACCATTTCCATTTGGTTATCCGCTTGAATTTGATTTTTGTTTGTGCGTCTTAGGTGAGGTGGTGACACTGGTGACACGGTGACAGAGGCGATTTGAAGTATTGTTTTTTATTCAAGATAAAATCAAAAATCCTTTACAATGGGAAAGAAGAAAAACGGTATGATTCCCTTGTTTGTATAGCTTAATTCACATTTGACTCTGTAACTTTTTAGAATTCGACCATCTTACCTTAGAAGAAAGGAAGGTTATCACCGTTGCAGAAATAGTACAGACTCTAATCAAGGCACACAATGACAAAAAAGATGTAAATCTAAACGCTCTGAAAAATCGTATTGCTTCTAAATACGGTTTATCAAGTGCGCCAAAACTAGTAGACATCATAGCAGCTGTTCCAGTGGATTATAAGAAAATTCTTGTTCCAAAACTTTTGGCAAAGCCTATTCGAACAGCAAGTGGGGTAAGCTAATACTCTGCTTGAAGTTGTGGCGTAGATTTGTTCCAGCAGTAATCTAACTGTTGTGCTATAGTTTTTCAGTAGCAGTAGTAGTAGTAGTAGTAGCTCAATAGAGGTTGAAACTAATTAAGCCTCTAAACAGGCAATATTCTTACTGCATTATACAGGGTGTTTCCTAACTGAATTTCAATATTTATGGGGGCGATTTTGGGGCTCTTTTAAAGAAAAAAATTCATATTATGAAATTTAACACATATGTACTATGTATCAAGAGGTATTTTTTAATATACCACATTTTTTTGTATTTGATAGTTTTCCACTGATTTCTCAATAAAAATTATTCATGAAATCCCCATTGTTTTCTAAACAAGTTTGTTTGCCTGATTTTTTCATTCTGATGGATGGTTTTCACTTAAAACTTGATCAACTCTTGTTTCAGATTGCAATAGTGGCTGTAATGTGTAAACCACATCGTTGCCCACATATTAACTTCACAGGAAACATTTGCGTTTACTGCCCAGGGGGGCCGGACTCAGACTTTGAATACTCTACTCAGAGTTACACGGGATATGAACCAACCTCAATGCGAGCAATAAGAGCTAGATATGATCCATACTTGCAAACGAGACATCGAATCGAGCAACTCAAGCAGCTGGGCCATTCTGTTGATAAAGTTGAATTCATTGTTATGGGTGGAACATTCATGAGTCTGCCTGAAGACTATAGAGATTATTTCATAAGAAATCTCCATGATGCATTGTCAGGGCATAAAAGTAGCTCTGTAGAGGAGGCTGTAAAATACTCTGAGAGGTCAGATACAAAGTGTATTTGTATTACAATTGAGACTAGACCAGATTATTGTTTAGAACGACACCTGACTGACATGTTGAACTATGGTTGCACCAGAATTGAAATTGGTAATGATCTTTAGGGTTATATGATATTTTGAACTAAATACAAATGTTTTTTAGGAGTTCAGTCTGTTTACGAGGATGTAGCCCTAGACACAAACAGAGGGCATACAGTCAAAGCAGTGTGTGAAACTTTCAAACTGGCAAAAGATGCTGGTTTTAAAGTTGTAGCTCATATGATGCCTAATCTGCCAAATGTTGATCTTGAAAGTGACATACAACAATTTGTCGTAAGTTCATTGATGATCTTATTTCTCCAGTAATACTTCTTGTATAGAGTTGAGTTATGTGACAGTCTTTTTGTAGGAATTTTTCGAAAACCCTGACTTCAGAACTGATGGTTTGAAGATATATCCTACTCTAGTTATCCGTGGCACTGGACTTTATGAATTGTGGAAGACAGGACGTTATAAGAGTTATCCACCATCTGTTCTTGTTGATTTAATTGCAAAAATTCTTGCTTTGGTGCCTCCATGGACAAGGGTTTATAGAGTTCAGAGGGACATCCCTATGCCTCTAGTGAGGTAAATATTATGTCATTTATTCATTTATTTCCTCTCATCAAAACGCATTGTATACAAACAGCCATACAGATAAAAAAATTTATCTAACAGAAGTCAGTCAAGTCAGCAGTGAAAATAACAATATTCTTACACACTATAAAAGCTGGGTACAGGAATTACCATTCATTTTGAAGGGGATGACTCTGTTAATAGAGGAAATTACAGAGAATCGTTAACATTCATTACCAAAAAAGATCAAAAATTTTCCAAACAACTAGAAACATCGACTGTTTTTTCGGACGGCTTGGATTAGTCATAGCATAAGACGATTAGGTATATCAAGTGCCCCAGATGCTCAGTCCAGGAATGTTTACCTTAATTTGAAAATAGTTTAAATAAAATACCTAAAATAAGCAAAAAATTACATTTGGGAGGTTCAAAATAAACTTTTTTTAATAAGATTTTTCACATCTGGTTTTGGTTAGGCTAATAGTATTTGGATCTTCACTAATCCTCATGTTAATTGAATGTATTTGCCCATATTTCAGGAATGTATCCTTATTGTTAAATAAATATAAACAACTTTTCAATATGTAGAAACATATTTTCTCTTAGAACTTTGTTTAAAATCGCCAGATCGCCTTCATGAGGTAAAAATACCAGCCATTTGACTCTTGAGATTTTGTTTAATTTCAGTTCTGGAGTGGAACATGGAAACCTCAGGGAACTAGCTTTAGCCAGAATGAAAGATCTAGGCCTAAAATGTAGAGATATCCGCACTAGAGAAGTTGGCATCACTGAAATACATGAAAAAGTAAGGCCAGACTACATCGAACGAGTTAGACGTGACTATTATGCAAATGGTGGATGGGAAACTTTCTTGAGCTATGAAGATCCTGAGAAAGATATTCTTATAGGACTCCTGAGGTATGTTGAATTTGCTATCTGCTCATGGTAACATAGACTTAAATAATGTAATGTTTCCATCAACTCTATATGTATTATGGTCTCTTTCACAGTTCTCCATTACCAAAGTGACAGTGTTATATCATCATAATAATACTTACTGGTGGAATTTATTACTTCAAACAACTAACGACACATATGGAGACAAGTGAAAAATACCATAATTGAGATCCTTTCTGTTTTGATCATGTGCCTGTGACAGCAATGTAATTATTTATTTCAGATTACGAAAGTGTTCAGAGGAAACAACCTTTAGACCAGAACTAAAAGGTGGCGTCTCGATAATCCGAGAACTGCATGTTTATGGAAGTGTGGTCCCAGTTAATAGCAAGGACGAAAAGAAGTTCCAACATCAAGGATATGGAGCACTTCTGATGAAATGGGCTGAAACAATCGCTAAAGACGAACATGAATCCCACAAAATAGCCGTGATATCCGGGGTCGGAACCAGAATTATTATAGGAAAATTGGATATGAACTAGAAGGTCCATACATGGTGAAGAGCTTGAAAGATGGAGAGCATAAGGGTGTGTTTGAATTCCTTGATGGACGGAAATTGGATATTGAAGTAGACCCAGAATACGCAGATGTGATAAAACACGTGAGATATGAGGATGAGAAGGAGAAGGAAGAGGAAGAATGGCTGGCCGAGTATGATAAGAAACTTAGGGAGAAGCGAAAGGCACAAGCAGCTGCCAAATTGGCTGAAGAGAAAGTTTGATTTAGCTTAGTTGTTTTTTGTTTGAGATAAATTTAAATTTGATATGATGATATAATCTTCCCAGATTTTTCTTTGTCTTTTATTTCTGCACACTATTTGTTAGGATTTGGAAAGTGGACACACAAGCAATTGTATTATTAAAAATCACATCAACATATGTACACAGCACTTACAACAGTGGCATTAATGCTAGTAAGTCTATGTTTAGGGCAAAAATAGTGCGCCACTGTTTTTTGCAAAAAGTTGGTGTCATTACCTACACCCTATTCACAAGCATCCATTAGGTTTTGACGTCTAGTGAGGTGAACAGTTGATCGGCAAGTGACATCTTTGTGTTACCCTGTAATGTTGGCAATTGTGAATTGGGTTTAAATGTATTGTTTTTTGTATGCAAAGCAATTATTCTAAATAAAATAGTTGTTACCAAATACAAAATAAATCTGAAGGGTACAAAAAAACTAAAACAAAATATGTCTATGTATATCTAGCGTTGACGGATCCGTCAAAATTAACTGTCACTTGTCGATATGGGGAATTTTGAAATATTACTAGATAATCAGCTGTCATTCTACCGTAATGGATACTCATGAAGAAGACTTTAAATAACTGGTAACCATCTCAAATACACCGAGGATTGGCCAAATACGCAATTTGAGGTTTAAACAAAATTTTAATACAGCAAGCATATATCTATCTTTTACTTATTGAACTACATCGAGAAATATTCCGCGCAGGGCTCTACAAATTTAATATAGGATGACATACAACCTATTTCACGAATATCCATCACGCTTTGGCGTCTACTGAGGTGGACAGCTGATCAGCAAGTGACATTTATGTATTAGTCTGCAACGTTGGGTATAATAAATCGGCTGTAAATCTAGCAAACATTTGTAACGTTTTGTTTTTTGTATGCAAATGAACGTTTCTAAATAAAAGAGCTTTTAGCAAGTACAAAATGAATATGTAGCGTACAAAAACCAAAACAAAATATGCCTCTATCTGGCATTGACGGATCCGTCAGAATTATGTTCTTTGCCGATATGGGGAATTTCGATCGAATGACAGCTGAATATCTAGTAATATCTCAAAATTCCTCATATCGGCACAGGACACATAATTCTGACAGATACGTCAACGCCAGATAGAGAGAGCCGTATTTTGTTTTGGATTCTGTACGCTACAGTTTCATTTTGTACTTGCTGACAGCTCTTTTATTTAGAAACGTTCAATTATTGCATACAAAAAACAAAATGCCACAATTTAGTTTTACTAGATTTATAGCCGATTCCTTATTGTCAACATTGCAGACTAACACAAAAATGCCACTTGCTGATCAGCTGTCCATCTCATTAGACGTCAAAGCGTGATGGATAGTCGTAAAATAGGGTATAAGAATAACTTCTGTTATTATAGGTGATATCACGGATTGTGTGATTTATGACTTCACGGAAACAGAAATTATTCTCAAAACCTGTTTGTAAACCAATATTACACGATTTAGTTTAGTAACAAAAGAAAGATGTATGCTTACAATTCAAATTCTTTTCTAACCTTAAACTGTGTAGTTGACCAATCAGCGGTATACTTAACATGATTCCCAAATTGAATCTACTAAAAAATTGTCTCTTGGAGTTTTTCGCTCAAATACACCACATGTGAAATATTTTCATTGGCCAATACGTATCAATTTATTCATCATTATCATATAATAATAATTAACATAAAAAACAAAAAAACTGATGTAAGACACTTTTGATTTGGTTGATATGATTGAGAAAAAGATACGTTTGCTAAAACCAGTTTTGTACAATTTCCGGCTATATATACATATATATATATATATATATATATATATATATATATATATATATATATATATATATATATATATATATATATATATATATAGGTGAAAAATTAAAGCTTCCGCCTTTTGTTGGGTACTTCGACAAGATTTAAGCAAAGAGGACTCTTTATACTTTTTTTTAATTCTCTCTAGCTTTCAATGGACTTTGCCATCATCATCAGGAGCTGCAATTACAATGATAACAGTAGCAACAAAGGTGTAAAATGAATTTAAATTGACTCAACTTACAGTAGTATGTGAGGATGTTGCTAATTGTTGTTTACGTATAGGATGAGGGAAACGTCCAGTAACATGGTGAGAGCTGAATAGATTGCACAATAGTCAAAATTTATACAAAACATGACAAGAACAAGTTAAAAACAGATTAAAAATTATTTAAAAAATTTAGAGCATTACATCGTGAAACCACCTGATGATTGCACAAATTAGTGGTCATGGGATGATGAGTTGATGAGTGACATGAAACCCTTTGACAGAATGTCACTCATCAACTCATCATCCCATGACCACTAATTTGTGCAATCATCAGGTGGTTTCACGATGTAATGCTCTAAATTTTTTAAATAATTTTTAATCTGTTTTTAACTTGTTCTTGTCATGTTTTGTATAAATTTTGACTATTGTGCAATCTATTCAGCTCTCACCATGTTACTGGACGTTTCCCTCATCCTATACGTAAACAACAATTAGCAACATCCTCACATACTACTGTAAGTTGAGTCAATTTAAATTCATTTTACACCTTTGTTGCTACTGTTATCATTGTAATTGCAGCTCCTGATGATGATGGCAAAGTCCATTGAAAGCTAGAGAGAATTAAAAAAAGTATAAAGAGTCCTCTTTGCTTAAATCTTGTCGAAGTACCCAACAAAAGGCGGAAGCTTTAATTTTTCACCTAACTGGTCTAGACGACAATGACCACGTCTCAAGTTATATATATATATATATGCACTTTATTTCAAATTTTCACATACTAAACTAGCCTTTAAATGTTAATGTCAATATTCTGTAGCTGACTGTATATTTGGAATAAAATAAATTAAGACAAGCTTTGGGAATTATTTAATTCATATAGTCATCTTCTATTTTATTTGAGATCGATGCGGTTACACATTCTTTGATTCTTCACTCTGAGCAGCATTGTGACGTGCCACTGACTGAGACTGCATGATGTATCAAATTTTCGGATCGCTTCCGTGAATGATTCTTCATCTCCTTTATAGATACTTTCCATGAGAGTTACGATCAATTGGTATTCCCTAGATATACAAGTTATTTATATTACTAAGACACACAGTAGACATTTATGGCTGGCAGACATGGCAAGGAACTTAAACCCCTTTTTCCACCCATTTTCAAATACTCATTGTCTCACGTAGATTTTCAACCTGTCAAAATTATTAGATAAAAAAATCAACAAAAATAATTTCAGTTATAAAATAGGCTCAGTATTGACTTGTAGAGAACGATAATTATTATAAATATTCAAAAATAGATAAAGGATTAAATAGTAATGACAAGTATGTACCCATCAGGCCAAATGAGCTCTACAAGAATACACACTCATTATTTACTGATTTTTTTATTATTACACCGAAAATAATGATTTTTCTCAGGTTAGTAGTGAAAAGTATAACTTGCGGCTAAGGGTCTTCGTACACTTTCCGATGCCAAGTAGACCAGGAATATAATTTTTGTGCCAAAAAAAACACATTGGAATTAACCGCCTCGTTACAACGACCTTACCTGCTATTTTCAAAAGCTGGATACATATCGATGTAAGTCTGAAGCTTGGGAATGAAATCAGTATCAGTACACAACAGACAAATAGCTGCTCGAAATAGATACTGTTTCGCGCTGTATTTCATCAAAGAGCTGGCCAAGTCAAAACACGCGATTTCTTGAAATATGTTGAGTGCCTTCAAAAAAATTATTGTTAGAAAAGAAACGACTTATACTTCCACCCCCGTATAGCTGTGATCTATAAAAAAGCATCAAGGATGTAGGGACGGGAAGTAAAATATCTCGAAAGGTGTTACTATATATTTGTTTTGCCTGCAGTGTTATTTCAAAAACATAGATAATTTATCTTGATCTTCTACTCATAAATAGATTTTTTTAACCTAATGTGTACCTTGTCGTAATCTTTTTCCAAAGCGGCATATTCTGCAACTTTCACAAGGCACTTATTGGCAGAGGAAAAATTGCATTCTTGCTTGAAAAGATCCGCAGCTTTTTCGTAATGTTGAATAGCTTCATTCAAATCGTAATCATCTTCCATTAATTCGGCGATGTTTTGATGAATTTTTGCCGCCATTAAAAACTTGCCTGCAATGGAATCGTTGATAACAATATTTTTATTTCAACTGCTGTATCGATCCTTTCAACCTATAAGATTCGTCTAGATTACTTGTTGCGCCTTCGCCAAATTAGGCAACCAAGGCTACACCATTATGTACCGCAGCTTACGAAGCTTTGAGAGCTATTGCGTTCCCGTCTGGGCGCGCTTGTGGCGCTATCTAGAAAGGTTAAGCCGATATTCAAGAATAACCGAGACCCGTCTAGACGCACCTACCGCCATCTACCAGCTTCAACGAGAAATCGAGTTTTTTTCTATAAAATGCTGGAGTCCATCGGGAGCTGTCGATTCACCACATAAATATCCGATCACATGGCGGAAGTAGTCATTCAGTGGACAGTCAATAGCGGGCGACAATTCACCACAGGAGGTGGAAGCGTAATCCAGTCAACATGGTTACATGTCATAAATTAGTACAAGTATTATAATTAGTGGGAACGTAATAAATTAGTCTTTGAGCTGTAAGAACTGGATGAACCGTTGATTATCAAGGTAAGTTCGCAAAGGAAGAAGGTACAAATGAAGAAATGGAGTAAATTATGATCAACTTTTAAGGTAAGCTCGCGCATTAACTTTTCTCAACGATAGTGTTCATATATCCTCATTTCATCCTTGTTGTTGTTTGTACTCGATTATCTTAGGACCTAGGTATTGCACTTTAGAAATAAATTAATGAAACCGGGATTCAAGCCACGAGATGTAATTAAGCGTAACACAAAAGACAATGAAGGTAACTGTGGGAGTTCCATAGGGCTCAGTCGGGAGGCCGTTGTTTTGGACCGTTTTGTACGATAGGGTTCTTTCCGGGAATTCCCTTGATAGGGTTTGTTGACGGTCTAGCGATGATAGTAAACTAGCAAGGAAAGAGGACCACTATAAAGGATTTTGGCTTATAGAATCACGAGGATTACCATAAGGGTGAAAGACAATCTATTGAAATTAGCTCCTGAGAAGATGGAAGTAGTTATATCTTCCGATAGACAGAAGCTAACTTCACTGGTCGTTAGGATTGGAAATACCGAGATTCGATGCCCCAATGCGTTTGAATATCTAGAAGTCTGAGTCGACAATTACATTAAAACGACTGTACACATAAGGCGCAACACTGATAAGGTGAATAGAGCCGTTGCATCCCTGATTCAGCTGTTATCATCCGATGGAAGGGAGGCACCAGTAGTGAGATGCGTAGGATCTTGGCTAGGGTAGCAAACTCGATTATACAGGGTGGCCCATAAGTCCTTTGAGCTGGAAAAAAAGGAATAAAACCAAACTAGTTACATTATGAAGAATTATTATATTTTTTTATCATCTTTATTGAATGGGAATTATGTTTTAAAAATCACATCGTCTAAATGCAATCCATTACGATCACGGCACTCATATAAACGACGTCTAAAATTGTCGATGACTGCGCGGCAAGTCAACACTGTAATGCTTGCCATTTCTCTTCGGATATTTTCTTTCAGGACATCAACTGATCGCGGAGTGGTGTCGTACACTTTACTCTTGAGGTAGCCCCATAAAAAGAAGTCCATTGGGGTCAAATCTGGACTACGTGGTGGCCAGGAAATGTCTCCTCTTCGAGAAAGTACTTTGCTGGGAAAAAGTTGACAGACGACGGGCATAGAAGTGTTGGAGGTGTGGGCAGTTGCTACGTCCTGTTGAAACCAGGTCTGCGTATTATAGCCTGGAAAATTCTGCAACGCTGGTGTCAAAAACTCTTCTGTCATTGCTACATACCGCTCCGAAGTAACAGTTAATGCGCGACCTCTGTCGTCCTCAAAAAAATAAGGGCCTACGATGCCATGCGCTGACATAGCAGCCCAAACTGTAACTTTAGGGCTGTGTAAGGGCTTCTGATGCTTACGCCTTGGATTTTCGGGGCTCCAATAACGGCAATTTTGTTTATTTACATGCCCGTTTAAATGGAAGTGAGCCTCGTCCGAGAACAACACATTATTGAGCGAAGAAAATCGATTCAACATTTCATTCGCAAAGTTTAGTCTCTGAATAGCGTCATTATCTTTTAATTCCTGCACTAACTGAATTTTGTAAGCGTGCAGACGTAAATCTTTCCTTAAAATCCGCTGTAAAGATGTTCTGGGTACGTTTAATGCACTGGAACGCTTACGAGTAGACTGGGTAGGATTTTGACGAACAGACTGTGCCACAATGTTGATGTTTTCTTCAATACGAGTTGTCCTTGGTCGACCCCACCGCTGTTTATCTAACGTCGAACCAGTCTCTTCGAACTTAGCAACCCAGTTCTTAATCGTTTGAGCTGTTGGACACTTTGTAAAATTGTGTAAATTGTGGTATTCTCGATATTTACGCCGCGCAATGGTTGCCGAATCATTATTTTGATAAAACGCGCGCACACAAAAAGCACGATCCGCTCCAGTGAAACACTCCATGGCGACTGAATTCCCAGACACTGAAGATACTGCCCCCACCTCGCCCGCGCCGCTCACGCTCACCCGTTAAATTTTATTCAAATTTGAAATTTCAAAGGACTTATGGACCACCCTGTACTATATGAAACCCCTTTACAGGGTGTCCGCAAAGTTGGAATGTTACTTTACACGACGAATAGGTATTGAAAACATAAGGGGGGTCTTAAGATAGCCGGAAGATTAGGCTCCGCAGAATCATTCAAACGACATTATAACGACAAACGAATTTGCAATGTCAACACAACTTTTTTGTATGTCTCCGAGGAGATTTTCTTACTATAAATCTAGACAACAAATAAATGTTTTGTGAACAGAGAAAAATAATGAAAATAAGTTATTGTTATAATATTTAAGTAGAAAATCAGTACAAATTGATAGAAGTACAAAAAATGACGAATTAATCTAAGAAATCAGGTGTTTTTGATTTTCTAAAAAAATCGTGATTTTTTGCAACACTGGTATGCCGCATTCTGGAGAATCTCACACTTCGGGCAGAAAAGACCAACAGGACAGTTCTGTCGAGCTTTTCTGCCTGAGAGAGTGCCTGTAAAAGCTTTCCCTTTCCAAAAAAAACCTACTCTCAACTTCTCCAGTGTGAAATTGGCCTACCTCCCGAACTATAACCGTCCGCTCCCCGTTAATGTCTTCATCAACGCCAGCGTTGATGCAGATGCCCAACGCTGCGTGCCAGCTCCAGCAAGCGCGTTTAACCCGTTGACATTGAATCAACGGTGTGTCAACCACCACCAACGGTGTCTCGCGTCTCGCCGCGCTGATCAAGGGATGGATGCACGATGCTGAATGCTATCTCGTGTGTGAAATTCAGGATATCGATTATGTATTTTTAACTTGCCCCTTTTCCCCGTATATGTTATGAGCTAACAGAAATTTGTTAGTTTTTGCCAACACCCAACAGGTCGTTTTGAACAATTTTGACGAAAGTAGTGAAGAAATGTTCGTACGCAAGACGTTGTTCTAGTGAAATTTACGTGCGCTTTTGTGGTGTTTTGGATCAACTTGATGGAATAGCAGGAAATCGAAAAATTTCAAATGTTATCAGGAATTAATAGGTAAGGTATAGAAGACTTTTGATCGTACAAGACGTCAGGTGAATTAAGATTGAGCTATCAAAAACTTGGTTTTTGCGTCAAGGAAGCTTTCTTAGAGGAACTTGTGACCCAATGTGTCATATTTGGACGCGAGAGGTTCTTGTAGTGAGGTTGCCAAGCATTTTTTATCTTTCTGAGAAGTTTCTGGACACTGTGTTGTAGTTACAGGAAATCGAGGAATATGAAATGTTATCAGAAGATAATATGTAGAGTTTAACGCTATAGAAGATTTATGTTCGTAAAGGACTTCAGAGGAGCTACCAGGAACTAGTTAGTTTTGGCTCAAGGGGATCTTTCTTAGACAAAGTTGTGAGCAAATGTGTAATATTTTGATCAGAGAGTTTACTGTAGTGAGGTGGCCACGCGGCTTTCCGCTCTTTCAGGGAAGTTTCGGGAGATTTTTTTGTATTAACCGGAAATCGAGGAATATGAATCAGAAGAGAATAGGCAAGGTTTAGCGCTATAGGAGATTTCTGTTTGTAAAAGACCTCAGCTGAGTTCAGGTTGAGCTACCAGGAACTTGTTAGTCTTTGCCTCAAGGGCCTCTTTTTTAGATAAAGTTGTGACCAAATGCGAAAATAGTGTGGATGCTGGAGTTTCTTGTAGTAAGGTTTCTTTGCGGATTTTTGCTCTTTTGGAGAGGTAGTTGACCCAGGTCATATTCCACAAAACTGCACATGAGGTTTACTGATGAAAAATAATTTTGTTACCACACAACTTGTTTCGCTATGGTCAACATCGACTCATTCTTATTGGCAAACCGTTTACACTTGATTCATGGCCTTATCAAAGTTATACTGTTAAGGTGCACGTCCACTAAGGGGAAGAGAAGAGATGCGAAATTGTCCCACTGGGCAGGACTGCCAGACGTACGAGAAACCTAGTACATGAACTAGATTTTTAGTTTCTGTACGAGATAAAAGATTAATATAATATAAATCTCGTACACTTTTGTATGATATTTTCAAAATGACAACTGCGCACCCCCTGCCGGTTGGCCAATAGCTGGTTTGTCAAACATAACCACGTCAAAGACTCTCAACGAGATGAGAGTGTTGCTATTCCATTCTTTAATACTCTAATACCGATTTTTTTAAAACGATATCAATACAGACCATTTATTGCCTTTCTCTATCTACAAAAATACATCATCATTAAGTAAATGTTGATATTACGGAATCATATCAATTCCAAGTATTCCCACTTTATACTTCGTAATTCATCATACTACTACAGAATAGCAGAGCACTGGTTTCAATTTTTACAAGTTTGTAATGTGTCAAATCAAGCAAACGACCCTCCTTCCCGCGTCCATAGGCTCCACCCGAACTGAAGTTCTATACACGCCACTGTGTACGAGATCTTGAACAGAATGTACGAGAAGTTTAGCATCTCGGGTACGAGAAACAGATCTTGGCGTCTGGCAACCCTGGCACTGGGTACCTTTACGTATAATCAAATAAAAGCCAGCTCACTGGACAAGGCCGTACCCAGCTCAAAAAGCTTAAAAAAATGTTTGGTGGAAGTTCATATCTTTCTTTCTTTCTATTTGAATTTTACTTATATAGAGTCTTCCACGACGCTTTTACGATTCATATGGATATAGAAAACTACTAGGATTGCTTTTTTGAAACATTCAAGCAATATTGCGCGAGGTATGCTTTTTAAGTAATAATTTAGTCGTTTGGAATACTTGAAATCAACACTTGAGATAGTATATGACATAGCAAAAAATAGTTTTATAGAATATGTACCTAGTTTGTTTTAGAATGATTTGAAAAAAAAAATGCCATATTTTCACCCGTGTGATCTACGAAATGGTAAGAGATACGGGTCGGTTGAATGGTGGCAAAATTGCGTATTTATTTATTTTAGAAAATGCATTTGGAAAGCTTTGACGCTTTCAATAACTCCGGAGATGCACGAAGAATGGAATGTTCTCAAAACAAAACTAAAACCAGGAAAAAATAAAAACTGAAATACCCTCAATTTCCAAACTATCCAAGTTCCATTTTTTATTTACCTAAGCAACTTGTCCCCACAAAGTACCCCGCGTCATTAAGGCGATTGTCACAAGATGTAATTTATATTGACCGTGAACCTTGGACGTCAGTAATTATCGATGCATATTTTTCGCAGAAATTCTCTGGTGGTACGGACCACAGTAAATACTGATTGTGTGACGATCGTGCTTTTACCAAAATTTATATCTAACATTGCAGCTCGTCCTCAGTGGACTTGCAGCTTTACAGGATCTGGACCTATAAATCCAGACATCGTGAAAAGGAAGCTCTATACCCCGTTTGTAGTCTATTTACGCCCCGGCACAACAAATATGCAGCGCGGAAAAGCGGCAGCCGCCTAAACGTTGCAATATCTATTGGACATTCGGCCATTAAACTACGAACAAGTGCAGGATTCGACAGGATGGAACTCAGGCTCGGGGTATCGTCGGCAGTTGCTGTTCATATTCGGTGCATACATAGCGTTTATTTATACGTTAGCATGTCGTCTACGGATACAGCAGATGGAACTGAGAATATTTATCCAAATGCTTCCTTCGGCCATGCTTCCTCTTCGGTGATGTCTGCTCCCCGACAGAAGAAGGGGCATTTGAATATTCTAGCAAAATAAATTATCCTTGACGTTGAAGAAACGCTTCCAAAGCTTGACGACTATGCCGTCACTGTACTTGATACTGCTGCATACCACACAAGAAAACTAGGAAAAATTCCCACAATGTCCACAAGAAAGGCAGAAATTCAACAATGGCTCCTATCAGAAGACATTAGTTTCAATGGAAATATGGTCAAAGCAGAACTAATCCATCTAGTCAGGCAGCACAAATATAAATATAATCTTAATGTTATTGACGAAATAGCTAAAAACCAAAATGAGACCGTTTTTAGGCTACCCCCTTATCACTGCGAATTAAATCCCAATGTAATAATAAATATAAAAATCTATGTAGCTTCAAACAATAGAAGATTCAAATTTTTGACGTGAAAAATTTGTTTTATGAAGCTGTCAACAGACAAAGATGTGGGATCTGGACAACATTCAAATTGAATATTAACCACTCGGGCGATGATTCAAGTACTTCCAGCGAATAAAGTATTGTGAAAAGTATGTGCACTTCTTTATATAAAAATAATCATTTATTTTGTTAGATTATTCCAAGACCATTGAGCGAAATACGGAACTGTACACTCTCGCTTTTGGGCATCTTGTGTTTTGTCTAAGCGTGAATGGACCACGAATGTATAGATCGGAATACCAACCTTTCTCCTGGTACAACTCGATAGCCTTCGTGTACAGATCAATCGCTTTGACCATGTCGCACTTTTTGAAGCACACTGCTGCTTCAACATAGTTGATCGCAGCTTCAGCTTCATTGTTGTTTCTCAAGCACTGATCTGCGGCATCTTCAAACGCATGTCCAGCCTGACTCCAGTTCTTCGACATCTTGAATAAGTTAGCTGCCCGCATATAGTACTCTATCGATTCTTCTATCCGCTCTGAGGACTTTGTGAACAGGTTCTTTAAAGTGAAACGTAAAAACTGAGGTTTATCTCAGAAATAGTGCTTTTCTATACGTTTTATAAAAAATCATCCAAAGGTTTGTTCCTGCAGTGGTCTGTTACTGTATCCGGTCGAGATCTTCGACACGATCACTGACAGGTTGGCGACTGCTGTACGAGCAGGGCTTATAGCACGGTTTTCGCTTAAAAAATAAAACCATTATTTGCATGATCATAACAATATCGATAATATGACGATATTACTTTGCAGGGAAGATTTTATTTTTTTACGTGAAAACTGCATTGGACTAAAAAAATTCTCTGCTCATAAATGAATACAGTTTTCTTTTTTTTTTATTTTAAGATTAGTCAGTGGCGTTCCAAATGATTTATTTCTCTCAAAACTTAAGACGTTTAGGACATACGCTCATTTGAAGTTTTCTTCCTAAAGTGGACTCAAAACCGTCCCCTTAACAAACACAAACATGCTGTATGTGGTACCATTAACCGCCAGAAATTATGGGGAATTATCAGATGTTTTCTTTTCAGTTTTGCCGTCTGCTCACTGTTTTACTGCCTACACCACTGGGCGAGGAGGTATTGTAATCGAGAAAAATTTCTAAAATGAGGTATTATGGTTTTTGGATGTTATATGACATGTCATGAAAAACCATGCCACTCCTTTATTTCCGTCGGTATGTCTGTCTGTCGGTCTATCTGTCCGCTAATCGTTGGATTGTCTATAACTTCGGAAGTAACGCTCGCACTTGGATTAAATTTTCACACAGGGTAACTACTATGCCAAGGATGAAACGTATTTGTAGTTTTGGAAATCGATCCAGTACAAGCGGAGCTAGGAGCTAATATACTAAGTGACATATAAATCCGAACACCCAGTTTGAATGGTTTTATTTTAATAAAATTTTGTATAAGTACTTAATGAAGCATAATAAGTAAATGATAAAAATTTCAAAATGATTGCACTGCTTTAAAGCCCTTTGACCTTTAATAATGTGTGGATGCACCCTGATGTGCTACGCATTCTCCAACGCGCCTAGGCATGCTTCTGATCAGGTCGTCAATGTCCTCCTGTGGTATCTCATTCCAGGCAACCACCAACTCCTCTCGAAGTGCTTCTAGAGTCTGAGGAGGACGTTGCAAATTGAGCAATCTCCTACCCATCATATCCCACACGTGCTCAATTGGGGATAAGTCGGGAGATCTTGGTGGCCATGGTAACAACGTGACATCATTATGTTGAAAGAAGTCTATTATGACTCTTGCAACATGTGGTCGGGCATTATCTTGTTGGAAAGTTGGATCTGCCAGGGTGTCAAGAAAGGGTAAAAGATGGGGTTCTAGAACTTCGTGGATATAACGCTGCGCGTTCATGTTACCTCTGATGAAGATTAAAGGTGACCTGGAACCATAAGCTATAGCACCCCAAACCATAACTCCAACAGTGTGATGAACATGTCTTTCAACAAAAAACTGTGGATTCCTCCTTTCACCACGTCGCCTTCTAACCCTGGCACGACCATCGTGCATGCCTAAACAAAATCGAGACTCGTCACTAAAGACAATACTGTTCCATTCCTGATCCCAGAGTGACCGTTGTCTGCACCACTCAAGGCGATTACGCCGGTGTTCTCGAGTTAAAGGGAGGACCCAGTGTGGCCGGTATGAAAACAAGCCAAAACTTCTCATTCGTCGGTAAACACTTCGCATGCCATTAGGTCTTCCGTGTTCTGCAAACCATTCATTTGCAATGGACCTGGTAGTGGAGAAACGGTCCCTTAAGGCCAATAATCTTAGGCGGCGATCTTCACGGTCTGTTGTTCTACGGCGGCGTCCAGTGCCCCTTGCTCTTTGCGTACGGCCTTCTCGAAGCCATGCCTGACAACACCTAACCACAGTGTCTACACTTCTTTGCACTCTAACTGCAATTGCCCGAAAAGAAAGTCCAGCTTCCCGAAGTCCCACTATACGGCCCCTATCAAACTCACTAAGTTGACGAAATCGTACAGGTCTCCGTACTCTAGGCATCGTAACCGATCGAAAGGATGTCAAGAACCAAAATCCGCCAACGTTGATTCTTTACTGCGGCTGAAATATTCATTTTTAGAGCGTTAGTGAATTAAAAAAAAGCAGTATAAAAACCGGAATGTCCAACTGATAAGGCTGAAAATTTTTTCACTTGTTATTTACAGTAAGATAAATACATTCACCAACTTTTATTAAAATAAAACCATTTAAACTGGGTGTTCGGATTTATATGTCACTTAGTATACATAGAAAAATAAAAATACGTCAAACTTCGTTCTTTGAGGTTTTAGATGCTACTGATCATTTTCAGATTGATTTTTGTAGGAATTGAAATCCAGATTTTGTAGGAGGAGGAATTTTTATTGCCGTTAGTATATTTATATGCTCTCAGTCCCGGTAGTTCTATGCAGGTATTAGCCATATTTCATACATCATATATTCCCCCATACATTTGCTCTTAAAACTTGACCGATAACTTACAGCAGCGGTGCTGCAGTGGGTGCTGCCGCACAGATGTGGACAAGGAAAAGGTTGCCATATGGGCAGTAACTACCGGTACGGCAGGAAAAGAATGTCTATGGACTAATTGTATGGGCCTGTCTGAGTGACTTGATCCGTTTGATTTCCCTGTTGTACATATTTCTCAGAGGATTTAAACTGTGCTGAACCAAATCCTTTATCAACTGATGACGCCGTTGCGTAGGAAGTTCAGAGTCAACCTACTTGACGCCATTTATTCCTTACTTCTACTGCTTGTACCAAATCCAAACCCGGTTTTCAAATGATTGGCGTCTCTAGAGGCCAGTATACTCCCAAAATGCGCAGTACGCCTCAGCACACCTTTATTTTGGACGTTGTTTAGAACAGGTTGTAAAAAGTTTGTACTAAATTTGTTTATACAAAATTATATACTAAATGCTACCTGACCCTATCCTTAGATTCATACAAAATTTAGCATACTACATTCAGCAAAAATTTCAACTAGTAGCAGACAACCTCTCTATCAACTCTCGTTTGAAAATTCAAGCTATACTATATGTACGGCAGCGTTGTGATTTGTGTTTAAAACTTGCGAATCGATCTCAATTATGTTTTGAATATGCGTTGAACTCATTTACTATGTTACCCTTTCATATTTATCATGCCATTAATGTGCACAGCTGTATTAATCTACATCTATCGATTTGCGAGTGCCTATGTGCTCATGTTTTGGTTGATTATACAGGCCGACAAGATTTTTATCCATAAACCAGAGTACGAGGTCTGTAAATTAAGTAAAGGAGACAGGGAAACATGTGATCCGCGTTCAGTACAAGTTTGAACTTGCTCGAGTCATTTGATTGTCACTGGCGGTTTTTTGTGAAATGTGTGAAATTAAAATGAAAATTCCAGTGCCATATCTCAGCAAGAGAAAAATATATTTAAGCAATGTCAACGACATTTAAAAGGGTAAGGCTACACATCCTGGCAATCGCTAGTTTTGCACTTTGAGGTTAGGATCTCTGAAACTATACTCGAGTACCGAAAAGGAAAAGAGCAAATCACATCACACGCCCAAGCTACCGCGGTATCTCTTTACATATGGCGGCATACCCGCGCGTCGACTTGAGAAGAGATAAACATTCTGCTTAAAGTTTCGAAAAATTAGTAGTGCGTTGTACTTTTGTAGCCTATCGTTTGTAAGCTAAGTGACAAAAAACGCATAACGGAAAAAATGGTAGGCAAAAAGGATTATGATATTCTTAGAGCAGAAAAAATATTTCCTGCATCACTTATGTAGAAATATTTGGGTAGAATATGCACTCAACGATAAAATGTCGAATTATAAAAGTAAATTGAGGGATTACCCTGAAGAATCCTCCAGAACTCAGCTTCTTCTCAGCTTCCTGCATCAATTGATGCGCCTTGGTTTCAATATGAGACATTTTCACGAAGTTTGCGACCAATTTTCTTCGATTTCCAGTAATATGACAGACAGATGGAGAAACGTCAAACGCCGGGTAGCTAAGTCGGAAAGCTTTAGTAATTTGTCTTAAGTTGCAAGAATGTCGTCGGACTCGAAGGTGGGACTCGACAAGAAGGAGAGCAGAGAAGGAGTCAGAGGAGTCAGAATAGGAAAGACACTCTCTGCTAGAGGAACAGGAACGGAAAGCAAGGATAACTCATCGCCGTCGTCAACATTTTTGGTGAGTACTATAGGGACCAGATTATAAGAGCTCAAAATTGGGCTGCGCAAACCCGAAAGACACTTTCAACTAAGAGCAAAGGTCCCCCGACAAGGGTATTACGTATTGAAAAGTGGCATTATGTCGGTTTTTTGACATTATACGACGTTTGTTCAAAAAGTATCGCAAATTTTGAATTTTCGCGGGCTACGTATGTTCGATTTTCGATCTTTTTGTGGCGTTATGTTGGTACTCATGACCCTCACTAAGGCCCGTATCGTCAGTCGCCCCTACAATTGTAGGGCGCCTTTATGGCTTCCTTGATTGTCATAGTTTTCTACTTCTCCGTGTCAGAACTCTATTTTGAGGTTATGTCACAAACATCTATTTGCATCAAATTGTGCTTGCTTTTGAGTTATATCATGTTTTATCAGCCTGAAATTTCCTACTATTTAAAAGGAAAACAAATCTTTATGACCTCCTTGATTGTCATCCTGCCTTTGTCTCCTTCAAAAATTTCTAGATTACACTTGTCCCGTGTCAGCTTCAGCGCTCTCCTATTGTGATGATATGTTTTCTTTTTAAATTGTAGGAAATTTCAGGCTGATAAAACATGATATAACTCAAAAGCAAGCACAATTTGCTGCAAAAAGATGTTTGTAACATAATCTCAAAATAGAGTTCTGACACGGAGAAGCAGAAAACTATGACAATCAAGGAGGCCATAAAGGCGCCCTACAATTGAAGGGACGGCTGACGATACGGGCCTAATGTTGGCAATATCGGCCATTTTGAATGTTCAGTCAGTTTTTGACAGCTATTGTGCGTGGACTAATGTTTGAGCTTGTCTCCGATTTTTGTCTATTCCAAAAAACGGATCGAAGAATTTGTATTAAATTTTGTGTAAAAAACAACTTGAAGTGCGCGGACCTATTCCAAATGTTGACTGTTGCATAGGACGAAGCTAATTTGGCCAAAAGTAACGTTTATCGGTGGTAAAAAATGTTCTCAGAGGGCCGAGAAGATGTGAGCGACGAAAAGCGTTCCGGACGCCCGACAGACGAAAACGTTGATGAGTTCTTGCCGCAGGGTAGAACGGTCAGTAGGAAATATTACCTTCAAGTAATGCGCAATTTACGAGAGGCAATCCGCCAGAAAAGCCCGGATTCGTGGAAGAACAAAAATTGGCTTTTGCACCATGATAACGCTCCTGCTCATGCATCGTTACTTGTACGCGAATTTTTGGCAAAAAATGTAATGCCTACCCACCATATTCCCCAGACCTGGCCCCCTGTGACCTTTTCTTGATCCCGAAAGTGAAGAGGCCCATGAAAGGACGACGCTACACCACGATTGAGGAGATAAAGACGACATCGACGACCCAGGGGAGACAGGACAGCAGTGCTGTAACGACCAGGATGCGTGGTCAAAAAGAGGTCCAGCGGGCTACTGGCGCGTGACGAAACGCAGGGGAAAAAATAGGTCTCGTCACCAGAGTCGTTGGGTAATGGCGAAAGCTTCAACAGTAAGACCTGCTGAATCGGCCTTGTTTGAGCCCAGCCAGAGCTCAATCAATATGGACATTGAAATCACCTTGGACAACTACCTCAGAAGCAGGGTCATTGACATTCAAAAAGTCAAACTTCACAGCTAGGTAGTCAAGTAGGCTCTCCCAGTTATGGTCCGAGGGAGAGCGATAGAGGCTGTAAATAAATTTGTGTGTTGGTCTGGAGTTGAGCTGAAGCCACAAAATGTCCTTCCCGCCTGAATCCAAAGAAACGCATCTGGAGCAGAAAATACTGCTGCGGAAAAAGGCCATATCTATCCAGTTTTTCCTCAGATTGAAGTTCACCTCGAAGTTTGGAAAGTTAAGATGTTTAGTCGCAGCAGAATCGGAAATTTTGGTCTCCGCTAAGAAAAACATGGCGGGACCATCAGACTGCAGATAGTGGTGAACAGCATCCATATTACTGTTAACCCCGAAGATGTTCGTGAAGGAGATTTTATTATCGACGTTGTTCTGTCGAAGATACAATTTTTGTTCGATTTCAAAATTATAACTTCAATACCCTGTATTTTGTTAAAGGGCATTTTGTTGTGTTTTGTATTATTGTTACTCTACATTATGCCCTAGAAACAGTGCCACTGTTTTCTGAATCACCCTGTCATTTTTTAATTTCGTTACAAATTGTCATAACAATTGGCGAACATCCAATTTAGTTGATAAATCTTCTTATTTAACCTTTAACCAACGCAAACGACAAGGTTTCAGAAAAATCCATTCAGTTGGACCGGGCTCCGAGGTTGTGAAATTTTGATGTCTTACGGCGCTCCAATAGATTTTCGATCACCGACTGAAAATTTTCCTGTGATTTTAGGGATCTTACTCGCCTTTTATAGGTCACCCTCCAAAAATAACCCTATTAAATCAGCAAGAGGAAAATCTGCTGTAGCAATACGATCCCAAATCAGATTTTTATTGGAAAACAAAATTTATTAGAACTAGTATCAGATTGATGTCGGGCACGTCGACCTTTATACCAAACAGTTGTTAGTGCATTTTTGCTTTCTGATATGTCCTGTGTGCAAGCATGTGTATGTATGTTAAATAGATGTACTCGAAAGGAAAAAAGCGCAGTAAGTCGCGGTTTTTTGCGATGAGACCGAGTCGTGTGTGCGCGAGATTGCAGTTGCGAAACGGCAGTGCCTTTTACGTTCCACCGTTTGACGAGTGTTACATTTTTTCCTATCGTAAATCACCTGTGCGATCGAATCTATCTGCACCGAGCTGCATTTTTCTATAAATGCCAGCATTGCACCGCGAGAAATTACCACAGTGTAGGGTCAATCACCATGAATTTATCCAATTTATATTACCAACCACTTATCAACTAACTCGAGAATTGTAGTGTGAATCGCTGTAAATGGCAACACTGGCTCCGTGCTGCCTGTCCCACGATATGTGTGATATGGTACAGTGGGGTATCTTCCGTTTGGTGGCTCTATTCTATGATTTCGAATCCAGTTCCGAAACCGATTCCGTCGATTTATTTTAGTCCATATTCCTTTCGATTCCAGAATTCCACGAGATACCATCGATGTTAATGAACGCCGACATCGGATTAGGAATTTATTATCGGTTCCGTAAATCGATGGTTTCGACACCATTTAAAAAGGAGGGGCGATATTGCCTCCCCCCTCCCCCCGCTCCCGCTCAAGACGCCCGATGATCCTGTCAATTTTCTCAAGAAAATGGTTCTTCAATTAAATCCTGCCTCGAAATGATGTGCATGATCCTGATTTACGGTCTCTAGGCAACACTTCTTCCGATATTTTTTAAAATATGTCCTTCACACACAATGTCTCTAAGATATTCAGGGTGTCCCAGAAGTCGACGTCAAGTTAGAAACGGGGGATAGGCCAAGTCGTGATAGTTATCAGAAAAATATTAAATAGAATCTGCGTGTTTGTTTGTTTATTTTGACCAGTTAGATTAGATATTGGCACGTCAAAAGTGAAATAAATAATTACAAATGATAAATACAGTGTAAAATATAAATAACAATAAACAGTACATAAAGAAATTTAAAAAATACGTTAAACTTCCTTCGACATTAACAACGAAAATACAAAGGAAAAAATTACACACAATTAGAGAAGCAGCTACAGCTATAATATGCTTTAGTCAGAAGCAGTTCAGTAATTATTTTCTTATATAAACAATTCGCAGGAACTGATTTAATGATAATAGGCAATTTATTGTAATATGCAATACAGTTCAAGATGGATTTCGAATTTGGCTGTTCTGTGCATTGATGTACTTTTCAAATTATAGGCCTTTGATGATCTTTTAGTTCGCATTTTCTTAGACGGAGTGACGGTCAGTGGCATTCTAGGTAGTGTCAGCAAGAGAGATAGTAACGTCACTTTTATTAGTTCGTGAATGTATTTGTTAAATTCACAATAAATGTTCAAACTGCATTCCTTTAACAGCAATGCAAGCTTGACATCTTAAAAATGATCGGGTTATCACAGTGGTGAATCTCATTAAAATTCAACTGCTTCCGTTATTCTGTCCCGCACGGCTATTATGTAAAAAACCTAAACGTCAAAAAAAAACATCAAAATGTCATTTTACTGACTAGGTAGTTTTTAGGGTGCGAATAGTTCATTCCACGTTTATTCGCTATGATCGCTTTGAGTGACCATCTATGGAGGAATGATTCAACTGCGTGCATTGTTGGTTGCAGAAAGCAAGCATATGTTATGTGTTTATCTCTGAGAAGATGTGACAGACAGAAAGTTCGTTGAGTCGCAAGATCGCATCTGGATGATTATGTGAGATTTGCTATGTGAGAAAATTATTACTGAATATGCTGCAAATGAAGTATATCTATTGGCTGTGCCCGACTAGTTATTTAAATGTTGTCCTTTCTAAAGGCATATTATGTTCAAAGTTATAAATTACGATTTGACAGAAAATTAGGAATGTCGCAGCATCACACTTTAACATTTTCGCAGTGCCTCACACCTAGGCGCTGATTTATATTTTCTATTGACATCGCAAGATAAATTTCTATAAAATTTAAATGACTGAAAATGAAAAATTATGTAGTAACCTTTTCACTTTCATAAATATTCCTGTCTGTAGCATATTTTCTCACCTGTTAGTTCACCAACAAGGGATTTTTTTTTTGCTTATCTCTCTCATTTTTGAAATTCAGCAAATTTGTATATGTAATTTCCAGAATGAATAAGAAAAGGTGGATGCGCCGCTAATTTCTAACTTTGAATCTCAAGTAAGTGTATTTGAGACAAGAAACCAATGGAATTATCATCAACTCTCAACCTCACTATGCATCTATGCACTGCCATTTCCTTCCAGCTATAGTATATAACTCCAGCTTAGATCTCCAATAATGCCATGTCTGAAGCAGATGTTACATCACATCAAAGTCAAACATTGATAACTGAAGCACCATGATGTTTAGACAACACATACAACTACAAAACGAGTCCACAACAAGTGTACATCAGGTAGTGCTAATATCTTGTAGAAAAACCTAGGTTATGTCAAGATAACGTAGGTTATGTTAAAAAAAACTACCTAATGTGAGTTTTCAAGATACGTAATAGCCGTGCTTGCTTGTATTTGACGTACTGAAGTCTCGGGTCTTTTTCGACTTGGTGATCGAGATGACGAGTAGCATCTACATTCCCCTCCCCATAAATGAAGTGCATGTTGTGGCATAATCATGAATGAATGAAGGCAGCGTTACTATCTGTCTTGCTGTCACTTCGTAGAATGACATTGTCCGTCAGTCCGTCTAAGAAAAAATGAAATTTGAAGTAATTGGAACTAAAAGATCATCACAAGGTGTAGGTTTTTCAGACCTTTCTGATTTTTTCAAACCTATAATTTGGGAAGTACACGACTTAGATTTTTTCTTTTATTTTTCTGGTAACTATTATGACTTTATCTATCCCCGTTTCCGACTTGACGTCGGCTTCTAGAACATCCTGAATAATAACACACCGATACTTTAAAAGCACATGGTTCAAGAAAATTCAAGCTTAGCTTTAAGAATTACTTTTGCCAATCTGACGTCTTCAAATAATATAATAATAATTTTTATTACAAAGTTTTCCTATAAATAATAACGGCAATGTCCAATAAACATAATAAACCCAAAAAACTGTACACTTGTGTTTGGCTTTTAACCGATGTTGAGTTATATTAATACAACAAATTTTCTTTAAGTATACTAGTCAAATGAATAAATTTGCATCATTTCATGATCAAATAACATATAGGTTTTTACTGTCAACAAACTTATGGATTTGTAGCCTTGGTTGATTTAGGATACATGATTTTAATTCAATTTTTAAATGTTTTTTCATTTTATATGTTTAAGGTTTGCAGGAATAACATTATAAAATTTTGAGCATAGAAAATAGAATGATCTGTGGCTGATAGTTTTATTAAGTCTAGGAATTAGTGCAGAGGTTTCCTTGAATCGCGTTTGATGGTTGTAGCTGATAGAAAGTAACAATTTTGGATTTTTTGTTAAATATATTATTGTATTATAAAAATAAATTTGCCGGCAGTCGAAAAGCTGAGATTAATTGTAAAGATTTTCTGAAGGATAACATTTCTTTTTGTTCAACATAACTTTCAAAATCCACTTCTGCGTAATTTCAATCTTTTTATAATAATTATTCATGTCTCCCCCCATGCTAAGACTCCATAAGATAGTAATGATTGAACAAGGGCATGATATATCATGTGTAGATATTTTTCGCGTAAAAAACTGCTGAAATATTTGACTTTCGGAATAAGGTATCTTAATTTTCTTACTAAATGTTCAATATGTTTATTCCATCTTAGATTATTATATATGAATACCCCTAGGTATTTGAAATTATCAACCGATTGTATGTTTCTACAGCTATTCAACGTTTTAATTTGGAGTTGATTAAAATTTGGGGAAGATCTGTTGTCGCAAGAAAATGTAATATAGTATGTTTTGTTGAAATTGACTGTTAAAATCCTTTCCGTGAAAAAATGTGTAACCTTTTGAAAATCTAATACAGTTTTCTTTTTTAAAGAAGTTCAATCTTTGTCTGAGTAAATAATTGCCGTATCATCTGCGAAACCAATAATTTCTCCATTGTTTTTTAATTTAAAAAGATCATTAATATATAAATTAAACAGCATTGGACCTGATATCTAATCCTCTGACATTTGATTTCAATAGTCTCTCAGTAATAATAAGTCTCTTTATATTTCTGTGTTCCCAAATGATGGTTTTAACAATGTTCATCATCACTTTTTCTGATATTAGTAGATTTATACGCTCCCAGCTGCATATACAGGGTGGGCCAAAAGAAGCTGACCTATTTTAAACTTTAATAAATTTTTTATGTATTAATATTTTTTAATGTAGTTTTTACAAAAATAAAATATATTTATTGGAGTTTTTTTTGTATTAAGTATGAAAAATAATGTGACGGCCATTTTCTCTTTCACACACAACATTCCTTTCCATAACTACCTCCAATGTTTCCCGATTTATGGCTCGAATTTCCATTATGATATTGTCCATAAGTTGTCTTAAGGTTCGAGGTTTATTGCGATAAACTCTTTCTTTCAAATATCCCCATAGATAAAAAACTGGCGCGGTTAAATCAGGGGAACGTGGGGGATATTCAATTGCCGATCTTTTTGAAATCAGACGTTCTCCAAAGAAGCCTCTTAGCAATGCCATTGTGGCTCCAGCTGTATGAGCTGTGGCTCCATCTTGTTGGAACCACATATCAGGTCTATTTTCAAGCGCTGGAATCAAAAACCGCAGTTCCATCGTCATTTTGAACGAAATAAGACCCAATAATACCCTGGGTGGTAACACCACACCAAACCGTACATTTAATGGGGTGTACCTAATTCTCTCTCATGTACAGCCCTTGGATTTTGCCTTCCCTAAATTCTTGCATTTTACGTATTCACAAAACCATTCAAATGAAAATGCGCCTCATCAGTCATTATTAGACGATTTAAAAAAATTTCTTCCTCTCTAACCAATTGCTGAAAACGAATGGCAGAATTTAGTCGTTGTGCATAATCTTGTGGTCGTAAGTGCTGAACCATTTGAATTTTGTAAGGAAACATCCGCAAATGTTTCAAAATTCTTCTGAGGGATGAACTGGAGAGGCCTAATTGAGTTGACCTTCTTCTGGTCGATGTTTCGGAGTCCTCCTGAACACTTTCCTCTACTCTCTCCATTTTTTCTCCAGTAAAAGCTAAACGTAGTCGTCCAGTTCGGGGAAGGTCCGATACAGAACCCTGGGTTTGAAAACGCCGAATAATGCTGCGGATAGCCCCAGTGGATGGGGCGTTTCGAACATTAAAAAATCTGCGATAAGCTCTCTTGGTGTTTACAATCGAATTATTATGTTCATAGTAAAATTGTACGACTTTGGTTCTCTGGATTAGATTAAGTCTCTCCATTCTAAAATATCCAGAGCTCTACTTTAAAAATCTGAAAAAAAATCAAATATGTTAACTTGTGACTAACTTATGAATTTTTAAAATCAGTCAGGAACTTTTGGCCCACCCTGTATTTGTCGTCAAAACTCAGAATGATACAGAAATGTTTTCGATACGCGTCTCCTTCTGCTATCTGGCGTAACGCTCTGCTTGATCGTTCTGCTAATACTGAGGGGGTGCTTTAGTGGGCGCTGCCGGGTCTGGCAATAATAGGAAGGGGCAATGTTGGCAGATGGATGATAACTACTAATAGGGCGGGAAAAGAATGTGGGAGAACATGGGAGAAAACCACAGAATAAGTTTCAGGTGTTACAATTTCTTTAGGGTTATTTTCAGTAATTTCATGTTCGATGCTAATGTAAAACTTATTATTTAATTCTTTCACTCTCTCTGTGTGTACTGAATAACTGATTTTATTGAAGATTTCACTGACCCCTCAGAACCACGCAACAATTTGACAGACACTTTCAAAATAACAACTAAATCACCTTCAAACGAATTCCAATTTACTACATAAAGATCTAAACAGGTTCTTTTGGAAAACATCTTCGATCACAACAGTTCTCGTCGTTAGACGTTAGATCGATAAATGCGAAGATTTTTTAAGAAGGTAAATGAAAAATTCGTTAATAGCTTCATAAAACCAATGAACAATAACAAGCAGTACAGTGACATTAGATACACTGATAAGAATGAATGGGTTGGCTGTTAATAACGATAGGTATGCAAGTCTGCATGTTATGCGACTGAAAAACTGATTCCATGACGATTGAAAATTGAAACTGAATAATGAACTTGTAGGACTGGATGAAGATGTCTTTTATTGATGGCTGTTGCCAGAAACTATAACTTCGCCATCACTCGGTATCTTCGAAACTATGGCGCTTTGGACCAAGGTATGTTTGCTTGCTGGAAGAAGTACGACTAATCAAAGATTTTTGATACGTTTTTTTATTATATGCATGGAATTGAAGGCAATGTGTAAGCTTTTCACCACTATATGTCTATTGGGATCAGTTAATGACTTCTAGACTATTAACATTCAACGGCCTAAAGAATACAGGGTGTCCTGCTAAGAGCTGCAGCAATTACTAGAAAAATTGACAATCGACAGAGAGATTTTAGTGGTCTTGTTTTTGTGCTTCGTTATAATCTTCTTTATTTGGATTTTGCTCAGTAGCCAGACCGGATAAGCTGAATTAAAGTAATTTCATTAAAAAACATATTGGTTAGATCACAGATAAGAATAAATGCAACTCATGATTTTTGTTATATATCCAAGTGGCAGAGCAGCCTTTTGTTGTAGTTCTGCTGGTTTTGCAATCACTTGTCCTTTTGCGCTTTTAATATTCAAAACCTATTCATTTCTTGTCCGGTTTGGACACAAATGTTACCTAAACTTCTCTATGGAGAAATTTCAGGTTTTGAAATTTTGAGGACAGCATCACGTCAATATTGAAAAAAATAAATAACATGTCATGACTATTAGTAGTTTGTAGATACTATCAAATTACCGCGGTTCACTTTAGAGGTTATAAAAGCTCTTTTTTGTCAGCATTCCTCATTTACTGTCGCTCTCAAAAATAACGAAACTGGCAGCTTAACGATTCGTTATTTTTGTTGCACCAAAAACTCTCGATTTATGAAAAATTGGGTTTAATACGACTATTTTCAAAATGATTGCACTTTCATTTGTACCCGAAGTGAATAACGACATGCTTGTCTTAAATGGGCCACACTGTACGTTATTTATTTTTTAGATTCTACGCGAGATTCTAAACATATTTCGTGTATATGATCCTGTATCTAAGTCTAACTGATTTAGAAATATCTACTATTTCACGTAAAAAATACAAATACCTACAAGCCAATAAATCATAACAATTATTTATCGTCTTTGTCATAAGATTTGTAACGGTTTTCTGATACTAGGGGATCAACTTTTGCAGAGATTTTTTCCAGATTTGGATAACGAATAGTATAGAGTGGATTTAGATTTTAGAAAACGTAACAAGGTAATTTTATAATTAGAAACCACGGTTTTTATAACATATAACTTCATCGTATTGAAAATAATGTTGATTTTGTATGAGGTTGCAACTTCGCAGATGAATAGGTAGTTTTCCAGATATATGAAAATATTGTTTTTTTGATTTGTTAAATTGCTTAAATGTTCCATACGGACTTCACCATAAGATAATCTCGGTTTACCATGGCGGAAACAGCTCGAACTACTAAGGATACCACGTACGAGCCCCTTCCCACTTCAGTTGACCCACTTCAAGATTTGTACCAAAATATGCCTTTATAAACTAAACATGAAACTATTTACTTCTAAAACAATTAATTTTCTCAAAAAAATTTTAGATACACTCTAGTCGTAAAAAATACATATTTGAAATCACTTAGACCTATAACTAATAGAACATCTGAACAAATAAACAATGTCCGAATAAATGCTCAAAGTTAACAAAGCAGCAATTGAAAGATTACCATTGGGTAACATCACCTTTATTTTTTATTACGGCTGAAATTCTTTGGGGCATAGTGTTAACCAAGTTTTGGCAAAAATTTGGTGTAAAACAATCCCATATTTCTTGAAGCTTTTGTCTCAGTTCGGTGATTTTACGAGCAGGATGTTGTCGTAGAACCTTTTTCATCTCGTGCCACAAAGTTTCAATAGGTGACAGATCTGGACTGCTAGAAACCCATTTCAAAAGTGGTACATTATTTTCTTCCATCCATTTTATAGCCTTTTTTGAGGTATGGCACGCTGCACCATCTTGCTGAAACACAAAATCTTGGCCGGATGTCAAACATTCTTCCATGGTAAAAGCTATTCTTTTAAAATTGCCAAATATTTGTTTGTATCCACATTTCCATCAATAAAATGAAGTTTTCCTACTCCTTTTGATGACATACTGCCCCAGACCATAATGGATGATGGAAATTTCACTTTTCTCTTCAGACAGTCAACATGGAATGCTTCATTTTTTTGCGAATAACTCTACTGCGACTGTCACCAACACAAACTTCGAATCGGGCCTCATCACTCCATTGTATTGCACACCATTGTTGAGGTGTCCATTGTCTATGTTCTTTAGCCCATCTAAGACGATTTTTCCTTTGCAGTGAAGTTAATAGTGGCTTTTCTTTGGCCTATAGACAAGTTGTGCAACTTTAAGGTTTTTACTTCACTTTTTTATAAGAAAACTTACCTTGCAAGTGCTAAATCCCAGTTTGTGGGCCTCTCTATGAGTTGTGGACCTAGAAATTCTAATTCCAACAGCGTCACTCCACAGAGCACTTAATTGTAAATAATTGACACGCGCGTTTTTCACGATTATTCTTCTTAATGCTCTTCGGTCGGCATTTGTGATATTACTTTTTTTCACATATTGTGGCGTAATATTAACTGAACTAGTTACGTTATATCTTATAACAATATTTCTCACACTGTACCGCGATAAGTCTAAGAAAGTTGCAATTTCTGAGTTTGATTTCCCAGAATTAAAAAAATTAATTATCAGTAACCGAATTTTCTCACTAATAACCTTTCCTCTACCCATTTTGAAAACCTTAACTACCCAAAAATATTTTAAACGTATTCTGACAGCTGTGATTAATAAAAACAATTGTCATGGCGTTATAGACTTATTTTGCATTGTAATGAAAATAGGTTGATATGCTGTAATTGCAACATGTGTTACTTTTATGCTGCAAATTTGATTAGGGAGTGATAAAGTTGGCGTTTTCTACTATATATTATCAAAATATTCATTGTTAATATTTTAAACCTATAACATCCTGCTATATTTTTATTATTTGTGTTTGATAAGAAAAAACTATGATTTCAATAGTTGGGCCAACTGAAGTGGGAAGGGGCTCGTAGTGATGGATTCAAAAACCAATATCTTCATGTACCTCGGAAATCACTAATTTGCAAAAATTAACGTTGTTTACAATGCCTAATACAATGAAAAAAGGTATGGTAGATACCCATTAAAAAATATATGGATTATTTTAAAACTGTTTATAACTTTTTTGACAGCCCTGTATTATTTGTTAACTAAGTATGTAATAAAATCTACTAAAGTAGGTTTCCTATCACAGGCAAAAATACAAGAAAATGTTCTAATCCATTGGGCTGCATTTGTTTGTCGTTTTGAGGTATCTCAAAAATCTCGCATAGAATTTAAGGGTGTTCCATTTAAAATAAGGAAGTTGATATCTATTTCCTGTACAACCGGAAGTGTCACCATTTTGCAGTTATAGGTGAGACATCGTATTCAGTAAAGATATCTGCAGTTTGAAAGTAGCTATAGCTTTGGCCCGTATCGTCAGTCGTCCCTACAATTGAAAGGGCGCCTTTATGGCCTCCTTGATTGTCATAGTTTTCTACTTCTCCGTGTCTGCGCTCTATTTTGAGGTTATGTCACAAACATCTATTTGCATCAAATTGTGCTTGCTTTTGAGTTATATCATGTTTTATCAGCCTGAAATTTCCTACAATTTAAAAAGAAAACATATCTTTACAATAGGAGAGCGCTGACGCTGACACGGGACAAGTGTAATCTAGAAATTTTTGAAGGAGAGAAAGGAGTATGACAATCAAGGAGGCCATAAACGCGCCCTACAATTGTAGGGACGACTGACGATACGGGCCTTAGACCCCAATAGGCATAACATCTATCAATTTATCAGTTTTCATTAAATTTTCTTGGCTATTTTAATGATTTTATTTATGTTGTCTATAAAACAATTAATCAGCTTCATTGTTTTGGACGATTTGTGAATAATTCGGTATAGTTATTGATACGGAGAACTAGCTAGAATCGAAAAAAGACTAAAACCAAATAAAAATTTTAGACCCGAAGTATTGTCGTTCCACCTGGTTCTTTTAGCATTCCGAAAAAAATAATATTGGTGTGCTACGCGTTGCAAATGTTACAAACTATCAAAAATATGATAGAAACGAATAAATACTATCAACGAACGCGCAGTACCAAAAATTCTCAAGCAACCTTAAATTCGGCCTGAAACTACGATTTTCTGCGCCCAAATTCATTCAGTTCATAAAGATTCAATTTTGTCCTAAAAAAGTCAAATTCTCAAAATTTCCAAAGATTTTGATTGAATATTTATAATATTTAGGTAGTATTTTACCTTTTCTTTGGCTTTTTGTAGCTTTTTTATATTTTTCAACCACATTTTTGATGACATTAAAGTATACTAGATTAACGTGATTTTTTTGTTTTTAAGAAGGGTAGAAACCGATCTGCGTACACGGAGGTATTAGATAAACTGAAGCGGGAGTTCTATCAAAGATGGGATAAGAAAACTTTATCTTCCAGTCAAGGTCTAGAGGAATTTACCAAAATCAAGACGCTGGGTACCGGATCTTTTGGGAGAGTGGTAAGTATTTTTAATTCGAATTTACCACTTTTACAATTTTTCATCCAACATCTATGAGCATTTTCTAATGCGCGCACAAATTGCATGCTATAATACAACTTTATAGAAGTATTAACATATAAATGATGATTTTTTAAGAGGTATAGGATTTGATTTTCAAAAAAAAACACAAAAATTTGAAAAAACGATTAAATCTTTATTTGAGTCGATAGAACGGTCGATATAATTTAATGTTTAAAGATTATTTCATGTAAATGTTGGCCGCGGCTCCGCTTTAGATGGCCCATGCGCAAGGTCCAATTTTGGCACACTCTCTCCAACATATCGGCCGGTATCTCACGAATAAATGCTTCAATATTGGCTTCCAGTGCGTCAATCGTTGCTGGTTTATCCCTGTAGACATTAGCCTTAACATGGCCCCACAAGAAATAGTCCAACGGCGTTAAATCTCACGATCTAGGCGGCCAATTGACGGGCCTCAAACGTGAGATAAACTTTTCACCGAACTCGCCTCTCAATAGGGCCATTGTTTCGTGTGCGGTGTGGCATATGGCACCATCTTGTTGAAACCATATGTCAGCCAAGTCCAGCTCTTCCATTTTGGGCAAAAAAAAGTTTGTTATCATCGCACGGTAGCGCTCGCCATTCACAGTTACGTTCCGGCCATTGTCGCCTTTGAAGAAGTATGGTCCGATGATGCCACCGGCCCATAATCCACACCAAACAGTGATTTTTCCGGGATACATTTGGTAGCTCTGGCTGGTCTTCACTCCAGATGCGGCAATTTTAGCTTGTTAACGTACCGATTCAACCAGAAATGAGCTTCGTCGCTGAACACAATTTTTCGATAAAAATGTGGATCTTCCTCCAACTTTGCCAGCGCCCATTCACCAAATTGGAAACGTGGGAGGTCGTGTGGCTTCAATGCTTGCACCAGCCGTATCTTATAAGGTTTTACACCCAAATCTTGTCGCAAAATTTTCCACGTAGTGGAGTAACAGAGGCCCAATTGCTGCGATCATCACCCATCACCATCACTAACACTGGCGGATACAGCCGCAATATTTTCTTCAGTCCTCACTCTACGTCTGCGTGTTGGTGGTTTAATGTCCAATAATGTAAACTGGGTTCGAAATTTAGTCACAAGCTTCCGAATAGCTCCCTCAGTAGGCCGACCAAATTGCCCATAAATTGGAAGCAGTGCTCGATGCACTCTCTTAACCGAGCATGAATTTTGATAGTAAAATTCAATAATTTGCAAGCGTTGTTCGTTCGTAAGTCGATTCATGGTTAAATTATAGACCAAACTGAACAAGTTTGACAATGACACAAGACACGATTCACGCGTCATCTGTCAAAAACAGTGTTGCCAAAAAGATTCTAGCAAAAACATCACCCATTAGTATGATTAAAACAATCGGTCTTCCGTTATTAACAAATTCAGCTTCCGTTATTCTGTCCCGAAGCTAAGTTAAATTTTCGATCGCCTTTGAGTAAACTTTTTCCCACCGCTTCCCAATCAAAAAAGTCATAGTTACGAAAGTAGTTTCAGTAGCTTCACTTTGACCCTCAGAAAACCGTGAAAAGATCTGTGCTGTATGACTTTCTTTATTTTTTCAGATGCTTGTGAAACACAAAGATAGTGACAACTTCTACGCCATGAAATGCATAGAGAAAGTACGTATTATAAAGTTGAAGCAAGTAGACCACACGCTCTATGAAAAGAAGATATTAGAAGCTATAAGGTTCCCGTTCATTATATCTTTGGAATGGAGCTTCAAAGATAACAGCTATCTATACTTTGTGATGCCGTTCATAAATGGTGGAGAAATGTTTACGCATCTGAGACGGTAAGACACATATCATTTTTACTTCCCACGACATACTGTAATCGCGAAAAAATTCGAAAATGAAATATTATGTTTTATGCATGTTATATGACACCTACTTCACGACAAACCATGTCACATTTCTGTCGGTTTATCTGTCTGTCTATCCGCTAATCCTTGTCCCATCTATAACTTGGAAAGTACTGCGCGGATTTGAATGAAATTTTAACATAAGGTTACTACTATATCAGACGAAAAGATTTTGTAGTTTTTTAAAATCGGTCCAGTGCCGGCGGAGCTAGGGGCAACAAAACAAACAAAATAAAAATAGGCCAAACTTCGTTTGTTGAGGTTTCATAGGCTCCTGATCATTTTCAAAAAAACTTTGTACCTATGAACCTTAAATCGGTTGTTGGGGGTTGTAGGAGTAGTAATTGCGATGACGGGCATTCTCTCTTATACCCTCAAGAATAATTTCGTTATATTCTATATTCCCCCGAAAATTCTAGATATTTTGGTCTAAATTGAGCAATATCAGGTCTGTGATGCCCTTAGATGTTCTGGACCGCACGCGCGCTACACTGAAGGAATCAGCGTGTCCTCCCTGGCCGAGTGGCTCGGGAACCCGCTAAACCTCCTTCATGCTAGGGATTGGGGCTTGCAATTATTCCCCGTGAACGAGGGATTCGCAGTAAGCGCGAGTCATAAGCTCGCGTTGATTACGTCCCTGCCCTTTGTACACCGCCCGTGACTACTACCACTACTGATTGAATGATTTAGTGAGGTTTTCGGACTGGTACGCGGTGGCGTTTCCGCCTCGCCGATGTTGCCGGAAAGATGACCAAACTTGCTTAGAGGAAGTAAAAGTCGTAATCGCAAAAAATTCCGAAATTGAAATTTCATGTTGTTTGTATGTTATACAGTGGACCTCCGGTAATCCGACAAACATTATGCAGGGCAGTGTCGGACTATCGAATTTGTCGGATTATAGAGCACTGCCTAAAACCCCCTATAGTCCGGAATTTTTTACAAAAGAGTACCTTGGAATACGACAAATAACATATCCAATGGTAAGATTATATATGTATGTTATGTATATGTATGTACTTTGAAGTACAAATCATACATAGTTTATGTATGTCGAATTTAGTAAATTAAATAACAATAGAGAGCTTACGTTTTATTATAAAATTAAGCACAAATGCACATACATATGTACCAAAATAATCAAGAATTATTAATCAAAATCATTAATGAATTTATCAAATTATGAAGCTTGGAAATATTCATCAATTTTTTTTTTGTTTAAGGTTGTTATAACGCGAGATCAGAGCTTTGTCCCTCAGTCTTCTTAAAAGTAAAAGTTCGTTGTAGGATGTACCATTCTCTTCAGCCCATTGTAAACCTAGCTCAAAGGCGTTAATTGCGTCTTGTGCTGTGACTTGTGGAGCAGTTGCAATCACGTCGTCGTTATTTTCCTGATTGGTTGTTGTATAATTAGAAACCTCTTTTATAATCTCTTCGTCAGACATTTCATGAAAAACATTGTCTTCTTTATCCATTCCACGGCACCAGATTTCCAAATCTTCCGGACATATCTGTGTTTCAGTAGCGACTTTGCTAGGAGTGGTGACTATATCTGGCCATAACTTTTTCCAAGACGATTTAATAGTTGATGATGGTAACGCATTCCACGACTGACAAAGAGCAAAAACCAAGTCTTTCATATTAAATTCTTTTAAAGTTTTTTCTATTGGTTGGTCTTTTGATACGGCTCTCAGGAGTAGGTTTTTCTTATAGTCTTGCTTGACAAACGGAATGATATTCTGGTCCATTGGTTGAATCAGTGCAGTGCAACTTGGCGGAAGAAACATCGCAGTGATTCATTTATCCTCAGTTGTTGGTTCTTCTTCAGACGGATGACCGGGAGCGTTATCAAGAAGCAACAACGCTTTTTGAGGAAAATTATGATCTTTTAACCATTTTCTAACTTCAGGTACGAAGCATTCATCAAACCACTTTGTGAAAAGGTCTTTTGTCATCCATGCACTTTTTTGTCCGTAATAGTGTACAGGTAAATCAATGTTTTTGAATGCCCGTGGTTTATTAGATTTCCCAATGACCATCATCTTAAGCGCGTGTGTGCCCGCAGCGTTAGCACATGGTAGTATGGTTACACGCTCTTTACTTACTTTTCGTCCAGGTACGGATTTTTCGTTAGGCATCACACGCCAAAAAAGCCCTGATTCGTCTGCATTGTACACCTGTGACGGGTCAAGATTTAAATCGTTCACCGTTTGCAAAAATCTTAATTTAAAGGGCTTTAAAGGGCTCTATACACGTGGCATCGTTAGAAAGTTTCTCTCCTGTAATAGTCATTAAACGTATGCCATGACGACCTATAAAACGTTCTAGCCATCCTTTGCTGTCCACAAAATCATCTTTTTTTGTTATTTCCTTATAAAAGAACTTAGCTTTCATGGCCAACATGGGTCCTGAAATTGGTGCATGCCTATTTCTTTCCTGAAGAAACCACATGTACAAAGCTTCTTCCACTTCTGGATGTTCAGCTTTCTTGAGTGTCTGTCTCTTGCCTGGCCCGCAGTCAGTAGTTGACACGAACTTCTTGATCTTCTCGTGGTTTCTTTTAATGTCATAAATTACAGATCGGCCTACGCCGTATTCACTTGCTAAACTACTGAAAGTTTCATTGCGAATTAAGCGGTCTAAAATATCACATTTTTGTTTAATCGTCAATGTTTTGTGCTTTCGCTTCTGAGTTTGTGATGACATTACTAGGAACTATACTTAATACACAATGAATAAATAGTAAACAATGAACGCACGCTAGGCCGTACCGCTATCTCAAGTATTCAAATTCAAACTAAGTAAAATAATGCGGGGGTCCACTGTATTGTCTAAAACTTAATTAAGAAAAACTGATTCCCAGTGGCGTCCTTGAGGGGCATGTATCACCATAAAGTAGCGACGTAGGATAGTTTTTAGAAAAACCCATGACATTATTTTTTTATATTCTATAGACACCCAAGAGATCGGTCGTTCATTTTGAGACAACCTGTGCAAAATACACGGCATACTTAACATGAGTTCTGTTTGGTTTCAGGATGCGTAAATTCAATGAGGTACTGGCTAGATTCTATGCTTCACAAGTGCTTCTCGCCTTAGAATTTCTACATTTCTGTGACATTCTCTACAGAGACCTGAAACCCGAAAACATTTTGATAGATTCGAAAGGTTACGTTAAAATAGCTGATTTAGGATTCTGCAAGGTAAGTAAACTTTCAGTTCTACTCTTAAAAATGCTTGATTTAATCCGAAAGCTTTTGCGTTGATATCGTTTGATTTTTATTGTTCACCTTATTACTGCCGATTAGTCTTCCCAGCAGTGTTACCAGGTATAGTGGATCTGTTTTCGGTTGGCTCATGTGAAATTTTTCGGTAGATCGTTAAATCTTTCTGTATACGGTAAGCAAAAAAACAAAAACTTACCGCTGAAAAGTAACCTCCAGGTATCTCGTCAGCGAGGGAATCGCTGCTAGTCTTCTTTTTTCCTGCTCACCGGTAGAGATCGGCTTGTCGCTCTCAATTCCTGCATGTAGAGTGCTGTCATCAGCAAAGCTGTGGATCGGATTGATCGTACAGGAGATGAGGTCGTTGATATGTAAGAGAAACAGAGTCGGAGCCAAGACCGATCCCTGGCAAACAGCCGCGTTGACGTTGTGGCATGAAGAGGAGAACCCGTCAATTAAGACGGATATCTTGCGGCCAAAGAGAAAGTCAGCCACCCATCTACAAAGCTTCTCTGGGAGGCCATAGGATAGAAGTCTGCATAAGAGGTCACAGTGCCTCAATTGTCGCTAATCAAGCCGTGACGCTCGAGGTAGTCCAGATGCTGGCGATTTATGCACCTCTCGAACACTTTACTTATAACGTAGAGCAGAGCTAGAGGCCTGTAGTTGTAAGGGTCAATCTTAGATCCTTTTTTGGGGTGTGTTGGACATGAGCAAATTTCCAGTTTTCTGGAAGAGACGCGAAAGAACTGGAGCAAGCTCCGCTACACACTTCTTCAGTACAATGATAGGAATCAAGTCCGGACCAGAAACTTTGTTGATGTCGAGTTGTCGAGCTTAGGGAACCCTTTGAATTGACGGCACTTGGGCGTTGGGGGGGACATCTATGGTGGAGTTGGCAGCAAGATCTTGGCAAGCACTTCCGCCTTAGCCTTTGAGTCGCGGGCTCTGACCGAAACCTAACCTCCACAACGCCGTGGTCTGAGTTACCCAGGGGGAACCGGACAGCAGTGCTGTAAGGGATCCTGTCCTGCGTGGTCAGAAAGAGATCCAGCAGGCTAATGGCATGTGACGAGACGCGGGGGATAAAAGTAGGGCTCGTCACCAGCTGGATCAGCCCTTGAGAAAGAGCGAACGCTTCGACTGTACGACCTGCTGCATCGGTCTTGTTTGAGCCCAACCAAAGCTCATTAAGAGCATTGAAAGCACCGATAAGAACTATGTCTGAGGCGGGGTGATTGATGTTCAGGAAGTCGATCTTGACGGCGAGGTATTCAAGTAGGTCATCCCAGTTATGGTCTGAGGGAAAGCGATAAAGGCAGCAAATAAATTGTTTTGGAGTTGAGGCGAAGCCACTGAATGTCCTTCCGGTCTGATTACAAACATACATCTCTGGAGCAGGAATTTGGGCCAAGAAAAGCATGGCGGGGCGATTGGATTGCAGGTAGTGATGAACAGCATCAATGTTGCTGTTAATCCCGCAGGTGTTCGAGAAACAAATTTTATCTTTGATGTTGTTCCCTCGAGCCCACCTTGCACCCGGACATTCCGATAGTGGAGTGTGTTTAAGACCGGAATTCTTAGTAGGTACTCGAGGGATCCTTCTTCATTAATTTCGTTGTTGGAGAAGAAAACCGAATGCGTAGCTTAGGAGTGGAAACATGAGGGCATTTATAGGACACCTTGGAGAAAGCTAGCGGGTGGTACATCTTCGGTCAACTGGTTCTTGTCTACCACCTTCTTTTTGCGTGTTAATGATGTTAAATAGACCCAAAGTGGCCCGTTGGCGGACTTGTACCGCCACCCAGCAATTCGTACTGAGGTACTTCTTAACGCGTGTACAAACACTTGAACGGGAAGAAGTTGTAGACTGAATACAACAACTTCCGGAACAAGCATTTGCTACGGCCCCGCTCAGGATAAGACGATTTCATGACGTGGTACTTCTTCATAATTTGCAAAGAGCAAGCAAGCAACAAGCCTAATGGAGGTAGATGTTTCCACAGGTAAGTATTGATACAACGCTGTCACTTTGGTAGGCATTGGTAGATAAATAAGTCAAAAGTATGCACTAAAACTGCGCAGTTTTGGCGACAAACAATACAATGTAAAACATATACGCTTGGCTGCATCTAATCTATTCGAATTAGCGGCTAATTGGCTTTTAAGACCTGACGCATGAAATTATAACGATTTATATTGGTATTGTGACAAATAGCGCCATCTGTTGGGCGAGTCTCCTACAGAGCTTAATGGCCGATCTCAGAGATGTCGCTTTGTGGTCTTTCTCGAAGCGGCAATTGGGACTATATATAACTCGGCGGCCGGGAGGCATTTTAACACTATGGTATAGGATTCGGCACCAGCCTTAATTTTATTGGTCAATTTCAATTTATTTAACCAATAACAAGCTGGGTGCCGAAATCACTACCGGAATGTTAAACAGTGCTGAAAACAGTGTCATAATGTTATCAATAAACTGCTTCTACTAATATATATATATATATATATATATATAACTTGAGACGTGGTCATTGTCGTCTAGACCAGTTAGGTGAAAAATTAAAGCTTCCGCCTTTTGTTGGGTACTTCGACAAAATTTAAGCAAGGAGGACTCTTTATACTTTTTTTATTCTCTCTAGCTTTCAATGGTCTTTGCCATCATCATCAGAAGAGTAGTATGTGAGGATGTTGTTAATTCTTGTTTACGTTAAGGATGGGGGTAACACCCAGTAACATGGGGAAAGCTGGATAAATGGTACAATGGTCAAAATTATATAAAATACACACAGCTGTATGACAAGAACAAGTTAAAAACAGATTAAAATTTTTTTTAGAAATTGAAAGTTAAACATTACATCGTGAAGCCACTTGATGATTCCACATGCCCACCATTTTGTGCAATCATCAAGTGGCTTCACGATGTAATGTTTAAGTTTCAATTCCTAAAAATTTTTTATCTGTTTTTAACTTGTTCTTGTCATACAGCTGTGTGTATTTTATATAATTTTGACCATTATACCATTTATCCAGCTTTCACCATGTTACTGGGTGTTTCCCTCATCCTTAACGTAAACAACAATTAACAACATCCTCACATACTACTCTTCTGATGATGATGGCAAAGACCATTGAAAGCTAGAGAGAATAAAAAAAGTATGAAGAGTCCTCCTTGCTTAAATTTTGTCGAAGTACCCAACAAAAGGCGGAAGCTTTAATTTTTCACCTATATAAATATATATATATATAAATTTTAAATGTAATTTTTCTTATTGCTAAACCAAATTATTAATTTCAAAATCATTAAATATCGTAATAGGAAACAACTTGCGTTCATTATTATCTTACGTATTTTTTGCGGAAGGTAAGTAAATTTAAATTTAAATTGATAACATTCTGACCCCATGCTCAGCACTGTTTAACATTCCGGTAGTGATTTCGGCACCCGGCTTGTTATTGGTTGAATAAATTGAAATTGACCAATAAAATTAAGGCTGGTGCCGAATCCTATACCATAGTGTTAAAATGCGGCCGGGAGATGGAGGAGAGTACTGAATACGGTAGAGTAGCAGAGCGGAGTGAAGTAAAGTGCAGTCAATGGTGACATAAGAATTAGTCAGACATAAATAGTGGTGCATATAAATAATTTATCAAATTAAACAAATTAGTGCATTTCTTTTTGTGGAAACCAGTGTTTTAATCCACACCCAAAAGAACCCAGAAAATCGCTACAGTATCAAAAGAGAATTATCAGTTTGAAATTTTCTAACTTCAATGCTTTACGACATATACTATCTATACGTTTCTTAAAAGTCAAGAGATCCATTAAGGTAATCTGCTCATTTCGCCGCAATCCTGTGTATCAACTCCGCCTAGTTTCAAACCTAGATATTGGAGGAAGATTCATACAAAACTGTTAAATTACGAAACTTTAATTCTAATTCCTGACTTGATCACCTCGCCGCCAGTCCAAATCGATGCTCGAGTCTCTAGGAAATTCAATAATGCGCTTACACGGTCTACATCGTGTCTCCAAATTAATTACAGACGAGACTACATCGGGATGTTTGCTCTTATTTCATTGACCCTTGAGGGCGAATAGATTTACTACGATGCGGAGCATTCCTCCATTAGGCAAATGTTTTGGGTAAATAACACCTAAGTTTTTTGGGGGTGTATTTTTTAAATCCATTATTACGTATTTTTTTAATGTTTCATTATATCTAATTAATTCATTTCATTAATCGCGAAAAATTTCGAAAATGAGATTATGTTTTTTGAATGTTACATGACATCAAAGATAGTACGTTGACAAGGCAAAAAAAGCTTTGTAGTTTTTGAAAATCGGTCCAATGGAGTTACGGGACAAAAACAGAAAAAAGCTCAGACTTATTTTTGTTTGTTTAGGAGGCTGTTGATTATTTTCAGAAAAAAATTGTAGGGTTTAAAAAATGAAGGTTGGAGGAAGTGGGGGAGGGTATAGCTCAATTTTTGCTTATATACCTGTACATATACTTTCCAACCTCGGTAATTTTATGCACATATTAGACGAATTTCACAAGAGATCTCGATGAGTGTCCTGCTATTACTGCTGGTCAGGTATGGGTTGGGGGAGGGGCGACGTTGCCAGATAAACATCAGGATGTAATTTCTGTCGAACATGAACCTTTATGGACTGATGACCGTGTTGCGTGGAAAGTGCAAAGTCAACCTACTTGACGCCATTTTTTTTATTAAACATGTGCATGCTTGACTTGTTTCTAAAAAGGGCTAACTTGTTGCAGTTTGGGTAGCTACTACTTCATCAGGTTGCTCCACATTAAAATATTTATAGAAAAGATGTGTCAAGTAGGTGGACTCTATACCCACATGCAATTACTTTTTAACTTGACGTTATATTTGCAAATTGTCTTGTTATGATCTGATTAATGACAACTGCGTGAGAAGTACAGACTCAACCTACTTGTCAGCACAAGGCATACATTCCCTAAAATTTAATTGAATCAGTAGTTTCAAAAACCTCATAAGCCATACAGTTTGAATTTCTGAGGTGTCGGGATTCAATGAGATGTGTAATTCCTAAATAAACGAGCATTAAAGGACTGTTCTAGCTTAATATAGTGTCCGAGTTTTAAAACATTAAAATGTCAAGAAACATTCAAATCAGGGGGTCGAAAAGGGAAGAGAGGGAAGAAGAGAAAATGAGAATGAAGTTGTGTCATCTGAACGCAAACGGCTTGTCGATACTCCTTTAAAGTAGGCAACCCCCTAAGATAATCCCGAATGAATTTATTATATTTTATTAAAGAATATTGACAAACTCCTGTTAATTTCCAGATCGTAAAAGGTAGAACCTGGACGCTCTGCGGCACCCCCGAGTACATAGCGCCCGAGATAATCTTAAGCAAGGGGTACGGCAAAGCGGTCGACTACTGGTCATTCGGGGTACTACTCTTCGAAATGAGCGCAGGTTACCCTCCTTTCACAAGCTCAGACCCCATGAAGGTCTACGAGAGGATAATCGCCTGCAAGTACAAATGTCCGGGGAGTTTCTCGAGTGAGCTGACGGATATTATCAAGAATTTGTTACAGCTGGATTTGAGTAGAAGGTAAGCTTAATGAAGGTTTAATTAATGTCAGAGTATACGAGGGCCACAACCTTTTATTATAATATTTAAACAAGAACTCCTATTTTTCCACATTCTCATTTCATGCAGAGGAAGCTACAGCTGTGAACAACTGGTACAAGATAGGCGTTAGTTTGTTACTTATTTAAATGGATCACTATCGGCTTCAAATTTAATTATTAAAGGTAGTAGGCCTGTTCGCAGATACTCATTTTGAGCATATTCTAAAGCTTTGGTCTCTTCAGCAACTCTTAAATGAAATTTGATTTTTGTAGGGTCCAGCAAATATGACCAAAAATGAGCAGGGGCATATGGCCATATCATATCTTCTTTCAAGTGCAAATAATTGATTTATATTAGTATCCTGTTCTTCAAAGGTTGTCTTCAGCTTTTTGTTTTGCTAATGGAAAAAATGATAGTTTTGTTATGGGTTGTATGTCAATAAAATCACCATAATCGAAATTGGCCTCTGCATTTTTAAGCAAAATAAACATGTCTGCAATACGATTTCCTTTTTAAAGTGGCATATCGTTTACAGATTCGGCAATTTAAGGAGTGGCGTACAAGATATAAAAAACCACCGTTGGTTCAGAGACGTAGAGTGGTTAGCTCTATATAATAGGCAGGTATGAAATATTTTTTTATCTTTTGGGTTACTATTTTGTTCGTATTTGTCAAATAGGAAGCAGCATGTAAGCTATTATACTTAGCCCCCTGCTATTTCTAATATACAGGGTGACTTTGAAGTTGAGTCATTAATTTTCAGATAATGATTGTAGAAGGAAGATAAACCAAAATATGTGTGTAAAAATAAAAAAAAATTAAAAAAAAATGTTTACCTTGTTTTATAAAGTATCCTCCCGACAAGTATTTCAGTGCGGACCTGTATTTGATCGTGAGGTCCCCTGTGAGGTCTTAAGTCACCTGATTCACGAGCCCGTTGTACTACATTAACAAAGGCACGAGCGGTTGGTTGCACTCGATTGGGAAACCGATCCGCATAAACATGTGCCATTTTTTATTTCGTTTGAGCCACGCAACAGACACTATTCACACGCGTTACCGACTGACACTGACTGTATGTATAACTGAACTGAATAAAATAATTGTAAAAACATCGTTCCAAATTCTTTCGCTTTTTTGTTTCCGATGCGATGAACCGATAAGGCGCGGATTATATCCGTTGTTGCCAAACACGAGCACATGATATTATTATTGAGACAGGGCGGTACTCAAACTTCCAAAGGGCTATAACTTTGTTACTTTAATTTTACCAGAAAGATGGTAAAGGAAAAAAACATTTCTTTTGATCAGATCTACTCACTGTTAAAATAAATGACTCAACTTCGAAGTCACCCTATATATCAATGACCTGCCCTCGAGTATTGATAACGGATCCTGCTTCCTATTTGCAGACGATGACACCTTGCTGTCTAGACTTGACCAAAACACGGGTTTGGATATTCAAAAGATTGTTTTTAGCTAAATGAAAACAATATCATATTACATTTTCATCTGACAGGTGGGTTGTGAGATATGGACCAGTAAAACGAATAGTACTCGATACACAACTAAACTGGACAATGGACATTCCACATTGATTATTTACATTCTAGACTGTCTACACAATTATTTGTTCTTAGACAGCTATGCAGACGCCACGATACCCATACTTTGCCGGTAGTGTACTTCAGCATGTCCCATAGTCACATTGCATAAGACACAATGCTCTGGGGAAACTCAGTAGCATCTAGCAAAATTTCACAAAAAACGGATTGGGGATAATTACAAGCTCTAAATACGGACAAACTTGCGGAAATCGCTTAAAAAATTTACAAAGATTACCACTTCCATCAATTTATATTTTTGAAGTTTGCACGAAAGTCTAAACAAATATCAAACCTCTGCAGAAATACACACCCATGCACTACGTAATGTTATTTACCTAAGGAATCCATTCCCGTGACTAAATATAATAATAATGATAATTTATCCACATCAACTCTGAACAAATTCATATGCCACAAAAGGACATATAACATCTATAATCTATTCTATATAATATAAATGTAATATGTACATTAATTTTGGATGCTAGACTAGCAGTGAAGAAAAGATGTGTTAGTTTTTTATAGATTACATCATGTTCATATCAGTTTTCAAAAGCCTCTAGTATAGATCTATTTTTAATAATGATATTCTGTTTTTTCTAGTATATTTTGGTATGTTATGATGTAATTTTGAACCTAAGTATATAGAAGCTTTCAACATTATTTCTTTTTTTGGGGTTGCAATAATTATGTCTTTTTTGATTCCTAGTTCATATTCATAATTTTTAGAAATGGTTGAATGTTTGTTTTTTTGGAATTCTAGTATAAAATTATACCAAAATAATTTTTTTATATCTAATACTTTTGATTCTATAAACGATTTAGAGGGATATAGTAAAGGTTTATTATGAATAGTCTTTGTATTAATTGCAGAGAATTTAGATGGTTATTATTCGTGAATCCCCAGATAATAATTCCATAGGTTATGTGGCCTTCAACTAAAGTTTGATATAGAATTTTTAATTGAGTTTCATTGAAAATTTATCTGTAATATCTGAATTTATATAGTAGAAATCTTAGTTTCTTTTTAATGTATTGGATATGTTCATCCCAACGAAGATGGCAGTCTAAAACACCAAGCTATAAAAATAATAGACCTAAAGTTAAATTATATAATTTACTTACCCTACTTCTCAAAGTTTCTTCTCTAGACATTGCTTAACCAGTGTATGGCGTCACTCGGATAGATAATAAAATAGTTGTACGACCTCACAGGTACATTGTATACAGGGTGACTTCGAAGTTGAGACATTTATTTTAACAGTGAGTAGATCTGATCAAAAGAAATGTTTTTTTCCTTTACCATTTTTCTGGTAAAATTAAAGTAACAAAGTTATAGCCCTTTGGAAGTTTGAGTACCGCCCTGTCTCAATAATAATATTATGTGCTCGTGTTTGGCGACAACGGATATAATTCGCCTTATCGGTTCATCGCATCGGAAACAAAAAAGCGAAAGCATTTGGAACGATGTTTTTACAATTATTACATTCAGTTGTATACAGTCAATGTCAGTCGGTAGTGGATAGTGGTGTCTGTTGCGTGGCTCAAACGAAATAAAAAATGGCACATGTTTATGCGGATCGGTTTCCCAATCGAGTGCAACCAACCCCTCGTGCCTTTGTTAATGTAGTACAACGGGTTCGTGAATCATTTGACTTAAGACCTCGCATATGGACGGCATGCCGGTGCTCCAAGACCTCACGATCAAATACAGGTCCGCACTGAAATACTTGTCGGGATGATACTTTATAAAACAAGGTAAATTTTTTTTTTTAATTTTTTTTTTATTTTTACACACATATTTTGGTTTATCTTCCTTCTACAATCATTATCTGAAAATTAATGACTCAACTTCAAAGTCACCCTGTATACATAATGTGATCAATAAATGGTAATAGTATAAAAGGTATAAATAGAGAACAATAAATAAATTTAGCACAAAACGTAGGTGGCTACGAGTCTCAAAACTTAACAACAAACCTCATGTATCCAGTTTTTTATTGTTTTACTAAGAGGTCTCATTCACGTTTTTCTAAGAACACTCAGCACTAACCTCACCATCTAACTCCGGAAGAGTCTATCAAAAGCTTGATTTGAGTTACAAGAGTACACTTCCCTATATTCCGTCGATTTCCTAAGTAGATTGCATTTTCTCACTTAACTAGTTATTTATGACAATGAGTACGTTCTACCTTATATATATTCCAATATATGTATAAAGTAAAAAAAAAAATTGTCAGAGTATAATCGTTGGTGTCTTCCTTCAGGTGGAACCACCATTCAGACCTGCAATCAAATCGATGGGCGACACCAGCAACTTCGATCCCTTCGACGAGGAGAAGATGCGTGTCAGCGTCCATGATCTATACAAAGAAGAGTTTGAAAAGTTCTAAGGAAAACAGCTTGTTGCAACTGGTGTTCTGTTCAAAGTACTCAGTGGTCGTGATGTTTAAGAGAATTGATGTGTCATTTTTATATGTGTTCTATGTCACCGTTTTCTATTATTTAATTATAAATTAAGGATCTAATATGTGTTTGTGTTCGCTATAATGTTTTGTCATCTCAAGCAACACTATTTGTCTAGTCATTCGTCGACAGATTCGGCATCCAGGCTACAATAATAAGAGATGATCGATATTGTTATTTTTGAATATGTGTGATATCTGATATCGGTATTTTTTGATACCATGACGTGATTACCACTTTCGAATAACTATAAGATTATGGGTATACATACTGATGTCCAAAGTACGGCGATGAAATCGCAAACAGCCAACTAACAAAGCCTATGAGGCACGATTTCACTTGCAGGCCACAATACTCTCACGATGGTATACGATTTTCGACTATGGAGTATGGACTAATTGTATATGGGCCCGTTTGCCTGACTTGACCCATTTACTTATTTCTTTGTTATACAAGGAACAAACTTGGGCCGAACATAAACTAATGGCAGCTTTGCATAGGAAGTGCAGAGTAAACCTAACTTGACGCTATTTTTCTTAACGGGGGTGTTATTACAGCCATCTTTACTAATTTGCCAATCAACACTCAGCATCTACGCACTAACCCGCTGAAGTTTATTTAGACTGACTGCACGTCGAAAATTACTGGCATAGCTTTGAGCCGTATCAATTGTGGGACGCCTTTATGGCCTCCTTGATTTTCGTAGTCTTTTCTCTCCTTCAGAAAGACTGGGGTATTTCTAGATTTCTACTGTTCCGTGTCAGAAAATAGATATTTGTAACATAACCTCAAAATAGAGCGCCCTTATGAAAGACAGGAAAGACTATGAAAATCAATGAGGCCATAAAGGCGTCCTACAATATTGTAGGAACGACTAACGATACGGCCATTAGTGCTCTATCCGGTAGGTTACACAATTTAGTTTAGTATCACCTAAGATTCCATTTTTTTTTATTAGCTCAAATGATACCCTAAAAACCTTGCCGTACCAGTGCCAAGGTGGAGCAAATTCTAATAGGCCTTAAATATTTTATTTCATGTTAAGATATTCTGTAAATAGTAAATAAAAAACAAAACGCTTGAAATTTGCATTTTATTGTACACTCATCAAGAGTTATGTAAGATACATTAAATAAAAATATAATTCACAATTCCATCACACAATCAGTGCGAGTCACAAGGTACACTTAAAAACGTAATTCTACTATGCTTAATTCATAAAAAAAACAAAAAATTGTCAACGTTTTATAACTTACCTAGCCTATCAAAAACGATCTTTGAGCAATCTCTAAATAATAAAAAAAACATCCTTACGATAATATTAGAAATAAAGAATATACATGACTCGAAAAGACATAAGGAATGACATTCAACATTCAGTAGCTGAGAAGAAAAATTTTTGAGGTAGTTTCCATCATATTCAAGTTTAGGATATAGTAGATCACTTTCAGGTAATATGTAGAAACATTTTTGTATATCCAAATGCATGCTTCAAATCGATATGAGATTATCTTAAGTGTGCACATTAAAGTTATATTTGCAAGGAATGTGATAATTAATTTGAATTGACTGAAATGCAGGATGTAGCACCCACATTAGGGGATTTAGGGCCGGTTTATCAAAGCACAGTTAAAAGTGCCTGTTAAGTAACCTCAAGTTAGGCTAAACTGGCAGTTATGTTATGAAGCGTGTTTATCAATCAATCAATAGCTGTCAGTTTTATAACTTTTGGTTTGCCTTCGTTTCTACAAGGTTGGTAGAACTGAACTGAGCGGAAATGAATTTTTATTCGTTGAATTTAAATTTCCCACAAAAAATGTCAGACAATGACAAATGACGCAAATGTCAAAAATTTAACCTATTCGATATATTTGTGTGAAAGTGTATCACTATCACGCAATGACGTCTTTGCTATCACGTATCTTGAAGTTTTCTTTATTCGTGTGGCATTGTTTTACGAAATTAGTACGGATTGTTTGGAAAAATGGAAAGCGAAGAAAACAGTGGAAAGGGAAAACAAAAAAGAGGAGCGAACTTCAGCCTCAGCGACCGCAAAAACTTGTTGAAACTGTCCAACAAATTTAAGGCAGTGATAGAAAATAAAAAAACGGATGGAGTTACTTGGAGACAGAAGGAAGAAGCGTGGATAAAAATTGAAAGAGAATTCAACTCATTTACAACTGGAGTGGTGAGTATATACATATACTTTTCAATTGCTATAGTATGTGATAAATTAATTGATTTCCAATATACAGTTTTGGCAACATTTCCCAACTCTGTTAAATAAGATATAAACTGTAGTGAAAAGAGTATGAATGCAATATTAGTTTTTGTTCCGTAATTGTTCATATATGAATAAATTTTTAGCCACGAACAGCAAAACAGCTAAAAACAAAGTATGAGGCCATTAAGAAGGAGCTGAAAAAAAAATATAGCAGCCATAAGTGCTATATGCTTGGAACAGGTGGTGGTGCTTCAAAAGAAGAACCCAAACCTGAGACTGAAGAAGAGAAGGAACTATTACAAACTATCATAGTTTCTGTTGAGGGTCTTCAGTCTCAATATGATTCAGATGCCATAGCAGGAAAGTTCTGTTTTTTTATTTTTACCTTTGGATCATGCTTAATTTGATTTTGATTACAGGTGTAAGAGGAGTTGAAATTGAGGAGATTGAAAACAGCAGTGTGATAGTAGAAACGCATGAAGATATTGAGTGGAACACACCCAGTACTTCCTACCTTCAAACACACATTCATCCAGCTTTGAAAGTATCAAGGCCGAATGTGCTACAGGTGGACGTAAGTGGAGAAGATATGGAAGTAACCGACCATAATACTGACAGTATCAGTGTAGCAGAGACTCCCAGCTCTAAAAGTATCTGTGAAATATTTCTTATAAATATAGGTATATAGATATCTCATATTTATGTTACTATACAAAAATTTTATTTTAGAGCCATGGTCATGTCGGCGAAGACCAGTAATTAAGAAAAAGAAAAGCATGTCTTCTGCTTCTTCGAAATTTGAAGAACTGGCTATGAAGAAGTTAGAGCTGGTGAATTTGCAAATGTCGATTGCAGAAGAAATAAAAAAGCAAAATGCTGCAGAGCATAAAATAAAAATGGAAAACCTGAAACTGAAGCAAGACATTTTGAAAATGGAACTGCAGATTAGAACAAATGATAAATTATAAAATATGTGTAATATATATAAATATAACACATAATTTTGAAATTAAAGATTGCTATTTTTTATTTGTATTTAATTCATAAATAGTACAAGTAAAGAATTAATTTAAAAGCCCTGGAAAATATTCACTTAATAACAGTTCCCTGGCATTCATGAAGTTATTTTCAGGAGGATCAACACTGATATCTTCTTCATAATTGATTATGTTTTCATCCAAGTTTGGAATATCAGGGGGCTGCTCTTCATTTTGGTCAATTGCTATATTATGCAGCACAGCTGTGGCAACGATCACTGTAAGGGTTGTCTGTAATTTTAGTCTCAACCCTGTTGAGAGAACTGGAAATCGTCGTTTCCACAAACCGTATTGCCTTTCCACAGGATTTCTGGTTCTTGTAACTGAAAAAATAAATGAAAAACAAACTCATTAACTTTAATTCTCCTTGTATAGAAAAAATAATGCAGTGTAGTATCTGTACAATGAAAAAATATGGTTCATGCTTTTAGTGAATTAAATTATTTTATGAGTAAAATAAAAAACAGCTCCATATAATGTAATGATTATAAGAGATAGAAACATACCAGCTTCATTATAAAGTTGTTGGACTTGTGTTCTTGCTTCCAAAAGTGGTGTTATTACATGCATTGAATTTGCATAACCACTGTCTGCTACTAAAAGGCTATTGCCAAATTCATTTCTTTCCAATCTACTTTTTATTGATGAATTATCAAAAATTATCTGGTCATGTTGACTTCCAGGCCAGCGTGCAGTAATGTCTAATATTTTTAGATTGGGGGCTGAAATGGTTTGTACATTGATGGAGAAATAGCCTTTTCGATTGCGAAATAGTTCTGCATTATTTCCTCCTGTAAGGGTAAAGTTTTATAAGTACAAGTTCTATAGATACAAATAGATACCATACCAGGTGACTGAATTTTTATGTGTGTGCAGTCAAGGGATCCAATCACTCTAGGCACATGTGCTTTCTCATAAAAGCTACTTTTGGCTTTCCTTATTTCCTCATCATTACTTGGCATTTTTATAAATCTACCTGAGAAGGTAGCTATTGCCTCAGACACCTTCTTCACTATTTTTGAGGCAGAGCTCTTACTAACTTTGATGAAATCACCAACAGTTAGTAGGAAGTTTCCCGTAGCATAGAAGCGTAGAGTCAGTAATAACTGATTGATGGGTGAAATAGAATGATTTCTGAAATAAATATACAATTAATAGTTACCACAGGGAGTCATTTGTCATAGAATTGTTCATGATAAGTTAAATAAAATTCAATGAAATCCACATATCTATTTCCATATTGTTTAAATATTACAGAAAAAATATTCGCAGAAAATAAAAAGTACCTATAGGTATTAACATCAGCAGCGTTCTAAAAACGTGAAATAACCTACCTGTCGGTAACAGATTCGAGTTCTTCCTCGATGAGAGATAAAATATATAAAACCGTAATTTTTTTCAAGCGGAACCTCACAAAAAAATCTATGTCGTCCAATGAATGGAAGAAGTCTTCTCTTTCTCGTACAATATAGGGCCTCCTTTCATATTCTAAAAACTCTACTATTTCCGCATCATCATCATCATCGAACATAGCATCAATATCACCCAACATATTTCAAAGTTTTCACTTGATTTTCAAACAATAATTCTTTACAAAAACCTTGTTTTTGCTTACGTTTTGACACAGACTTTTTGAGGTTAAAATGACAAGAATGACATATCAAAACAAGAAGAAGTCTGCAATCTGCGCATGCTTCAGATCCTAACTGCTAGTTATCGCTCGTAACTGGAACATCCAAGTTGCGGTCAGGTTTCACACGGGTTTAACTGTTGGTTAATATTTAACTGCCGGTGGATAAACATTTTGACCGTCAGATTATTTTTAACTACTAGTTGATTTATTTAACCATGCATTGATAAACCGGCCCTTAGGTAGACGAACATTAATACACCTACACATACATTTTAAATGAGTTTTTCAAGATTTCATCCATTTTTATTTTCTCGTAAAATATTTTGATGTAGGATATTCTTTCGAGTCAAGACGTATTAATGTAAACGCATACAACAGTTATGTTAATTTTCTGGAGTTCCACTTCAATGTGAGTAGATTTGAATGAGTCATCCAGAAAAGCAGCAATCAAGACCGTTTCTGGACAATCTTCGTCGTATGCTGATCCAGCAGCTGAGCTGAAATAACATTAAAATGAACTGAAGATTACATAATAATTATCAGAGTCAGTGTTTTGTGAAGTTGAACGAAATTATTATTAACTATATTTTTTATAGCTATACTGAAATGTATAGCCATTAGGGTTTTGATGAATCTGTATCTGTCTCTTTCCATGCCCTCATTTCCAATTCGAACTCAAATCACTCATACACAAAAACACTCAAAATGATATACGAGGTCTGTAGATTAAATGATGAGACTGGCAATGTAGCGTTCGATCTGGCAACACTGGATGCGCCGGGTTTGGAGGGGAAACAGGGGAACATGTGATCCGCCTTCAGTACAAGTTTGAATTTGATCGAGCCATTTGGTTGTCCGTAGCGATTTTTTTTTTGAAACATTTTTTCCTGTTGTGTTCTAAAAATGAATGACATCAATTTCTAGCAACGGTGTGCTATCAGGTTTTGTTTGCCCTTGCTAAGCTTCAGCAAGCTTATGGAGATAGTGTTTTGTGAAGAGCCCAGGTTTTTCGATGGTTTAAGGTATTTTCAGAAGAGGGAGAGAGAGACAGGGTCGATTGAAGATGAACCACGAAGCGGAAGGCCTTCATCTTCAAGAACCGATAAAAATATCGACAGAATCTGGGATCTTCTGCGTTCAGATCGTCGGCTGACACTCAGAATGATAGGGGAAGAGTCAAATTTGACTCGTACCACCGTTCATCAGATCAAGAACAACTGGGTTTTGTAATCACAATGCTCCTTGTCACACGAACAATGTCAATAACTGAGTAAAAACGCCAGTAAAATCATTCCTGTGGCTCCTCAGCCTCCATATTCGCCTCACTTGAGTCCTTGTGACTTTTTTCATGTTCCCGAAGTTGGAAAATCACTTTAAGGGAACTCATTTTGATACAGTCGAAAACATTCACATGGCTGTAACTCACCAGCCGAAGGCTATTCCAGTATCTGAAGAAGTTATTTTGAAGGTGAAAATATAAAATTGTAAGTATATTTGAATTAAAAAAAAATCACATCAACTTACAGACCGCATAACAATAACACTAAAATATCGCACATAATCAGTCTGTTAAATATTCAGGATGGTTCAAAATGAAAGCGCCAAAAAAGAAAGAAAAGAAAACACTCCTAGATTAAAGTCGTAAAAATAATATTTACTCAAAACGCCTATTAAGATATCGCTCTCCAAAGAGAGACAGGGTGTTGCGTTTTGATTGAAGTATGTGTTATATCTAGCTCAAGCAGTTTATGTGATGTCGATATTTGAAGGGTATTATGGTTTTAAATTTACTTTAGACTTTTGATAATCACAAATACCGCATACGTAAAGGTTAACGTTCGCCTTTTGTACGGTGTCTGTGATTGTAAAAACTCTCTCTCAAATCGTATGTTTTACCGTAAAACATGAAAATCTGCTGCGTCAGATACATACAAAATTGACGGCGATTGATGAGATTAAGCAAAGTTCTGTTGATTGCAGCTTACGTACGAATCATTAAAACTGAAACAAACTCATCGGGATCAAAAAACATCCCTGCAGTCACATTCAAAGACATTGCTTGAGGCTTGAGCGATGTTGAGGAAAGATCTCTCCTTGCAATTTTTGACGCTATTGTTTGGTTCTAGAAAATCACATGTACCTGAAGATCGCGTTTAAAGACGCCAAAACGTATTTTTAATAAATGTTTCAAGTCACTGAATCCCAAGAATGTATAACTTGATTCTCTCCTTAGAAACAATGAAATAGCAACACTTCCTTGAAAAACGTTCATTGAGGGTTTAAAATTATCATTTCATAGTAGATCGTAACAGATGTCATCAAAGACTGTCACAAAGATATTTCTTTGGAAGCCGTATCTATTTAACACTTTGATGATAAATTTTGAACTGTTCTGTTTTTTGTGCTAAATCTTACTGAACAATGTAAAATATTAATGTTCGCCATCTCGATTTTATAGCGAATTGCGGATTGACAGTTAGCGAATTTATATGAGTATAGACACGCCAGTACTGCACCAAACTGCTCTACTGGTTGTAAAGCACTTTATAATATTTTATAGCCCCAAATTTCATTCAACGGTGTTCGGTCGGCTTTTAACGTGTGACTTTGAAAGTAAAAAGAAATTTAGCGAAGAAGAGAATATATCTGTGATTGAAATATTAGATAAATTTAAAGGGATTATTGAAAACAAAAAACAAATAGCTCCTCAATGGATTTAAAAAACAATGCTTGGGAGAAACTGGGGAAAACGAAGATTAGACCTAGATTCTGAATAGATTTCTACTGAATCAAAATCGAGCTTCGTTGTTAAAATTAATCCCACGATCCTTCTTTATAGCAAATTAGACTAAAACCTAATTACTTTTCAAACCACCTATTAAACAACATAAAACAATGAGGAATCCTTTTTCTTACCTGTCTTATTGCGGATTCGGCTGCGGCGGGTAGTTGTATGGATATCCAGGTTGCTGTGGGGGTGGCCCAGGTGGTACCTGCCCCGTGGGCGGCCGATACTGATATCCACCTTGGGGCGGTTGCTGGGGATACTGTGGTTGTGGTGGCGGGTAACCGCTCGGTTGTGGCGGGTAGCCATAAGACGATGGAGGCGGTCCGCCTGGACCGGGTGGGTAGGGTTGGTTTGGAGGCGATGTGTAGCTGTAACAAAGACAATTAAACAATCTAAGAATCTGCTATTTGTCACTTAATAATAAAGCAGTCCGCTATACCATTTGGCACAAGGTAATGTCGCAGCAAAATGGCAGTCAGTCTTTCTGGACGCTGGCCAAGTAGATTGAAATGAGCTTCTCGCAGAGTCGTCTTCCACCACTTACGTGCTAGGATGGAAGGATTGCAACCAACTCAAAGACTAAGGCGGAAGTGCTTGCCAAAATCTTTGCTGCAAACTCCACCATGGACGCCAAAGATTCGACTTGGCTCCGACACTGTTCCTCTGACATATCAAAGACCTCCATTCCTGTACGATCAACCCAATCCACAGTTTTGCGGTTGACTGCACTCTGCATGCAAAGAAGTCTAGCAGCGAATTCTTCTCTAACGAGAAACCTGGAGGTTATTACTGCCTGGGGAAAAAACAATCTTGTACAGTTTAATGCTTCCAAAACATAGTACTGTACCCTGACGAACAAAAAGCGTCATCGCACTCATCTGGTTTCGATCAATGACCGAGTTCTACGATAGAGCCTGGCATTTAGGCTACTGCCTGCGCGTCTGCTTCGGTGTAAAAAAACGTGCACGCACATTGAAGAGAAGCGACGCGAAGAGAATCGCGGCAACATCTGCCTTTGCACTTATCAAACGACACACTGCTGTACGATTGTCATGGAACCCACCAGTTGTGTTTCACTTATCTTCTGTTCGCTTCTGTTTCCTGAGTCAGCACGCACTTCAAGACTTACCAAATAAATAACCGCGGATCATCTGAGGACATGGCGTAAGAAGCGGCTGCGTCATTACGCATCTGCGGCTATGGAAAGAATGAGTCGCTTTTTGCAGGCTTATCTCGGATACTTAGAGCCGTCAATCAAACTATGGCTCGATCGGTTGTGACACTACGATGTGGAAGACTATAGGAACCAATCACATTATAATACAAAAAAATCAGTATAGTAACAACACTTACCCTGTATTAGACGGTTGCGAGTTAGGCGGATACTGCGACTGATAGGGCTGCTGAGAGGTGACTGGGGGCGGCTGCGATTGTGGTGGTGCCGAGGTGACAGCTGGAGACACCGAGGATGGTGGAGGGGGCCCTCCGGAATATGGCGGCGATTGAGCATTGCCACCATAACCTGCAACATAAATTAATCGCCGAAATGTTATATATCTTTGGAATCGATATTTTTCGAGTATAAAAATGCGTGTATTTTAAAAAACTATTTTCAAAAATTCGTGCGTATCTGGTTTGGAAGTGATCTTTTTCTCATCTTCAAGCCGTTGGTACAAAAAAATATAATGACAAACCTTGTGGAGGCTGATTCTGCGGCTGTGGCGGTCCCTGCTGCTTGTTGCTGTGGAGGCCCATTGGGCGGCGGCCCCTGGCCGCCCCCGCCTTGTTGCTGCACCTGCTGCTGAGAAGGGGACTGTTGTGGAGGCGGTTGCTGTTGGGGAGGTCCAGGTGGTGGAGGGTAACCGCCCTGCTGCGGTGGATAGCCACCCTATTAAAAAATGTCAAGTTAAATGTTTACCTTGCTTTCACTTGCGTGGGCAGTGCAGTTTCAAAATATACGATAAAGTATACATTCTGGCAAAAAAGTGAAGTTAAAGCATATGAAGTTGTGTAGTCTGATCGTAAAATTGTGCTTAAGTACCCGCAACAAAATTGACACTGTTCAGAAAAAAAATCATATCTCGCGTCTCACGTTATTCAAGGTCAGGCCCGGTTTTAGCCTTGTTTCCTTTACACTAAATACCATTTGAACCTACTAAAAAAATGTAGTGCATAAAGTCAACAATGGTGGGTCCAGGGGGTGTCTTAGGATCTGAAACCCCCTTCCCAAGAATCCGAGTTTTACAAAAAATGTCGTTCTTTTTTTTTGTTTTTTAATTTACAGACAATTTTTCAATTTTCGTCCTACAATATACGATCCTTTTATGAAATTATGACGAATCAATGTCCCTACCGCATGTTGAGGAGGCGGCGGTCCATATTGCTGCGGTGGCGGTGGAGGGCCCCCAGGCTGCGCGTAGGGGGCACCACCGTTGGGTGGCGGACCCCCGTACTGTTGGGGCGGTGGGCCAGATTGACCTGTGGGTGGTCCGGAGGCTGGCGGTGGGTACGGTGAAGACTGAGGAGGCGGTTGGGGACCACCTGGTCCAGCAGATGGGGGTGGTGTATTGTATCCTGTAATTCAATGGGAAAATGACATCAAGTAGGTGAACTTCATGTGTGTCCAGAAAGTAGGGATAGGACAAAATATCTCGAAAAATACGTTTCATACAGAAAAATATTGTGTAGTAAGGAGGCACGGTTTGAAAACATGCGTCTAATGGGTTGATCTTGAACCTGACCTGGACTATCACCTTAGAGCCCATTTGAAGGTCAAGAGAATTTTCTTAAATGGAGACCCCCATTTTTGACACTGGAAATAAAAAGAGCAAGAAACTTTATGTTCAAGTATATCTATAACCTTGACTATGTCCTTCAAGGTCATTTGAAGATCAATTGAATTTTGGATGAGAAACATTATTTTTAATTCCTGAAATGCAAACAATGTTTAGGGTCAAGAACAACTTTGCCAGTTTTAAGGTAAAGTTTCACGTAAATTCTTACTTTTTGTTGAAAATATAAAAGAGCGACACGTTAATATAATTTTGCTTTAAAATGTTAACTCAGAATGAATGACCTATACTTTAGACTAATTCCACGCGAGCGGTAACTTCTATAAACCTCTAATGATAAAAATATTGTCAAATTATCAAGTTTCTCAAATGTAAATATCATAAATACTATTTTAGGAACAAAATGGTCAATTAAATTAAAATTCGCGGTAAAACGTAGAAAGAAACTCTTGAAAATTTAAAACAGGCATTTCTGTAAATTATGAAGAAAAGCAAGTACTCTACCATATTCTTTCAATCTACCTGGCTGCTTGGTAGCCCTGATGCACTGTAGTAGGTGGCTGTCCATACCCTGGCTGCTGCGGGGGCCCCGGGGGCGGCGGTACCTCCACCACCAGCAGGCGGATATCCGCCTTGTTGAGGAGGCGGATAGCCACCTTGCTGAGGTGGTGGCGGATACTGCTGCGGGTATCCGCCTTGTTGCGGGGGCGGTGGGTATTGCTGAGGGTATCCCCTTTGTTGGGGTGGCTGCTGTGGAGGCGGTCCTTGCGGGGGGCCCTGCTGTTGTTGCTGGGGCTGTTGGGGCGGGTATTGGGAATGAGGAGGAGGACCGCCAGGACGTTGTGGGGGACCAGGCTGTTGTCTGAAAAGGATATATAAGTTGTTAGTAAAATTCTTGGACTAACTTCAAGGGTGATTCCATGATTAATGACAAGCTCATATAATGTCAGCCTGGTAATGCTCTCTTTCCAAGGTGCTTAAATTTTTCTAGCAATTTGTTTTCAGGCAAATTGACATCTGTTTGTGGTGTAGCTTCAAATTTTTGAGGTTTATGTGATTTCATGCTTTTGTACATTTTTATTTCAAGAATACAAATGAATATTTTATATATTTGAAAATCTGTTGCATATTACCTATAAGGTCCAGTTGGCACAGGCTGTTGCTGATGTCCATAGCTATTCATATGTTGTTGATCACCACTTGGAGGTTGAGGACCATGCCCTGATTGATTTGGAGGAGGGCCTCCAGAAGGGGCACCAGGCGGTTGTATCATCTAAAACCATACCAAGAATAATGAAAAAAGACATAAAAGATGTTTTTGTAGAATCTTTGATTTAGGTGGAAAGTTGACTTGGCCTATGCATAATGTGTGTGTGGGTATATATATATATATATATATATATATATATATATATAAACATTATCAATATATTGAAACAAGTCTAAACAAGCGTACTACAGTATATTCAGATAAGAGATAGACCGGATGTAAACAAAAGGTTCGGGTGATTTTCACGCTAACGCTGCCGTCTCGACGTAAAACAGGAGCCCTCATTGGTCAATTCGCAATTAAATGCCTATGCCGAGCGACAGAGCAGTCGTATCAAGGCAGAGTCACATTCAGGTTCAGACGTGTTACGTATGTCGTGTGCATCATTGCAATTTGATATTTCTTTGGACGTTTTCGTTTGTTATCTTATTAAGTTGTTGAGTTTGTCGTTGTTATTGTTATACCTTGTTATTGATTGTTATTGTTATCAACTGCTTGCGCAAAATGCCCAGTAGTACAGATACTGCCGATGAAGTTGTAAACTCCTGTAGTCCACCTAGGAAACGCTCTAAAAAAAGACACCTGAGTGCAGAAATGAAAGAGGTCATTTTAAATATATATAAGATCGAGCGCGAGGAGAACGAGGCATCAACCATCAAAGAAATTGTTGTGAAGGTTTCTCACAAAGTTGGGGTGTGTCGCGCATCAGTGTTTAATGTGTTAAGACAATACAAAAAAAAATCACACCTTTTCTGAGCCAATGACAGTAAACATCGCAAAAGTATTGTTAAATCATTGGATGAAGCTGATAAGCATGCGATTAGGAGGAAAGTGCATGAATTCTTCTTTAGGAATGAAATACCTACTATAGATAAAGTACTGCAGGAGGTAAATGGAGATACAACGTTGCCAAATTTCAAACGATCAACTTTCCATGCGTTACTGAAGCATTTAAATTTCAAATGGAAAAAACGGGGTCGTAATAGTTTACTACTGGATAGAGAAGAAATTGTGCTATGGAGGAGGGATTATTTAACAAAAATTGGGAAATATAGAAATCAAAACAGGAAGATTTATTACCTTGATGAAACGTGGGTAAACGCAGGACACACTACAAGTAAAGTATGGGTTGATGATTCTGTAACTTCATCCAGGAGGGCCTTTCTAGATGGACTGTCCACCGGATTAAAAAATCCAGCAGGTAAATACGAGTAATAGACAACAATCGGATGTTTTTCAAACCTTGGGAACAAGGTTCTAAACATTAATTCCAGGGGGCAGATAAAACATATTACAAGTAACAAAACTTTTATAACTTTCGATAAAATGCGTGGATGTTTTATTGTCATTTTCATTTGTTAGAACTTTTTTAAGCCATGTTTTTATGTGTTTTCGATATTTCAATAATTTTTTAATATAATCTTAAAATATGTCGAATATTATAAACTTAAAAAAAGTTACTAAGTTTTATATTGTGTACCGTTCCTAATATTTCTAATCATTTTAATTCATACTTTAAGCTTTATAAAGTTATAATTTGTTAATATTAATATTTGCGCGTATTTCAGGTTCCTGATCATTCATTTTTTAAAGGTTTATAACTTTAAATTAAATTGTGAAGCGCTGAGTAATCATACGACGTTCAATATTCTTTCTTTCAATATGACTAAATAATCCCAATTATAGCAATCTGATACTCATGTCTCAATGTTTTTTCGCTGAATGTGATGAAAACATTTGAAAAAGGTTCGCTTATTGAAATAAATCTACACCAGTTAGTACTTCGATTTCCAGGTAAAGGGAAAAGGCTCATTATCTGCCATATTGGCAGTGAGGATGGATCTGTTGTTGACGGTCTGTGGTGCTTTGAGTCTAAGAAAACTGGAGATTACCACGAGGAAATGAATGGCGAATCGTTTGAACAGTGGTTTTCAAAAATTTTACCGAACTTAGAGGAAAACGCAGTAATTGTGTTGGATAATGCGCCTTATCATTCTCGAAGAATGGAGAAGGTCCCAACAACGGCTTCAAGGAAAGTTGATGTTCAAAATTGGCTCCGCTCGAAAAATATCAACTTTGAAGAAGCAATGCTGAAAGTACAATTATTAAGAATTGTCAAGGATCACAAGGCGGAATATCAAAAATACGCCATTGACGAAATGGCAGCAAGTCAAAATAAAACTGTGCTCCGTTTACCTCCATACCATTGCGAGCTCAATCCCATTGAGCTCATATGGGCAGAGGTTAAAAATTATATAGCTAAGCACAATAATAATAATAATAATAATAATAATAATATGCCTTTATTTTACCTGGCGGGTGTATCAGCTAATAGCTGCTTTTGGTACCAACCAGGGCTACATAAGTTTAACAAACATAAAAAAAAAATCACAGATACAAAAAAATAATGATCAAGACATATAGTACTGAAAAGTGACAAATACAACATAATAGTGTGTAAAATGTGAAGACAACCAGACACTTAATGTAGAATCACAGCAGTTACAAGATGAAAGCTTAGTATAGAATTAGGTATTATCGAGAACAAATTGCTTTATTTTAACTTTAAAATTATTGTTACTCAAACTTTTCAGATCTGATGATAGACAGTTATAAAGGGAAGGCGCCATGTATGAGAAGCACTTTGTGAATTGTGTTGATTTATGGGGGGGCATATCGAGGGTATAACCTACAAAGCGTAAGTTCGCCGAGTGATGCTGACTTCTAAATGAGAGTTTGCTGCTCAGATATGCTGGATATTTGGTTAATAGGACTGTCTGTACTATGACCAACAAGTGTACAATCCATCTCTGACGCATCGTGAGCCACTTGACATCCTTAATGTATCTAGTAATGTGTTCCCTTCTCGGAACACCTAATGAATACCTGATACAACTATTTTGCACTTTTTGTATCCTATAAGCTTCCGACTGTGTCAGGCATGGACCATACACCGCATCAGCGTATTCGACTTTGCTGAGAATCAAAGAGTTACAAAGCTTGATCTTGGTTTGACTAGATAATACATGTTTATAACTGTAAATTGTCTTGAGCTTAGCATATGAATTTTGCACAACCCTGGAAACGTGATCGTGAAACGTGAGATGTTCATCCACTATTACTCCTAAATTTTTCACGGATTTTATATGAGGCAAGTCTCCACCTTCCAGGTGTAATTTTATCAAGTTACTATCGAAATTACTTTGTATGGACTTAATAGTTATGACAGCAGATTTGTTTGAATTGATAAGTAACCCGTGATCGTTATACCACTTTGCAACACGATCTAGATCACAAGACATTCTCCTGTTTGCCTCCAGGAAATCGAAAGGACGGTAAGACAAATACAGTTGGGTATCGTCAGCGTAAGACTGAATAGAACAATATTTAATGTCACGACTTAGATCGAACGTATACAAAGTAAACAAAATTGGGCCAAGTATGGAGCCCTGCGGTACCCCCTTCAAAATCGCACGCTTATCGGACATACAGCCGCCTACATTGACTAGCTGTGACCGCTCATGCAAGTAACTCCTAAACCACGTAACAGTACTATCAGAAAATCCAAGATAATGCAGCTTACCAAGAAGCAATTCATGATTGATAGAATCGAAAGCTTTGCTGAGATCAACTAGAATTGACGTTGTGACACAAGATTTATCCATAGCTCTGATATAGTCATCACATATGTTTATCAAAGTGGTAACCGTACTGTGACCTTTTCGAAACCCCGACTGAACATTTGGAATCAAACTGTTTTTATTTATGTGTCCTAGTATTTGCTCATAGACAATTCTTTCCAGAATTTTAGATAGCAATGGCAGTATACTAATAGGCCTGAAATCACCAGGTGCTATCGGATCATCAATTTTTGCAAGAGGTCTAACCATAGCGGCTTTCCATAGGCTCGGCACGACACCTTTTTCTAGTGAAAAATTTATAATGTGTGTTAATGCATCGATACAGTATGGAATTAGGGGAATCAAAAGATCTAAGTTTAGGCCATCCAGACCCTTTGCACGTGACTTAATTTTAGAAAAAATATCCAAAACCCTTTCTTTAGTAACAAGTTTAAAGCTAAACGGTTGAACTGCAGGGGAAAGATGATTTGTGTTATAGAATGTCCGTAAGTAGTTATTAACCTTATTGACGGGAATAGAGTCTATGAAATAATCATTAAGCATGTCAGGCTGTATTGAACACCGGTTATCATTTTTAGAACCATGAACGCCAATGTTTTTGATAGCATTCCACCATTCTCGACTATTGTTGCTTTGTCTCAGTTTATATTCAATGTAAGCTTTCTTTTCCCTCCTGAAAGAGGCTGTGACAAGATTTCTAAGCTGTTTATAATATATCCATTTTGAAGCTATTATTTCACTGGGATACTTGTTCTTGACTGCTTTAATATATTGAGAATAAGCCTTATTTCGCAGTCGCATCATAAATTTGATATTAGTAGTAATCCAAGGATACCGTGCTTTGGTAATCTTTTTGGTTTTGAAAGGAGCACAAACGTTGAGTACCTTTTCAACCAATTCATAAAAATATCGCAACTTGTCTTCAATGCTTTCTAAATGGACTACATCTAACCAATAGAGAGACGATGCAACTTCTTTTAATAAGGAGTGATCGATGTTTCTTATGTCTCTAGTAAGTACATATTTCGGACACCTAACATTTTTTTTACATTCAATGCAGAAATATACCAAACTGTGGTCAGAAATGGTGGGGAGACAGACGAGACCTGTTTTAGTAATGCTTAGTTCTCTGTTCACAAAAACAACATCTATAAGGCTGCCACTATTGTTAGTTACTCTTGTCTTTTCGTTCACAATTTGTTTGAAATTAAGATCCTGGATAAATGTTGATACGAATTTAAAATCTGGGCTATTAGTATTATGGAAATTGATATTCAAATCACCCATGCCAATAATATCCTCGGATGTAGGAAGAAGAGATGCTAGCATCTCTTCTAGCGATGTCAGCGAGTTGTAGTGAACATCAGGAGGCTTATATATAACTCCAACATTGATTGTTTTTTTATTAACCTTGATCTTGATCCAGAGTTGTTCAAAACCATCATTCTGAGACACTTGTAGAAAAGAGCACCTAAGTCCTAACCTAACGTACAAAGCAACTCCCCCACCTCGCCTGTCTTGCCTATCAGATCTGAATAGCTGATAACCTGGAATATGAACACTTGAATCAATAATACTTGGCTTCAGCCACGTTTCAGTTAAGCCGATTACATCAAAATTTTGTGATAGTATATATTCTTTGAGATCACAAAGTGAACTAGTTAATGATCTCACATTTAGGCATGCTATCATTAAATTATGCTCCTCGTTCTCGATAATGTCGAAATCAGATAAAACAGACATGTAAAGTAAATCACAGTATAATAACTAATTTCCAAATAGAAAAAAGTAATAAAATCAGACACAGAAGAAAATAACAAAAGAGGATAGAAAAAATGTATTTGTTGTGTGGATTAAAAGATGTAAAAAAAAATAATAAAAAATAAAACCGGATAACCAAGACACAAGAGCAAAAAACTATATGGAGTAGTTGGTTTTACTTCGAATAAAGTCCTGAGTTTTTTGTAGGCATATACATTTGCTATCCCACACAGCATGATACATATCAAGGCTTTTATTCTGTTTATTACTGGCATTTGCACAATTAATGCAACGTCGTGAATTGTTTTTGCAATGCTTCATATCATGGCTACCAGAGCAAAGAGGACAGACTGTTTGATTTCTACAACTTGTTTGAATATGCCCATATTCACAGCACTTATAGCAACGAACTACTGATATATGCTCATACGCATGACACCTGTTCCACCCAATATTTAATTTACCCTCTTTAATAATCGAATGATAAGACAACGGATCTACATCTGCAATAAAATCAAACTTTCCATTTTTTATAGGATACTTAAAAACAATATTGAAGGTATGTTCTTGATGGCTTAACAAACCACTATTCTGATTGATAATTTTACTTTTTAGGACATTGTTATCAGTTTCGAACAATTCACTGCTAGCACCTGTAACTTTTATACGTGGATTCCGCATTTTGGGTAACATAACAGAACAATTGCCAGCCATCTGGGATTCTATTGATGCTTTCACTTTTTCCAATGATTTCTGATTGTCACATTTTAAAACAATATCACCGTTACTGCCTACCTTATGGATCTGCAAACCAACCTGTAGATATTCAGGATTTATTTTAGTAAGAAGCTTCTGTTTCAGTGAATCACCCTCCGCATCGTTTGCAGGTTTCACCAATAGTACATGCTCTTTTGGTGGAGCAGCTTTCACTATGTCACTGTAAGATACAGTTGCATTTACCGGACAAGATGCTTTTGCAATCCCATCTCTGTCGTCCAGTTTCTTGCTGAGTTCCAATACAGTTACTGAGAGCTCCTCAATTTTTGCGTTCTGACCATTGATGATCTTGTAGCACTGATCTAGCTTCTTCTTAACATCGGAAAGAATTTGAGCAAAACTGGCGCACTCACAAGCCGAATTCACTGAACGCGAAGTCGTCCTTTTCGATTCACCACCCGCGCTACTCATATCGTTGAGGATATTCTAGGAAGAGCGGCAACGTTTCCACATTCCAGCTGTACAGCTAGCAAATTCCTGCAGCATTCCTGCAGCGACCGTGTCGAGAAATCACTCAAAAAATCAGAAAAAAATGCAGCTACTTATCACATACGATTTATAACTGTTAACCAACCGTATGTAGATACTTTTCCTAATTTTTTAACATTCAACTCTGGAATAAATTCACACACACGCCAAGAGCGACCACACACCACGAGTTCACGTAGTCTACTGTAGTCTACAATACAACTTTTAAATTTTGTGACCTCAAAGGACGTTTCAAAGAAGCACTAAAATTAATAACAGCGCAAAAATGGGAAAACTGTATTAAGCACGTGAAAGACAAAGTTGAAAAGAGAATGTGGGAACTGGACAATATTTTAGAGGAACAAGTCGAGCCATTCATTATTGACGTTGGTGCTTCAGGCAGTAGCGATGATGAAAGCTCATCAAGCTCATCTTTCCAATAAAAGATGTCGTTCATCAAATTCGGTAAGTTATAAGTAATTATAAAGCTACTGTATTTTTTAATTAATTATTGACATTTTTGAACCCATTTTGGCAAAACCTATTCAAGAATCTACTTTCTGACAATGTTCAACCATGCACATTTTTTTACGTTTTGTTTTAATTTGGTTACATATTTACCTAGAAATCAAAAAATATACTAATCAATATTCTAAAAGCAATTTTAAGAGATAAACGATTATTTTTAATTTAGGCCATTTTGAGATTATATTCGACTGTATTTCACCAAACATCAGGTGGCATCCGAAGCTGGAAATCGAAGCGAAAATTTTGAAACCCTTATGTATATTTACATCATTATATATTTCTTACCCCACCCCCACATTATCCTATATCCATCACCAATCATATACACATCGAATTGTGCTAATTTACTACAAAGTTACGCAAAGCAGCATCTACTATCTAAAATATGTACTGCGTGACTCTTAATACGTCCCTGCCGAATGTTACAGCGTTCGATGATCACGTGGTCTTGTTTATGTCCGGTCTATCTCTTATCTGAATATACTGATACAAATTTTTCTCCATAGTAAAATGAATCATAGACAAAGAAAAACTCTGGTACTTACAGGCAACAGAGCATTGACATTTTGAGCAGAATCAGCCAAAGTAGCCAAATATACGAGATTCCTGTGCAGCGTGGTTTGTAATTGCATCACTTCTTGAGCTTTCCCTTTGCTCTGGTATTCCTGGATAGTCTGGATGAGCTGACCATTCTCATCCAGGAGTCTCTGAATTTGCTTTGTATCCGGTGGTGGTCTCTGGCCTCCACGTTGAGCGAAAGTAGCAGACATTTTTTCGCTAGAGCCCTATAGTACTCTTACGTGGTAGCTCGTCCAAAATATTCGGATTTTTCTTTTTCACAATCAAGAGCGACTCATCGAGAAGCCAGAACGGACAATCGTGCCGTGCCGTGAAGCATAAAAACAAATAATTGACAGTTTGACACCGGTTTGACATCTGATATTAGAGAAAAGTACTAGAGATGATGATCTAATAGTCGATACTCGATCTTTCCTAGACAACACAAGTATGCTGCAAGCATAATAAATATCGAGGAGGGATACCAATAACCGATCACAGATATCACTTAAGAACCGTGCCGTGAAGCATAAAAACAAATAATTGACAGTTTGACATCTGATAGAGAAAAGTACTAGAGATGATGATCTAATAGTCGATACTCGATCTTTCCTAGACAACACAAATATGCTGCAAGCATGATAAATATAGAAGAGGGATACCAATAACCGATCACAGATATCACGTAACGAGTTAATTCGCTCTCCAATAACAGTGGCGTATATAACGTACAATGTAGAAGGTCGCATCTAGTGTCTTAAAAATTCCAAGCTAGTATACTTCGTCTCCGAATGTAAATTTAAATTTCATAAATTTTCATGTAGGCGTATAAAGATTTAAAAATCATTCTTCAAACTTTTGTTTGTATGTGTACATGAGAAATGGTATGATATACAAAGGAACAAATACTATGCATAAAAATAAAGCCTTTATTCCACAGGAAATTGTAAAACATATGTGAATTGAGCTGATAAAGTTCATTACCTATCATGACTGTCTCAGTAATTCGTCAGTTTTTATGTCAGAAGTGATAAACTATTTTCCTGTATCCTACTATCACACAACATTAGGCAGATTTTAAATAAATACATAGTTCTCTCAATATAAATTACTTATGGCTAAAGTGAGGTTGTAAAAGATCTGTTAGCTACCCTGTTTATAGTCACCAGAAACCCTGAAATATATATTTTGAGCAGAAAACTTTCAACTTTTACTGGAAACTACAGTACTGCCTATTATTGTTTCAAGCAGATTCTAGATTCGACTTATTTATGCAGAGATTCTTTAGCTGATATTAAAAAAGTATTCAGCTTTTACTGAATTATTTTGTAGAACAATACAAGGACTTCCTTAATGTTAAATAGAAGCTGTACATTTATGAGCAAAAAGTTACCATTTATATCACATTTACATAATCATTTCAATAAATAGTATGTACAATGCTTTATGTAAAAATATATTGTATAACTTAATTAACTGTAAAATAATTCTTTGATTACAACAATCGTGTCATTTCTTAAAAGAAAGGCAATATCATAAAATAATTCTAGAATTTATGGATAAAATTAGAAAACTATTCTATCCACTATTATGATAGTGCCTGTCAAAGTTTACAAATGATTATATCATAGCCCCACCTAAAAGAACTATTTTTCAGATATATAAATTAAATAGATTTGTACAGTATTTGTAAAATTGTATATATGAATTTGCTATGGAAAGTTCTAGGGATAAAATGATATATACAATTTCCTAAAAGCCCACCTAGTCAGTTACTTTGTGATATTTTTTCCCACAAGGTACTTGTGTTATTCTTTTGGTGGGTTATCCTTCTTTTTGTCTACATAGTTGTATTTAATTGATCTAGTGAGTTGTGTCAGCTGGGCCCCTTCATTGGTGAAGTGACAGGCAAAAAGCAACATATTTCTGGGCTGTACCTTCCAAGCAAACCTCATGAACATGGCAGAATACAGGCAGAGAGCTGTAAAGAGCAAAAGTATTAGGAACAGGTAATTTTATTTTCACCAATCTTTTTTCTACTTTCTGACACTTTTTCTATTATAAGGTTCACTCTAGTCTTCTCAAGGCTGCTTTGAATATTAAATAAAAGGTCTATCAGATACACAAATGGGTACATTTTTTTGTGGTGTCTTGAACCATGTGACTACCTACTTGGCCCATCTCATAAGATACTCACCTACAGTCATTGTAGGACTTATAATCTTTGGGTCCTTGGATATGTCTGCGATAGCTGCTATAGGTATTCCCCAATTTGCAACTGGTCCCCAGAAATGGGTACTGAAAGTTAGCAATTAGTAAAGGCAGTATTCATTAGACAGTCTACAAACCTCATCAAATAGTCCCTAAATTCCTTTGATTTCAGTTGTTCTGCCAGTTTCTTCGCCAATGTAGAAGCCATTTTGTATGCGTTTCTTTCCTATTATACTTGATAATTTGGACCTAATTTGTATAACGATTAATTTATGGATTACATGAAAATGAAATGTTTGGCACTGAAAATTTCCATGCGAGATGTCATTGAGTGGTGAAAGTCAACACGGCATGACATTGAATTTAGAAAAACGTGGTCAGTATTAGAGATGGGTAAAACTATCGAAAAACGGCTTGACTAAGAAACAAAATAAAGCACTTGTAGCCGATTTACTTGTGATGTTAACTTCTCTCAATAATTTAACCCGTCGAAAATATCAAAATTGTTGATGGAATAAAAGTATAAAAAGAAAAAAGTATCGAATAACACCATTCATCTCTATGATTGCTATTTTATAGCATACCGGGTGTTTCAAATTCGGCCCTCATCAAAGAGATCTCGACAGCAAGAGATAAGAAGTCGCTTAGAAAGTTTCGAAATCCAAAGTACTTCCGGAGAGAGACGAAAATAACCGACTTTTCCCGAAATCGTTTTAATTTTTCCCTGGCTTTATTTGTAGTGGGAAGCTCTCTCTATCTGTGCAAAAATACAAAATGGCGTCCATAAAAAATTAAGTTGATGATGGAGTACAAGAGACGAAGAGTCATACTGAAATTCTAATTATGCCATCTTGTAAAGGTGAAAAAGGCGCAATGTTAATGTGCAATTCATTTTAAAATTCCACTACAAATGAAATCAGACAGAGATTAAATCGTCTCTCTCCGGAAGTACTTTGAATCTTTCTAAGCGGCATTTTGCTAGCGACCGCTTCCTTGCGTATGTTTAAACAACTTCGTATCTCTTCCTGTTTCTGGCATCCCAATGGTGAGGGTCGAATTTGGAACACTGGGAATACGTTAGCTCCCATCTCTATACTAAGTTCAGTGGCGCCACGTAAGGGCTTCAAGTTTGGACAAGTACTATTATTTACTAGATTTAAAAATAGAATGAAAAGCACAGATGAGTTTCACACTTTTTAATTGTAAAATAATATATGGTTCATACATTTTTTACATTATTATCCATTTTAAATCACAGTCTAACATGAGCACATTTTGACAAGTCCACTTTTGCACCCACAATTTGAGATATTTCACTTTCTAACAGCTGATGTAATGACTTCTTATCATGCTTATAGACCCAATAGTCGTCTTCTACAACATAATCATACCTTTTTGGACCAGAAGTTGGAGAACTCAGCCAAATCTGTTTGTTTGGAGATTGTCTATTTATCACATATGTTCCACACTTTCCTAAATTTACAGTGAGCACTCCACTACTGTATTGAACATCTCCAGCAGCTAATTGATCATGATTTTCTATTAACTCCTCAAAGAATTCTGTTAGCGATTCCAACGTTTCATCACATACCTTTTCATATAAATTACTGTCCAATTGGTCGTTGCTTAGATCTGGACTTGTACTATAACCTGGGTAAATGATTTTCGGAACTCTACAAAGTCTATCGTGTTGTGCATGTCTCAAATTGCTCCTGTTGAAAATAGTTGATCGATCACAAATACCTGATGAAGCCACACTTCGCGATCCTATTTGTATATTTTTGCTCGTGACAAATCTTCGTAAACGTAGTAGAAACATCATTAAACAGTCAAACGATCAAATTTCCTCAATTTGTATTTCATAAAATTTTCTGGGTAGTTTGTTTTCTTTTTACACTTAGGTTATTTTGTGGTCGCATATGACAAAAGGTAGAGATGGGCAGGCAAGTAATTTATATTGTAAAGCTTGCCACAGATGTCGTCCATTTACACGGTCAACTTACGTGCCAAACCGCGGCTGCGATTCTGTAAGCGTTTCGACTTATGCATGGTTTAATGGATGGGATGCAGTCACCGACGTGTCAAGATGTGACAACCCACAGTAACATTCCCACTGAAAGAGCGATTGGCATCTTACAGGCCCTGTTTCAGAGTATGCAACTTGGTAGGTTAGATCAAATAATTTTCAGACGCACTGTCTTTAGGTGGTGAATACTGTACTTCTTTATGATTCTATGACAATATGAACGACGTACTGATGCTTACTATTCCTATTTGCTTTCAATTTATTCAGCAGCCTACTCGCTGAAAAGTATAAATGGATTGTCAGCCGTCACCTATCGCCTGCCATCTCGGTATTACGCAGATATACGTAGTCATGCCATAAGTTCTGTCCCTCGTTTTCAAACAAGTGTAGACCTGTTAATACTTGTCCGATTGTTTACATTGTGGTGTCAGTTGATTAAGCGCTTTTCGGGTAATTACATATACCTCAGTTTGTATTGATCTCTCGAAGCATAACGATGGAGTGGGGCAAGGCAGAGAACCGTATTGCAGTGATAGCTTTACATAAGTGTAATCACAGTGCTAGTCAGATTTTTGAACTCTTACGCGGCCTTCAAATATCGCGTAAATTTGTGTCTAGGACCATTCAGCGGTACAATGAGACGTCCTCTGTTGATGACAGGCCAAGAAGCGGAAGACCTCGTCAAGTAAGGACTCCAGCAGCCATCAAAGCCGTAAAAGCCAGGATTCAAAGGAATCCACCCCGGAAGCAGAAGATCCTATCCAGGGAAATGAAGATTCCTGTCCGGACGATGTCGCGCATCATTAAACAAGACCTAGGGCTAGGGGCTTACCGGAGACGTACGGGCCAGCGACTTACGGCCACCTTGCGACACATCAGGGCGACAAGATCCAAGAAGCTCTTGGAGAGGTACGCAGCTGGGTGATTCCGAAAGATTTTGTTCACGGATGAGAAAATCTTCACCATAGAAGAAAAATTCAACCGACAAAATGACAAAGTGTATGCAAGGAGTTCACAGGAAGCTTCGGAGATCATTCCGAGAGTTGAGAGAGGCCACCACCCTGCGTCAGTCATGGTTTGGTGGGGGGTGTCCTACGAAGGGGTCACTCAGCTCCATTTCTGTAAACAGGGCGTGAAAACAAAAGCGGCAAACTATCAGAGCGACATACTGGATCCTATCGTCAAGCCTTTAAGTGATACATTGTTTGCCAACCAACACTGGGTCTACCAGCAGGATTCCGCCCCCGCTCACAAGGCTAAGAGTACGCAGCGCTGGCTGGAAAGCAATGTGCCAGAGTTCATTGCTGCGGAAGATTGGCCCTCAGGGAGTCCGGACCTCAATCCTTTAGACTACAAGTTGTGGGACCTGCTAGAGCAGTTGGCCTGCTCCAAAGCCCACCGTAATATCGAGTCCCTGAAAGCGGATTTGATCCGATCAGCGGCAGCTATTCCTTTGGAAGCTGTGCGTGCAGTGATAGATGAGTGGCCCGCGAGATTGAAGCAGCGTGTGAAGGCCAAGGGGGGACATTTTGAATAAAACTGTTTGATTATGAATTCTAAAAATGTTGTCGAATAAATAATATCTTTCATATAAATATATCTTATCTTGTTTCATTTTTATCTTGAGATTATCATGGGACAGAACTTATGGCACGACTACGTAAATCAAATTCAAGCGGATAACCAAATCGAAATGGTATATTTACCATTTTGGGTTGGTATTTACCAATCCGTTCAAGCGAGTGTAGTTATCAGTTTGGTTATAAGATCCGTGACGTCACGAATCAGCTGTTATATGTCATAGTTATCAGCGCAAAATTGTGGTATTTACCCAACTGAGTAGTTTTATATTTCTGGTTATTATTTGAAATGTGACAAGTTAGAATTTTGCCGGGTATTGGATATTGTTATTGTACTTCAGCTTCATTTTTGAGAAAACTGATACAGGCTGACTTCAGTTTTACCATAAAGTGGAGCACCTTATTAGTTATACTCATTACGGTTTACGGTTGTTGGGGACACTTTAAATGTAGTTCCTATGCTTAACAAAGTATCCTGTGTAGCCATATACCACAAGAATATTAAAATATGGCCATATAAACTCACTAGATGATATCCACCTGTATACGGTTTTGCTAATTTCTTTTTTCATCATTTCTGCTGAATCAATAAATGTTTTCTTTGACATGCGGAAAAATTTAGAGAATTGAAAGTTATCATAGCTTCAAAGCCATGGTTCCATCATTAAAAAAACAAATCTGAAAAAACATTTCTCCCATGAATATTATGAAAGGTTTCTTATTTAAACTTTCCATATACAGTTGTAGACGAAAAAGCACCGATTATTAAGTGATAATAAAAATAATCAGAGATTATATACGCGCTTTTCTAAAATAAACAACTTGCAACAAAACCGCGGTTAAAACCAACGCGTTCAAGCGATTCGTGTAACTGACGTCATCAACCCGTGTGTCATCTTGAACCATATTATAACCGCGGCACATAACACAGAAATTTTGGTTATTCGCTTGGATTTGATTTTAGTGATATGTCAGGTGGTTATAGTTTTCTTAATTCGTATACCCTATTTCACGAGTATCCATCACGGTAGAATGACAGCCGATTATCTAGCAATATCTCAAAATATCCCATATCGACTTAGGACAATCGACAATTCTGACGGATCCGTCAACGCCAGAGCCGTATTTTGTTTTGGTTTTTTGTTCACCTCAGATTTATTTTTAATTATTTTAATTTAGAAAGGTTCATTTGCATATAAAGAACAACACGGCACAAATAAATTTTATTAGATTTATACCACAGTCATTATTGCCAACGTTGCATACTAACACAAAAATATCACTTGCTGATCAGCTGTTCACCTCAGTAGACATCAAAGCGTGATGAATACTCGTGAAATAGGATATACTTTAATTACCTACAACGAATGACTTTATGAAAAACATATTGGATTGGGGTATAACTATGGTATACAAAAAATCTGTAATTCCATATAACCCAGAAAAAGAGAAAAAAATGAAACAAATACAATCAGAAAAAAATTCTATATTTTGACAAGAAATGATTTTACAAATTCATAATTCTATTGCATATCACCACACTCACAGTCTCACTGCCATGCTTTAACAGTCATTCTTCTTGGTTCATACCCACAACAAAAACCAAGCTCCTATATAACTTTCATTTAATAAATTGTGATTAGTATAGTATATTAACTGAACAATATGCAAAAAGCATGGGATTCGAATTATTGTATTTCCTCAATTTTCCAATAGCGGTTCTAAGGAAGACGCGAACAAGAAGGCGAGAGTACAAAATTACGCGTATAAATAAGTTTTGAGGGTACATCTTGATAAAAAGTTTGTTGCGATTAAGAATCGAGAAATGCACAGCTTTTCGAAACATCAGGATATTCATGCTGAGGATGCAAAAAACAGCTTTTTAGTGGATCGTGGTTGTATATTTCATAATTATGACAATCAAAGTTTTGCCATCTTTAGTGTTCTGTCAAATATTCAGATTTTTTCAAATAACTGTACGATGGAACTATTGTTTATAGTTTTAAGATATGAAAATTTGCATTAGAAAACTGCATTCACCATACTGAAAAATCTCGTTTAAAATGTTTCAAAGTTCTCCCAGTAGTACGTCAACATTTGCATTCTTGAACTGTAATTGAACCATCATTTGAATTTTAGTGGAGACAAACATTTATATCAGCAAAGGAGAATGCATGATTAAAATGTACGAATTTTGCGAATAACTTTGCAATTTTGGTATATTAAATGTTATTAAGATTAGACTAGATATTTACAAGTCGTCCACGAAATTAATACATTAAAATCATCACATTTTTTGACCTGATAGATATTCCGCTTGTCTTTAAGTGCTCCTGATATCAATTTCAGGCGGTTACTTGCCGTATTTCAATAGTAATTTATGTCGCGTGAAAATGCCAATCAACAATGTTCGACAGTGACGTCGGAAAGAGACTATAGTATATCAAGCATTGCCTAGTGACATTGTCGCGAGCCCAAGTCGTCTCTCTTCCCCTATTGAGTATGCACCCTTTTAGTATCCATCAACTGATACTTTACCCAAAAGGATTGAAAAGCTTTGTGTTGAGTCGTAGGGTAGCCTGACTTTAAGCCGTTGCTTAAAGAATTCTACCTGAAGATAACCAACCTAATACTATACACACGCGTCAATCTCCGCAATAACTAGGAAACTACTTTGAAAAGATTAGTGTCTCATAGATGGCGCTGTAGCCAAGTTTATATGAGCATATAGATGCAGCGCCATCTACAAAACACTAACCTTATCAAAGCAGACTTCTAATAATTGCTGGAAAGAGGAATGTAGCATTGAGAAATTATCATAGATGAGACTACGGTACCTCATTTCATATCGGATAATGTTTCGCACGCGTGAATATAGTACTAAGTTGGTTATCTTCAGGTAGAATACGTTGATCATTGACCACACCCCATGGCCCTTAAGGGGAAAGCTGTTAAGCGAAACCCTTCCACTTGGGAAAATCAAACGGACTGGTGCCACGCGAAGAGAAGCGACGAGTCAAATTTGACGTGTGCAAATGACAAATTTAGCCGCGGGTCCCTTAGCGCCGCATCGTCTCAGTGGGCGTCCAGCTTTATTATGTATATATTTCGGTAGGCAGGTAGGGAGAACTTAATATAAGACGGCCAGCAAATGAATTCAACAAACCGTTCATCAAATGTACCGCTTCTAAATGCAACATGATGCCCAATCATTCGGGCCTTTCTTGAAGTTTTACGCTCTCAGATGGTATTACCGCAACATCCTTAGTAACCTCGTAAATGTGTCAGTCCCAACGAAAAGTCAGAACGTTGCGATATTGACAGGTGACATTTTAGTCTTTAGGATGGCTTTTAACGGATATACTTTGGTAGTTTGGCTAATTTGGAAGATGGGAATGTGTCTACAAAATTTGCAGATTATTTTATCCATCAAAATCAGCACCCTGTAGATATACTGATGGATCACAAAAGTCAGCCTCAAATGCACTCCTAAGTCAGATCTGTTGAAGGAGTTAAGTCGCTGTTATACTCTGAAGCGGCGGCGACGGGTACCGTACAAGGTTGCCAGACGGGCTGAATAGAAAGTCCTAGAAAAATTCCCAAAACTGAGGGAAAACCCAATATGGCGACTCTGTTAACGAGTCGTCGCACGATTTCGTTTTTAATCGTGTGAAACCAGTCACTTCCAAGCAACGATGTCACTTTTCATAACTTTATTCAATTACGCCACTCAATAGATGCAAACTGTTCTCAATCGTGCTAATATTGATCCGTGCGGGATAGTAAAACCAGTAAATACCACTTGAATAATGATGGTATAATAATAATAAGCTTCAAGTCTATCCGGTCAATCTGGCAACCCTGTACCCCGCTACCTGGCAATATTATAAAGGCGGCCTTAGGATCAGTGTTGCCAAGTCAACCAATTTTTCGATAGATCTACCGATTAGAGAAAGGTTTCTTAAATAATATTTCTTAGAATTCAATGAAAGACAATAATAGTGCATTATAGGGAATGATGTAGCCCTAAGGTCTTCAATTTATTTAATAGCAGTATTTCAGCATTTGATACTAACCTCCCTCCCCCTCGCACTTCAATTTTCGATCGTCGGCAAGTTTATGCTTTATGGTTTACTGTCTACCGAAATCTACTGAACAGTTTCGCAAAAATTTACTGAAAACTGATCGTCTCTATACCTGGCAACACTGCTCAGGACAATCTTAAGTGAACAGTTATCTACATGACATATGACAGGTAACTGCGAGACAGAGATAACTAGAAATTGTGAACAGCAGATTTGGTCAAAATGTTTTGAGAACCAACAAGGAAATATGAATGGGATGAAACTATTTGGCAATTTGATTTCTCATATTTATTTCTGGTTACAAGTTTTGTGACCCATCAGCATAACTGAAGAAATTAACAATCGTTTCGCATAGATCGAATGTTAGGATTTTTTCTTTTTTAATAAAAATACAATATAAAACGTCAAAGTATCTTTTGATAGTTTGAAAAACTTGTAGAATAAATTAACAAAAGTTGAACATGAAAAATATGTGTAAAAATCTGCTGGAACAATAAGCTTCCAAGTAATTTTGAATGCTGTGGACTATAAATGGGAACGAATTTCATTGAAAAAAACGTCCATTCTGGCTTCGTAAAAATCCGCAAGACCAGAACACAAAAAAATGGTAGTTTCCTTACAGGCTACAACTACATTAATTTAATATATATAACAATACTATTTATATAATGAATAAAGTCACATTCTGCACTGTTGTTTATTCTTTTAAAAAAATCTGTTTGGATATTTTTCTTACCAATTTTTTATAAAAAAATGGCACACTATACTAAGCTTTACACACACTTTATGGACACAAATTTAATTTTTTTGTTTTTAGGTCAGTTGACACTATAAGTGGTACGAATGGTAATAGCATGGTAATAGCTATGTATATACAGGGTGTCCCAATTTGAATGGTCCTCAAGTTAGGTCAGCTGAAATATGCTCGTATTCAAAGGTTACCAAAATTTATTCATCACTGTACTGTTCTACATTCAAAATCTGCACAGACGAAGGACCAAATTTGATACAAATTACATTGGAACACCTTGTAAACCTTTGCTTTTTTACCAAATGGTCAGACAACCTGAAAAAACTGCTACAGACCATATAGTCTGAACTGACCGTTATGTGAAAAAGGACATATCTTCATTATGTATACAGTAATGACAAGAAGTGAATGCGCTATGAACCAGATTTCATCCAAAGATATTTTAAAATAATCAAGACTATGGTCATTAAGAAATATATCAACAATGCACGTGAGGTACACCTTTGTCAATAAACTTGTCTCATTTAAACGCAAATTGCGGGATAGCTGTCTGAATTTGGCAATAAGTCTACTCTGTCATCTCATTACCGGTACGAACAATCTTGAAATCGGCAAAAACTCTCATAACGCATCCACTTTTTGTCATCAAGATACAGTACAGACATGAATAGTCTTTGGGTACAATCAAAATCCACCAATCTTCACATATCACTAGTGGTAGACGCTCGCGCAAAAGAAGATTACTCGCAAAATACATCACAATCAATCGGTAGGGGGTTTGAAGCGAGATTTGACCACACGGAACAAAACAGTACACTATCGCTGCCTGCCGCCACAAGCCACCAGGTGGCGCTGCAGTCGCATTCGCATCGTCGTCGAGCGTACTAGACGAGGTTGTACTCGCGCAGGTTCGATTGTAATATTGTATCTTTCACTGCCGCAAATACGAACTTTATATTCTCCGTATCTATATGAAAAAAAAATAAAGGCATTAACCATTTGAAGAAGTAATTTGCTCACATCATTGATTAATGTACTTGAAGGTATCCAAAGATACAGGGTGTCCAGTGGGAAAGTTCACTTTTTGATTTAAGAAGAAAAAATTCAAACATCATTCCGTTCAAATACACACGATACACTCTTCTAATCGCGCGCGCAAATTCTGAAACACTCTCTTGCAGAGTGAGGGAGAGATGTTTATATCTCGTCGAATCTCGTCTTTAAGCTCCTCCAGTGTTCGTGGATTATTGGAATACACTTTTGACTTTAGATAACCCCACAAAGAATAATCGCATGGCGTGAGGTCGAGTGACCTAGGAGGCCAGTAAGTGTCTAAAATCTTCCATATAACTTTTTGAGGAAAAAGTGCTTTCACCGTGTCCATCGATTCTCTGCAAGTATGGGCAGTGTCCTCAACCTGTTGAAACCATGTGTTTCTGTTAAATTGACGTTCTGTTCTTACAATAAGAGCAAAAAATGTGTCAATCATGTCCTTGATTCGCTCGGAATTGGTTGTCAATGCATGACCGTTTTCATCTTATCTCCAAGAATACTGCTAGAGGATATGGCGCTCAAATCAGTCATCTTTGCACTGTGTAGCTGTTGCTGATGTTTCTCGTTTGGGTTCCTTAGTACCCAATATCTGCAATTTTGCATGTTCACATAACCTTCTATTTGAAAATGAGAACAACGTTCTCGAGTCTGCGCTGCGTATGAACAAGATTCAACATCCGTTCAGCACAAGATTTCCGTAATACGTAATTACTTTCCTTTATAGTATGGATTGATTGGATTTTATAAGGATGAAACCCATTTTTTCATTATGCCATGCAGTGTTGACCTAGGGATTCCAAAGCAGCGGAATGCTTCCGTACAGAACGCGGAGGATTTTCAATGATCGAATCACTTACTCGACAAACATTTTCTTCGGTTGATACAGTAGGTGTTTGGCCAGAAATGGGTAGACTAAGAATAGAGCCTGTTTCACGGAACCTCTTAATCCACTTTTTCAATATGTTCTTACTTGAGGCATCTCTTGGTCGCCGAATGTTGTATCGTGTGCAAAATTTCCGAAGGGCAGCTGCGTATGAATCACCACTCTTAAAGTAAACCTGGATAGCAAAAGCACGTTGAGCTCCGGTCCAACGTTCCATTGTGATTATTTAACCCGCACGCCGAACGCGTCGATCTCCACTCTCCCCACTTTGTCGCGTATACGGTTACCGCGTAATTCAAATTTGAAATGCGAACTTTCCCATTGGACACCCTGTATAATATATTACTTCGTCAAAAAAAGGGGCTAAAGGGTACTAGAGCCATTTATGAGACAGTATCATGACCGGTATTCTCGTTTTTTAGCTGGAAAGTGAAACGCTTAGCGAATCATGTCGTACGCAAAAGCGTTTGGTTTAGGTATGCACGTTGCTGTGCGAACGCTTCAAATAGACCCCCCTGGCACATCTTGGCGGAAGAAGTGTGTATCCCATGTTAGAGAGAGATAGAAGCCGGCGGATGAGCGAAGGTCATCAGCACATTGCCTAGCGACGGTGACGCAGAAGGTCGTGCTATCTGCCGCGTTGCCAATATCCACCAGAAAATGTTCGCACAAGCTTTTACAATAAGTTAGGTTACTGTCAATCCCAAGGATTAAACATTTAATTTAATATTTTCTTTTCATTTTGATTAGAATTATTCACTTCAATTTTGATGCGACTTATGTTTTGATTTATTTTAGAATTAGCTTTGCTTTCGACCGATGGTGATAAAATCAACACATTCTGAGTTATTGTTACATTTTGTGACAGCGAGCGGTTGGAAAATGTCACAAATACCATTACGCAATACACATTGTCGCTGCCTGCGTGTACGCCCATCGGCCTCCAATTTTTGCCTCTGCAAGTTTCCAATATTTCTGATTAAGTTAACCCCAGTAAACTGGTATTCTACTAGGTACTGGGAAAAACTACCACAGCATCGCATCAAAAACACCAAACACCCCAGATATAAATAAAAGCCAGTACATCGTGAGATAAACAGGAATACCATATTTTCACAGGCACATCGGAAATCACCATGCGCGCAAGTGCAAATGGCGTCATATTTGCTGAGCGACTTGAAACGCTTTGCGTTTTGAAGAACGAGAATACCGGCCTAGAGTACAAAACCGAATTTAGAAATCCACTTTGCAAAAGTGTTTGGTTTTGCTGCTGTCTCTTAGATGACGCTAGGATCTTGAATCCCTTTTTGGTCTGTAACGTCTATTTTAACCCTCGGTTACTACTCATGGGTCTATGAAACCCCTGTCAACTTTGAAAACGATATTTTCAAACAATACCAATTTGCAACACTTGCTCAATTATTGTATGTCCAAACTGTTCAGAAGTCATTTTATTATACACAACATATCCTGTTCCTTAAATATAGTACTTTTCACGGTTTTTGGCGATTAAATGCTAATGGAAAACTGGGCAAACCGATCTTACACCACGAATTGTTTAATAAAGTGCTTCAATCACATCTCAAAATACACTAATAAATTTGCCAATCGATATTGTCCGTTAGTTGTATTTTCAGAGACGTCTATGTTTATATTACAGAGATCAACAAAAGGTAGACTCGAGATAATACGCCCATGTCAAGTGAGGGAGATATAGATATAGAATGACTCGCCAAAAACCGTGAAGTATACTGTGTTCCATTAATTATTAATTGTTCAAAATTTACATATTATTTTATACGAGGTTCAGATTGACCCTTGAGTGACCGGGTAACATTTATTTTTAGGAATGACCAAGGGTTAATTGGTTATCTTCAGGCATTGACTAACGTATCCCACCTCCTTTTGAGAAGAAGTTGTCAAGTTGCATCATTTGATCATTCAAAAAACTGTATCATCCGGATTGAACTTGAAAAAATAATCTCAATCTGGCGTTGATTTAAATAAATTTCGGAGTTTTTACTTGTCGCTAAGTGATCAAAGACCAGGACAAGTTTATATAAAACACTCTTAAGCGACATGCTATCAGTATAATCATATGGAATTAAAACAGGGCACAATCAGTGAATGAGAATGAAATTATGCTCATGCAGATATATGAAACAAAATCTTAACTACTAGAACAACGTCATATGATTTTTAATCAATTTGAGTCTTGCCAAAATAGACTAATTTGCTTGAAAGTATTTCATTTTTATGCCATACAGCAATGAAGTGCTCATATACTTTAACAATATGACTTGATTTTCCAACCATTTGTCGAAAGATATCGGATCTTCTATTTTCAACACAAGATTTACATTAAAATTAGAGACATATTACACGATATCGCTTTGAACTTGATTCACCCTGGATTAATGCAAAAGGCAAGACGTTAATTGGAAGGATTTTTATAAACCTTTTAGTAGGGAGGCCCAAGAGGATGGGTATTTACTCAAGCGTCGTGTTGGGTTTGGAGATTAGATCGCAGAAAAAAAAGGTTATATACCCTTTTAGTGGTAGGGGGAGCGTCTACAGCTTGTCAAAAATAAAAGAAAACGTTTACAAAGAAACACTCGAGCGGGTCAGATATTGATATTGTTTATGCCATATGTCCTACATGTCACTGATACTGGAGGTATGATAAAATGCCAGTTTGTACCATGTGGGCCATGAATAAAAACAAAGAAGGCCAAGAAAAATTGCTGTGAATTATTTTCAGCTTCATAAAGTGACCTCTAGGGGGCGTGACTCTAACCGGAAAAAACTTTGAATGCAATGGTATTATTTTTCATTATTCGGAAAGGGCATGAAAAATCCTACAAGCTAGTGAAAACCGCAAGTTGTACCTCCATTTGTTATGAAGTTTTTTTTCTCACTTTGTTACGTCAACTCAAATCGACAGAATATTTAGATACAAACTTTTCAATATGTAAACCTTACCCCTGACGCGCTCGAATATTTCTAGCCATCGATTTTGTTTACTATTCTGATCGGTTGCCGTAGACGTATCACACTGTATAAATGGTGGGGGTACTAAACAGGATGCAAGATATATCTCCTTATCTTAAATCTGCCGCGCTCGAGCAAATCCCAAAATCCCATATTGGGTTCCCCTACTATTTGATTTACCACTGTATCTTTTCTAATTTTTCATAATGGGAAAACTACAAAAATTCTACAGTGATATAACAAGTAATTGAATTGATGCGACACAATCTTCATGCTTTATGCACCCTGATGAATGAGTGGCCTGGTAAGCAAGAGTTGAACATCAATAGGTGGAATGATGAAAATCATGAGTTAACTTACATGTGAATATTTACCTTGATACTAAGCTAAATTGAACTCTTTCAACGCTGATTGCATGATAGTGTCTTTGACAGCACAAAACACGAGTTTGATGTTCTCGGTATCTATATAAAATTAAAATATAATCCATTCCAGAAAGCATGCAAAAAAAACAAGTATTATATATTCAGATAAAACATGCAGAAAAGCACAAGAAAAAAGCATGCTGTATATGTTTCTCCAAATCCTAATAGGAATATATTCATGCATTGAAACAATTAAATTCCTGTCAGATTTTGGAGAAGCCAAAAAATTACGGTCTAGCAAAATACCTGTAGCACATGTAAAGTGTGAGTATATAATTTTTTCACTATCTGGATTCAGGTCTACAAACATTCTTAGAATAAATTCTCTAGCGGCAATCGCATCTCGTTGAGGACCTGCGTTAAATAAGAAATTCGGGGATTATAAGAGTCCATACAGGTGATACCTTCTATTGAAAAATCATGGCATTAGTCTATTGGTATATTTAGACTCAATGTTCTATGTCGAATATATTACAAACAACTTTAGAATATGTGTTACGTTTACGTTGTATTTGTTCACTTGAAACCTTGGTTCTGACAAGTCTTCAAAAGACAACACTTCAGGTTTTTGTAATAAAAATAGCTTACAATTTTCAATTTTGCAGCAGCAAGATGGAACAAAAAGCAACCACAAAACCAGGCCGTTTTTGTCCTAAATGGCAGACCTCGTTTCTGCGCCTTAGAAGTAAAGTGTGTTAAGTCACTAAAATATAATTTTACAGGAAAGGCGTTTATAGTTTTTTTTCAGGTTTATTGCGCTTTCGTAAGTATTTGTGTATTTTTTTTATTGTTTGTTATGTGGTCGTTACAATACAATACAGGCATGAAAATAATGCAAAAAGCAATACTTTTTAGTCATAATAAAAATTAATATAAAAGAACTTAACTCTTATAAAAATTCAATTTTTAATTGATGAAAAAAAATGATTTACAAAATTATTGTCTAATTCAGAACATAAGCAACTAATAGACAGTGTAATTAATCAGAATGGTCTAGATACTCTAGATTTTGATAAAATGGATGAAAAATTTTGAGTACCCATTTTAGTAGGGCTTGCAAGTTATTAAACTTTTGTATAATTATGCCTTTAAATGGTGCTTTTGGTAGGTTTTCAGGAATATTAGTAATCGATCGACGATTCTTGTTTAGGTCAATTTCATTGAAGTTATCACTGAGATGTTTTGAAATATAAAATGCCCTTATTTTGGGATCGTACTTGTAGGTGAACGGCGTTTGATATTAAAAATGAGTCATTTGTAATTGTCTTTTTTCTCTTTACAAAGGGAGCATTAGGACCTGCATAAAGACTTTTAATGTTTATAAAATCATCTTTTTCCATAGAAATTATGGTAAATCGATTTTTCCTGCTACAAATTCAAATTAATTGTTGCCAATCCCAAGGCGTTTGTCTCTTACATTCCCTTTCAATTAATAAATGAGCAGAATCAGCCTCTAAGTGCGTATGGCCTCTAACCAAAAATGTATGTTCTACTATTTTGATCGAAGGGTATTTTTCAAGAATTATAAAATAGCACATAATCATTCCATAGTTTCTGTTCTGCGATGGACAATTATCGGACCAGATTGTTAACTTTTTTAAAGTTGGTACATTTATTGAGTCAATCCAAAAAATGTGACTTAACACAGTATACCTCTCAGACGCTGATTTAAAATATTAGCTGAATGAGGCAACTTTAATCTTTGCAAAATTTCAAATTCAGCTTACATTCTTTTTTTACTTACCAGTAGCTAAAAATGAGCTCAAATTATGATATTGAATTAGTTTCACCTTAAGAGTATTAATTGGATTTGTTTTCCAGTTACTAATTTTCCATCTCACTTAGGTTAAATAAGATACGGCCCGTTTAAGTAGAGGGGTAATTGAGGCAAAACTTTTCCGTTTGTACAGCATTTTTTTATATACCAAAGCAGCCGAGTAGGCCGAAGCCTAAATACCGGAGCACCGCGATGCTATAAAAAGGTTTGAGACGCCCTGTTCATCCGATTTTTGAGTTGCCTAAAGCTTAGTAGAACTGGTGAAAACTTCATCAGGTGGTTTGCCCCACAATCTCAACACCATAGGAGTAAAGAAGCGGTCGTACCGACCAGTTCTGGGTCTGGATGTACTGTATAGCACAATAAAGACAATTGATTGATTGATCTGATAAGAGTGGTTTAACGTGAGTTCTACATCAACAATTCCCATAACCCCTTTCCAGCAATGCAATAATTCGAACTTTATTCATATCATCATGAATTTCCATTCAACACGCAATAGAATCAAAGTTGTGAGGTCTGCCGAAATCGGTTAAAATTGCTGTCCCTATGTGAAATGGAATAAACACAAATCTATATATGTGCACTCAATGGATTAAAATATCACCTGTTGTTTACTAACGTATTTGATAAACCTATTCACACTTAAGTGACCTAATGACTTTCAAAATGAATGCTAAATAGGTCAAGGTCACACAACTGTTATTTGAAAGTAACTTATAAGTGCTTGTCATATGTAGCTAATTTTTTGTGGTTGCTAATTTAGAGCAGTATTAATTTCGTCGTTTGGTAAAACGCTTTTGAAGAATTTTGTAAATGGTTAGTATTATACCTCTAAAATACGGTAGACATTCATCATGAAAAGTAACAAAAAAGTGCATGTTTTAAAGTACTAAAATTCTCAATATCCTAATAAGATATATTAAACTAGCAATATAGGGAAAAGCCTCTGCTGAAACTACTTTATAGCCTTGTTACATAAGTTAAAGGATTTTTAATCCAATTTAAATGATTGGGTCTAAAAATACATCACGTTTCACCATATCCTTGCTCTTACTACTTGAAATAATAAAGATATATTTCCTGTGATGCCAATCAGTGGTTTGCACATTGTAATGATTTTGTCAATTATCAAATTCAGATTTGAAATTTCGCTGGAAGAAGGGGGAAGTCTACGATTTGTTTGTCGCCAAAATTGCGTAGTCAGTAGTCAGAGTAGTCAAGTTTATGCCAAGTACAGGGTGCGGCAGTGCAACTTGCATTTTTGAAAAAAACTGGGTTGCTTTTCATCAATTTTATTGATATCATGTTAATTTACATTAAAAAGCATTTAAGAAACGTTACTCATTTAAAAATAACATTATTAAGATGTCTTCCATTTCGTACGATGCATTCTTGAAGGCGATCTCTAAAATTGTTCATTACATCACGAAGCATCTGCTGAGGGATTATTTCGATTTCCTGACGTTTTCTCGCCTCCAGTTCTTCAAGAGTACTAGGCCGGGGTTCTTCGAAAACTTTGCTTGTTGGCTCCGTTCCGGGATATCACCCAATTTGGGAAAACTTTGTTGAGGAGATTCATGCTCACGCGGGCCGCGTGGCTTGTGGTTCCATCTTGTTGAAGTGACCTTTCATCATGCAGTCCATATTCGCGAAGACCAGGAATAAAGAATGTTCGTAACATTTCCGAGTACCGCTCCACATTCACGGTAACAGTTTGTCCCCTTTCATCTTCGAAAAAGTATGGGCCTATGATTCCCGTTGAAGACATTGCACACCAAGCTGCCACTTTGGCCGGATGGAGAGGTTTTTGATGGAGTTGTTGAAGGTTTTTATCGCTCCAGTATCTAAAATGTTGCTTGTTAACGTAGCCGGAGAGATGGGAATGCGCCTCGTCGCTCATCCAGAGCAACGTGTTTTCTTCCACCATTTCCAAAAACGTTCCACAAAAGTGCCGTAGATCAGCGAAATCCTTTTCATTTACAGCCTGAACCACAATTTCGAAGGGATGATAGTGCAAATCTAACTTCAAGATCCTTCGGAGACTCCTATCTGAAATTCTAAAACCAGTACTGTGTCGACACGCTGATGTCCGACGACTTCCTGTCATACCAATTCTTACACGTTCAATATTCGCACGAGTTCTCACTGATCTCGCACTGCCACCTCTTCTGTCTCTCGTTTCACCGATGCTTTCAAAGTTTTTTTACCCATAACTTTATTGAGGTAACAGAACCATGGTACGTTAGTGATGGTTCGCAAGGTTCTGTTCTGCAAAACCTGCAGATTACGCATATGCGTTTTGGCAAGAAAACACCATGCTGCACATGCGTAAGTGATTGCTGGTCTGATGATCATCTTGTATAGCCTAACTTTGTTAACCAAACTTAATTTTGAGGTTCTACATAGTAAAGGGTAGAGTCGCCGAAGCGTAATTTAGAATTTAGTTTTTAACGCTTCAGTGTGATTCTGCCAGGTCAGCCCCCTGTCAAGAGCGACACCGCAGAATTTCCCCATGGTATGCGAGCTCCATTCACTGAAACCTGATTGATTAGCCACCGATCTGCCCATTGCAATACCTCATCCACCGCACTTTGTAACCTGTCGTGAACCAGATTCCCGGTACGCGACTGGGCCACCAGTGCAGTGTCATCAGCATATAGATAGACTTCACAGTCGCTAGGCCAAGGGACATCATGCGTGAAAAGTGAGTAAAGGATTGGCCCTAGAACCGAACACTGAGAGACGCCGGCTCTGATGGGCCGTACTGTCTACAAGAAATTATTAATTTTGATCCGAAATTTCATACCTTCAAGGAAGGATTTCAAAAGTTTTAGGAGCCAAAATGCAAAGCCCTTTTGAATTAGTTTATAGAGAAGGCCCTTTGCCACACCTTATCAACTGCCTTCGACACATCCAGAAGCAAGATGCCAGTACTTTCGTTAAGGGTAAAGCCCCTGGTTACTCGCTCCACAAGCCTAACTGCCTGTCACTCCGTACTATGCTCAGACCGAAATCCAAATTGCACGTCAGGAATGACATGGTGATCTGACGAGAAATTCGCAAGGTGACGTAAAATAACCTTTTCAGCGAGCTTAGACGGAGCAGACAGTAGGCTGATGGGACGATAGTCCTGGGGAAATATCGAACCCACCTTCTTTGGAATCATTATAACTTCCACAGTCTTCCACGCCGATGGAAAGTACTGGGTCCTTAGCATGGCATTGATAATAGCCACGAGATAAGTCAAGGACTTCCGTGAAATCAGCTTCAGCTCCTCATTAGTGATTTGATCCTCCCCAGGCGCTTTACGCACCTTGAGGTCTTTAATATGACCTTGAAGCTCTGCTGGTGTGCAATGCGGGATCTCGGGAGAAGCCGCTGATGGAAGAATCACTAATGGCGGTACCGGGATCACTGAAGCCGTTGGCCCTAAAATATCTCCTGACGGATCTTACAATTTGTTGCTCCTCGTCGAGATCATTATCAAGATCATAGTTGGGAGAGAACTGTCGTGCCATAGCATCAGCGAAAACCTCGACCTTGTCCTCTGTCCTGAAGAGTATGCCCCCAGGACCGTGGATGTGCGGGAGTTGTTCTCGCTTTCCGTTTCTGAGCATCTTCGCCACTTTCCAGAGAGGAGTACTTGAGTTAAGCATCCCCGCCAGAAAGTCGTTCCATTGCTCATTGCGGAATTCATGGAGAGCATTTCATACTTCATGAACAAGATTCGTCGCTCTGCGAATGTCACCAGGATGAATGTTTTGTGTTGTTGACCTTCCAAAATCACGAATTAAGCAGATTTATCCATATGCTGCACCCTTAATAAATATTTACTTTCGTTTCTTTGGGTTATATAATTTATCTCTATTAAACATAACTTCGCATCGCAGCATAGATAGCACATCTGCCTTGCTCTACATACAAATAGTTACTTTAATATCCTTTCCAGATAAAAGAATGTAAGCCGACGTATTGGCTTATCACTTTGGTAGGCAAAGGTTGGCAAATTAGTATGCACAATTTTGGCGACAAACAATGCAATGTAAACATAAAGGCCTGGCACTTAATCTATCGAATTTGTTGAGAAGAATAATCGATCAAAATCCTTTAACTTTCATAAAGCAAATAAGTAGTTTTGGATGTGAACCTGTCGCTGTAGTAAAATGAGAATAACACTGACGATCAGGATCTGGATTTTCTCTGAGATACAGTTTCAAAATATACTCCCTGGCAGCTATGTGATCCTGTTTGCCCCCTTTTTAATATATCACCAAAAAGCAAAATGTTTCATCATTAGAAAATAACAAAGAAAATGATGGAATAATATTATTCGAAAATGATTCTCACCTTCATATTCAGGAAAGTAGTCGACTAGATGTGAATACATGATTTTTTCCTCAAGTAAATCCTTCTTGTTCAGAAATAGAATTACCGAAGAATGCTGAAACCATGGATAGGTGATAATTGTTTTGAAGAGTGCTTTTGATTCCTCCATACGATTCTGAAACAAAACAGGAATTAGACGGTCCTTTCTCGGTATGTTTTCAATTGACTCCTTACCTCATTTTCTGATTCGAAGAGGATCTGGTCATATTCACTTAAAGCTACTAAAAATATAATGGAAGTTACATTTTCAAAACAGTGGATCCACTTCCTTCGTTCTGATCTTTGGCCGCCTACGTCTACCATTCTAAAAAGTAAAAATGTTACCATTATACATGGGAAAAACTCCAAAATTAATTTCCCAATATGCAGCATTTGTGACAAGCTTCAAATTAGATCAATGCGTAATTAGCTTTATCTGACCAACAATTGTTTTGATATGCCAAATAATTACAAATTTTATTCCGAAGATATATATATATATATATATATATATTTGGTACATTTTTAAGTATCCTTTTATCAACATAACTGTGAAGATCACAGCTATTTTAATTCCTTCTAACTGGTACATTTTTGTAGTAATATACGTTGGTACAATCTGCGTAAATCTAAAGTTTGCCGCTGATTAGACTACCAAACAAGAATAAACATTGCCTCAAGATCAACTAAGCCTACAATACTTTTCTGGGTCTTGTAGTGAAAGGTTTGAATTTTAGGTAGCAACATCAAAAATAATAATTGTCAAAACAGTTATCACGGCTATTTCTAGAGATCGACAAGACCCTTGAATGGAAAAGTATTTTCCCAAATTTCAGTAGCCGATTTTTTCGCTTCGGACGATGTTTTTCCAGGTTTTTAGAACTATCCCAAACATCAAAGGTCCCTAGTCTCTAAGGTTGACCATTTTCTAGTTATAAACTCTTCAATGTCTAACAATAGGCATCCTTAATGCTCGAAAGCTCGGTTAAAAATCATTATTTTCGAGATTACGAAGTTTGAAACATTAAATACAAGGGATGTCTTTTAAGTTTCGCATATAGAAACTCAGTAGGCCGCGCGGATCGAACGTCAGTACTGAATCTTAACCTCACTCTTTAGTAAACTTAAATTCAAAGTTTCACGATACGTGCAGTGTTCTCACTACAGTGAATTTTTAAGTGTCACCAATTCAATAGAAAAATGGAACCGAAAACATTTTCGCGCCATAATTTATTACAACTTTCAGAGACAATTAACGCGACAAGAATGCCTTGCTGAGTTACTGTCTGTTTTCGGCAACGAAGCGCCACGTCAGTCGACAATTTCCCATTGGTATGGAGAATTCAAACGTGAACGGGTGAGTCTCAGCGACAATCCCAGGGTGGGTGCACCAAAAACGGCAGTCACACGTCGATGCTGTGCGCAAACTCATAACTGAAGATAGACATGTGACATATCGCGAGATTGAGGCGTCCTTGAAGATCTCAAAACAATAAAGTGATTTAAAACTACCTACCGTGTTGTTTTATTTCCATATGCAAAACTTAAAAGACATCCCTCGTACTCGGTGTCTAAATTAAAGTTTGAACCTCTCCCTACAAGACTCCGAATAGTATTCTAGGCTTAGTTCATTTTAAAGCAATTTTAACCTTACTTGGTGGGCTTTCAAGAGACGAACTTTTGGTTTTTTGTACATTAGGTATTTTACAAGATGTTCACAAAAATTGCATATTGCTATGAATTAGGTCAACAGTCGATTCACCACATATGAAATCAACTAGTTTTTCAGAACAAATAGAAAGCCACAAAAATGATCAGTATAAATCAACATAAACTGAATTCATGTCTAAGGAAGAGAGGTCTGTATTATGAAGAGATAACATACTAAACCTATTATTGAAAAGCATGATGAATGATATTCTGGTTGTTTGCACTACCTTCCACTGATTAAACTTATTCCGATACTGCAATAGGTCAAGCTATATGATCGTTATTAATATATAAATAAATGTTTACACATAATTTAGTCATCTTTAGTCCATATGGTGAATGACCTTACATATGCTTATTTTACAACAGTAAGCATTTTTTGTTAATATTGCTCATGCAGTGGAAGCCAATCAAAAGCCACTGACTTTGAAAGCTGGGGTTAGTTCCAATGAAAGCGGACGTTTTACCTGATATTAAAAATTATACTAACACCCTTATCCGTTTTTAGTCGAAATCCCTAATCTTTCAAACCCGCTTTTCTTGCATGGGCAACAATTTTTGCATTTTGATTCATGTTACAAATAAAAACTATGAATCCTACAATATCCTGAATAAAGAGGTATTTTCCAAAATTTAAGTGTTAGGATTATCAATATTTTTGCCTTCAAAAGTATATTTTGAATTATAAACGGGGAGCGACAAAACAAAATCTAAGTAACAGTTCGCACGAAGTCTGCTACGTAATAGGCTTATACAGGTTTTCTGATTCTACTCAATTGAATCTCGTAATTTCGAGTAGTAGTACAGAATGGTTCTGCATTCGTTCGCTCTTAGAATCCGAATTAAATTAATAAATAATAAGTTCTAGCGTGACGTAATAAGTATAGGCTTCCTTTAAATCTGAAAAAAATAACCGCTATAGTTTGACGTGGAATGTATGGTGTTTACACCGTGGGCACAGATTATACAGATGCGACAGTTACTGTCGGTCCCTTTGATCTTCGTGTCCCCAACTGTTTGGCGCGTTCCCTACCTAATTCCATGGGCTTCCCGAGGAATTTTCCCCAGGTGTGGTAACGTTTCATTAGTCTGACGTCACGAACGTCATATGTCAAAATGAGGAATCAAGAAACTTATTATTCGCCCACATGTATTTAGGCAACATAATTTTTGGAGAACTTTTCACATTGAATATAAACAACAACAACAGTAAGATATCCCTAAAAGTCATAGCAACAACTGACAGCAATGGAAATCCTACTAAACGCATAGGACTCAAGTTTTCGTTGATACAACCTGATCTTTGACAGGCTATCGCAAATTTTGCATAGGAATTTAGGTATAGAATTCCTTATTCCCGAATTGAGGTAAGATTGGATAATGTGTTTTCCCTTGCTCAATAAAAATCTGAATTTTGCATCAGTTCTCGTTCCCGCTACGTGAGTCAAATTATTGAAACATTTAATAACATAGAGATTGCTTAACGTTTTCTACTTTAAGATAGCCAACCTAAATGAGATTCCATAGCCTCTCAGCGTCAACTTTGAAAAGGTTTATGTCTCATAGATGGTACTGTAATCGCCTATATGTTCATATATGCTCATATGGGCAGCGCCATCTGTGGACCAGTAACCTTTTCAAAGTAGATGCAGTAAATAGAGAAATAGCTGTTGCAAATTCTCATAGATGTCACTATGGTAACTCATTTTATCTCGAATACTTTTTTTGGACACGCATCTTCAGGTAGAACAAGTTAACGAGTTATTATGGTACTACAAATTGAATTTTATGGATAATTTCGGCAAAATGACATTCTGCAAATGTAATCAAAATTGAATGGGTGTGGTGATGCGGTAAGTATATTGTTGATGATAATTACAAATAGTTTGAAACAGAGACGTAATGTACGTATACTAAAAATAAAATGTGATCTAGGGTGGTCTATTGTCGAACCTAAATATACTAAGTGACATATAAATCCGAACACCCAGTTTAAATGGTTTTATTTTAATAAAATTTTGTATAAGTACTTAATGAAGCACAATAAGTAAATGATAAAAATTTCAAAATGATTGCACTGCTTTAAAGCCCTTTGATCTTTAATAATGTGTGGATGCACCCTTGATGTCCTACGCATTCTCCAACGCGCCTAGGCATGCTTCTGATCAGGTGGTCAATGTCCTCCTGTGGTATCTCATCCCAGGCAACCACCAACTCCTCTCGAAGTGCTTCAAGAGTCTGTGGAGGACGTTGCAAATTGAGCAATCTCCTACCCATCATATCCCACACGTGCTCAATTGGGGATAAGTCGGGAGATCTTGATGGCCATGGTAACAATGTGACATCATTATGTTGAAAGAAGTCTATTGTAACTCTTGCAACATGTGGTCGGGCATTATCTTGTTGGAAAGTTGGATCTGCCAGGGTGTCAAGATAGGGTAAAAGATGGGGTTCTAGAACTTCGTGGGTATAACGCTGCGCGTTCATGTTACCTCTGATGAAGATTAAAGGTGACCTGGAACCATAAGCTATAGCACCCCAAGTGAATTAAAAAAAAGCAGTTTAAAAACCGGAATGTCCAACTGATAAGGCTGAAAATGTTTTCACTTGTTATTTACAGTAAGATAAATACATTCACCAACTTTTATTAAAATAAAACCATTTAAACTGGGTGTTCGGATTTATATGTCACTTAGTATAAGATCAAGTCGAGATTCAGGAGCATTCAATTATGTTGTAGTAAGGCAAATTGAAGATACTGCAAACTCAATTCAACTATTCTGCATCAAAGGATGTTATGTATGATTATGACTTGTAAGATAAGATGTTTTTTGGTTGATTTGTTGTCGTACCTAAATATGATCGAGTCGAGATCGAAGGGGTACTCGATGATGCCTGTGGTGGGCGCCCTGGCGCGCAGGATGTCCTGCTCGGTGGGCAGGTAGTCGGGTGCCCGGATGCGTTCCAGGTCGCTCAGGTAGCTGCAAACACATACACACACATGGCAGACATGCACCACACACATGCTAGATCGCTGTAGCTTGAGAAACAACACTGCTTGATACATTGAAATTAGCCATAGCATTGATAAACATGATCTCTAAGAAATACGCAATTTTCCTTTTTTAAATTGTTGGCTCTTAACCATGATATTCAGCTTGCAACGAAAGATCACTTAATCTACATCATGATTATTACTATTTCGTAATAATTTCTCAAAGATGGAAAGCAAAATCTCATAACCTGCGGCAACAGAAAGTGGTGGCAACGCTGGGGCCTGAAGACGGTGGTCTACTAACCTTAAGCACTTCAAAAATCGGATTAAATATTAAGTTTCTTTAAGCTCCTCATAGCAGACGAAGTAAGTCCGCCTTATCTTCCTTAACAAACAGAGCTTTCTTATTTCGATAATTGATAACAAAGATTTGTCCTGCTATTGCAGTTACTGCACAAAATCGAAATAAGCAGCAAAACAAGAGCATCAAAAACTCTCCAATATTTACGTTTATCCACCTTAATGGAAACCACACAAGACGTGCACATCAAAAATTCATTTGGGCAAACTACTTGAAAGGACTAGTTGAAAGTTGCTATATGAACAAATGACATATGCAACCACGTAGGAATTATAAATTTTCGCTGATTGGAGTGACATGTCTGGGACAGTACGGGAATGTTCATCAAATCCACGGCTTTCAATTGGCCAATGGCCATAGTAGTGAAAAAATCATAAGTCATGAAAACTCGATACCCTAACGGAGGTAAGCGAACCTACAATTCTGTTAACCTCATAAGCTCAATCAATTATCGCTATTCTCGTTTCTCGGTATTTTTGCTAATTTCAATGTACCAGTGACAAGAAATACAGATGGTGATTATTCTTTAATTGATTAAAGTTCAAAAAGTAGTACGAATTAGACCCAGAAACGTAATTATTTTAATCCAAAAAAGGTTTTTTCTAAAGGGGTATAAACTCATCCATGTATCATTACATCACCTGTACTTCTCTATAAATATAAGTTACCATAGACATATTTACATATTTACTTTTCTTTTTTTTTTTTTAATACTGGTAGGCAAAACAGCTTTGTGGTAAAGACTGAGGCAGCTGTGAAAAGTATTGATCATCAGAATGAGATGATCAAAGCTTAGAACATCGAAATACATCAGCTTTTTTGTTACCACACAAGACACTGTCTCGAGATGCAAATGAAATGTAGTTTCTATTGTATCTTCTCATACAACTTTTCCAAAAATTATTCTAAAATCCTCATATTATTAACATAAAGATAATTGAAAATCCTCATATTTACTTAGTAGTAAAATAATTCCAAGTTTAAAATTACTTCAGATATGGACCCTGGTTGAAATGCATTGTCCAGTCTTAATCTCCAATATGACTCTAAAGTTCTATTTAAGCATAAATTTACAAGGAAACTAGATTTCATTATTAATCTCAGACTTATGTTCCTGCCACTAGGTCCTACCTAAACCTTATTTCATCAAGATCAAATGGATACTCAATGATTCCTGTTGTAGGGACTCTGACACGCAAGATATCCTGCTCTGTTGGTAGATAGTTAGAGGCAGCTACCCGATCTATCTCTTCTAGGTAGCTAGAGTCGCAAGGTAGCGATATATTATATTATAATATTCAAGGCCACAGAAGAAACATTCACTATACAATCCAATTTTTCATTGGGGAAATCAGTTTTATAGTCTGTGGCCTCACACAGAGTCAGTGCAGATAGTATAGCACGAGCGCTGAGTGATTTTTAAATGATAAATAACCTGATAAATCACTACACGAAAAATGTCCGCATTAAAAAAAATTGATATGACAATGAGAATTCAATTGGATTGGAAAGTATATGTTGATTCATGGTAAAACATGAGAATTGGTTACATTTATGTATTGACTAGTGAAAGTGAAAATAAATTTTAGACAGAAAAAAAAAGATGACAGAAAAGCAAGAAAATAGATTGTTTGTGCCTGAAATGTGATCTAGGCTCCTAGAACCCGTTTATTTTTTATTTTGCTCTCACTTTTGCAAAATGCTAGCATGGCTGTCAATTTGATTTTGTAGAATATGTTAAAGGTAAAACATGATTTTTGGTTTTTTTTCCAGGTGAAGGGAAAGTAAATTTTAAACTCGAAAAAGCAGTTAGCCGAGATTTGCCCGGAAAATACGTATAAAAGAGGAATAATAACTTTATTTTTTTCCCCCCTCCCCCTGAGAAAAGATGAACTTCTGCCAACGCCCCGTTTCCACTGTTGATTCGATAGTTGTCTTCAATTGTGAGGCTCATTTGCCGCGTCGTTTCTGCCTTGATGGCTTCCACATCCCCCAGGTGCCGCCCCAGAAGGGCCAAAAACTCTCGCACAATGAGAGACGAGTGAGCAGACGCGTTGTCGTGATGAAGGATCCACATTCCTCCTTGTGCCAAATCCGGAACGATTTTCGCGCACAATATTTTCATTTCAAGTTTTTCTGCCAGAATTTCGTGGGCAATTGTTTTGGGGGTTGACAGTTCTTCAGCTATCGTTCTAGCTGCCAATCGACGGTATTTAAGAATACATCCTTGAATTCATTCAACATTTCCCTCAGAGCTCGATGTGGAGGGGCGTCCTTTCACATCTCGGCCTTCCCAAAACCTTTTGAACCACTTGTTGACGGTTGGTTCCTTCAGAGAATTGTCTCAGTAAACTTGTTTCAGAAACTCAAAAATCTCACGACCATTCTTGCCTATCTTTGCAAGAAACTTGATGTTGATGCGCTACTCAATCGCAGAGCGCTCCGACTCGGAGTGAGCATAGAGGGGACTGCATAGGGAGAGGAAACCACCGGGCCACCCCTCCGAACGCCTTGATGCGACGTCCTGAATTTTGTATACGTATTTTATGGACAAACCTCGTATGACAGATCAGTTCAAAAAATGCGATCTAGAGACCTAGAAACTGTTTGTTTTGCTCTCTCATTCCCAAAATACTCATGCCCAGCAATTCATTCATACAATTTAGAGCAAAAAATCAGGGTTAATTAAGAAATAACAAAAACCATTCAACGTTCGCGCCCTACCTATTTTGAGGAAAAAAAATATAAATTCACAGCAGTATTATATTCTGCCTTGATATTGTGCACTCTATCTTACCCTGAAAGAATTAATGGGGAACCACATGAATTCAATTTCACTACAATTCATAGTGTTTCCCCAATAAGTGTCATTTCAAAACAACTTCCTATCATAAATACGCAAATATGCATATTTCATTACAGAATGCCTGGTTCTGATAAATAAAAATAGTTGGCTGGATTTGCAGAAAATGACATGTGCAAGTAATAACTATGCAGTCAGTTAATCAGTTCATATTAATTATGGGTCATCTGCATGTTATTACATTAACAACTCAAATAATATGCTATTATATGCTGAAATAATTACACATTTATCACTTTTTTGATGATATATGACGATTTGTCTGACCAATTCAAGTTCATAAATGAGTGACGATGTAAACTCATATAAGCTTTATTAAAAAAGGGCAATATATGATTTAATGTCAGAAAGGTTCAGATAAACTAACGGATGAGTCAATAAGGTTATTAAGGTTTCAACTGCACAGAATCACAGAAAGTTTAAGTTAGGTTGGTTATATGGTTTCTAAAACTTCAAACATACAGGGTTTGTCCGGAAAGTAATAGGACTCATTTTCTTCCGCCGTGACTGTCCTAGCTAACGAATGAGCGCCTGGTCAGTTGTCTCTGAGCACTTGGAGAGTCAGGACAGGCATTTTCGCGCGACGTGTTTCTGTGAGTGGTGCAAGCCGAAAATGCAACGTTCGTTAGAGCAGAGGTACGCGATTAAATTCTTTGTGAAACTCGGTAAATCTGCGTCAGAGACGTTTGATATGATCAAGCAGGCTTACCCAGGTGTTGCTTTAGCAAGAAGTGGTGTGTTTCGGTGGCACGAGGACCTTCGACTTCGACAAACACCGATAATGTGACTCGTGTGCGCAAAGTTTTGAACTCAGACCGTCGACTAAGTATTCGTTTAATTGCCCAGATGTTAAATTTACCAAAATCTGTGGTTCATGACATTGTGACACAGCATTTGAACATGGGCAAGGTGTGCGCGAAGATGGTCCCAAAAGTGCTCAATGACGACCAGAAATTGCGGCGAGTGGAAGTGTGCCAAGAAAATTTGAACATTTGTGAAAGTGACCCCCAATTTTTGAATAACGTAATCACAAGTGACGAGTCGTGGATCTTTGAGTATGATCCCGAGACAAAGAGGCAATCTTCCGAGTGGCACACGACGGCGTCTCCTCGCCCAAAAAAGGGAAGAATGAGCAAATTCAAAGTGAAAACGATGCTCATTGTCTTTTTTGACATCAAAGGCATCGTCCACCATGAATTTGTTCCTCCTGGACAAACCGTCAACGCCAAGTTTTACGTGGAGACTCAAACGAAGGGTCAGTCGGGTCCGACAAGACATCGCAGCCGACTGGAAGTTGTGCCACGACAACGCCCCGGCTCACACCGCCTTCCTTGTGAACAGCTACCTGACCAAGGCCGGCATCCCAACGCTTCCGCAGCCGCCCTACAGCCCAGATGTGCCCCCCCCCGGACTTTTTTTTGTTTCCTCGCCTGAAAAGGCCGATGAAAGGCAAGCAGAGGGGATCCAAGCAGCATGCACCGCGGCTCTCAAGGCTATTCTGGAGAATGCCTTCCGTGACGCCTTCAATGCTTGGAAATTGCATCGACGCAGAAGGAGCCTATTTTGAAAGTTTTTAAAGAATTGTAACGATTGGCTCAATAAATTTTTTTAAATCGACTCAGTCCTATTACTTTCCGGACAAACCCTGTGCATTGTCTATGTTTAAATATAATCAATAATCATACAAAAGTTGAGGCTGTATTTCATCACACTGAACATTTCTTGCTGAATTTTCTGTAAATTTTAATACATTGCAAAACATGTGGTGAGAGACCCTGAAATTTAAGTCATTGTTTTATATGAGAAAGTTGCTCATACTATAAAATACTGAACCAACCTAATTAAACATTATCTTATCACATTTTGGTTATGGGAATTCAAGTGAGATAACAAACGAAAAATAGTGGAAACAAATATTAAATACCAAATTTATCTAAAAAATACTATAAACAACACTCCCACAGATTTAATGAAAGCGGAATATAATTTACTTGGAAAAAACCAAAGCTGGTGATAATCCTTGTATTTCATATCAACCTATTACACAAATCAATAAAACATCAATACCAAAATGTGAAGTCAAAGAATATACCAGAAAAATATTTCATTCATCTGAATTTTGTATTGAAACTATTCCTGGTAATGATCTATTAAACCTTAATGACTTTTTTAATCAGACAATGACATATAATTTTATACAGTTGAAGCAAAATATAGGAACATTAATGTGATTTTTGAACCCCATCCTATTGTTTTTATTTGTGGTTTCTTCAACCAGCAATAAGTGAGTCATATTTTTTTATATTATTTCTGGTCATTATATGATTTAAATAAGTGGAAATAGTTGTTCAACTATTTTTTTTAATTCATGACATTGAAATCAATATTAAAGATTCAAGGTATGAGCTAAAGTATAAACTAATATTAGCAGGAACTGGCATATTCTGACCAAATTGGAGAACATTTTAAACTACAGAGGTATTAAGAATTGTGACTAGAAACAAAAATTATATTAATACTCACTATTTGGCTGAGTCAGTCAACTGGTATTCTCTACGCCTATCATAACATTCCTGGATACCAGAATCAGCCCAAAGATCCTTAATAGCTTCTACATAGGGACTCTCAAAAGTGGTAACTGTTTCATAATCAATACCTTTGATCAAATCCGCTTTTTCCTGAAAAAAATTGCATCAAATGGCTTGACTCTGCAATATCCAAGCAACTCTGTCATCAGTTCCTGAAGGACACTACCATCAAACATAGGTCTCACCCATTTGACATGTTGCAATCTATAAATTTCACCCTTTTTAGGACTCTACTGCCATCTGGCAGTGTTGTTGTAATTAATGTACCAATTGGCACAGCTATCATCAGTCAGATGTGATTCTAACATTCTGGATTTAAGGGCAACTATTCGGAAAAATATAATATGTTTGAAATATGCCTAACAGGTGTGTTGGATACAATAATGCCAGAAATTTGAGATATAGCCACCCCCTCCACAAGCCCCATTTATGAACACTAAAAAAGTTTTAAATATGATCAGGAGACTGAAACATCAAAAAATGATGGATAGGCAACTTTTTTGTCTTTTGACTTTAGCTCTGCTGCTACTTTATTTCCAAAAACAAAAAAGCTACATACTTGGAATAGTAGTAAGCTTGTGTGAAAATGTCATCAAAATCTGATCAGTACTTTTCAGGTTATAGGGTCCAAAATTAGTATACAGGCAGACTGACTGACAGTCAGACCAATAGAACTGGATAATATGGTTTTCCATAATATACATGGCATATAACATCCAAAAAACATTATATCTCAGTTTCAAAATTTTTCACAATAACAATGCTTCTGCACCAGTGGAATATGAGTAAAAAATAGTTACCTACATACTGAAACTGAGCTTCTGTGACTTACCTTACTAGATGGATCCCCATATTGTATTTTGAGTAGGTCCATGGCCTTGATCATACTTTGCATGGCCATGAAGATGTTCTGATAGACGAGTTTGATGAAACCGCGTTTGTCTTCATCCGAGTAGCCAGCGCCATGGATGATACGCATCTGTTTGATAAATGTGGATTTGCCAGACTCACCCGTACCTAGAAAACATAAGCAACCAATTTCCAAATTATTACCAAACAAAAAAAATTTTGATTTGTTTTTTTTCATTTTCCATTGTTTTTTCAATTTAAACATGGTAACATGTAAATGTCATACTGCTATTTACGCATTTTTTAAATCACAGTAAACATTTTATTTGTATATATCTATTATTGAGATTATCCAATAGTCCTTGGTACCTAAAGTATTTGGGGCATACAAGATCTCATCTATAAACCATACATGCCTTTCAAAATCTATGCAAGCATTTCCAGCATTTTTTAAAACTGAGTATCAATGATGATGGTTCACAATTACTTTCTCAATTACTTAATGTTCCTTGAAGTGATTATACAGCAATTATCTACAAATTCCACTGTAACTACATATAGAAGATAACTTGGAAGTTATAGGTATTACTGTGAAATACAAATATATGCCTTGAAGATCTTACGGATATTTTTATTTAAACAATACTGACCATTATTTTATCATATGTGATGAATTTGAGTCATACAGAGTATGAAGTCCATAGGTTATATTACTTTTTGCATTTTTTGTTATAATAGTTTACAAAAATACAAGTTAAACTTGTCTGGTTTAAGTGTTACTAAAAAGTTGTAACAGATGCATCAAAGAACAGGGGCAAAAATATCCAGCTTTAAAACATTCTAACCATATCTCACACATAATTGATAATGTGCAGCTGTTATTTTGTTGTACTTGAAATTATTCTCAAGACTGATAGTATTAATTTAAAACAGATACTCGTATATCGTCGTTGCCGTGGAAAAACCTCGCATGTGTAATTTTTACGAAATTGGTATTTTGATACCAACGTAAAAGTAATGAATGTCTCTGTAATGTGGCAAAACCCTATATGTGCTGTTTTAGCTTAACCTGTGTTATTCTGAAAAAATAAAATCTCCTATGTACACATCACAAAAAATCATTTGTGCAAAATCTCTTATGTACACAGAAGCATCCAGTGCTGACACATAGAAGACTTCTCCACCTCTATTATTATAGCTGTTGTTGTAAAACCTCTTATGTGTTAGACTCTCTAACACATAAGTGATTTTGACCATTCACCACGTGTCTAGTTTGTGCACATTAGAGGTTAGAATCCGAAAGGTACTGTGCTTCAGCATTTAAACGGAATTACTTTTTTGAGCTTATTGCTGCTATTAGTTACAACGAAACCGTTCAACTGAGGTAAGTTCTATTTTATCTATTATACTGATGAACCATATGATTGACATACTAGCAGATTTGGTAGTATTTTATACAACATAAAAGGATCAAGGTCTATAAACAGGGTGTTACAACAAGTTTTATCTGTGTGCGGGACATTTCAAAAGCGTACTTAATTCTTGGCGTTTGTAAGCGTCGACTACAAGTAAGCAGGTAACATGCTTTCTTTGTGTCCGCACCCGGCTAGTTGTTTTCTTTGTGCTCGTACAGGCGCCGGTTTTCGACGTCGAGAGTCGGCGCTGATAAACCTGCTTTCTTTGTGTTCGTACCCTAACGTTCAACATCTGATTAGCTGTTTTTTACGTTCAGGCGTTCATTGCTGTAAACATATTCTATCCCGAGCTTTTTTTTGTAGATAATCATAATGTCGAGTCGAAGTAGGCGAATTCTTCAAGCGGCACTGGAAAATATCGAAAATGATAAAAATGTATGCAACGAAAGCTCACATTGTGTTTACGGAGAAGCAGATCAAAAGGATTTAGGCATGGATAGTCAATGGGAGGAGTGCATTGTCAGTCATATTGATGGCACTGTTATACCAATTTCGACTACTGATGAAGCATTTATAATAGAAGAGGAAGTGGAAGATTCTAACGTAGAGCATACTTCAGCGAATCCAGTGATGGAGGTGAATACTGTGCAAAATCAAACTACGGATGTAAAAACACAAAACGATGGAAGAGATTTGGATGAAGTGCGCACATCAATCGAACAAAATGGGGGAACCCTTGGAGAGGGAGGTAATAGTTCATGCTCAAGTTCGTGGTCAGATAGTCCAGTTTCACGTATAAGTAAGAAACGTCTTAAAGCCAAAAAAAGCAGAGTTGCCGGGTTATCTTATGTTGGCTACAAAAAATCCGATGATGGTAAAATAAAACAAAATTGTATGAAGACATCGAGATCAGTAAAGGAGCGTTGTAGTCACACTTTATGCGGTAAGAAAAGTGAAAGAAGTTTTCTTTGTAACATGGTATCTGAAAACGATAGGCAACGAATTTTCAAGAAATTTTGGAATTTTAGTAGCTGGCCTGAAAAGAAAGCATTCGTTAAAGGATTGACTAGCACCAGAGATGTTAGAAGAAGGAGAAAAGACGCAAACAATAACTCAAAAAAGAAAGAAGGACACGATATATTCTTGCCGAAATGTAATGGAGAAAGAGTAAGGGTTTGCAGACGTTTCTTTATTAATACACTTGATCTAGGGGAAGATACATTTAGGAGATGGGTTAGACGAAGCGACACTTTTGCAGAAAATGAAACCGAACGGGACGACATACCGAAACGGAAGAAGAGAACAATAGCAGAAGGAGTTAAGAAGAAAATTCACAATGAAATGAAAAACAATATTTTAAAATGGTTAGCGCTGCTCCCTAAGGTTCCTAGCCAGTATTGCCGAAGTACAAGCAGTTGTACTTACGTAGAATCGACATTTAGATCTCTGTCACACATGTATAGTGTATATGAAGACTGGTGCAAAAGTAATGATACAAAGGCAGCCTCAAGAACATTCTTTTTAGATGTCCTTAAGCAGGAAAAAATTAAGATACATTCACCTCGTAAGGACCAATGCGACATATGTTGTGGGTACAAGGTAAAATCGGTTTCCTACGATGAATATCAAAAGCATATCATTATGAAAAACGAAGCTCGAGATGCAAAGAATAAAGCAAAGGCTGAGGCTAATGACACACATCTCGTCCTGACTATGGATCTACAAAGTGTTTTATTATGCCCTAAAACTGATGCCTCTAGGATGTATTACAAACAGAAGCTACAACTACACAATTTTACTATTTTTGTGCTAAATAACAAAGAAGTATCTCTTTATGTCTGGCATGAGTCAAATGGCGGAGTATCCTCGAACGAGTTTGCCACATGTGTGATAGATTTTCTGTCATCTTGTGAACACAAGTACCAAACAGTTACGTTAATATCTGATGGCTGCACATACCAAAATCGAAATAAGGTTCTAGGTAGTGCTCTGCGTGATTATGCAGTGCAGTCAGGAATTCTTATCAGACAACTCTTTTTAGAGAAGGGCCACACCATGATGAAGTGTGACAGCGTACACGCTTCGCTTGAGAAGTACTTCGTCCCACCAATAAATTCACCTAGCGATTATATTGCTCAAATGAGAAGCGCTAGACCCAAACAACCATATAAAATCAACGTACTGGATTACAAATTTTTTCTCAATTTCGAAAAATTGCCAACAAATCTCCGATCTTTGCGACCTGGGAAGAAAGTGGGCGATCCACACGTTGTGGACATCCGAGCACTGGAATATCTCCCGACTGGCGATATATTTTACAAAATACGGCACAGTGAGGAATTTGAAGAGTTACCCCAACGAGTTTTCACACGATATGTTCAAAAACCACCTCCATTGTATTCCTGTGAAATTCCCATAGCTGAAACGAAATGGAAATGCCTTCAAGAACTAAAAGGTGTGATAGAAGAAGAGCATCATCATTTTTATGACAAGTTGACCTTCAAAAAAGACAAAAACACTGTAAAAAAGTGCAATTCCAACTCGTAGTGCCTTATCGCTAATTTATATTGTAACGTCTAATAATTAAGCAATATCTCCTATGTGACGTTATTAAATATAGTAAATGCTCCTATGTGGACACGTTTTATTTAAGAATAAAATTTTATTTTATAATTTTGTTAATATTCCTTGCCCAATTAATACAAGCATGAAATGTTCAATACAGAGTATTCTTATGTCCTATGCATCTTGTTTTACTACACCTTTTCAGCATGAACATGTTTTTCGTATCTCCTGAAAACTTTACTATTTATCACATAGGAGCTTTTTCCACGGCAACGACGATATGCTCTTTTATTCTAATGCAAACTAGTCAGTCAGTTGTTTTTTGAGGACAATATAAAAAATATAGTGGGAATACAGTTGAAATCCAGATAAATGTGTAATATTTGTATAATAATTTTCCATTAGTGTCATAAGTTATAATACATATTAGTTTTGAAATGGAATACTACTTTTGTTGAAAATGGTTTATCTCTGGTTTAAAACATGTAAAGAATGTACATTATTTTTTATGCTCTCTCCAATTACTTTTGGTGAATCAGCATTATAACCATACCTTTGATACAAGTAGCATGTTGATTGCACAATTTTGCAATTGTTTACAATAAATAAAAAGTGATATGATTTTGTGGAACTGAGAACAAGCAAAAATGTCTTTGACAAATCCGTAATATCACCATGCATTGAAAATATTGTGAATGTTTACAATAAAAATGAACTGAACACCACATATTAGTAGCGATTGAGCATCTATTCTGATATATAAAAAAATTCAAAAACAATGTTGTAATGCTCCATCATTAAATTTGGTGAATCAGCATACCTTTGATGCAAAAATAGTGGCACTGATATTGCATTCTAATTGTCAAATTTTGTAGTGACAATTGACCCAATCACATTATAACTAGGAAGCGAAAAGAAAGGATTAGCAATGTCCTAATTGCAGAATGTCTGCATTAAAAAGAACTATGACAATCACACTTTGGTGACAATTGAACATCTACTTCATGGTGGATGATGTCTTACTGGGAGGACAGAAAAAAGGATAGCAATGTACAATTGTTTTGGTGAATTAGCATATTATCATGGCAAAATGTTGCAATTGTTTATAATAAAAAAAAACTATGAATGGTAGCAAAATGAATGTTTAGTTTCTGGTGAATTTTGATCAAATAGAAGGATACCAGAAAGCAGTAGAGGTATATCTGCAGGTGCAAAATGTACCTACATGGTTTCGAGACTTTTGAAGGGATACTCACCGAGCAACAGCAATTTGAGCTCCCTGCGTGCATCTCGTTTATCTCTACGAAGCTGCTTCTCGATTTCCGCGTTGATTCGTTTCTGTTCTCGAGCTTCGTCTGACTGACAACACTGCATGATCGTGGTGGTCTCGATGGGGCCACGATTGACATTAACGCTATATTAATGTGCAAAAACAACACACCTACAACTTGACACTTCCTCGGTTAGCAGAGGCCACCATCGCAGCGAGCTGGGTGTGGTGATTCGGTTTAGCCGATAACATGTTCTTATAGTCGCCGCGGCCGATGTTATTAATCCTGTTACGGTAACTAGATTTGGAAGCCTCAAACTTGCACTGCTAAGGCGATTACCGGGGGCCCTTCGCTGCACCTAGCTACGATCGACGGATCCAAGTCGGCGGTGATATGAAAACACCGAGTCGCAGCACACTAGATACGCATCCGCTGGATGGACAGCTGACGTAGGGAATACCACATTGCGGTCGGTCTAGACTACACTGGCGGTGGAAGCACCTCAAAAACACTCCATTTCAATGAAATTATCGGTCGCCTCTTGTCAATATGGCGCTACCCCGTACCCCGTATATTTCACTGAATGCCAAAATGTCAACTGCGCCAGACAGGAAGTCCCGATTTTGGAGGGAAAACATGCAGCGCGAATTCTAATTCAAAAAAGCTTGATATAATTGAATTTATTTCAACATTTTATGAGCGACTATCACGTTCATATTTCAACAAGAATAGAAAAAGCCCCAAAACGGATAATAAAAAAGATGTTGAAAGCAAAAAATACAAATACCAGAGATTTAAATAAAACTTATAAATACCAAGTTAAAGTGCCCAAGAGTTCCTCAATGCTTATGTTAATTATTATGATAGTGAAAAAATACAGATGATTATTCAGACAAATGGAAATTGAGAATGACACAATTTTGCTTGGAAAGAAAATTTTGGAATTAAAAAAGCATAAAGTGTTGTAACAGCTTGAACTCAATAGTGATAACTGCAGACGAATAAATGCTCCATATCACTACTACTGCAACAGTTTTTGTTTCTTTGAGTTATAAAATTATGAGTTTGGAAGATATTATTTTAATCTAGTTGCCTTATCACATTATAGGCAACACATCATACACTTATAGAGCAGTCCTATTAGATTATACTTGATAATAAATCTTTATTCGCACTTAATTTTTTGACTATTCAGAATGGGCGCCCTCAGGAGCAGGGTACCAGGAAGGCCGTGACACTTTCCTAGAAAACCAGTTGGAGATTGAAATTTGCATATTTACAATGATTTTGCACACAATTTTGGGGATTTTTATGATCCTGTCGTTAAATAATATAGAAAACAAAATTCCAGAATTTATGAAAAGGAAAATGATAAAAATTGTGAAATAAAAGCAATAAAGCTGTTTACTAAAGTCAAAATCACGATGACTATTACGTCATAACATAGATTGTACTGAAGTAATCAATGGACGTACGTCGATGATAAAATCACGATGTCAGGAACATAATGAAAACAAATTTATATTATGATTTTGCGAAGTTAGGTTATTTCACTGATTATTTTTATTTTCATTTTATTTCATGGTTTCGAGTGATACCTTAATAATAATTTTAGTGGGGAGTTTTTGTTTTAAAAAAAAAACAGTTATGAGTGGACTACCTTAAGACAGGAACACCAAAGACCAAAGTATTATTTGAAAACAACCTAACCTGCTTTAACATAACCTAACTATTCATCTTTCAAATATGACCGATCATGCAACATGAAAACATCGTCTATCTTTGTCGGATACATGCATATTAGCAATAAAGTTTGTTTAGACAATAAAATTCTGTTTGTCTCTGCCTAACGTATCTGAAACTTCATTAAAGATATTTACAAATCGCTGTCGTTTGTCTTTACTACAGACTAAAATGATGACGTAATCGTCATCTTTCGTGATTTCGACTATACACTAAATACTTTTATTAACACCTACCCATAAAAAAGATTAAAAAGCTATTTACACATATACAAAATTATAAAGATGTCATATGTACTGTACCTTGGTCTCCTTTCTTTTCAGGGGTATTATGTATCTTGAAAAGTGACATTATGTCGGTTTTTTTACTCTATATAGTTTTTTTGTGACATTTTACGTAGGTTTTTCTACAAAATGTTAACTATTAACACTAGCTGTTCTACACTTGATGTGTACTCCTTTCGTAGATGTATGTACGTGTTGCCTAAACGTCACGATCCTTCAGCTATCAATGTTTGGCTCTGATGTGCGCATAGAGAGGATATCTGTGTCGATGATAATTCCATTGGTTTCTTGTCTCAAATACAGTTACTTACTTTTTCTTATTCAACCTGAAAAATACATTTGCAAATTTGCTGAATTCCAAAAAAGAGAGCGATAAGAAAAGAAAGATCCTGGTTGGTGAAGTATATTAAGACAGGTGAGAAAATATGGTACATTCAGGAATATTTATATCCAGTCGTTTAAATTTTATAGAAAATGTTTTGTATGTGATGCGTCATTTCTAATTTTTCTGTGCGCGGATGCGGTGCCGATTTCCCGTAATGTTTTTGAAAACGCAAAAGAAACGGGTAAAGTCGTAATGCATAACCTCTCTTCAGAAACTACAACACAAATAGCCCGTCTGGCACAGCTAATAGAAATATTTCATGAGCAGCATATTCAGTCATAATTTTCTCATATAGCAAATATCACTGATTTTATACACGTGCAGACCAATAAACACAATCATTCAGATGTGATCTTGCTACTCTGCTACCCAACCACACATCTTCTCAGAGTATATGCTACATACTAACTCGGCATTCTGCAACCAACAAAGCATGATGGCGAAACTGACTTGACATGGTCATTGAGCGTGTCGTCGAGTGGTTCCTCCATAGATAGACGCTCATAGCGAGCAAACCCAGAATGTACTATTTGAACACCAGGAACAACTTGACATTATGTCGGTTTTATAGGTTTGTTATGTAATAACTCTGCATATCTTCTCTGTAATGGCATGCTCCACTAGGCACCTTTCAAAATTGGAGTTTATCTTTTCTCCAATGGGCGTGTACCTTAATGGTTTTAAGCCAATCATTCTAGTTCTCTTGAGGCCACAAACATAGGAAGAATAAACACAAAATGCTATAAATTTGTTTATTTCTTTGAGAAACAAGTAAAATATAATAAACGGAATCACAGAAAAAAGAGAATATACAATACAACCACCCTATCATCTATACTATTAAAAGGGTTCAAAAAGGTGTGCAGGTCCTTAAGGCACCTAGATAATAATTTTGAGCAGTTTAGGAGATATCTACAACAATATCTATGAGATACATTAAATACAATCAATATAAAGTGATTAATAAAATAAATACCTATAGTGTATATGAGTAAAAATATTATGTTAAAAATTAGTGCAATTCTTAAAACTGGTATTGTATATCATAAGCATCGAGTGTTTGAATAAATATTGCTAGTGTAAGTTACATTTTTGGCCATGAATGCATAAACTGTTATAGTTATAAATTCTTGAGATTCTGTCAACTTAAAACGGTCATTGATCTACACTCAAACTACCAACATCTATCTGGCAGAAACACAATTATTTTTACCAACTATTCCAGAAACTCATTTGTACAGTCTGCGAAAACTAAAAGTTCGCCTATTTCGGAATAAAAAATAAAATTAAAAATCGCTTTAAAAAGTAATCTCAAAAGGGGCAAGGTTTTATCTTTAACAATAATTTTAACCGTATATTACCATTTTTAGGGTTTTCAGACATTAATAAATCGCTTACAATACGAAAATGGTTAGCTTTAATGTTAGTTAATGGGAGTTATGTTCAGAATGATCCAAAAAACCTGAAAAAAAATTCTGGGCAAGAAAATTGTAAGTTATTTAAAAAAATTGCACAATCAAATTTGATCTGGGTCCAGGTACCCTGAATGTTGAAAATTATAATTTTTGAGGTCATCACGTGTCTAAATTTAAGTTAAAACCTTGCTCCACAAAACCTTGAAGAGTATTTTGACTTGGTTTTCGTAGACTGTACCTGATGATGGCGTTTAATCGCCGGAACGTATTTTTGTTGACAAAATCCCAAAAATGTAAGACTTGCTATTAACGACCAGGAATCCAAAATTTCAAAGCAATGATTAACATATTCTACCTGAAGATAACCACCCCTATGTGCGCGTGTTCGACGAATTATCGGAGATAAAATAAGATACTGTAGCATCATCCATGAGAATATCACAACTGTTTCTCTATTTACTATATAAACTTTACTTTGAAAAGGTATGTGTCTCATAGCTGGCGCTGTTACCACCTATATGCTTGTCTAGGTTCATATGGCACATCTATGAAACACATGTCAAAGTATATAAGGTAAATAGAAGAACAGCAGTGACAAGGTAGTATCTCATTTTATCTCTGATAATTTTTGGACGCGGGTATATAGCATTAGGTTGGCCAGCTTCCGGTAGGACACATTGATCGATGGTTATAAAACTTTCAGGTCTACGATTAACCCACATATTGTTTTTTTCTTATTTTCATGTATAAAAGTGTCGTAATATATAACCCGTTAGGTCATCCGGACATAAAATTATTGTCATTCGTTAATGTTGTAAAAGTTTAGTGCCAAAGTAAATGCCGTGCGAATAATTTACGGATAAGTTCGGCCGGGTTTCAATGTGTACGAGAGAGAGAGAGAGAGAGAAGTGTGCAACACGTAAGCTAGAAAGAGTTCATCCACAAGTAATGACCACGTTCTTTCTCTTTCTATTTTTACCATACGTGTTTTTCGCTTCTCCCCCGTACACATCAAAGCTCTGCCGCCATCAAGGGTAAATGATTCGCACGGTATTTGTTTCCTCTTCTTCTCTCCTGCTTCTTTAATGAGTGGTATAAAATTTGATAATGATTGCCATAGGGAAACGGGTATAACCCCTTAAATATTTCAATAGATCATCAAGTTGAGGCGACCAGCATTATAAAAGAAATTATAGCAGTAGTAATGATGTTATATTACATCTATGTGAAAACGAGGTTAGTCAAACCGCTAGGAATATAAATGTCTTGGCATAACTTATTTTAAAATATAGACGGTAGATTAATAGATCAATCCTTAAAATGAAATGAGTAGAGACATTGCTCGTTCCTTAAGAATTGAATGCTGTTTGAGGATGTTCAAGGGAGGATTTAATATTTGCATTTCACAGTAGACTGCAACAGTTGCCATTACAGGATTTTATAAAATCGTAACTTTTTCGAAATTTGGACGATTTTCGCTATTTTCAGAATTTTAAAAATCAGCCAAATTTTTTAGGTATTGGAAATTTTGAATCTTCTTACAGTTTGAAAATTATATAAACTTTGGAAAACTTGGATATTTTGAAAATTTGGAAAATTTTAGAAAATATAAAAATTCTGTTAGTTTTTGAAATATCGTAAATCGTGCACATTTCGAAAATCTTCTAAATTTTGAGAGCCTGCGATGAGAACTGTTACAATGTACTGTCAATTGGAAATGTTAAAAGAGGTCCTCAGGGAAGTGTTATTGTTTGTTTAAAATCCATTTCTCAAAAGTCACTCAATCGTCAAGGAACGTCTTCAAAAGAACAAAATTAAGAAGTTAGGCTCAATGCTGGCTACCAGTTAAATGTTTTTGGTAAGAAAAAGTATAAATATCTTTAACTAACATCAACGTCTTCAATGCATGGTGGACACAGGAATCCACTGACTCTTGCGATGTTCAGAATCGACAGCTGCCTTTACTTGTGCGCAAATATGCGCGATGTTGGCTCCAGCGGAGACGATAGCTGTCACCAAATGTCGGTACTCGGCTTCCAGTTTGTGGCCATGCTCAAACATCTCCTTTGCTGCTTTGCCTGACAGCTTGTCCAAACTGTATCTGTTGAGAAAATAACACTTAAACATTGATGAACATATTCTACCAGAAGATAGCCAAATGACATATTTTCGCGTCAAAAAAATTATCCGAGATATGATACCATGACATAGTTGATGATAAAGTCAGGAACAATTAAAACGATTTTGTTTTTTTTTCGTCTCTTTCTGGAAGTGCTTTGCATGCCGACATTTTCTAAGTAGACAAAATCGTTTAATGGAAAATAGATTTTTTCGTTTTCAATATTGGTTAATTGATTTGAGGAAAATCTATTTTCGAAGAAAAAAATAATCGATCAAGAAAAATCGATTTTTTCTATAGTAGTAGTATCGTCGATAAACTGCATGATTTTTTATATAGTATTAATAAAATCATCAGATAAGAACAAGAACTCTCTTATAGTTTCCCAGATCGCAATGGTGAGAGTAGAACGTGGACTAGATTGCAATGTTGTCAAATCTTCGGAAACTATGGACTAATTATTGCATGAGCCTGTTTGACTGACACGTTGCATTTAATTTCTTGTTATCAAGGGTGCCTCAGTAAGAGCGCCAAATTTTAATTTGCCTTCACTTTTTTTTTGTAGAAATGGTATAGTGTTTACTTGATGACAGCTGTCATGTCCAGACCACGCGATTAGACGTCGTGGAGCAACGTTCAATTATTGTAAAAACTCACAACAAACATGGACAAAATTACGTGGAAACAGTTCGCAAATTACGTACAATTTTCGGTCTCAATAATGCGCCAAATGAGTCGACAGTTCGCCGTTTAATTACAAAATTTGAGACAAAATTCACGTTGCTGAATGTGAAGACCACTGTTCGTCGCCTCGAAAATATAGTCGCAGTCCGGGAAAGTGCAGCCGAGAATCCAGGCACTTTCATTCGGCATCGTGGCCAAGAATTGAACCTTACCAGAACTACTCTGCAACGAATTTTGAGAAAAAGATCTGTGCTTGCATGCGTACAAAATTCAACTGACGCAAGAACTCAAACCAACGGACCATGCACAGCGCCGTGAATTCGTTGACTGGGCGCTGGAGCACCACCAAATTGATGCGGATTTCTTTAAAAAAAAAATCATTTTTTCAGATGAGGCACATTTTCAACTGAACGGGTACGTCAACAAGCAACGCCAATAGTCTTCTTCCTCTGGGGCTAGGTGAAGGAAAGGTGTGAACAATCCTCAAACAGTTGAAAGCCTTATAGAAGAGCGCGTTATCGACGAAATAAAGCCACAGTTGTGCGAAAACGTTAACCAGAATTTTAAGAAAATTCTGACCCTGTGCCAGAGGTTTCGTGGTGGCCATTTACTGGATGTTCTATTTCATGTTTAATCACAACTATTCCTCTTCATGTTGAAATATAAATACTCGCTTAATTCGAAAAGAAACTGTGTTTTTCTTGAAAATCAAATCCGGCGCTCTTATTGAGACACCCTTTCCATTTTGAGACCGACTTGTACTGGATAAAATCCTTTATGAATTGATGACAGCGTTGCATACGAAATGCAGAGTCAACCTACTTGACGCCAATTTTTTATCTGACCACGCGATTCTCAAAATTTTCGCAAATATACCACTAAAATCTGAACTCAAAAGAGCACAACTATCATTCAGAAGCTCCTTCGTGGTCGGCTTCATGAAATAACCTGAATCGTGATCGTGTGAACTATGCACGCTGGTTCACGTTTCACTCTCCACTCAAGGAAAGACCCACAAAATACAGATCGCCCGCCTGCCGCGCTGTTTGTTGTCTTTTTGCCTCTTGAGAAAGCAGAGCAAGAATGAGTGGTAAAAAAGCAGTATTTACCTAGCGTCTTTAACTTCCCTTATCTGCTTCGTACTCTTGAACTTGATCAATAGTACCATGGGATATATGTGGTGGCGTTGCAATCTTTCAACCATGGTGATAGAACCATCTAGCATACAATGGAGGCGAGTTTGGATTAAAGCTCTCACAGCAGATACAGTGATGCATTCATAGCAGGAACCCCGCTTGCGGTACTCCAGTATCAAACCTACAACAAAAAGAACATTTTTATGGTGACAGCAAAAAATACTCAATGACGTAGATTCCAACAGTGAGTAATCATTTTTAGTTGATACAGTCTATAAACTGAAAAAAAAGAGATTGCTGAAGAAAGAATTCTGGGAAATGAATAGTTGCATACCTTCTGCAATTTCTCTGTCCAGTTGTTGCTGAGAGCAGCGTCTAGACTCTGACAGAGATCTCTTAAACTTTTCTGGAAAATCCTGTACCAGTTTCTCGGCAACACATTCTGCCAAAGGGCCTATAACTAGCACTGGTCGAAATTCTGGATATTGTAGACGTTCCACTCTTTGATAAGACGACTGGGATAAATCTTCATGTAAAGAACCTAAAACAGAACAATCTTTGTTGCCACCTCGAATATTTTTTATTTTAGTTTTATTATAAATTAAAATGTAAGACTGTAGTTATTGTGCCTAAGGAGGTATTACCTGAGTCAGAGTACCACCCTGGAGAAAGGTTGCAAAAGCTGGCCAGTTCTTTGGAATCTCTTGAATTCGATCCCAAACTAGAACTGCCGCTGCCTCCTCTTTGATGTTTCTTCCTCCTGAAAAAACTACGTCTTGCTGTTGCCGTAGATCGGCCTGAAAGCAGTGAAAAAACAGGGATTAAAAATGCCATCAATATATTTTGAACCTGACAGTTTCACTCTCCTTGGAAGTAACCACATCTATACAACACTTTTAAGTTTTCTAGGCATAAAACAATAGCATATGAAAGATCAGTATTAAAAATTATAATGCACAAAGTAAACAAATTTCTATGGCAGAGCTGCTTTTATTCTATATAAGAGTTTTTATCTTACAAATTTTAAATTGTCATTTTTTGTAATTGTAATTTTTAATATGTCTTATGTATCAATCATTTTTTTTCTTCTTTGGCTTGTCACATGTACTGATGTCCCAAAATGTGAACAATAAATATCTATCTATCCAATACAAACCGGCGGAGTTTTACAGGGACGCCATTCCCTCTAACAATGGTGATTATAACTGACAATAATTATTTATAATTAAAATCTCAAAGTTGTACGTGTCGCTCATTATGCCAATCCTTAACTCACCCTCAATAAGATCCCCCGTCGCTCCTCTCCTCAACAACAACTCCTCCTCGACCTTGTACTTGCTGGGTATGATTCCGCACTGTTGTCGATGCCCCTCGTCGTCCAGCCGCCACGCGCGCCACTGACCGGGCACGCCGTTGAACATCGTATTGTCTACGTAGAGGACGTCGTCTTTGGCGAACGCCAGTTGAGGGGGCTCCGTCAGGTCGTTGCCACCGCGATCGAAACCACAACGAACGTACAGACTGTCGCCCGGTTTGTCTTTGATCTCGTTGTATTCTAAGGAGCAATTAATTATCAGGACAGGACGTTCGTAAAATCTGGAGTTTGTGTGGTTTCATCATCGAAAAGATATATTTTACTTACTATTTATCCGATAATGCGCCAACACGGTAACTTTATCAGCAGGCTTGGCTAATTCATACGCCGCTTCTTCGGCAGTAGCACTCCTCAGATCAGTTCCGTTGTACTCCAGAATCTGGTCACCAGTGCGAAGACCCGCGTGGTAGGCCAAAGAGTCAGGCTGCACTGAGTGAATGAAGATACCAGCTGCGTTGCCTCCCACCAGAGATATACCTAGGTTTGATGTCTTCAGAGTTTCGATGCAGAGGTATCTTGGGTCTTCGATCGAACCTCTGAAAGTAACCTTTATATCAAACCACTAATTTATGCATTAATGCCTCAACAAATTTATACAGAGCGTCCCATAAGTCGACGTCAAGCCGGAAACGGAGATAGCCCGTCATAATAGCTATTAGAAAAATATAAAAAAGTGGTGTACTTTTCAAATCACAGGCTTAAAAAAATATCGGAAAAATCTACACCCTGTGATCTTTTAGTTCCCATTACTATAAATTTCAATTTTTTTCTTAGATGGAGTGACGGCCAGTGTCATTATTCTACGTATTGACAACAAAACAGTGACGCCACTTTTATTAATTATTGAATATATTTAATAAATTCACAATAAATGCCATCCTTCAGCAGCAATGCAAGCTTGACATATTCTATCTATTCTATCAACACGCGAAGTGAGACATCCTTCTTACCTGTTGCTTCCTCCAGCTGACCCACCAATCTGACTCCTCGTCTGCATGGCCATCAGCTGCTGCGGCTTCAGTTGCATGGCGCTTTTTCTGACTTCTTTCGGTGAGTTGCAAGGCGTCGGCTCCCCGTCAGCTTCTTCCTCCTCTTCTTCCTCCGAATTTGTTGAGGTGCTCGAACATGACTCCGCTTCGTCCCCCTCCAACTCGTGATACTTGTCCGGGCTGTATTGAACCAACATCGTGATCGAGTTGCCGCACTGGCGTAGCACGTTCGCGGCTAAATTGTAGGTGGCGTTGCGCATGTTGATACCGCACACCTAAAATGTCAAAAAAACATTACCCTTACTCTTTTTAAGTAATTGCAATGCTCACAATCTACAGCAAAGAACAATGTAGAAATGAATAAAAACAAGAAGAAAGAAAGACAGCAAGAAAGGTATAAAGGAAGAAAGAAATGAGAGTGGAAGAAGGGAAAAAAGAAAGGCACAAAGGAGGAAAGGAAAAAAGAAAAAAGGAAGGAAGGGAGAAAAGAACAAAGGAAGAAAGGAAGGAAGAAAGGAAGAAATGAAGAAAGGAAAAAAGGAAGAAATGAAGATAGGAAGAAAGGAATAAATGAAGAAAAGAAGATAGGAAGAAAGGAAGGAAGGACGGAAGAAATAAAGGAAGAAAGGAAGAAAAGAAGAAAGGAGGGAAGATAGAAAGGCAGGAACAAATGAAGAAAGGAGGAAAGGAAGATAGGAAAAACGTAGAAAGGCAAAAGGCAGAAAGGAAGTAGGAAGAAAGGAAAAACTTAGAAAGGAAAAAGGAACGAAAGAAGACAGGGAGAAAGGAATAAAGGAAGGGAGAAAAGAACACAGGAATAAAGGAAGAACTGAAGAAAAGAAGAGAGGAATGGAGAAAGGGAGAAAGGTAAAAAGTAAGAAGGAAAGATATGAAGAAAGAAAGAAACGGAGAAAGGCGGAAAAGGAAGAAAGGAAGGAAAGAAGATAGGAAAAAGGTAGGAAGGAAAAAAGGAACGAAAGAAGACAGGGAGAAAGGAATAAAGGAAGGGGGAAAAGAACACAGGAATAAAGGAAGGGAGAAAAAAGAACCCAGGAATAAAGGAAGAAAAAAGGATGAACTGAAAAACGAAAGAAAGGAAGGACAACAGAGAGAAAGAAGAAAGATAAAAAGGAAGAAAGGAAGAGCGGAGGAAAGGAGGAAAGAAAAAAGGGAGAAAGGGAAGAAGGAAGAAAGGAAGGAAGGTAGAAAGGAACAGAGGAAGAAAGAGACAAAGGGAGAAAGGAACAAATGAAGAACGGAAAAAAGGAAGAACGGAAGAAAATAAGAGAGGAATGCTGAAAGGGAGAAAGGCAAAAAGGGAGTAAGGAAGAAACAAAGTAAGAAGAAAAGAAATGACGAAAGGAAGAAAGGGATAAAGGCGGGAAAGGGGTAAAGGCGGAAAAGGAAGAAAGGACGGAAAGACGGAAGGAAATATGCAATAAAGGTACGGTGTTGACCTTTGATCTCACATCGAACATACCTCTAATAACTGATCTCCAATCTGCAAGCCAACGCGACTAGCCAAACTATTCTCATTGACGGTAGATACGAAAATGCCTCCTGTATCGGGACAGTTAATCTGGATCCCCAATGGTTCGTTAGACTTGTCTATATGCACTCGTCTTAGCTCCCCCGGCACCGGCTTGTGGCCCCACGGATAGTAATCCTTGGCTGTGCTGGAGGAGCCCGAATGGTCGCCGGGACTGCTCAAGACTTCCACGTGAAAAATCGGCATCGGACTGCCGCGCTCCGAGCTGCCCCGCTCGATGCTTCCAGTGCTCACCTGGAACAAAAGAAAAACGATTTTAATACATGACTGATGCTGTAAGCCGTGTCACCAATCAGGACTGACACTACATACCTACTTTTGAATTATTCTTTAGTTGTCTTAAATTTTGTTTTCCTGACTGGGAAAGCATCGAAATAAAATATTTATTTCCTTGAGTTTCTTAGGCTGGTGTTCAATGTGTTAAATATTAAGTAGGACATATTTTTGACAGAACTCACATGGGTACATTATAAAAGCTGAGCCCAACCAATATAAAAGCTGAACTAGATTCTACTCTGGGTGAGTCTGCTCCTTCGTTTACAACAGTAAAATATTGGGTAGCAGAGTTTAAACGAGACCGTATGAGCTGCCAAATCAGGTGACGATTCCAGAAATGGTGAAGAAAATTCACAAAGCGGAACTGAATGATCGTCGACTGAGAGTGCGCGAGCTAGCAGACATAGTAGACATTTCAAAAAGTGCGGTTCATCGCATATTATCAAAAAATTTGGACATGAGAAAGCTGTGTGCAAAAAGAGTGTCGTGAAGATGTTTCAATTGAGTGTTTAGCGAAGTTTCACAGCAACAAAGCAGAATGTTTGCGTCGTTTCATAACCATGGATGAAACATGGCTCCATCACTTCACACCCGAGACAAAAGAACAATCAAAACAATGGACTCAAAAGGGACAACCGGCTCCAAAGAAGGCGAAGACCGTTTCATCTGCAGGCAAGGTTGTGGCGTCGGTTTTTGGGATGCGCGTGGGATAATTTTCATTGACTATCTTCAAAAAGGTAAAACTATCAACGGCGAGTATTATGCGAACTTATTGCAACGTTTGAGCGATGAAATCAATCAAAAACGGCCGCATTTGGTTGAGAAGAAAGTGTTGTTTCATCAAGACAATGCACCAGCTCACAAACCCGTCATTGCAATAGCCAAAATTAACGAATTAAAGTTTGAATTGCTACCTCATGCAACCTATTCACCAGATTTAGCCCCCTCGGATTATGTTCTGTTTCCAAACTTGAAAAAATGGCTCAGTTGTCAAAGATTTTCCAACGATGAAGAAGTGATGTCGGCAGTTAATGGCTATTCTGAGGAGCAAGACAGTTCTTATTATAAAAAGGGTATCGAACGTATTGAACATCGCTGGGAAAAGTGTATAGAGCTCAAAATAAATACATTTTTTACAAAAATTTTGTGTTTTCTTCGTTGGGTCGGGTACATCTGGGACCACCCTCGTATGTTAAAAAACTTCTTTCTGTGTCAAAGAATGATGGTTCGTATAGCATTTATCAGGACTCCTGGATAATACAGCATTTTTGTTTTTCACTTTTCCTAAATTATTAGTTCAAGCTTAGTTGCTTTTAGAAAGGAAACTCTCAACGCTCAGAAAACCCTGTGGTGCTAGGCCAAATTGTAATGAGAAGCAGAAGCATGGCAAAAGCGTTTAGCAAGTTAAGAACGCAACATAATCATTAGACTATCATTTCTGAATCTTACCTTACTGGTCACACTTGGGTTAGAGGGAACTCGAAATCTCTGATTTTTTCTAGGAAAAGTCCCACCTGATTCCAACAAATCAGGTGGCCTACGTGTAGCACTCACATCCGCGGATGGGCTATGAACGTGGTGATGAAATGGCGGCTCAAAACTGAAACAAAAAGCATATTTTTTAAGTGCAGCCAAGACAAAATCGTATACAGATTTAAATGGACTGCTAGGCACAATACCATCCAACACAAAAACATTCAGTCAGTAACTCCTCAATATAACAGTCACAGTAACTGGTACAGATTATTTAAATAATTAAAAAATTCTAATATAAAATCAGTCTGTACACAGTGTAGGTATTCAATGTTTGCTTATCCCACCTCTACTCTAAATCCTTACATCAAACGATGAATTCTGACATCTTAATCAGAAACTCACCAATGACAGTTGACCATGAACCTACATTCGCTAGTAGCTACTGACACCCTTAAAACATGTCTCAGGATTCGTTGCAAAATAAACACAAGATTCAACCGAATCTAAAAAAAATCTTTAGTCATAGTAAATATGTACAAACCTGAAGCTTTCTCTTGACTGTTCTAAGTGTGCATGAGGATGAGGATGCAAGTGATATGGTGTTCTGGGAGACTGAAACAGTTGACTTGGGCCTCTGCTGTGCACTGAAGTTAGAGCCATTGGGGCTGGTGAATCGAAATGATGGCCACTAAGAAGGCTGTCGCGTTCCGAATCCGAACCATACTTAGCTACCGCTGAAAAAAATAAATTCTTTGATATAACAGTGAGAGTATAAAAAAGTTATTCAGAACAAGACAGCAAAACGTAAAAATTGAAACTCACGACTTATAAAAATCGGTCAAAAATGCTTCGTCGCCACTCATCCTAGATTTTTTTATAACCTTTTAAGGTCGATATTCCAATGCCTGCCTGACTTGCAAACTAACAGTATGAAACAAGAGCTACAATCTTAAGGACGACATTCACTGTCGCTCTAAACGCTTGAACTCGCGCCACTCATTTTTGGTTGCTCCACTCCTTCAGGACTACCCATTCCGGCTCCAAATAGAGCAATGTTGGTATGTTTTGATCAAACACTCGACCAAATATTATATCACGCTGAAGATTAAGGTATCTGTGATTATGATTAGTGTTTATGATTGCGTCAAGTTGGGCGTGATGGCGCAGAACGTTCTCTCAATCCACCACGAGTTGCATTGTTAATCTGATTGTTTAAGTAATTATGCTTCAAAGTTGATTTAGGCACAGGCTCCACGAAGATCGAAAGAATTTGATTTTGGCCATACTTAAAAATTAGTATTCTCTGTTAAACTTACTCAATCTGTTATTGTTCTTCTTGTAGCAAGGCACGGCTTCCTTCTCCACGAACCTGTTGACAGGATAGTCCAAACTGTTATCAGAATTGATGTTAACACTCAACCTGTTTGGATTATTGGCAGCCCTGAGCCTTTCGAAAGAATCAGTAGCCATGCCAAAGTGGTGGGATGTATCGACGCTCTTATAGACTGAATGCCGTCCGTAGTTCGTTGCTACATTGGTTGGGACCAAAGACAGAGGAGCAGGTGTCGAGTTTCTAAAAAATACGTGCATTCGTAAGTGATGAACTGTAATGATGCCTAGATTAGAAAAAAAAAATAAAATAAAATAAGGCAGTGAGAAACTGTTTCAATGAGATTTAGATATTTAAAAATTTGTGCAACTCAACATTTGTTAACTACAGAAAAAATGGTTAAAAACTTGAAAAACGAAGAAAATACGGTCAAGATCAAGGTCATTGAGCTAAAGAGAAGTAGCTATTCAGAGAAGGCATACGAGGAATGTATTTTAAGTTTTGCATATAGAAACATAGTAGGCCGCGCGGATCGAACGTCAGTACTGAATCTTAACCTCACTCTTTAGTAAACTCAAAGTTTCACAACACTACGTGCAGTGTTCTCACTACAGTGAATTTTTCAGTGTCAACAAGTCATTGGAAAAATGGAACTCAACCGAGAACATTTTCGCGCCATGATTTATTACAACTTTCGGAGACAATTATCGCAACAAAAATGCCTTGCTGAGTTACTGTCTGTTTTCGGCAAGAAACGCCACATCAGTCGACAATTTCCCGTTGGTATGGAGAATTCAAACGTGGACGGGTGAGTCTTAGCGACGATTCCAGGGTGGGTGCACCAAAAACGGCAGACACCCAGGAAAACGTCGATGCTGTGCGCAAACTCATCATTGAAGATAGGCATGTGACATATCGCGAGATTGAGGCGTCCTTGACGGGGCCTAAATTCAAAATAATTTACATGAAGAATTAGGAGTAAGAAAATTAGTTTTTCGTTGGATGCCCCACCTGTTGACTGAAGAGCAGAAAGCAGCCAGGGTTAATTGGTGTCAAAAAACGCTTGACCGTTTCAATTCCATAAACTCAAAAAATGTGTACCTCATTGTTCGTGGTGATGAATCGAGGATTTACTGTTATGAACCAGAAAATAAACGACAGTCGGCTGTTTGGGGGTTCCAAGGTGAAGAAAAGCCAACAAAAGTCATCCGTTCTCGAAGTGTTTCGAAAAAGATGGTCGCGACATTTGTCTCAAAAGCGGGTCATATTGCAACAATTCCTCTTAATGAGCAAAGAACTGTTACTGCGGATCGGTATACCACCATTTGTTTGCCAAAAGTCATCACCGAACTTCGAAAAATCAACCCCGAAAGAAGAATCATCTTCCACTCGCACACAGCCCAAAAAACAAGGCAGTATTTAACGGAAGAAAACGTGGAATTATTGGACCATCCTCCATATAGTCCCGATCTAAGTCCTAACGATTTCTTAACTTTCCCGAAAATTGAAAACAGACTGCGTGGTCAAAGGTTCCAGTCACCAGAAGAAGCAGTTGACGCATTCAAAAATGCCGTTTTGGATCTGCCAGCAAACGAGTGGAATAAGTGCTTCGAAAAACAATAAAGTCATTTAAAACTACCTACCGTGTTGTTTTATTTCCATATGCAAAACTTAAAAGACATCCCTCGTACAGCATACAAAGGTCGAAATCACAGTCTTTGAATAAAATGAGGATATTCATGTTTTCGACTTACCGATAGCTGTAATTTTCCGGCATCTGATTCAATTTTGGTTGCAAAATGGAGAGGGGCGGCCTTTCTTTGGTCCTGGTGACAACGGTGCCACCTGGCGCCAGAATCGGCGCAGCTCTTGCTTTAGGCCAGGTACCGCCGTTGTTCTTATCCTCTTTGGTTTGCGTAGAATGCTTCTTAGCTAATACATTAAAATATGAAAGTATTTAAAATAAAATTGAATGATTTTCCTTCACACGACGTGTAGCTCTTGTAAAATGAAAGCAAATTTTCCTAGTAACTAATCGGATTTGAAAATGACGAAATGGTGCATGCAACGAACTTGTGAATTTGATGTTAGTTTATGATGCTAATGATTCGCGAGTGTATTCCGGTTATTTATCGCGTACAAAGACCGTTTTTGGGAACATCTAGAGGGTCACAGCAGATCTGGGTGATCCCAAAGGTTGGAAATCGAGGAAAAGGTTAAGAATCTTCTATGTTTCAAACCAAAAGTGATACTTTGAAAACCACTTCTTATGAAAAGCACAGTTAAACATTGATATTTCACAAATTGCTATTCTCACCTCCAGATGACCTCTTGACAGTACTATGAGGGTAACTGTCCAAAACGAGGTCCAGCTCTGCAATAGCTTGCTCATGTCCGTCGAAATCGATTGGATTTGGAGAGCTGTTCCTGTACTTCTTCTTGTCCTCTTTAGAATGGCGCCATGGACCTCTCATCATGTCCAATTTTTCCTTCAACCTGTTAGAAAACTGAAATTAGTTGAATATTTACAAAAATCGTGCAAGCTTCTTAACTGAACTTGTCCTTTTCTGAGCCATGTCTCAGAAATCATTGAATATGTTTCCAATGATTTGAAAGGTTTACAATATAATACATACCAAGCACCACTGTTATTTTTCTCCTGACTGTTATATTTGTAATCCTGGATCAACCAATCTTCAGTCTGAGAACTGCGATTTTCCTTCTTGTGCCTTCTAACTGGAGTAAAAACGTTGGGGCATTCCGGGTAGCTCATCTTCAACGTTGTTATGTTTATCACTCCGCATGAATCGTCGTTGAGTACCTGCATTGCTTCATGACCACTCTCTATATCGTCCATGGATTTGTCATTTATCTGAAATCAACAAAAAGGTAATTAGTGTAATCATATTAGCAAATTTCCTCTAAATAATTGTAAAGTCTGATTTTTTTGGTGCACGTTGTTCAATTGGTATTTAAAACGTGGACGAAAGTGTTGACAGGAACGGAAAAAAGATTGTGACGATAATTTCACGCAACTACTTGAAATTCTTCAAATCCGTAGGATTCATACTTCTAAATAACAACAACATTATAGTACATAGATTTTTTTTGTTTTTTGAGAATTTCTAATTATTTATCCCAAAACACCTGTTTTCCGGCCATCACTACTAGTTTATTGAGCAATATACAGAGCATTTAAAAGCAAAATACACGTGTTTACCTTGCTGATATGGATCACAAACCATTCCGAAAGATAAATGTTATTTTTATGCGAAAAACAAAGGTTACGGTTTTTTCTTCTAAACAAATTCAAACATTTCGTATTTGTGAGTAATTGAACAAATGCTATACACATTTTAAAACAAAGAGGATGTGTTTATCATCTTTTGTGAATTACTCACAAATACGAAATGTTTGAATTTGTTTAGAAGAAAAAACGTAACCCATCCTGTTTTGCATAAAAAAACATTTATCTTTCGGAATTATTTGTGATTCATATCGGCAAGGTAAACTTATGTATTTTGATATAAAATGGCCTATGAACTAATCCTGTAAACTACTAGTAATGGCCGGAAAACAGGTGTTTTGGGGTAAACAATTAGAAATTCTCAAAAACTACTTGACCAATCTACTTCAATTTTGTTGTGGTTATTTAGAAGTACAAATCCTACGAATTTGAAGAATTTCAAATATCTGCGAGAAACCATCGTCGCATTACCAAGTGTCAAAACTTGCGGTTTGCCTCGGTTTTCGGCCATAACTTTTTTGTTATTAGTCGGATCGTTTTAGGTGTGGTCTCATTTTGTAGGTCGCATAAATACCTAAAAATCTCATATGAAGAGTTTTTTCGTTCCTGACAAAACTTTCGATTGAATCCCAAAAAACTCATTTTCTCATTCTTTGTTGTCGATTAAAAAGTTTTCCCACAAAAATTGGCGCACCCATTTTAGGCGTCCATGTTTTTAATATCCCCTTGAGCAACCTGCAGCAATAAACTAGACTTTACGATTATTTCGCCAACCAGGGGTATTTTCGTCTAATATGATTACAATAAATACAGACGAAAACGTGATCGGAAGATGGGAACATATCTTAATCTCTTATTTTATCAAAACTGCAATTTCAACTGCCTCACTGCAAGTCTCATATATCAAAAAACAAGGAAAGTAATTTCAAAAAAACAAAATCATCTCCCGCTCTACTTTTCCTAATCAGTTACTTACTCTGAGCACTCTATCGCCAACGGTTAAGCTCTTGTCTCTAGCTGCTAAGCTACCATCGCTGATTCTGTTGATGTAAACTCCCATTTTCAAAGACAGCCCGTGACACCCCGGTGCCAATCTAGCGGTGTGAATCCACTTGGTGACTTGTTCACCACTAGACCTTGTTTCGTTCCTCATACATCTGAAAATTAGTTATTTTTTGCGAGATTAACGGATGGAACGTTGACTGAGATTGAGGAACAACCACTATTTACTATAATACACCAACCTGGTTCTCTTGACTAAAACTCTGGCAACAGGCATACTGGACCTAATGGCCTCGGTGACAACCCGTAAGGAGCCCTGGCTGCAGTCTACGTCGTTCACTCTCAATATTCGGTCATGCGGGAAAAGTTTTCCTACAGCAGAAGACCCTGGAGTCACTGAGGAGACATATACATAACCGTCGCCTGGAAAAGACATAATTTTGTGTTAGAAACAGAGAAGCGAGGACAACAGGGCATTTTCCACCTACACAATAAATCAATTGTTTATATCGTTTTTCAAGGAGGAGGCAGCGGAACGTCGTATTTTACTTCCTACGCGTAAATGTCCGTTGACAATGATGAGTAAAGTCTGTCTTTTTATGTTGGATAATGCATGAAACGTGCTGCCCCATCTTCTTATTCCTTATCCAGGTTATTCTTGGATAGATCGACAGTTATGTAGCGAGCATCTTCATTACTTTGTCGCTCTCTAGAGACAATGCTGTCACCTTTGATCAGCCCTCAACGAAATTCCACTGTGCACTTGGGAGACTTCAATATAAATTTTGATAATCAAGATTTTTATGTAAAAAAATTTAAACAAGTACTAAACTTTCATGGTCTATGGCAAAAAGTTAATGACTACACAAGGATTACAAACTTTTAACGAACTAAGATCGATTTAATAATAACCAATGAACAGAATTTGAGTATTAATGTTTTACATACACCAAAAATAAGCGACCATTCGTGGATCTGTTTCCAGGTGGAAAATATGTTTAATGAGAGAGAATCAAGAGAAATCACAATTATTGACTTTGAAACGTTGCGACAGTCACTCTTACAAGCCATTATCACTAAAATTTTTAATGATGCTGACACTTACTTCTCAAATATTATGGATTGTATGGGGAACTTCATGAGAGACGCACAAATTAGGAAAGTGGTATATCAAAGGAAAAAGCCAACACTCTAGTTTTCACAAATATTTCTAGTCTCTAAATTGACGCGTGATAATGACTATAAAAAGTTTATGATCACTCAAACTGAGGAAGATTGGATACAATATAAGAAATCAAGAAACAAGTGTTTAACAAATCTTAGGAACGAAAAGAAAAAATATGAAAACAAAATCGATAGCAATAAAAATAACAGTAAAATGATGTGGAATACACTAAAAAATATTGTATCTCCCAGTAGGAAGAATGAATTATCAAGAATGTGCTTCGAAGATGGTATAGTAACACAAAAAATATTGATTGCAGAACGAATGAACGCTTATTTTATAGAAAGTATAATTGAGATAGTGGAATCAATCGAAGATGGGTATCCAAATCTATGTCACATGCAAGTTACTTGTAATTCTTATATGAGAAAATTCCAAACAATAAATATCAGCTATCTTTCAAAAGCTATTACAAGATTGAAATCGAATAGAAATCCTAGTGAACATCTTTCAAAAATGGTTATGAAGGAAAGTTTCAACATTATTGTTAGTGAATCACTGTTTAGTGTACGGCGAATTTCCTTCAAAATTAAAATGTTCCACAATTACTCCTGTTCCAAAAGTGCAAAATTCTGAGTTATATAGAAACATGCGGCCAATTAATGTACTACCAGATGACGAGAAGCTCTTAGAAGGAATCATATATGAACAAGTCATTGAATATATTGAAGAAAATAAGATACTGACAAAATTTCAAGCAGGATTCAGAAAAAAGTTTCATACTGAAACAGCAATTCAAATGGTAGTAGAAGAAAATGGAGGCCAAATATAGATGAAAGAAAGTTTACAGTAAAATTGTTCTTAGATTTCAAGAGAGCATTTGAGACTATCGACAGGGAGAAATTGTTAACGAAATTGCATTGCTATGGATTTCAAGGTTCAGTGTTCAACTTATTACAAAATTATTTAATCAATAGAAGTCAAAGAACTGAAATTGCTCTGCAACATTCAACTACTTGCTAATGATACATTAATATATATATATATATATATATATATTAAAGACATTGAAACTGCAATAGAGCTGTTAAATAATGATATGAAAAACGTGATAAATTGGTTAAATGTAAATAAACTTAAACTAAACACAAACAAAACAAAATATATGCTAATAGGAAAATCTTTAGATCAAAATACGATAAATCTTACAATTAATCATGAAAAAATTGTGTCAGTCGAATCATTTAAATATGTAGACAGTAAATTAAAATTTGAAGGGCACTATGAATATATTATTTCAAAATATCCAAGAAAATAAATTACTTTTATAGAATTTCGCATAGCCTAGGAGATATTCCAAAAAAATTGTGTTCAACACTATCATTCTTCCTCATTTGTTATATTGTTCGACTATTTTGTTCACTGCAAATGAAACTGTATTTTCACAATTAAAAATATTACAAAATAAAGCTATGAGAATCATCTTAAATAAAAATAAATATACTAGAATAAATTTTATGCTGAAAGAACTACAATGGTTAAATATCAAAATTTTCATAGCCTACTTGGTATTCATTTTCATATTCAAGTTGAAAAATCATCTTCTAAAAAATCACTTGGAAAGTTTGTATTGAACAATGAGTGCCACAATTATTCTACTAGAGGAAGTATAGACTTTCATTTACAAAACTGCAGTAGCAATATAATGAGCAAGTCAGTATTTCAAAAGGGATTGTATGAATTTAATAAATTAAGTGATGATATCAAGATGTGTGTCAGTTTGAAAATGTTCAAAGGGAAATTGAAAAAATATCCCATGGAAAACAAGAATTCATAGTAGTGAAATTTTGTATAAAAATATGTAGTCTTGAAGACATAATAAAAGGTTGTCCAATAGGGACGCAGGAAAGTAAACGTCAATTTGACATAGACGCCATCTTTGTTTTCTGTCACCGACATGTCATTTTGTTAGTTGAATGTTTACCATTGATCGCTATGGAGTTGTATTCGATTGAAGACCGCATTAAAGTTATTCAAGAGCACTACAAAAATGGTGCAAAAATAAAAAACACGTTTCGTGCGCTTCGTGAACATTTCGGTCGCAACAACCGCCCAAACGAAACAACCATCGGTCGTCTGGTGCGTAAATTCGCGGCAACAGGTTCTGTGGCAAATCTACCAGGCTCTGGCCGGCCAAGGAGCGTTCGCACACCGGAAAATATTGCTGTTGTGAAATAGAGTGTGAGAGACGATCCGAAACAATCAACAACGCGTCGATCCCAAGAATTGGGCATTTCGAGAACCAGTTTGCTCCGCATTCTCCACAAGGATTTGAATGTACACGCCTACAAGATCCAATTGACGCAAGAGCTGCGTCGGGCCGACCATTTTTCGCGCCGAACGTTCTCAGATTGGCTCCTTGAACACCGCCAAATTGATGCCAATTTGTCATCAAAAATCATGTTCAGCGACGAAGCGCATTTCACTTTGAATGGGACGGTAAACAAGCAAAACTACCGCATCTGGGCGAACGAAAATCCCCGTGAGTATCAAGAGCAGCCGATGCATCCTCAAAAAGTTACTGTGTGGTGTGCATTGTGGTCAAAAGGCATCATCAAACCTTACTTTTTCGAAATTGCAGCCGGGGACGCCGTTACCGTCAATTCTCAGCGATATCACGTGATGATAGAGGACTATTTTTTGCCGCAACTTGAACGAATGGATATGGACGATGTTTATTTCCAACAAGACGGTGCAACATGCCACACAACCAACGTCTTCGGTGATCGCGTGATTTCGCGCAGAGGAAATGTGCCATGGCCACCAAGATCGTGCGATTTGACTCCCTTGGACTTCTTTTTATGGGGATATTTGAAATGCAAAGTCTACGTCAACAAACCAGCCACCGTCCAAGAACTCAAAAACAGCATCATTGCCGAGATAAATGCCATAGAACCGACCATGTTGCAAAATGTCATTGAAAATTTCGACCATCGCGTGGACGTCTGTAAATCCACTCGTGGTGAACATTTGAGCGATATTATTTTCCATACATAAATGGTATAAATGAACCTTCAAAATAAAGTACCCAACTTGATTTGAATATCAATCTTTCTTGTTTTAATATGCGTTTACTTTCCTGCGTCCGTTTTGGACAACCCCATATATTTTGTGATATACTGTGTAATATGGATATTATGGACATTGTAGCATTAATGCTAAATAAATCTGAAACAAAAAAAACAAACATGACCTACCTGAGAAATCTCTACCGCCTGCGAACTCTAGTCCCTCCTCGTCGGCAGCAGTCAGCTCTAACTCGATGACCTCGGTGTGACTGCGCGAATGGTCCTGAACGTGTTCGAAGCACTGCGAAGGTTTGTTGTCGTCCTCCATGTGCGCCTCTAGCGCCTCTCTCAAAGCCTTGTTCTCCTTCAGCAGCTCGTTGCGCTGCTTCTTGACCGCGTCCGATTCGCGAAGAGATTCAGCCAGCTCAGATACAGCCCTGTCGCGTTCTTTACGCATGTTATCACAGAGTGTTCTGGAAAAAAAAATTTAATGAAACACAAAAAAGGAAAGTTAAGCAAGAGCTGTAATCCTGAAAGCTAAAGTCCGCATGTTCCGATAAAATGTTTTGTCCAATTTCTTTGACAATAAATTGATCAAAAAAATATTGGACGGGTTTCTCTGTTTCTTTTTTATATCGAAGCAGCCGCGCAGGCAGAAGCCTAAATGCCGGAACACCGCGGCTGCTATGATCCCAAAGAAATTTTGTAAATATCATTTTTGAACTGCTTAAGGTTAGTAGAACTGGGAAAAACTTCCTCTTGTAGGTTGTTCCACAATCTCGACACCCTCGGGACAAAGGAGTGGGCGTATCGGCGAGTTTTGGATGTACGAAGTTCGACACGGTTAGGATGGGATGCCAAAGTCAGGCAGGTCTGTCTGGCGGCATCATGGAAGAGAGCCCTGAGGAGCAGGGTCCGTTGGTGTAGCGATAAAAGAGAGCTAGATCGCCGACGGCCCGCCGGTGCGAAAGACTCCCGAGACTGTCTGTTAGAGAAGAGTCATCGATCAGTCGGAGCATGGAGCATCGAGCATGGATAATGTAGTCGAGGCGGCAGCACCCCAAACGTGTGAGCAATACTCGAGGCTAAGCCTTATCTGGGCCTTGTATAGAGTGAGAAGGTCATGTGGAGAAAAGTACTTCTTAGCGCTGAACAAATAGCCTAGCTTTTTCCCAGCAGCTGCAGCTATTGACGAAATGTGTTCGTGCCAGATCAGATCCTCGGTGATCTGGACTCCGACCAGCCGAAAAGAATGACTCTTCGGCAGAACTCGGTCATCCATCGAAACCGGATGAGCGCTAAGGCGCTTTTTGTTCGTCATTGAACTGTACAAGATTGCAGTGATAGCCTCCAGGTCTCTTGTCAGAGAGGAAGTGGTCGCTAGTCTTCTTCTTTCCAGCTCAGCGGCAGAGATCGGCTTTTCATTCTGAATTCCTGCATGTAGAGTGATATCATCAGCGAAGCTGTGGATTGGGTTGATCGTGCAGGACAGGAGGTCGTTGATGTGTAAGAGAAACAGTGTCGGAGCCAAGGCTGATCCCTGGGGAACACCCGCGTTGACGTTGTGGGATGAAGAGGAGAACCCGTCAATTACGACGGATATCTTGCGGCAAGAGATAAAGTCAGCCATCCATCTGCAAAGCTTTTCTGGGAGGCCATAGGATAGAAGTTTGCTTAAGAGGGCAGCGTGCCACAGCTGATCGAACGCTTTCGTGATGTCAAGAGCAACGACATGAGCCTCACCATAAGACTGGGTGAGTTTACTCCACAATTGCGTGACGTAAGCTAGAAGGTCCCCTTTGGATCGTCGGAAACCATACTGCCTATCGCTAATCAAGCTGTGACGTTCGAGGTAGTCCAGAAGCTCGCGATTTATGCACCTCTCCATCGCCTTACTTATAACAGAAAGCAGAGCTATAGGCCTGTAGTTGTAAGGGTAGGTCTTAGATCCTTTTTTTGGGATGGGTTAGACATGAGCAAATTTCCAGTTTTCTGGGACGGTGCCGGATTCATAAGATATCTGGAAGAGACGCGAAAGAATTGGGGCAAGCTCCGTTGCACACCTCTTCAGTACAATGGCAGGAATCAAGTCCGGACCACAAGCTTTCTTGATGTCGAGCGACAAGAGCACTCGTCTTACGGTCTTATGCCTGAATGTTACCTCCCGCATAGTGTAGGGAACCCTTTGAATTGACGGCACTTGGGCGTTGGGGGGGGGGGGGACGCCCATGGTGGAGTTGGCAGCAAAGATCTTGACTGACACTTCCGCCTTGGCCTTTGAGTCGAATACAATCGTTCCATCCTGACACGTAAGTGGTGGAAGGCTACTGTGTGAAAAATTCTGTTCACAACACCCTTGTTGCTTATCATCATTTGTTGTTTTGTAAGCAAGACCTCTTTTTGTTGACAAAACGAATTCGGATGCGAAGTTATCCTTTTCGCACTTTTCTTGCAAAATTTAGAACACGTCTTATACGTTTTATATGAATAATAAATCCATGAATTAAGTTCATGTCCAGATTTCAAAAGTATGAAACAGGAATTTCACGTCAAATAAATCCAAGGCGTCCTTCATGGATGAGGTTCTTAAGCGTTCAAGTGAAAAAAATTTATATAGTGTTTTAACAAGTAGATACACTAGTTTTGACTTTAACCACTGCTATAACAAAAATACTAGTTATATTATTGCCTATATAATCTCGCAAGAATGAACTTGTGTTTTTTATTAGGTTTTTGTTTATGGTATGGTGCAACAAATACTGTTAACTCTCTCTCTTTTAAATTCACATTAATTGTGATATTTTAGCTGTGAAACTTTTCTTTTGAAATTTAGCGAAATATACTACTATATCCTTCTTGCATTAAAAACAAACAAAATAAAAAACAAAATCGACATTTGTACAACGAGCCCCCTAAATCCCAAACTTACCTAATACTTTCTCTCTCTAATACTATCTTGTCCCTTTCGCTAAACGCCCAATCTCGCCGTCCCTTGGAAACTTCAGCCTCCTGCACCGCCTCGGCCAGTTCCGTCTGCGCTTTGTCCAAACTCTTCCTCAACGACTCCAACTCTTGATTAGCCTGATCGAGATTGTCCAAGCGCTGTCGTTGACCCATCGATCTAGCATCTTCGCGCATGTGTTCCTTGCAACCTTGGCCATCTCCCAGTGCGCCCAGACTGTCTATCAACCTGCCGCGGGATTTTTTGGTTTGATCGCCTAAAATGCATACACAAACGTGGACATTCAAAAAATATTTTTTCCAGTTTTGCCATATGGGAACAACTTTTATTCGGAGAGATGATGACTACGAAGTCAAAGGAGGGAGGGAGGGTATTTACGTTATCTGCGACACATCAAGGATCGTGTATACGAGCACAAGCCTCGAACTCTGGGCGAGTTGAAGGAGGCAATTCGCGGGGAACTCGCCCAAGTTGAGAGAACGATGTTGGAGAGAGTCTACGCGAACTTTCAAGAACACCTCCAGCTCTGCACAGTCAAAAACGGTCACCACATGTCTGATGTGATTTTCCACAATTGTGAAAAACGCTATTTCATTGTGAACCCGAATCCGTCAATAAATTTATACGGCAATTTAATCGACAAACGACGCGTTGATGCAACAAGGTATCCTTTTTTCTATCTCTCTCTCAGGCGAGTAATACACTGTTGTTTTCAATAAAGTGCTCAGTAATTGATGTCATATCAATCTAGACATTATCTCAGATTTGATCCATGATTCGAGCAGGGTTAAAGACGCCTCTTCGATTGGCCAAGTTCTTTAGAAAACACTTTCTAAATGGTCATTATTGATCCGGATCATAGGCTTTGATCTTCAGATCAACTGAAAAAAATATGTTTTTATGTCTAAACAAGGTGATTTATAAAGAAGAAGAGAAATACCACTTCTCCACCACAAGGGCGAATATCTGTTTTGTGAGGAAAAAATAAGATACAACAGTTTGGTTTCGAGGCGGCAAGTACAAACACCTGCCCAAACTATAAGAAAAACCTGGAACAAACTTGTGCTTCTCCAGTCGGTTTGGAGAATATCAATCATATCTTTCTTTGGAGAATACTCGGCCAAATTTGGTCATAGTCTTGGAAATATAACTATTATTTAACTTCACAGGTTCTATTTCTAATGAAAAACAAAAAATCACCTAGTAATGAACGTCCATCTCCCGAATTAGCCCCTAAATCGCCAAACTTCTCTCGAAGATCGTTGCACTCCTTCAAAGCCTTGTCTCTTTCGTGTAGAGCACTAGCTATTTCTCGTCGCAGGGATTCCAACTGATAGTTCAATCCACGTTTTTCCTCTTGCATTTCTTGATTACTAGAGTCCAGGAGTTTGATTTTCTTCATAGCTTGTGTCAGATCGTCACTCAGTTTTTCCATTTCTTTATGGACAGTGTCTCTGTGAATTTGAAAAATGTTAAAAAGCTCAACATAAAGTGCTTAATTTCAAAAACATGTGAAAAAAATTTTCAACGGTTGTGCCGCAGTGGCGTAGCGTGCATTGGCGGGGCCCCGTATAAAAAATTGTTTGGGGGCCCTTATATTCTTTGGGGGTAAAGATTTTTCACAAAAGAAAAAAAATATTGTGAAAAGAAATATTTATTTATCATAACATAATTTAACCATTTTACAAATAAAAATCAAATTTTAAACATTCATTCTCCTTGCCTTTTTTTCGGCAAACTGATTTATTAAATCATTTATGGCTGATGATGATTTTAGTTTTTCTAAAGTTTCTACCTCTATGGACAATAGTGAGAGGTCTGACAGCCGTTCTTGTCCCATCGAAGTTCTTAAGTAATTTTTTATCAGTTTTAATTTTGAAAAACTTCTTTCAGCAGTTGCGGTTGTAACTGGAAGGGTCAAGAATAAAAAGCATGCTGTGATTACCTCGGGAAAACTAGATGCAAGACTATTGAATTTTACTAGCAATAATTCAATGAGTTCTTTAATGGAATAAATTTTTTGAATTTCAGATTTTAAACATGTTTTTAGAGCCTTTAATTGGTCACAAATATTAACTGAGATGTCTTTACTGTATTTAACGGACAGTTTTCCGGAAGCGATTAATATCTCTTCGTTTGAAGAAGATAGGAGTTTCTCCGGTTGTAATATTTCGAACATACTACTCAGATCGCAAAGGCTCTGAAATCTTTCTTTAGTTTGAGAAATTAATATATCTAAACAGCAATAGTATACATTGACTTTGAAATAGGATTCCGGGTCGGAAATTCTCTCATCTTGTGATAACTCATCAAAAAAACGCTTCGTTATCTTTCGCCTACTGTTTTTAAAAACAGTTGTTACCCCCCACTCTTTTGCTAAATCTTTGGACTCATTTAGCAAACTATTAAATGAAATCTGATTTCTTAATTGGCACAGTCTATTTAAAAGATTACTTAATAAAATACTAGATTTCTGTAAGTCATTATTTTCATGCTGTAGAGCTTTAGAAATAGGATTAATAATTTCAAATAGTGAAGAAAAAAATGTAACGAGCACTAAGAAATCATAACTCTCTAAAATATTAATTATATTTTTACATTCTTCACGTTCATCTTTTTTATTTGAAATTAAATTTAGTTGGTACAAAGTTTTCATGATTAGTAAAAAATTTTTCTTTACCGCTAATAAAGCGTCGTTCCTAGAAGACCATCTGGTTGGACATACCTTTTTAAGGGTAATCAAATATTTTTCAGACGGATCGTCACTTAGCATAGCCCAGCGTTTTATACTATTGCCAAAAAAAGTATATACTTTTTCTAAATTATCGAAAAAAGTCGATATTTCACGAACGTGTCTCGCAGCATCGTTTAAAACTAAGTTTAAAGCGTGCGCAGCACAATGAACATAATCGGCATTTGGAGCATGCTCTTTTATTAGGGTTTGTAATCCTCCATAAATACCCGACATAACATTTGCTCCATCGTAACCCTGTCCTCTACATTTAGTCAAATCAATTCCATATTCTTTAGTCAAATTTAAAAAGGCAGTTTTCAGACCTGCAGCACTGCAATCGGTTACTGCTATAAATCCTAAAAAGGACTCACAGATTTTTATTTCTTTAGGCACATTATCATCATTTTCTGTAACCGAGATATATCGAAAAACTACAGAAAGTTGGTCAATTTTTGACAAGTCTTGTGTTGTATCCAGAATTATTGTCAGAAATGGAGCTTTTTTAATTTCTGAGATAATATTGTTCCTAACGGTGGTACCAAGCAAACTAATAATTTCGTTTTGAATCGTAGGGCTTAAATAATTTATTTCGCCTTTCAGTTTTAGAAGAAGTTCTTTTAAAGTTGCATCATAGTTAGATAGCAAACGTAAAATTGCCATAAAATTTCCAGAATCAGAATCATGCCCTCTCAAAGATAGATTACAAGATGCTAAAGTAATTATAACATTAATTATACGATGCAGTACATCTCTCCAGAATGTAATTTTACTATTGATTTCACTTTGCAATAGAGTATCGATGGTATTTCCTTGCAACCAATTATTATAAGAGAGTGAGGCATTCATATGCTGCTGTGACTTTTCATGGTCAAGTATAGTTTGCGTAAAATTGCTTCTAACCGAAACACCGTTAACCCAAGCAGAGGAGTACGATTTGTTTTGACGATCTGCTAATAACCAACAGAAGTGACAGTACGGTTTGTTTAAAACGTTAGAATAACATAACCATGGTCTTACAAGTTTTATGCCTGCCTGATTGAAATATGAATAATAATAGGCCGAAAAAGGTCGGTTACTTTCTGAATCTTTTGGAAATGGTCCTTGTGGTTTAAATGGACCCAATTTAAAAATTATTTTTCGTTCGCATTCAGATAAATTGTCACCAAAATTTCCTCTATCTGATGAAATTATATTACAATCTTCAAATATATCAGAATCGTTGACTTGGTGTTCTTCAATTTCTGGATGGACATCCGATGAAGTATGTGCTTGGCTTTCTTCTATTTCCGAATGGATATTTGACGAAGAACGTGCTTCAGAAGAATCTAAAAATAAACGAGTATTTGTTAAAAAATAAATACGAATGCTTTGATACTAAACTAAAAAGAGTTATATATAAATAAATAACTTTACTAAGGGTCACAGTTAGAGAGTGTTCAGTTCAGACGCACACAGACTCTACGCGGATTGTGCTCGTATTAGTAGATACAAAATCACCTGCAGCCCGTCCGTGCGTTACATTACACCTGCGTGCTATTTGAACGCAGCGCGTAGTGTAGTGGCCATACAAAACGAGAACAACCCGAAAGCGAGTCTGCACATCTGAAGTTCTCAACACGCAATTTACGATACGATACAGACTGATAGACAAACAACAAAACAAATTGATCTTATAGATAAGTTAGAGTTTTGGTTTTTTTTTGTTTCGAGGCACGGAACCCTAAAAACAAAATTCACCCTTCGCTACAGGTAAATAATAAACCAACCACGCGTATCTAACCACGCAGATCCACATTAGCGTCGTGTAAAATAGTACTTGTGTAAATTAGTAAGTACTTCGGTTTTTCGAAGAAGTAATTTTACAAATTGTCATTTATTTTTAAACCTTATCCGTTTTAAGATTTTTGCCAAACCAATTTCATGTAAAAGTTTAATTAGTAAGGAGTCTCCAATATCTTTTTTAGATTTTTGGACCAGTAGTTGTGAAAATCGAAGGGGGGGAGACCACTTTTTGTGACGGACAGATTGACAGGCCGAAATTAAAAGATTTCCTTGTTTATCACTACGGACCCCGAATAAATGGGTTGGGTAGTACTTACCTTTCCAATCTAAATCACTCACAGTATCTTGTCTATGAAAAAATGAAGAAATTTTGGGCACTTTTTTTATAACCTCTTCCCTTTTCCGTTTACTTTTTCTTTTCTCAGCACCGCTGGGATAATCTCTTTTCCTTTCACTCATTTCTTTTACAAATCGCTACTAATATTGTTAAACCACCAGAACAATATTGTTTGTACTGAATTACAATGTAATGCACAATTACATAAAACGCGTAAATAAACACTGCACTGCACTCCGTGGTTTAACATCCAATATAGAGTATGTACGTACACGTTCGCGATATCGATTTTATTATTGAGGGATTCCCCGCTGAGTTGCAGATGAAGTAAGTAAAACGGGGAAGTCCCACAGCCCGCCATAACGATGTACAGTGTTGCCAACTTTTGAACGCACGCTTAAGGCGGTATAAAAAGTAATTGCTTTATAGAATTTTGTCATTTGTAAAATAAAATAAATTAGGAAGTTTTTATTTCTTTTTCCTTACACACTTTGGGGGCCCCCGTGGCCCGGGGGCCCCGTATAATTGATACGGCAGATACGGCGGTAGCTACGCCCCTGGGTTGTGGAACAACAGCAAAATTTTATTTTTAAATTTTTCATAAACAAACCTTTCACTCATAATCAGAGAATACTCCGCAGCAGTGGCGTTTCTCTCATCTGTCAACCTTTTAATATCCTTGTTGGCCTTTATAGTGACGTTGACAGCTTCCTCATATTGTTGTTGCAGCTTTTGGTGAGCCTCTCTATATTTTGCATAGTCTTTGTACAGTTTCACCAACTGTTGTTTGAGACCAGCGATTTCCCTTTGGGCTACACCCCTGTCTTGTCCCAACACCTAAAGTGGAAAAATCATAAATCAGTTGAAAGAATGCAACTACATATGTGCTGATCACTGGCTTTAGACGCCTCTTTTCCATCAATGATAAATCCTCAGAATATGAAATCTAAGGAATAATTATGAGGAAAGTTGAGGGTTAATCTAAGTGATTTAAAAGTAAAATTTAGTCTGTTCATGTTAATTCTAAAGGAATTACTGCTATCCTACTTGTCGACATCCACAAGAAGTATAGGCTAGGGTTAGGCATCTTCATAATCAATATCAAATAAAATGATACAAGTTTTTTTTTAAGTCTTATAAAACGTACCTCACACTGTTTGATCAACCTTGCATTTTCATCTTGGGCAACTTCCAGCTTGGACAAAGCTTGTGTGTGTGAGACAAACAGTGCTTCTGAGGCATTTCCATTATGTTCAGATAATTCTTTAAGTAGGCGTTGATTTTCTGCTTGCAATTGTTTATTCTCGTTCAGCAGCTCTTGGTATTTGGTGCGCAGCGACGCAGAGTCTTGAGATGACACTTCCAGCTGATTCATGACTGCTCTGTGTTGTTCCCGATAGTAGTCTAAATCCTACAGGAAAATAGAGAAGTATCAACTGAGAAACAGTGATAAAAAAGAGGCATCCGCTATGTTGTTTCCAGTTTGACACATGTAAACTGTCTTGGTCCATCCATATATGAGGAAGTTGAAGACCTGTATAGTTGCCACAGTTGATATGCTCATATACGTTTTTTTGATTGAAAAATTGACGATATTATATCACATATGAAAAAATCTAAAGACTCATTCATGATACAATATGCAACTTTATAGATTAAGAGAACTGAAGTCTCTATATGGCGCTACAACCCAACACTTGCATTTATTTTGTTTTCTGATTTATTTAATACATGCAAGACTTGTATGAATAAAAACCATATGCAGTGAAAATTTTTTTTACTAATATATTCATTTGGCTGAAACACACTACAGTAAAAAGACTTACACTTAGAGCGTGATCACATCTTCTTCTAGATGTACTTAATTCATTGTTTGTCTTTTCAATTTGCTTGAGTGCATCATACTCTCTTGTTGGATAGTTTCTGGACAATGTTCCTAGATTAAGAATGAATCATAAGTAACAGTAATATATTGGTATCACTACGCCAATATATATGAAGAAATCAATTAAGAAGTATGAGTTATTTTGAATAAATAACATTTGTCATATAAACCAGAGTATGTTGAAAAAGTACAAGTCATAATGCATATGTTATTACCATTACTTCCACTGCCATCATTGCTGGCCATCATATGCCTCAAAAAGGGCCCTACTTAAGAAGTCCCTGCAAATAAAAATGGAAAATTGATCAATCATATATCACCAACTGAGATCATTCACAATGAAAATAATCTAAATAATCAGATGTCATCTTCCAGCAACAATTCCTTATGCTTTTGGGGAGGGAACAAATTTGTTTAGCTTATATGGAAATGAAGCTGCCATCTGATTGTGACTAATTTGGAATATATTTCAGCAATCTATTATACATATGTCTAAAAGATATAGGTAACTTGGATTTATATTTTTGGTTACCAGTAAACAATTAGTAATTTTCATAAAAGTACTTGCATAAAAGCAATTGATTTTTTTTTAGTGTGATCATACTTGCTCCTCGTAAAATGAGAATTTTATGCTTAATATACAAAAAGCAAAAACAATACCATTTTTGTGATGTATGCACTACAAAATTTAAAATATGAGATTGCCTTTGAAGTATAAAAATTATAAAGTTTAGAAAAATAACAGTGTGTTCAATTAAAAAATATATTAAACATTATTATAAGAAATATGTGCATTGACTTAAAATTAAAACTTAGGTGTTTACCTCAAAGAATAATGAGGTTTGCTAATTAAAAACTCCCCCATTTCCTTATTATAACAGTGGCTCTTACCAATTTTTTAAACCTCTCATGTGTGCAGCTTGTAAAAAAATAATGAATGTTAAAATATCCACTCAATTAATGAATGTTCATTGTGTGTTTAATTACTTGTATCCATCTTATAAGTGAAAACACCATTAACACAAAAAATATATCTGATTCAATCTATGAACACTTTCTATGTTGGATTTGTGCAAGTTTTTTGACCAATATGTTACATAAACCATGAAAAATCACACATCACCAACTCACTTTTTTTTATTTGGTTTTGGTAGAAAGTTTAGAATCTTTATTTTGGGACAAATATGTTTCAACAACCCAATCTATAGATATCAATGTGTCATGTTTTGGAAACTGAGGCTAGATCAACTGAATTTATGCTACTGGAAAAACATATTTACGTGAAAATATCATTGTAAGATTTGTGAGCATTGGGAAGAACCAAATAGTATCAAATTCTAGCATATAAAATCTAATTAGCAGTTGATTTATTTTTAGAATCAGGACATCACAACCATATTTTCTAGCCTGCTTCCAAGAATACTTATCGAGATAGGTGCAACCATACCTAATAATAATTATAATGAAACATAAGGACAAAAACTGTTATGAAATGGATAAAGAACCTTCAGCGAGCTAAAAACTTTACTTCACGGACATATTTTTATGTAATATAAACAAAATATGTGGTGGAATAATGTGGTAAAATTTGCTTCATATACAAGATCACAGCAACTTACCAGAAAGTCTGCATAAAACTGGTACAAATCCATAATTTATTTACAAAATTTATTAATTTTTCTGTATTTCTCAACGTCCAACACAACTACCTCGGATGACGACGGTCTATACTTGACAGTTTGTGTCAAAAGTGACAAATCTTGACTTATGCTTTGAGATTTGATAGCACTTTGACAGCAGACATTTTACGGTTTTGTGGTTTTAACCTCACTTTTGCGCTTTTGCTGTTTTTAGTTTAATTTGAATACATTTTTATCCAGCTAGGAAAACTGTACTTACAGTCTTTTTGAAGCACTTCTGCAAATCTTCGGTATATGCTGGACACATTACCTTTTTTGTACTTGAGTCAAGTTCTTGAATTGAGATTCTTTTTACCAGCCCGAAAGTAGTTACCCTTGGTAATTACCAGTGGTTACTATAGTGAAGTAAATCTTTTTTATTATTGGACAGGAGGTATAACAATTGAACCTAGCAACAATGGATAATTTAGAAGCTAACATCATGGATAAGTCCATGAGATCCGTCTTCGGTAAGAAAATGAAAATTTCTATGTTTACAATTAATTCTATATTATTTTATTTTATTTCAGTTGGAAATATTCCATATGAAGCTACTGAGGAGAAATTAAAGGATATATTTGCTGAAGTAGGCCAAGTACTTTCTTTCAAGTGAGTACATGATTAAACCATCCTACTCTTCCCATAAAGTAGCTGTAAATCAAAATAAAATATACATTAACTTTTAATTACACTTTAAGGTTGGTATTTGATCGAGAAACTGGCAAACCAAAAGGCTATGGCTTTTGTGAATACAGAGACCAAGAAACCGCCTTGAGTGCTATGAGAAATTTGAATGGCTATGAGATTGGTGGGAGAAACCTCCGAGTAGACAATGCCTGTACTGAAAAATCTAGGATGGAAATGCAAAATCTACTGAACCAACCACCAGTAGAGAATCCTTATGGGGAACCTATTCAGGCTGAGAAAGCACCTGAAGCCATTAGCAAAGCTGTTGCATCTCTGCCCCCAGAACAGATGTTTGAATTGATGAAACAGATGAAGACAACCATACAGGCAAGAAAAAACTTGTAATATAACTTACATTCATCTGACCACAGATGGTCAAGCATGTATGATTAATAATAATAATAACTTTCTAGAATAACCCAACAGAAGCAAGACAGATGCTGTTGCAAAATCCTCAACTTGCATATGCTTTACTCCAAGCCCAAGTTGTTATGAAGATCATTGATCCTCACACAGCTGCAGTAAGTTTCATTCTGAAATTCAGTATTTAAAATACCTTGCATGATAACTGATTATTTTGAATGTGAGGAAGTTTTTGAAGTTAATGCAGAATAGACTCCTATGATTGAAAGATTTTGGTAAATTTTTGGGCTTTTATAACACTACTGTTTGGAGGAAATACTACTACCAAGGCAAGAGCTCCATACATTTCCACATTTCCAGACAAGCCATATTGTGGCACTACCTAGGCATGTTCAAAATTATATAATATGTATATCTGGAATTACCAGATTGAATTTGACTTTGAAAACTTTCTCTGGAATAATAAATATTCAATTTTCAAAGATCCTCCCCGCTCTGGGGCTTCTGATTTTGCTACTACATTATTCATTCCTTTGTAGACCCTGTTGCATCCAGTAAATCAAGTGCCAGCAACACTGATGCCAGGTGATAAGAATGTACCCGTTCAAGTACCAGTCAACAATCAGTACCAACCCCCGCCACCTGTACCTGTTCAACCACCTAGACAGGAGTTTCAGCCAGTACCTCCACCTATCATGCATCCTAACCCTCAAGCTCCTGTGTTTACAGGTAAGTTGGAGCAAATAGTTATTTTATTCTCAATTGAGATGGTTAAAAGTTTGAACATCAATATTCAGTCAATTCTGTCGTTATGAGAAGGCCATTCAAAAATGTATGACTTGAGGCCTTAACTACATGTGATGATTCTTCTGTCAAAAGAGCACAAGGTATCATGATGCCTGATATCATTGATTCACATATACCATCAAGAGATACCCAATCGAATTTAAAGCTGTGATCAATGTTGCTGAGTAGAAAAAGACGAAATCGGTAGATAGTGTCATTGGAATTGGGTGAATGGAAGAACAAAATCATTACCGTCGCAAGATCAGCAGTACCAGTGGTTCAAGAGTTGCGTCACGCAGCGCCGTTTATGATAAAAATCTTTTTTTATTGCGCGCGCACGCACACAATGATACAACACAGTTTTTTTAAAGCATCTTTTCCTGACAAAAGATTAACCCCCTTATTAAAATTTGTACAATGAGCATATTGGTTGCTCTTCAAACTTGTTTGCAACCATCCTGGAAACTCATTTTTCCATTCTTGTTTACAAGATATGTATATTTTTCTGTTTTACCCTTGAACTTGAAATCCCCATTTAGTTATTAAAAACAGACCAGCTTTGATTTCCTTGTTGCTTGTCTGGTGTTGTGATAACGAATGTGATCTACCAGTCTGTATGTGTTGTACACAAAATTTTCGGCCATAAAATTACATTGAACCTGACATATAATTCATTTTTTCAGCTTTATTTTTGGTTCTAGTTTTTTTTCGCTATACCTAATTTTTTTTTTAAAATCGTGGAAAATGAATTTTTTGGTAATCCGATAAATAAGGTCTCATTTCGGTAGAAATACCGAAAAATTAGTAGGTTCGGCAACGCTTGCGCAAAAATATTAATTTGTACTGTGTCGTCGCCAACCGGCTATGCCTAAAGCTATACAGGGTGTCCCATTTTAATTGCCCCCTTTTTACATCAGAATTTAAAAGAGGAGGAATTTTTTCGTTTCAATATGATCGTCACCTTGACTTTCACAATGACCTTTGAGGCCATTTCAAGGTCTAATCAAGACGTTGAAAACAATTTGCTCTAGCAAAAATGTTTGACAGCACAGTAGTGTGGTTTGTGGTGATCGCCCAAACGTGACCTTGATGATGACCTTCAAGGTCATGTCGAATTTTTCAAAGGAAACCTCATAATATACTGGAAAATGCAGAAAATTTCTGAATGTGATATTGACCTCAAAGTCAAGTTTGTGCAAAGCTTGAATGCAAAATGAGGTTAAGATCAAGGTTTTGTCATTCCCAGTATAATAATAAAGGCTTCCTTTGGAAATTTTAACTTGATCTTGAATGTCATGGTAAAGGTCAGTTTTGTCATTCCCACGAACCTCACAGCTATCAAACATTTTTGCTAGAGCAAATTGTTGTTAATGTTCTGATTTGACCTTAGAATGGCCATGTAGCCATAACCAAGGTGACCCTCGGACATAAGACTTCCTCCTCTTTTCAATGCTGATGTGAAAAGGGGGAGTTCCATTTGAAAATATCAACTTGACCTTAAAGGTCGTTGTCAAGGTCACCATTTTGCCTCCTCGAAACACTACAACTTTTGTTGTTTTTGAAAAAATTTGTTTGGGAGATTAAAATGTATACGTGTCGACCACCTTCTTTAGGTGTCAGTGTTGCTGCAGGTAATGGGATTTCATTTTCTGCCATTAAGAACTCTTAAAATACGAAATATTAACTATAGTTACAAGGGGCTGGCTGCAATGTTGGCAAGATGGCTTTGTTATTGGAAATTGTTTATGAACGTCCATATACAGCTTAGGGATGGGTATCTTGTTGAGGAATGTTAATCAATACTGATATCTTCATGTGTCTATTATTTCAACATTTTTCTGCACCATTGTTTTGATCGAGATAATTTTGATTTATCTATATCTCTTTTTTTCTGGTAGGTCAAGACGTCGACCTGAGATCCCTAGGTAACGCGTCAGATCCAAGACTTTCAAGGATGTCTGATCAAGATATGAGACAACTTCCTGGGATTGCAGGTCCCCTACAAAATCCGCTGCCGCCGCCTGTTGGAGAAAGGTTTGATATTAACATATTATTGCGACATTTCAGTACTGCCCTCTACTAATACTTGTACTAATATTCCATTTTAGCCTTACAAAGCAAGTACCACTAACTCCACCAGATCTTAAGTTGGATAGGTACGTTTCTTGGATTCGGTCTGAAACAATGTTCTGAATGTGCATGGTAGTTTGATTTTTAAGCTTTTCCGTGTATTCTCCTTTTTAGTTATATATTTCCGATCCAACAACAACCTTGCATGGATTAAATGAAGTTCAGTATACTGAATCATACTTTTGCTCAGTTAAGTACTTTATGGAGTAGCAGAAATCACCCACTTTTCACTGCCATTGGATTTATGTTCATGAGTACTTCTACAGTTTGTTCTGGAAGTTGGGACGTTCGTTTTCAGGAAGAATTATGCTTTAAATGATAATGCCAATGGGCGGTGAAGCAACAGAGAAAGAATTTGAAGTACTCATTGTTAATTTTATAAGAAGTTTCGATTGTAGCTCTGTCTATGTTGCTCATAAATACTTTTCAAAGTTCGATTCGATTTCAAAAACATAGAGGAGGCTGGTTTTTGGTCTACTACAATTTTAGTAAAAAAAGAAAATCCTTTTTTTCATGTATATAAACTAGCTAAACAATCTGACCACAAATGGCACTTGTAGGAACTTCCTTCTCGCCGGGGTGCAGGTCAGTTCAAGGTTAGTTTTAGGTGAAATTTCAAAGTTTACAAAGTAATCAGGTATCTGACACTTAACTGTCATTTTTGGGGTTGCTGAGTCCTTGTCAGTTTGTCTATATTAAAACCATTGGAAGATCCAAGGGCGAACTGAGGAATCATAGTGATGTGCCCTGAAAACACACGTACAACTCTAGTAGACTTGATTTCCCGGCATTTTCTCATTTGACCTTGAACTGACCTCCAAATGCCCTTCAAATGATCTGATATGAACAAGCTGACATCAGATTTAATAAATAAACATGGCAGTTAAATGCCAGATACCTGATAGGTACCAGGAGGAGGTTTCTCTATCTCTTATATATCATTATTTTATATGCATATATTGATTTTCTTTGACCAAAATGCAGTAGGCTGAAATCTGGCTTTATGAGCCATTCTGCTTTATGCTCGATGTTTGCAAATTCGGGATTATGAAGGCCCTCCACTTTGTCCACTTCACGTCCCTGCAACAGTCTAATGCTCAACTACTAAATAACCAAACATCCGCTGCATGGAAAAAGTGCGTAAAGCGTTCTGAATACACTTGCGAAGCCTCAACAGCATCTTGGGTCAGTACTTTCCATTCCAAATATTTACACACCGACTGAAGACATAGTTTGTTTGTGATGTTTATGACATGAAACCTGAAGCTCGATGTAAAAATCATTAAAATTTGGTTTTTTCAGCTTTGTTAGGGACTCCAGAGCTGCTGTCCCAGTAGTGCCAACTGATCCTAGACAGGCGCGTATTGATCCTAGGCAAAAGAATATCGGTAAGTTTAGTCATGATTAACGATCATTTTCTTAAATTATTTAAATACTGTAAACTTTCGGGTTTCAAAGAATATGAAGTTCCTGGTTGTTGTGGGTTCTCTGAAAGAACCTTTAGAAATACTGTATGTTACTTTATCGTTTTGTCAATGTAAAGTTAATAGGGACCGTTTTCATCGAAAGCAATTGACAACCCGACTCGGCATATGTATTCCGCATATATTACGAGCATTTGGTGATAAAAAATACTGCAAATGCTGATTGATTGATCTGGCTATCTTATATTCATGTAATACATTCTTAAGGATTTTTCTTTCAATTTTCAGTCCATTTATATTCCGCATTCTCAAAACGAGACTGCCAGTTGCTCCGGGACCCTAAAAGCAAACACAAAACGACGCTACTCGAGTCGAAATGAAGTTTGATCCCTAATTAGCTTGAAAGAGTCACGTGGTTACATTTGCTGTTAACTTCTGTGTGAAACCACCCCCGCTATTATTGTAATTTCAATTTCACTGATTTCCATTATTTATGATGCTAGTAGCGCCACCGGTTGTGCCCCAACCACCGGCACCTAGGCCAATTCCGCTGCAACCAGTCCAAGCTGCAAGACCACCTCCTGCTGTAGTGCCTCCCCAGCCAATACCGTCAACTGCAAGCCCCAATGTCGCTGGTGCCGCTGGGGCCTCCGACCAAGAAAAGGTACGTTGCTTGTCGTGTTGCCATCGACGCACTCTTTCGAGCAAAAAGTATTGTACGCTTCTCTAACGTGATTGTTTTACAGGCCGCTCTGATTATGCAAGTGTTGCAGTTGTCAGACGAACAGATAGCAATGTTGCCACCAGAACAGAGGAACAGCATTTTGGTTTTGAAGGAGCAAATTGCGAAAAGCGCACATCGTTGATAGACCCAGCGAGAGTCAAACTTCTTTGTTTTATCCCATCCTTGATAAGTGTCGTGTTTCTAAAGTATGGAAATATTTGGTATTTATAAGTATAGGTATAATAAATGATATACAATCTAGAACTGCACATTCGTTTTTTTATTCGATTTTTGCCACTTTAGCATCTTAAATCATGTAAAGAGGCGCGAAATTTTTTTCTCGGTGATCAACAGACCAGGCCTATATACCTGTAGGACTAAATAAAACAATATAAAATTATATGACATTTGCCACGATTATTCCTCAAACACCCCTGCATATCTGTGATCTCACACGCAAAGGAGGACAAGTGATATGTTTTGTAATTTTTTTTTTGAGCTCAGGTTGGTCAGAGTGTCGTGTCGAACCTCGCCTTCGGAAATAACATTACCATGGATGTTGTGGCGTCGTGTGTTTGTCAATTAGAGATTCACATGTATACAAGGTCCGTCAGAAAGATCGCATGTTTTTCGAATGGGTACTACATCGAGTGAGCTGGTCCCGTGTCGGTGGGGAAGGGCGTGTTGGATAGTGGGAGAAGTGCCCTTCCAGTTGGCAAGATGGTTTGGAATGTTGAGCATCGTGTGTTCACTGTACGTCGGTACTTTCAAAATGGCGAGTCTGTCGTTCGAACGAAACGTGAGTTTCGCGTTCACTTCCGTGTTCCACGTCGTGGGACGGTACCAGACCGTAACATCATTTTCACATGGGTGGAAACATTCAACACAACAGGTAATGTTATGAAGAAAAAGCCGCCAGGGCGAAACTGTACTGTTAGCAACCTCGAAAAGACAGAGTGAAAGTTGACACGCTGCAAAGCCCGAATCGTTCCGTCCGTGCCAGTTCCCTAGGGATCCACGCGTCCTCTGTACGACGCTTCTTAAAGAACAAATTTTGTTTCTGGAACTGCGACGTCGACTCTCCGTCTCAGAACAGTGTGGTTCCAACAAGACGGCGCAACATCTCACACTTCGATGGAACTTCTTCGGCAAATATTCCCAGGATGCTCATTTCACGTCGTGGCGATATTCCATGGCCCCGTCGCTCCCCAGGCCTGTCACCGTGTGATTTTTTGATGGGGCTACCTGAAATCAAAAGTTTACCAAAGCAAGCCTCGGACCCTCGTCGATTTGGAGGAGGAAATAAGAAGAGAAGCAACCCAAATTTCTGCACGGATGCTGCCGACGCAATGGGCTCATTTAGGGAGAGGCTTGATTCATGCATTTCGGCACAAGCGCGCCATATGGCCGACATAGTTTTTAGAATGTAAATTTTGTTTTACTCAAAAAAATGGCATGTATTTCTGAGTATTTTGATATAATACAATATTTTTACCCGTACTTAGTTAGACTGTACTACTCATTTAAAAAACATGCGTTCTTTCTGACGGACCCTGTAAAATATTCTGTGGCTGTGGTTTACCTGATGCCAATTTGTGTAAAAAAACATTTTTTTGACCAACATTTTAGTATTCAGCCTCCAAAATTACCTACATATACACAAATTCATCTGCTTGTAACAATTAGACACGAAAAATTAAGTTGTGTACTACAAACCCTTATAATGTTTTGAGGTTTGCTATGAAACTTGAGGTCATGGTCACAAATCATTGTTCCACATGATCAACAAGATATATAATACTACAGTTGTACACATCTTTTTTTATTAAACTTCATAAAGTAACATGTCAACTTTGCTCTTTTACAACATGTTTCTTCCTCTCTGGTACATATGGAACTTCTCCAGGCTTGGAATGTGCACGTCTGTTTGCCTCCTTCCTCTTCACCTTCTCTTTGATAGTCCTCAATTCCCTTTGAGCATTGTATATATGTTTTGGTACATGTCTGTGCCTGGCAATCCTCTTGATCTGTGGATGACTCGCATATTTTTCCTTCAGGGCCTCACTGTACCTCAGAGCAGCTTTTTCTCTTGGTTTAAGCTGTGGAAAACAATTTTGATTGCATTAAAAAAAACTTGAGAAAAACATTACCCTCCTTCTGAGGCAGTCAGTTAAAACATCTCAAACTATGGACTCTTATGTATGATTCAAACAGCCATGCTTTACTTACAGGTCCCAATTTTTCTGATGCCTTGGATTTCCATAGCCTTATATTCATTTCATCTGACCCACTTATTATGTATTTATTATCCAAAGACCACAAAACACATGTTAACCTTTGCATTCGCTTTGTATGATATACCTGAAATAATATTAAGTATCACACCACACAATGACAATAAAAAAAAGATGGGACTGAGTGAATTTTTTGTTGTTTAACATCACGTTTGATCTCCTATGGCATTCAAAAAATCAAAGTATGAAAGATTATAAAATTAGGATCTACAGGAGCCTTAAAGATCATGATACTCACTTCTCTTGAATGTCCCTTGCCAGCCTCAAAGATCCTTATTGTTTTATCATAACTTCCTGATACAAATTCTTTACCTGTAGGAGCATAATCTACATAGGTAACTGCAGATACATGGTCCATATGAACATTGGTTGGATGTTTAAGATTCCTTGTATCAAATGTATATAGACTGTAAAAATTAAGTTCATAGGAATAAAATACTAATTGTAAAAATTTACTGCAAATTGTATGCTACAAAAAATGGCTACTCTTTATCTTGATCATTGGCAAATGAAAATTAACACTTAGGCTGTAAAAAAAAACTGTCAATATTCTTCTTTGAATCTAGAAAACATACAACTCTGATTTGCTTCGTGAATTTCTGAGATTTTATTTGAATGAATATATCAAAAATTCTTACTTATAGTCTTCATTAGCAGCCGTAAATATGAAAGGCTCCATAGGGTTCCAACAAACTTTATTTGTCCTCAGATTCATAATTACTTTTCTCAATGGGTCTGTATCTCTGATATCATACAGTATGATACTTCTGTCACTGGCACAAGATGCTAGAATATTATGTTCCACTGGATTGAATGCCACATCATGGAGGCTATCAACACCCCATTCAATAGTACGCACTGGAGTATTCCTTGATTCTTCCCATATCTGACATACCTCACCCACAGTAGCAAATGTTGACGCTTTGCCATGAAAGCTGATATTATTCAAGACAGTTTTGCTCAGGATTGTGTTTTTTGGTTCATTTACTTCACAGTCTTCCTGTTCTTTAATATTCCAGGTTTTTATTGTCTTATCATCGCCTATGCTTATGAAGCGATTGCCTTTTGGTGTATATGCAATACCTCTGATGATGCCATTGTGTGCTACAAAATTTTTCAAGCAAACTTGCTGAGGCAAGTCCCAGATTCTGATTTCCCCATCAAATGCACCACTGATTAAAATAGATAGTTTTTTTGGGTGTTTAGCAATACATGAAACCCCATCTCTGTGTCCATCCAGGCTGCCTATGAATGGCTTTGCGAATACTTTTTCGAGCTTGACTGCATTTAAAGCACGTGTATACTCTCTAGCTGCTTCAAAGGGATGGAGAGCAGGGTCAAAATTCCTTTGAACTAAAATTTAAACTGATGTTAGTAATACATTCATAGTAAAATAAATACGTATTTACCTTTATGTATGTCATGCTTTGTCTCTCTTAGGTACTCATCAGGATTCCTGCTGATTACTTTTACCTTCATTATGCCCTGATGTTACCAGTTGTGTTTATCAGAAACGAAGGTTGAAATAATATATCAAATAAGTTATAGAAAAAAATGCATTTCTAGGGAAAGCGTTTTTAACTAATCTTTTGTGACGTTAATATTACAAAATTGGTAGTTTTTCTTGTCTTTTAGTTTCGCACAAATATTGTTTTAAGCAGCACTTTGCCAATGACAACTATAACCTCACTTTAATTTAAAAATAAACATAACCTATAGATTTCTCCTTAAGCTCTATTTCAGGAGTATCCATCACGCTTTGACGTCTACCTAAGGTGAACAACTAATCAGCAAGTGACATTTTTGATTAAAACTGTAACGTTGGCAATATTGGATCGGGTATAAAACTGGCAAAACTTATTTGTGCCGCTTTGTTTTTGTATGCCGACAAACTTTTCGGCCCGAGTAAAGATGGCCACGCAAGACAAGTATTTATAACAAGTATTATAAGTTTTGGCAGTTGATTTTGTCGTTTCAGTCACCTAGATTCCGGCGTTGCCAGCTCATCGGTCAATTTTGCTACCTCTGCTATTTTGCTAGAATGTTATATAAAATTTGAAGCGTAGCCAAGTTTGCCAAAAACCTAAAAAAGCTGTTATTTACATTTTGCGTCGCTTGGCGTCTATGCGGCGGAACCTTAATGTCTCTGAACACTTTTTGAAAACTTGTCAGCTGTTATCGCCAAAAATTACAATACCTTTGATATTATGGTCTCCTAGGACAACCGTCGGCGCAGCGGAATGTCTATGCGTTCACATCTCCGTGGAAACCTCTATTCGGTTTAGCTACCTTTTTTCAGTAGTGGTGTTCACTATAGGGTTCTCGATTGTCTCTCAGTGGTGTTTTAGTGTTGTGACGTGGGTGTCATGTGTCTCCAAAGTGGAAATTAGGTCTACTTCCAACTCTTCTGAGGGAAACAGGCATATGCGTGCCGCAAACTAGGTGAGCCTTGCGTTCTCATCTACTTGTGTGTAGGGTTGACATCCAATGTTTTTTTTTCAAATAAATTGCGTACACTGAGAGATTAGTCATATTCTAAGGTATTTGGGAAAAACTAAAATTTGGCCAAATTGTTTTTATTTTTGTCTGACTTTATGTTAAGAAATGTCAAAAAACTGATGGCACTATTTAAGCACTACATGATGGTGTTGTTAAAAAAGTACGACTCAGTATCTAATAGCATCTTTTGCTACGACTTCAACGATGTATCACGTTACATTTGTTTTTTTTAGTTATAAAAAAACCTATTTTTTTCACTTTTTCTTTTTATTTAAGTAGGGCTTGCAAACAAATGGTTGATGTAAGATTGTGTGATTACTGAATTTAACCTAGTCTGATCCTTATCTTGGCCAACCTGTAATACATTATTATAAAAAGAAATTCACAGAAACGTGCAGTAATCTAACTTTCTTGTAAGTATTCTTATGTACTTACATTCATTTCTGAAAAATCTCAAAACTATTAGCAAGGCCTCGAACAAAAAACTATTTTTAGTCCAAGGAATTGGCGATAGTTTATCATTGACAATATTTCACATCGTGCTTTGACACTAAGCCTCTGGCACTATGTTTACTAATTATGGTGCAAAAAAATCCAGCGTTGATTGTTTGGCGTTTTCTAACCTGGAAATTCAGCCCCGTCCCTAGAAATCGTTTGCGTCCTTAGTATTGTAGTAACATTGTGTAAAAATTTCATCGAAATCCTAGCGGTAGCCCTCGAGTTATAGGCGGTTAGATCGACGGAAATGAGTGACATGGTTTTTCGTGATGTCATGTAACATCGTTTCACGATTACAATACTTCGTAGCCAGTAGGCTTCACAAAAGGAAAATAAAACGAGCTGAACTTGAAAAAAGTGGTACCAAGTAGATTGACACATTATCATTTAATTTTTCATTTGAATATTGTGATGATACGATGCGTTATTTTCTAATCTAGCATCACATGGATAACAAACTTTTTCAATTGCAAGTGAGATACAGACGCAACCTACTTGATACCGTTTTTGAAAAGTCTTTACAACCCTTCCTCACAGTTTAAATATCAATCCTATGTTGATGTTACTCCAAAATACCTAGAGACACACTATTTGTACACCTGGAAATCTACAATATAAATAATTGTTTTATGTTTATGTACAAATTGTGAACAGGATATATAAATGACTAAAAATTTGATAACAATTAGTAAAAATACTAATTTGCATAAAACATATACTACCAGTCTCGAGGTTTTGTTTGCTCTTGCACATATGATGAAATTATTCATCAGAATTACCTTTATTTTTTTGGCAAACATTGCTACGCCTCAAATTTTATATACCTCCATTGGTATTCCTCAATATTCCATTCAAAACTTTTTTTATAAAATTATAGCAAAATCGTCCGATGAGCTGACAACGCCGCAATCTAAGTGACAAGAACGACAAGGTCAACTTTCAAAACGTATGTCTATCCCGGAGTAACGACAGAGTCGTTTAGAACGTCAAAGCAGTTTTACAATCTTAATTTGCATATTTTTAAGTGTTGTGTATATTTCAATAGTTGTCTTGCGTAGTCATTTTATCTCTACTCCGGCCAACTTTTCTAAACAAAGCAGCTGTTAGCAATGTCCTGTACCGATATGGGGAATTTTGAGATATTACTAGATAATCAGCTGTCGTTCTACGGTGATGGATACTCGTGAAAATAGGGAATACAACAAAAATCACAGATGTCGCTTCTTGAACCCCCAAATAATTTCTAACCTCACTTAAGAGCAAATTTTGAATGCTTGATTGCGATTTCTTGCAATCTTCAAACTATGGCAGGGAGTCGCTTAGAAAGAATTGGAACGATTTATTCAAGGTAACTCGTAATTTTGTTTCATGTTTCTGTTTTTCTGAAGACTAGATTTTTTAGGACGGCCGGTTTGATACAATCAGGAGCCCTAAACTGGGCAGACCGACCTTTATGGTATGATATTTATGAGGCATTTCCACCAAAAGAAGAGCCCCGTTATGATAGACCTGCTCCAAATATGAAGCTCAAGCAGATATTTTACAAGGAAGATAGGATTAGAGCGTAAGTAGCAGCTATCAAATATATTTGCAAATAAATAGTTTTTAATAATTTACAGCATGTTTCATCGGAACAACAAACATATTGGCGCTACCAATATGTTCAATCACAATTACAAGACTTTAACACAGAGATTCATAGACACATATCAAAAAGTTGAGCAACAATATGCTGGCAATGCAACAGAAGAGCAAATATACAAGGAAGCAATTGGTATACTGAAGAGTGAATTTGAATCTAAAAAAGAGAAAGCTGCTGTAGAACATGAGGAAGAGTCAGTAAGCTTGAGTTCACAATTCAGACAGGCCCAATCTGCCCTGGATGCGCAAGCAAAGTCAAAGATCAACTTGGATGTTGGTGATATCTTCAAAAACTGAGTGATTTTATAAACATTGTAAATAATAGTAATTTAATCTTCTTATAATAAAGAGTTGTAGTATATATTTCTATTTTTTTATTGCTAATCTTACAATCTGTCAAAATCTAAACTTTTTTTGTATTTTATAGCCCATCTATTATGGGGGAACAGAAGTATTTTTTTTAAATTTTCTTAGTTTTAAATGGTTATCCAAGGCATAGTGCCCCACAAAATATCTTGCAGTAAAGAGTAAATAAAACATAGTTTGATTTAGCAGCCAAACAATGGGATCCTATTGTGAGAATCATTATAAACATTAAAACACATCTATATGTATAAAAAAACAACTTTATTGTAAATATTTTCACATATATTAACAATATATATATATATATATATATATACAGATTATGTACAAATAAAAATGGAAAGAAACTATACTTTAATCTTAATTGTAGTACATTTCAGTTTTAGTCCTTACTGATAAAATAAGCAATAGTTCAATAAAATCAGCTCATAGTTTAATTAGTACATCAAGAAATTTCCTGTAATCAAATACACATACAATCTGATCAACAGTAACTTCAATTCACGATAAGCCTATCACTACAGTCTTTTTTCAATTTTCTCTTCCGGCTTCATAAAACGTCACTTGATTTTTTTCATAGCTGCATTGTAGGATGGAGATTAAACCTATGTGATTACAAAGAACAAGTATTTGGTAAATCATAATATGCATTTTTTTCTAACAGTCAAACAATCTTAAGATAAGAATGTAGTTACAACAGGTACCTTCAAGGAGTGTTATGTGAAATATATTTTATAACTTGTAGATTTGTCTCAAATATATTAAAAAATTATCTTATTGAATCACATAATTTTTCGGATAAATGCGTAATTTTAGCTTCAGAGACGTCCGACAACTGAAACGGGATAGTTTTTTGACTAGCCGGGTGGCGTAATGTCAACCTAGTCGCCGCGAGCTGCGCGATTTTGAATCACAACTAAGGGCGCTACCATCGCTTGTCAAAGTTTTAGGGGCAGTTACACTTTCACAGAAAGTTATCTCTTGCCAGTGATCGGTTTTCCCTTGATTCCTGTAGGTGCCCATGATCCCATCCCAAGATAATTTTTCGATTGCCTATGGATGTTGTAATCGTTAGTAGGTTGTAGACGATCACGGACCATCGAGCGTGGAGGTACTACCTGTCGGATCTTTAAGGTCAAGTCATTTGCTGTGACATCCCTGCCTTTCCCCTGTATCCCCCTATAGCTTCTCGGTATCCAAGGGTATTTATGAAGGCTTGAGCTGTGGCTCAAGAGTAAGAATACCGTCAAATGAGACTTCTTCCATTGGTTTACAACCAATCGCCAATCTGACATTAAAACCGATTGGACGGATTTAAGAAAATGTTTTATTGACTATCGTAATATTATGATTTTGGAGCAGCCAATGATTGCCAGACGACGAACGAAAGTGAATAATGTACGTCAATGAGCCATTCGAAGTCGAATCATCTTTTAACGTATCTAATTTCGAAACTAGAAATCCATATATCGTATAAAAGTCATTTCACGTAAAAAATCGAACATAATGACCAAATATTTGCTAGTTATTTCACGTAACACTCTATTAACATGGCGCATTACCATATTCTTCTATTACAAGATTATTGAATTGATGTATGCATTTTTTAAAACAACTATAAAAATTGCATACTCGTACAATACAAAATGTATAAGATGTAAATACAGATAAAAGAAAATAAATATATCCCTGAAAATAAATCACTAAAACTAAAGATATATAAAATATCGATGTCCTAGAAAGATAATGATGTTAAACATGCATATTAGTCAGTATTGGTTCACCTTCTGCAAACTAGCCAGTTTTGACTCTTTTCTTGCATTTAGGATTGAAACCAGAATAAAACAAGTAACAATTATCATGTATTTCACTTGATTAATTGAGGTAAATGCTTCAAAATAATATGTACAATAATAAACATTTTCGACGTAATACATAAATGCCTTTCCCATGCAGAGCTAAAATTTTTCCTTCAGACTTTTTATACATATTTCAACTGTATGCAATTTTTAGCCATTATGTATTTCTCATAGTATATAAACCTGGCTATTTTACAGAACAGGTCATTAAAGTATCAGTTTCATTTTCCACTCATTCGTTCATTCATTCAGTGTCAGGATTCTTAAGTTAAATCGAATTAAGTTAATTCAGAGGAACATTACTAAGTAGAGCGGCTAGGAATCACTGAAATACTTTGGCTCCAGTCACTTGCTACAGTTCCTATGTAATCAAATAAAAGGAATGGTTTAATAGCATGCATTTAATATTAGGATTTTTAAAATAATACTAAAGTGATTTTTTGAATCACTTGAAAAGCTGAATGCTTTGTCTTTCTCACCTATACCTAAAGACCAAAATTACTGGCAGTGACTCATCACTGTAACATTAGACTTCCACGGTGTGCAGAGGAATTCAAGTGGTATTTTTTATAGGTGTCAATATACAAAGGGTACTATAAAAATTTTGCAATATGACTTAACAAACGGACGCAGGAGGCTGCTTGTTGAGCCATGTCCATTAGTGCATAGTAGCCGCCAGAAGCATGATTTAGTGTTCATTCATATTGACAGTGTAAAGTGCTGACATGGCATCGTGGTCACGTAGTGAGATAATGGCAGTATTATGGTATAACTGTACGCGTGGTTTAAGCACAGATCAGTGCTTAGAAGAAATTACGCTTGCATTAAAGAATGATTGTCCTCATCGTGCGACTATATTCAGGTGGTACAGAGAATTCCAAAGGGGCAATTTCACTCTGGAGGACGCTGAGAAGGAAGGAAAGCCGCGAACGTCAGTAACAGAGGAAAGCATTACTGCTGCGAGGAAAATATTTGACGAAGACCGGAGAGTAACATACCAACAGATAGAGGAGACCTTACACTTTCATGCACCAGCAATTCATTCAATTCTGCATGACCATTTACAGGTAAGGAAACTTTGTTCTCTCTGGGTACCGCATAGTCTGACGGAAAAGTAGAAGACTCGTCGTACGACTTGGTGCTGAAAGATGCTGCACCGAATATTTGACCACTACTAGACTGAAACTTATTGAGCATCCTCCTTACAGTTCAGACCTTGCTCGCTGCGACTTGCACTGTTTCCGCATGTAAAAATGAAGCTGCGGCGGAAATTATTTGAACGAAAAACGTTTATAGTACCATTTGTATTTTATAGCGAACTCTTTTATTTATATTCATTCATTTATAAAAATTCTGGGGGCTTTCTAGTGTCATACTTTCATTTTGTCCGTAAATTATTTGACTCGTCTATGATCCACGGCACTGGAATGGACGTGCTCACTGAATTGTCTCACCCTTAGCGAGTGTTTTCGTTAGGGGTGTATTGATGAGTTGTTATATATCGACTCACGCCGTTGATGCCGGCAGATAGTTATCGAGTTGTAGGTTATTCCATATTAATACTCCTAAGCTACCAAATAGTTGCTGGTAGATATTTCACGAACTGTGATTTAATAAATATTTCTAAATCACGAATCATGACTGTTATTAAATATTGTGAATAAGCGTTGCCCGATCGTGACGCTGACGTCACTAAATCCATTAAGGATTTTAAATAATTATTGAAGATGAAATTTTCGAAAATTTGGTCGAGTTCATTTCATTTAACTAGAAATTATTATTGGTGTTGCTTATAACGCTTCAGAAGCCATTGTTTGCAAACTTGTTAACAGAGCTTTCTCAGCAGCAGAGAGTTTACTGCCATCAATTTTGATCTTTGGGTATAGGGTACAATTCCAATCTATGTTAAACAGATTGACTAAACGTTCGAGAATACTTGATTTTTACTAAAAATGAAATGTACCTATGACGTTTTTGCAATGGAAAAATATGAACTCCTGGAATAAAGCATTCTTAAAATAAAATTTTAAGCCATATTGTTGCTAATAAAAACGGTAGTCTTTTCAGGTACGAAATGTAAACGAGAAAAAAGTGTCCAAACAATGGATAATACATCAGATCCACTTCCAATTATCAAAATCAACAAATCAAAATTATCAAATTATATTTCATATGTTTTTAAACGTAATAACAGTGAAACAATATCACAAAATAAAATCTTTTCGAATAAAAAATAAATATACAATAACAAAAAAAATATCACAGACATTTGCACAAAAATTACACTACTTTTGCATCAGTGTATAAAATGATCTAGAAACTTATCTATAATCAGAAAGTCTCTAATGTCATATACCAGTTAAATTCACCTATACGACAACGACGAGAAATCCCGTGAATACTCAACAAAAGAATAAAAAAAAGTTGGTATTATCTCTGAACCATTTCAGAAATCTTGCACCTGTTTGATATTCGGATAAAAATCACATCAAATGACTAGATAGTTATAAAAATAAATTAATTACATCATTCAGCTCAAAATCAGACTGCCATTCACAATAAATATTTCTGGCATACCAGTCACTCAGTTGACCTCTCAACCTCTCATACATCACGCAATATCTCAAGCCCCATATTTATAATTCTTCTAAGACACTCTGTTGTGATGGAGTTTTTGAATAATAATTACTATAAATATTATAGATATATGCGAGGTATCAACATGAGGTAAACTCAAACTGAATATCTGTTTTTATACGTCCTTTTGTGGGTAGATATTTTCAAATTCACATTCTAAACGTTAATTCTTTGACTGCACACACAAAGCTTAGTACATTGCAAACCACAAAATAATAAGAGATAAAAAACAAAAAGACTTCCATTTGATCCCCGAACAGGTCTAAAAAACTCCTCAAGTGTCAATATAGTTTTGGAAGAGCTACAAATACGGCACCTAATCTCATAAATTTACATCATACCTTAATAAATCCCCCTACACTTAATTCTAAAGCAACATGGGGAAATGCCAAATTTTAACAATACATTATGTATTAACTAAGTGAATTTTTCAACAAAAAATTATATACCTGCTCGATAACCTCTTTGTGCTTCCTCTTCCTAGACTTTCGTTTAGGTTTCACTTCGAGGTAAACTTCTGGATCATTTAGCATGCCCAGGCGTAAATGAATCGGCAATTTTCCATCTACGATATAAATACGGCATAAGTTTTCGGTAAATTATAAGTAGATCTTTGGAAGATTCATCAGCAATACGAATAGAAAATGGAGTCGAGCAAACTAACTAATTCAAACGGCTTCAAAATGGCTTTTAGTAGTTCAGTGGGACTTTCATGGGGAAAAATAAACTGCTTGTGCTGTAGCTGCCACCTTGATATTTTCAACTGCCAATTTTACCGTGCATTTTGCATGGATTAATTTCATCGCCTCGAATTTCAGCTTTCAATTTTGTAGCGACTTAGTGATTAAATTTATTTTAGAATCAATACATTTTGACTTATTGTTACATTTTGCGACAGCGAGCGGTCGGAAAATGTGACAAATACCATTACTTAGTACAAAGCTGGTGAAAACATTTCGACCTAAAATGGGTCGCCGATCCGGAATCGATCCTAAACAGATTCGACACAATTCACAATTCAAAAATGTGTACGCTCAAAATAAAACCGCCATTTAAGCGTAGAGAATAATCAAACGCGTTATTCAAGAAATTGGTGTAACATATTGGCAAAGCGGCAAATTACCGCGTCAGCGTTGCTAGGCAACACCATGCTGAACTCAAGCCGTCAGACAAATTTGGTTCACAGTGTATATCTACATTCTTTGTTTTGCTGGTTCACTGTTGGCTGTAGGCGGATACGATTAAGGTTAAATGAATCAACTTTTGATTATTTTGAAAATTCACATGCATAAATGTGTACGACTATTATATCTAATAGATGCGTCCAGGTATCAGAAGCTTAGTAACGAAACATTTTTCACGGATACCAAAAATGCAACATTTTAAATTAAATTTTCGATTTTTCAGAATTTAAAGATTCCGAATATGTTAATACTTATATCATTTATATATAAAACCTGAAGACTGAAATACTTTCAAATTCTAATATTTCCATAACCGAGCAGATTGACTGTATAAATCTTCCAAATGAAACATCACTTTATACATGGCAAAAAAATAAAACAAAAACAAGCTGAATTGAAAATGTACCTGGTCTTCTAAGAAAACCATAGTTAACTCTGAAGCTCTTATGCTTGTACACCATGACTTTTCTTTCTGTTTTAAACGATAGGCAGAACTTTCGTGTGAAATAGTCCGCATGCACAAGTTTCGATATTGCAGCCAATTCTAGATAAATAAATCACAAATTCATTCAAAACTGGTATCAACTACAAATTAGCACCTAAATGGCAAAGCTACAATTTCAACAACAGTGACACTGTCTTCTCAAACCTTTATGAGTACTTGTTACTTTCTGTGAAAAGTAATTGAAATTAAAACATACACAACCAAACAAGTGGAGGTACTCACCACTGCTGGATATATCTTTCTCTTTCTTCTTCTTCTTTTTCGACTTCTTAAATACAGCACCTTCTAAAGCATATTGTAACAGTCTAGACGACACCTCTTCCACTGGTACTCTTTGAAGTTTCTCTGCTCGTTTTTTGCTCAGTTGCGCTCTCAAATCTCCTGAAAACAAAACGTTTATGTTTATACTACTGATATCAGTTGGTTCTAAATGGTGTCTCAACAAGAGCGCCGGATATGAATTTCCTGCATTTTTTTGTACAAATAGTATGGTGTTCACTTGATGACAGCTGTCATGTCCAGTATTCAAATGAGCAACGTTTAATTATTGTGAAATCTCACTACAAAAATGGAGAAAATTACGCGGAAACAGTTCGCAAAATACGTACAATTTTCGGTCGCGATTATGCGCCAACTGAGTCTTCAGTTCGCCGTTTAATTACAAAATTTGAGACAAAATCCACGTTGCTGAATGTGAAGACCACTGCTAGTCACCGTCCTGGTCGGTCCCTCGAAAATATAGTCGCAATGTGGCCGAGAATCCAGGCACTTCCATTCGGCATCGTGGCCAAGAATCGAACCTCACCAGACCCACTCTGCAACGAATTTTGACAAAAGAGCTGTGCTTGCATGCGTACAAGGTTCAACTGACTCAAGATCTCAAGCCAACTGACCATGCGCAGCGCCGTGAATTCGTTGTTTGGGCGCTGGAGCACCACCAAGCTGATGCAGATTTCTGGAAAATAATCATCTCTCGGTTTGGCGATCAAAAATGGCCACCAAGATCGTTCAATCTAACGCCAAAGGTGTATGCGAACAAGCCACAAACAGTTGAACGCCTTAAAGACGAGATACGGCGCAAAATTTCGTGGTGGCTATTTACCGGATGCAGGATTTCATGTTTAATCGCAACTATTCCTCTTCATGTTGAAATATAAATAATCATTTAGTTCGAAAAGAAATTGTTTTTCTTGATAATCAAATCCGGCGCTCTTATTGAGACACCCTTTAGTTTGGAGCTTCAACAAATGGAGATTGATGTTACTTGACACTACTACTTTTGCCTGTGATGCTGCCCCAAACATGGCATCTGCTTTGCTATTGAAATCTTTCTGGCTTAAGGTTAAGCTCACCTTTAGTTGCGCTCTCCGCCACAACCTCATCATCGTCATCACTATCATTCTCGATAATAATTTCCGGTTCATCTTCCTCGCTCTCCACTTCCTTTTTCACCTCAACCTTACTGTAATCCTCCTCCTGAGGCTTCGGCTTCTCTTCCATCTCCTCCTTAACCTTCGTTTGTTTCTCGTACTTGGAGGGATTCTTTATCTTGATCTCGATCTTCCTTTCAAATTTCTTGTCCATTACAGGCGAAGATCGCCTTGCTGTCTTAAACGTTGATCTTTGCTTAGTTGAAACTTTTTCGGATGTCTCCGCTTTTTTCATTTCGGGCTTTGCGGTACGTTCACTTCTGGACGGTTCAGGTTTTTCCTCCCTTTTCGGGGGTGTAGTTCTGTAACAGATAACGTTTTCGTCAGTCCAAGTGTGGACTATCTAATTTGTCAAAAGGTACATTAGACCAATGCATGTTTACAAAATTTCAATAGATATACAGTAGTGGAAACAAATATTAACATTATTATGAACTATTTCTTATACCTAAATTAAAATTGTGAAGGAACAGATAATATACTAAGTGACATATAGTATAAATCCGAACACCCAGTTTAAATGGTTTTATTTTAATAAAATTTTGTATAAGTACTTAATGAAGCATAATAAGTAAATGATAAAAATTTCAAAATGATTGCACTGCTTTAAAGCCCTTTGACCTTTAATAATGTGTGGATGCACCCTGATGTGCTACGCATTCTCCAACGCGCCTAGGCATGCTTCTGATCAGGTGGTCAATGTCCTCCTGTGGTATCTCATTCCAGGCAACCACCAACTCCTCTCGAAGTGCTTCTAGAGTCTGAGGAGGACGTTGCAAATTGAGCAATCTCCTACCCATCATATCCCACACGTGCTCAATTGGGGATAAGTCGGGAGATCTTGGTGGCCATGGTAACAATGTGACATCATTATGTTGAAAGAAGTCTATTGTGACTCTTGCAACATGTGGTCGGGCATTATCTTGTTGGAAAGTTGGATCTGCCAGGGTGTCAAGATAGGGTAAAAGATGGGGTTCTAGAACTTCGTGGATATAACGCTGCGCCTTCATGTTACCTCTGATGAAGATTAAAGGTGACCTGGAACCATAAGCTATAGCATCCCAAACCATAACTCCAACAGTGTGATGAACATGTCTTTCAACAAAAAACTGTGGATTCCTCCTTTCACCACGTCGCCTTCTAACCCTGGCACGACCATCGTGCATGCCTAAACAAAATCGAGACTCGTCACTAAAGACAATACTGTTCCATTCCTGATCCCAGAGTGACCGTTGTCTGCACCACTCAAGGCGATTACGTCGGTGTTCTCGAGTTAAAGGGAGGACCCAGTGTGGCCGGTATGAAAACAAGCCAAAACTTATCATTCGTCGGTAAACACTTCGCATGCCAATAGATCTTCCGTGTTCTGCAAACCATTCATTTGCAATGGACCTGGTAGTGGAGAAACGGTCCCTTAAGGCCAATAATCTTAGGCGGCGATCTTCACGGTCTGTTGTTCTACGGCGGCGTCCAGTGCCCCTTGCTCTTTGCGTACGGCCTTCTCGAAGCCATGCCTGACAACACCTAACCACAGTGTCTACACTTCTTTGCACTCTAACTGCAATTGCCCGAAAAGAAAGTCCAGCTTCCCGAAGTCCCACTATACGGCCCCTATCAAACTCACTAAGTTGACGAAATCGTACAGGTCTCCGTACTCTAGGCATCGTAACCGATCGTAAAGGATGTCAAGAACCAAAATCCGCCAACGTTGATTCTTTACTGCGGCTGAAATATTCATTTTTAGAGTGTTAGTGAATTAAAAAAAGCAGTATAAAAACCGGAATGTCCAACTGATAAGGCTGAAAATTTTTTCACTTGTTATTTACAGTAAGATAAATACATTCACCAACTTTTATTAAAATAAAACCATTTAAACTGGGTGTTCGGATTTATATGTCACTTAGTATATAAATATCAAAGTCTATTTTTATCTCCCGTACTAATACAAGGTTTATCTTATCAATATTCAAATTCTCTGAAAATAAAAACACGCGTTTTTTTAAATACCAGTTTTTGTACCAACAAAAGTATGGAAAGATTTCAGTTTTGCCGTATTTATTCGTTCTGCGATACTCTGATATTGCGTGCGGTAAATATTAACATCAGTGAGAATGGCAAAAGTAAAAGAAATTTCAAAAGATTTAAGAGACAAAGTGAAATAATTATTTAGAAGTGGTGTCAGAAATGTTGACATTTATCAAAGATTAAAAATGAAGGGACGATGTCGAAAATTATTAGTAAATATCAAGAATACGGATCAACAGCAACGCATGTTTGGGAGCATGTTAAAAGACAACTGACAAGAAAAACTTTTAAAAATAGGAACGATTCATTTGATTATGTAAAAAATATTTGGAAAAATATCCCAACAGACGTCTGTAAAAAATTGGTGTCTTCTATGAGCAGCAGATGTGAGGCAGTGTTGAATGCTAAAGGCTATGCTACCAAATATTATCTATACAGTATTTTTTAAATCTTTTTGTAGAGTTATTGTATTTAATTTTGTAATAAAAAATATGTTTCCATTTTTGGTCATAAAATAATATGGAAGCTATTTTAATGCCAGTCTTTAGTACCATAGTAAACACAAATTCTCATTTGTATCCTCAAGACTCTAAGCAACTGTATGAAGAAAAAAAATAGTCAATAATAAAGAAAAAAAAAATTAGCCCACTTTTTAAAAATTACTAAGAATGATTCTAAACTTTTTTCTGCTACTGAACATGTTTTGAGATTTATCTAGTCGCTGTGAACCAGCTCGTTTTGTGCTATATGTAATAAAAAATACTGCTAAATATGGTGATTCAGAGGTCAGGACCAATGATTGCAAGGCAAACAAAGTGACTCCACTCGCCATGACATCAGCGGCAACTTGAAGACAATGTCCATAAACCGACATCAAATCGACGAGTTTGCTATTGCTAAAGATTTTATGAAATCTGATTCATAATGCTTACTTTCGCTATGCACGTATTTTATGCCTAATCATTTGATGGAAGCGTGTCTGTATTTGGAACCTAAGACTTCAGTTCATGTGCTACTACGAAAGTTTACCAAAACAACACACTTTGGAAAGGAACCTCTCAAGTTTGAGAACACGTTGTAGATACTGTAGGCCAGTATTGTGATTAAAACTGACTGTTAACACATAGAGTGATATTAATTATTCAAATATCAGTTTCATACAAACCTTTCTCGTCTCCTCCTATCTCTATCGTAATTCCTAGCTCTCCTGTTAGGTCGCGAATCAGGTAACGCCTCTGTCTTGATCTCCTGCTTCACACCATTCACCAGTTTTGAAAACGATAGCACGGGAGGCGCTTTCTCTCCAGTCTTCTTGGCTTTGAAGCGTCCTTCGTTGTCGCTGGCTGAGTCCTCGTCAGAGAAGATGTCATCAACCTAAAATAGAGTAACACACACTAATCTATTTACATGGTTCCCCAAAATAGAAAATAAACAAATGCAGTCGTATACTATTCAAAAAATCTGAACAGGTATTTTCGTCCGCATATGAGCTTACAATAAAAAAGGCAGAATTTTTGACAAACTATTATAACTCGAACGAACGTTTTTTGAAGTGGACAAATGAGAAGACGGTTTTCTTCGAACCTAGTGGCTATTCTTACCTTTGGGTTGACAATATCATCTAGCTCTGGCAAAGGAGCGTTCAGAAGCCTTTCTAGCTCTTCAAATTCATCGGGAATATCGTCTATTTTTTTCGTTTCAGCCTTCGGTTTCCCTTCAGGAGTGGTTGAAGATGGAATTGGAGGTGTTGTGGAAGTCACAGAAGTTTCAGAGGTCGAAGTTATCGAGCTGCTCGGCTCAAGGGCGGAACTCGTTGCACTGCTACTGACTGGAGTTGGAACTGTTGAGGAGCTAGAAGTCTCCTTCATTTTGGTTTCCTGGAGCAAAAGAGTACACAACCGTCAGTTTCTATGTAGCTATTTGCAATTAGTTGCTAAAATGAACATATTGTACATGTTAAGAAATCGCCGTCTCGTTATACGGGCGGAGGGAGAACAGAAATTCCCGGCCTGACCTAGAGATGGCGATAGTTGTTTGAAAAATATCATTGTATTAGAAAGTTTGCAACCTATAAAGCATATGTGTCAAGTGAAGACGCCACGTTGTTTAGTATTTGTTTGGCAGCCATCAATACTGAACGTTTTCTGTGAAAATGGAGAAAATTGGTCATCGTTATGTGGTACAATACTTTTATTTCAAAGGCTTCAGCCCAACCAATATAAAAGCTGGACTGGATTATACTCTGGGTGAGTCTGCTCCTTTGTTTACAACAGTAAAATATTGGGTAGCAAATGAGGTGACAACTCCAGAAATGGTGGAGAAAATTCACAAAGCGGTACTGAATGATCGTCGACTGAAAGTGCGCGAGCTAGCAGACACAGTAGGCATTTCAAAAAGTGCGGTTCATCGCATATTTCGACATGAGAAAGCGGTTTGTAAGATGGGTACCGCGATTGCTCACAATCGAGCAAAAACAGTGTAGTGAAGATGTTTTAATTGAGTGTTTAACGAAATTTCACAGCAACAAAGCAGAATTTTTGCGTCGTATCATAACCATGGATGAAACATGAGTCCATCACTCCACACTGAGACAAAAGAACAATCAAAACAATGGACTCAAAAGGGACAACCGGCTCCAAAGAAGGCGAAGACCGTTTCATCTGCAGGCAAGGTTATGGCGTCGGTTTTTTGGGATGCGCGTGGGATAATTTTCATTGACTATCTTGAGTAAGATAAAACTATCAACGGCGAGTATTGTGCGAACTTATTGCAACGTTTGAGCGATGAAATCAAGCAAAAACGGCCGCAATTGTTTGAGAGGAAAGTGTTGTTTCATCAAGACAATGCACCAGCTCACAAATCCGTTATTGCAATGGCCAAAATTAACGAATTAAAGTTTGAATTGCTACCTCATGCATCCTATTCACCAGATTTAGCCCCCTCGGATTATTTTCTGTTTCCAAACTTGAAAAAATGGCTCAGTGGTCTAAGATTTTCCAACAATGAAGAAGTGATGTTGGCAGTTAACGGCTATTTTGAGCAGCAAGACTGTTCTTATTATAAAAAGGGTATTGAACTTATTGAACATAACTGGGAAAAGTGTATAGAGCTCAAAGGAGATTATGTTGAAAAATAAATACATTTTTTTACCAAATTTTTGTGTTTTCTTCGTTGGGTCGGGTTTTTCTGGGACCACCCTCGTATGTTATTATGATATTATATATAATGACGCTGTTTCCTAATATAATAAACGTATAATGAACTTACTTCACTCTCTTTTGGTTTATCTTCATTCTGTTTAACCACCTTTGTGTTTTCTTCCTTTGGGTTGACATCTTTTGCCTTTTCATCTTCTACCAGTTTATCTTCCTTAGATTTATCTTCTTTTGGTCTTAGCCTGATGATACCTTCCTTCTTCTTGATCTCATTGGACTCAAACTTCCTCCTTCTAGCTTCTAGAACAGGATCAACTGGTTTATCTTCTTCTTTCTTTTGGACTGATTCATCACCTGAAAATTTTAAAATTCATTAATTCACTTTTGATGTAATATAAAATCAAGCCCAAATGTATCTAAAGAGACATCGTTTTTTTTTTAATATGTATGCTAGAATTTCTGATCAACATTACCTTCTTTTACTTCATCATTCTTTTCTTTGTCTTCAGTTTTCTGTTGACTCTTGTTGCCAAGTCTCTCATGTATCGGAGGTCTTACATTCTTCTTATCATCTTCCTGATCCTTAGCATCTCTAGTCTTCACTGGCCTCTTTCTTCTCGGCGAAATTGATCTCCTTCTTGAAAGAGGCGATAGGGGCCTTCTTCTGGGAGATAGTGGTGACCTTCTTCTAGGAGACATTGACCTCTTTCTAGGTGACAGTGACCTCTTTCTAGGAGACACTGATCTCTTTCTAGGAGATAGTGACCTCTTCCTGGGAGACAATGGCCTCCTTCTAGGCGACAATGATCGTTTCCTGGGGGAGATGGACCTCTTCCTAGGAGACATGGACCTGGAGAAAAATGGATTGGGCATTAAAACCTAACAGATGTTGGCAAGATAATTGTAACTGTTGTGTATGATTAGTATCTTTATTATGTTGTAACTGCACCAAGTTGCAGCTTATCCAAGGGTTAAAATCAATGGTTTTCAACAGGCAGCGCCACCTGTCGCGATATGAGCAGGTTGCTATCACAGCTATCAATCTGTACCTTTTCTTAGGCGTTAGCGACCTTCTTCTAGGAGACATAGATCTCCTTCTAGGACTCAAAGACCTCCTTCTTGGAGACAGCATTCTTCTAGGTGACCTGGACATTCTCCTGATGGGAGTCAGAGATCTTCGCGGGGACCTTCTTGGACTTCGAGACAAACTACGAGACGGACTTCTTGAGTAGGATCTTCTCGGCGAACGCTTCCTTTTCTCTACTATGGCTTTATTTTGAAGGACAAATGCCGCACTCCTAAACAATAAAAAAATAACATTGAAATTCAGTTTTTCATTGATTGTACAATTTTAAAGTTTACAGATACTAGGACCAGATTTTTCACTGCGGCCCTTTTTTTTTCAGCTTCAAAGATGAAGACATAAAGAATCCACAAAAGTATTATCTTGCTGAAAATTTATGCATTGGCAAACTTGTTTGATAAATGTCAACACCTGTCAGAATTGAGGATCATTCCCTAGGGAGCATTTTATTCTACTGCACTCAAGAATTGATCCCTAGGTGGTCAAATCTTGAAAATGAGGGATTACAATAACTAATTAAAATAAATATAATAGATAAAAAATTTTACCTAGTTTGCTTTTCTTTTTGTTTTGACATTTTTTATCAAATAAGTTCCTGAATTTAAGCGCACTTTTTCTCCTAAGAATAACCGGACGACACTTCTATCAGTGTTTCAGAATACAGTCCCAAAAAACAATAATACTATCTCATTTCAAAAATAGACCCCCTAAATAGTCAAAATATTCAGAACACCCTGTAGAAGCGACCAATTGAACACAAAGCATATATTAAATCTACTTTCAAGGTATAGACATTAGAAACAACAGGAAAGTGAGAGAAAGTGAGAAAAAATTGAGTCCTTACCTGGGTGACAGTGGGGCCCTGGCTGTAGCTGCAATGGACTCAGTGTTGATTCCAAGAGGTGAGAGGGGCCTATCGAAGAAGGGGTGAGGCATAGGGTTCTGAATGATTGGAGGACCAAATGGATTGAATGGATGTGGAGGGAAAGGCATCACTTGTGGATCAGGACCCATGAATTGCGGGGGATGCCCAAATGGAGGTAGAGGAGGTGGGTTTGGAACATTTGGAGGGAAACTCCTCATTCCTCGGCGACGATGCATGAAGCGTCTATTTGGAGATCGAGATCTTGGTTGTTTTCTGTACTGGAAACCTTTGGGAGAACTCTCTTGTCCCTCAGTTTCTGCTGGTACTGATGAGCTCACGTCCTCTGTTGAAATTGGAAGCTTATTCTCATTATCAGCATGTACCTCTGTTGAGCCACTCGGTGGCTGTTCTTTATCAGTATCAGAAGCTTTGCTATCACAAGCCGAGACCTTTCTCTTCTTCTTTTTTACTTTTTTCAGTTTCTGTTTCTCTTCCTCTCCATCCACAGGCTTGCCCTGGATTTCATTATCCAACTCTTGCATCAGTGCTTCCAAGCTATTGGCCCGTTGAAGTTTGGCAGGGCTTTCTTCTTCTGTAGTAGCTTCCACCTCTTCTTCAGATTCGGATTCAGATTTGTCAGATTTGTTGTATCTGTCAAATTTGCTGATACCGCCATCTGCAGGTTGCTGATTACTGGATGATGCTGGTTCGGATTCAGGATTGACAGGAGTGATTGATATCAAGTTGGGATTCTTTGGTCTGTTAAATTGACCCTGAAACTAAAAGATTATTGTCAACAATTAACTTCAAATTATCCAGTTTTTCATCAATAAACAGTTGAAGATATACAGTCACGAAATGGAGAGTAAAGGTTGAAGCAAAGAAAAAAATAGTTCTATATAATTATGATGTTAGGTCATTTGACATAGTCACTGTGAAATTTGTTAGAGACTACTTTTCAAAAGATGAAATAATGAATTAGAATATGATTATTCTTATCAAATAATCATATTGTGTGGTCAAAATTGGGGCAGCAAGTTAATTGCTTGAGACCTGATGAGTCATAGGAAATCTCAAAATATAGGAGTTTGTCATGTAAAATTTCCATTCTCATCACTTGTTGATACAAACTATGATAGCATCAGTATCAAATTGATGTTGGATTTGGAATCTATGCATCCCATTTACTTAAGTAAATCACAGATAGATAGATTTTGAAGATTCTGTCACAGAAAACCATAAAATATTAGAGTTTGCAAGGCAAAATTTACATTTTCATCTTGCATTGATACAAGCAAGTGACATATGACAAATATGGGTAAATTGGGGCACAAAATTCGAATATAACAGACAACAAATTGTAATGCTCAATGGGGGCCAAATATGAGATAAAAAATGGGTCACTTAAGACCTCTCATGAATTCTAGTGCCAAATTGCTGTCAGATGCAGAATGTACATGTCTGATTTACCTAGGAAACAATTTTCTGTTGTGATCACAAATATGCTTCAGATTTCTAAAAATTCAAGATTTAGGACAACATTTCCATCTCCTGTTGTTTCGAACCACTTGAACTTGGGTAGTATTGAGGGCCGAATTCAAATATGTTCTTCACAGAAACATAATTAGACCTTATATTTGGTATGAAATGGGTCATTTAGGACTCCTCATGGGTTGTATTGTTAACATCAGATTTTAAACCTACATGACAGGTTCACCCACAAAATGAGTTTCTATTGATGTATCTCCTCATTGAACCTCAAAATACTGGATTTTGTAGTCAAAAATTTGATGTTAGTCTCTTGTTTTAAAAAGTGAATGAAATTCTGTAAACATGAATAATTTGAGGCACTGAATGCACTTCAAAACATCTTATAAGACCAAATTTAGGGTATAAATGGGTCTCATAAAACCTCTTCTGACCTTAGTGTCAAATTGACAGGGATGCAAAATCTACACACCCTAAAGGTATTTTCACAGTTTTTGGTAGGTAACAGTAAAACTGCAGGAATTAGTTTCGTGCATCCATCTCCTTTATACCCACATGTACAATCGACCTCAATGTGCAGATGTTCACTTGAGTTTGTCTCACTGCCTTATTAATTTTCTTGGCAACATATGAGTCTTCTAGATTTTTATTTATCATCGTCATGGGCAAACAATTTGTGTTTAATCCTGTTGATCTTCAATATAAAATGCAGTACTATCTGAACAACTACAATGTCGACAGTCTGTATTAGAAGTATCTCTAGAGTGTAAAAATGGAAAACAGTCCTATATCACCCTATTCATGTGTGTGCAAGAGTGAGTAGCAGCTGCGTTTTGGATTGCCGTGCGAAATGTATAATTTTCCTTAGGGAAGTTAAGAGCTACATACATGGTACTATTACTCAATTTGTCATTTATTTTGTACGAGACTGGGACATAACTGCCAAAAAATATGTACTTAAAAACAGAGTTTATAGAAACACCTCAAATAAATTGATCACATACATTCTTTCCTGACCAACTGCCACTGGGATGTGATCCAAAAAAACGTCCCCTTTTATTCCTGCCTCCTCTACCTCCTCTGAAATTATAACTATTCTCGAAAGGCTGATTTTGTTGGTTGAACTGTGCATCAGCATTGTTCGCGTCAGCCTCTTGTTTCCTTTTCAAAGTCTGCAAAGCTGCTAGTCTCAGGAGTTCTAAGTCATCGTCGTCGTCCGGAGGCGAAAGCTGGAACAACAATGGTTAATATATCTGGTTAAATAATCATTTATTCGATAACTTACTTGAAAATTATTCATTTTTTCGCAGTTAATGCGCTATAAGTACGTTTTTAGATTGCAATCAATATCGTTTTGTTGACTAGTTGACTTTCACTGTGGGTAAAATGGCGACTGCAAATGGCGACTAACGCCATTTGATTTTTGACAGTCTTGACGGTTGGGAATGTTAATCACTCATTTGACACGTAAAGGATCTTATAGACTAGCGTATCTATCTTATTATGTTAGCCACTAACTTGATTGCGTGTGGCAGCATCCCATAGTGTATACCGAGCTCTTATACGTCAAAATACACAATTCATATTTTTTAACAATCGGATGACAAACTACGGAAGTACAAATTTTGAGTGTTTTTAATATTCAACAGAAAGGGCTACATACTGAATAAATATTCAAATAACACAATATGGTGATTGACAATGCTTATACATACATACACACAAAAATTCGTATCATGAAAAATGGTAAAGGGGCAGCTTGACAACTTCCAATAATGACTATCAATTCTTTTGACCAGTTGATGCGTAGTAATTATTAGCATTTCGATAATTTTAATCACAGTGTGAGGAGAACCTAGACAATTCAATGGAGCCCGCGAAAAAACAAATTATGAGATTTGAGGGTAATCCACTAAAATCCAAGGAGATTTGAAGCAATTCAATGACATTTTATGATACTCACCGAGACCCGTAGTAATCCAATGAGATCATTAGCAGTTCAATGCGATCTGAGTGTATCCACTGAGATCCGAGGTAATCCAAAGAGATTTGAAACAATTCGATGAGGTCCAAAGATATCCACTGAGGCGAGCAAATCCATTGAGGATAGGTAATCTTATGACATCTGAATCAATGCAATGATAATCCACTGAGATTCAAGGTAATCCAACGAGATTTGAAGCAATTTAATGAGATTCGAGGATGTCCACCGGTAATTGAGTGTGATCAGGAGGATTCAAACTGATCTGAGGGTATCCACTGAGATTCGAGGCAATCCGAGGAGATCTGAACCAACTTGATGACATCCGAGGTAATCAAAGGAGATTTGAAGCCATTCAATGAGATTCTAGGTTATCTAAGAAGGATTGAAGCAATTCAATGAGATTTCAGGATATTCACTGAGACCCGGAGTAATCCAATCAGATCATTAGCAATTCAATGAGATCTGATTGTATCCACTGAGATCAGAGGTTCGCCAATAAGATTTGAAGCAATTTACTGAGATTCACTGAGATCCGAGGTAATCCAATGAAATTCGAAGCGACTTCATGCATTTCGGGGGTATTCACTGAGATCCGGCAATTCAGTGTATACAGAAGGAGTTAATGATATTGAGAGTATCTATCCAAGGAGATCTGAAGCAACTTAATGAGATCCGAGGCAATCAAATGAAATTTTAAGCATTTTAATGAGATTAGAGGGTATCCACTGAGATCCCAGATGATCCAAAAAGATTTGTAGCTAATTAATGAGATCCAAAGATATCCACTAAGGCAAGGTAACTCAATGAGATCAGGAGTAATTCAATGAGATCTGAGGGTATCCACTAAGATCCCATGCAATACAAGAACATCTGAACAATTCAATGGGATCCGAGGATATCTACTGAGATCTGAGGTAATCTAAAGACATCTGAGCTAATTCAAAGAGATGGGGGAGGGGGGTAGTGCACTGAGATCCAAGGTAATCGAAGGTGATTTGAAGCAACTCAATTAGATTCGAGGGTATCCACTGAGATCCGACACGATACAAAGAGATTTGAACAATTCGATGAGGTCCAAAGATATCCACTGAGGCGTGCAAATTCATTGAGTTCAAGAGCAATTGCACCATATTTTAGGATATCTACTGCGATCCGAGGTAATCTTATGACATCTGAAGCAATGCAATGATAATCCACTGAGATTCAAGGTAATCCAACGAGATTTGAAGCAATTTATTGAGATTCGAGGATGTCCACCGGTAATTGAGTGTGATCAGGAGGATTCAAACTGATCTGAGGGTATCCACTGAGATCAGAGGTTCGCCAATGAGATTTGAAGCAATTTACTGAGATCCACTGAGATCCGAGGTAATCCAATGAAATTCGAAGCGACTTCATGTATTTCGGGGGTATTCACTGAGATCCGGTAATTCAGTGTGTACTGAAGGAGTCAATGACATTGAGAGTATCTACTGAGATATGAGGTAGTCCAAGGAGATCTGTAGCAACTTAATGAGATCCGAGGCAATCAAATGAAATTTTGAGCATTTTAATGAGATTCGAGGGTATCCACTGAGATCCCAGATGATCCAAAAAGATTTATAGCAAATTAATGAGATCCAAAGATATCCACTAAGGCAAGGTAACTCAATGAGATCTGAGGGTATCCACTAAGATCCCATGCAATACAAGAAGATCTGAACAATTCAATGGGATCCGAGGATATTTATCCAAGAAGATGTGAGGCTCAGAATCCAAAGAGGCACGAGGCATTTTAAGGAAACCAGAGGCTCAAAGGCGATTCAAAGATATCTGAGGTAATTCAAGGGGATCTGAGAGTATCCATCAAGGAGACTTTCTTTCCCAGTGGGACGAGATCCGTGTCAATTCAAGGAGTTACGAGGAGATTAAAGGTAACCCGAGGTTATCCAAAAAGGTTTGTGGTAATTCAAGGAGATCCGAAACACGTTTCTGTCACCATTTTATAGACTATGATTGACAATTCTACCGAGCCTTCAATAGATCTTAGGCCCGTATCGCCAGTCGTCCCTACAGTTGTAGGGCGCCTTTATGGCCTCCTTGATTGTCATAGTTTTCTACTTCTCCGTGTCAGCGCTCTATTTTGAGGTTATGTCACAAACATCAATTTGCATGGTTTTGAGTTATATCATGTTTTATCAGCCTGAAATTTCCTACAATTTAAAAGGAAAACAAATCTTCACAATAGGAGAGCGCTGACGCTGACACGGGACAAGTGTAATCTAGAAACTTTTGAAGGAGAGAAAGGAGTATGACAATCAAGGAGGCCATAAACGCGCCCTACAATTGTAGGGTCGACTGACGATACGGGCCTAAGAATTAGGAGCTTCTAGTAAATCCAAAGAAACCTGGGGGTATTGAAAGTTTCCAAGGAGATCGTCAGGTCTCAGAAAAAATCCAATGATACCTAGAGGAGACATTATGTTGCAATAAAGCGTCCGTGGTAAGCCCTCCGCTGCAGAATGTTAAAAGTTTAGAAGCATTACTTTTCCGTACCCCTCGTATGCATCCTAGTGTGATCCTGTAACTGCCCAGAAGACCATAGAAAGTCTTTCTCATACATCTCATAATTTCAATATCAATCGCGAGACAAGTGATTCATCGAATTAAGATATATACATATTGCTTATTAGTGTTTTTCGTTTTTGTTTATTAATGCATATCGCAAGTTCAATAACAAATCAAGCTCAACCTGGAGAGAGATATGATATTTTGCTCGGTAAAACTCCATTTCACTGCAGTGATAGCACAGTACACAGTACCACAGCGAGCGGTTGTCTTGACGCGTTGTGTCTAAACCAGTGACTAGTGACGTCTCTAGACAAAAAATGTCGTGCTCATTACCGAATAGAAAAATCGGGATCATCGGAAGGTGAGAACAAATATTCATAATATTCTAACTTAATATAAAAGAAACGAAAACTTCGCCCGCGTGGAAGAAAATTTTGGACTCGATTTTATCCTTAATCCCGTTTGTTTGATGCAGCTTAACATGAGATGTTGCTAGGCGATAACCCGATGCAAATTTGTTAAACAACTTTTTTAATCAAACTACAACAAAATTGCTCCGAACAAAGTTTTTATTTCCCACGCCTACTGGCGCGGAAGTATTGTAATAGTGAAAATGTACGAAAATGAGATGTTATGTTTCAGTATTTCTACGCACATAATAGGCATACTTCAATCATCATAGATGTTACACTTAAAACTCGGGCGTCGACTCGTGCGGCGTGGTCAGCCGACTGCGAGGGTAACTATTAAATAGTAATGATTCAGGATACATTGAGCTTATAATATTCTTCCGAGTCTTATAGGGGAAGGTTTGAGCTTTAATTTAGATACATGGCAACTACAAAAATAGTCATTTTTAACCGAATTTTGCGGTATAGAAAATGACCACTTTTAATATTTCTGAGACTTCAAATAGCTAAAAGCTCGGAAATTATTTATCTGTTATAGATAGAGAAAATTTGCACCGAGTTACAGCCTGGCAACCTATCAATTTACGCTAAGGGTAAATTATCACAAAATCCATTATTCGATCAAGTCTACTCTAAAGAACATCTGTATAGCCAATTTTAGTTACCTAGCAGAAGCCCCTTAAAACGGTTCCTGTTATAAAATACGTTCTTAACTGATATTTACTCTCTATGAATTACCTTCCTACCAAATTCTAGGTTTCTAGTAGAAAAACAAAGGACTTTTGTAGAAACCTGTATATGTCTGAAAATAATTTTTGCACGTACATTTCTATAAATTAACTTGAAAAGTCATAAGGGTTCCCATAGAAATATCCTATTTATCTTAAAAATACAGGTAATTTCTGGAATTCCTTGTCAATGCTTCTTATTTTAAAGACTGAATTATAAACAAAACCTGCTCTTGTTTCTAGGCTGGAATAAATTGAAATATTCCCCACTTCACCCCTTGGGGGTATAATTTCTAGATTTTGTACCTGCTCATTTACATTATATCAAAGAACCAAATTTAAAAAAGCCATATCTGTATCCCTAACTTAAAGAATACTATTCACTTTTACCCCCTATTTCAAGCCTTATAGTTTTATTTTTACAATAAAAGATAGCCTATATCCGTCTCCAAGGTCTATATAGTCTATATTGTGACAGGATTCATCGAAATATGTTCACACGTTTTGGCGTGAAAACGGAACATACAAACATACATACACACTTTCGCATTTATAATAGGGATTAGTTGGGATATCTCGTACCATTACGTACCGTATTAATTATAAAAACCAATTCCTATACATCATCGGTGTCTGCTCTAATTGTTTTGAGATAAATATAAGAATTATAAGCACATCTGAAATGCTATAAAGTTGCTGATCTCCTTGACAAAAAAATAGATTCACGGAATTAGATTCTATTTTTATCTACCAGTGAAAAACACGGATTCGTCTTAAGCCGCGTACAGACCGGATTCCAACGTAAGCCAAGGTACATGTGGTTACTGATTTGGAGGTGCTCGAATCGGAGCGATCCAACATAAGCCAATGGTTTCCAAGGTCGGCGTTGACGTTCGATTGCGTTCGTTCCTTGATCGGTACATCAAAAAGGGAGGTATGATTTGGTCTGGACAGGATTTGTTGCGCTTCTAGTATTTAGTGGTTCGATAAGAGGAGACTCGACATTAGTACTGAACTTAACCCATCGCGGTTCAACTAAACTTAGGTGTAGAGAAGTGCTTTTCGATACCTTCCAACAACAAGCGCCAACCTCACATGTGCTTGCATTCGTTGCTCGGCGTTGGATTTTCGGTCTGTACGCGGCTTTAGGAAAAAGCATCGTTCATAAAATGAATGCGCGGCCAAAAAGCGACCCTAGGTTCTAAATTCGTCAACATAAATTACTGAATCGAATAAACTTTAGTAAAATGTCACCTGTTAAGGAAGCACAAACCTACAGGGTGTTACTTCTCGAAATCGTCGTTTTTCCAAAGCTCAAGCTGTTTTTGTAATGTCGAGATGAAGGTTGGGCTGGAAGTGTTTGATTATATTGAATGATTATATTTAAATAACAGAAATATAATACATTTCGGATTAAGCACATCCCTGTCAAGATATCTGCATTAAGACATCCAATTAGGCAGTCAAATGGAACGGGTAAAAAAATTGAAAAATCAAATATTTGCTATAACAGATTCTCGTTGATCCCTAGACAATACGCTTATTATTTTTCTTCTAGCTAATCCTTTTTCATTCTTCAAAACATCATTTCATAATTTCTGTATGGAAATATTTGTAAAAAAAATTGACCTGACCTGATAATTATCGTAATTTTTGTGATTACAGAGAATGTTTATATAGTAATTTATCAAGTCACGCTATGAATATTTTGGTATGTCACCATGGAAAATATAGATACCTATACACATTTAAATAAAGCAAATAGCTACGCGAACTTATCTACATTGTACTAATGCACCAATTATCTATTACAATGGGCGATTTTCTTTATCTAATGTAGATATTTGTATGAATATTTCCACAAGTGATTATCATTAGGATAGGAATAATAAAATTCTTTCAAGGACCTACAGATACCTTAACACAACATTCGCATTAGTATGAAAAAAATATGGAGCGCTGAATTTGCGCCCTACTCTTCACACCCCTCCTCACCCTTACTGTCTAATGACGAGCTTAGATATTTAAGGTAAACTAAAGAATATACTGTGTTAACGGGGCTCCTACAATCACGAGCACCATCCGCTGAGGTAACGGGGGGGTGAAAAAGAAAAGAGGGTGGGCTGGCCCTAGACGGTCGTCGGCGCAGCTTTAAAAGAGGAAAGGATGACTGCGGGTGCATACCAAGCTAAATTTTTATAAGAACAGAGTCGGATTTCGATTAGCGATCTAGCCTGTAAATCCGTTCCTATTTTGGTACTCAGCAAGTGATCATTTAGTTTTTCTCCCCTTGTTACTGTTCGTCGATATTGTGTTGTTGAAATGTTGTGCTGTACTCTTGTTGGTGTGAGTGTTCTTGAGTGCCTTTTTTTATCAAGGTTGATAATGGACAATAAAAGGTCATTTTCGACCATTTTATTTACGAATGCAGTGAGTTTAATTTATGATGAGGTCAACAATAGTGTGGAGCAGTTCAACTCTATAATCGCAAAATACATTGGGGAGTAAGCGAATAAATTATTGCAAGAAAAGGTCCAATGAAGATGTGCTGCAGCTGTAGTAAGCCACAATACCCAGCGGCCTTTCTATATGGCCCAAATACATTTGCGTTCTAAGCTTAGTCCAACCTCGCTTATCGCTAAGATGGAACAAAGACTCAAACGCAAGAATCTTGAAAGGAAACTCAGGCCAAAAAAGCTGATATAAAAATAGCTAACAATTCGGATAGCAATTCCAAAAAAAATGAATAGTTTTATATCGAATCCTGTCAAAAACCTGACATGAACGACATTGATTTGGAGGTTGCTAAGCAAGAATTGTTAGGGAAACTTAAAAAAAGTGACGACGAGATTTTGAAGATCGAACAAGTCACCAAATCACAGGACTGTACTTTGTGCCGCCTTCATCGGAGGATAAGGTTGACAGCGTCTCGATTTGGTGAAGTTTGAAGAAGAAGGCAGACAACAAGCTGTACAGTTCTAGTAAACTCCATCATATGCACAACAGAGTTTTCTAGTAAGGCAATAAGAAAAGGCTATACAAAAATCATTGGACATTTCAATCTTGTCGTTTATTTATTGACCGCACACATCCATTTCTGGCAGCATCGCCTCCATCTACCTATTATAGTAGAAAAGAAATGTAGGTACTTAATCGAGGTATAAGCCTACCTGCTTATTGCTTTGCAAAAACTACCTAACTGTTTCCTCTTATTTTGACGGCATAAGATATTTTTATGACCCTCGTTCAATTGTTACCATGTACCACATGACCCTTGTAAACATAATTGTGTTTATTGAAATGAATAAACGAATTTGAATTTGAGTTCTTGAATTTATTTTACTAAAGATATCAAATTATTTGAATACATTTTTTCTTATTCGGAACGCACCGTCGCGTCGCTTGGACTGGCAGGACGAAACATTATTTTTTTGTATACTCCAACTACCACGAAGGTCAAAGGCCTAAACACCCATTGGGTACCGTGGGGCTATAAGGGGATACAGGGGAAAGGGGGGGACGCCACACGGACTCTGGCGAGGGAACACGTGTGCATGCAACATGCACCCATTCTGGCTCCGCCTACGAAATCCGCCGGGTGGTACCTCCGCGTTCGACAGTCAGAAACCGTCTACCACATACGGACAATCACAACATCCATAGCCAAGAGAAAAATTTCTCCTGGGACGGGACTCGAACCCGCACAGCGCACGGCGACTGATCAGGAGACCGAAGAGTCTACTACTGCGGCCACCGCTGCCGCCTGAGAAGAGAAGAGATGAATTTTGCCCAAAAACCGATTTGCACTTCACAGCTTACGTTTCATTTTTTATTATTTCCAAATGAAACTCTTGCAGCCGCAGGGTGCTAACGATCCACTTTTTAAAATATCAAGAAGTTGAGCATAAATAGTAAGCATTTCAACCCACCATAATTCTTGCACAAAGACAAAATTTTCTAAAAAGCTCTGATATAAAAACATCACAAACTGCAGAACAAAAATTGAATGTAACGGCGAAATGAGTACATTTCAGTGGTCATGAGTATCTATTTGCAAAACGACTTATTTATGCGATATTATATGAAATAGGGCCACCAAATTATCTGAATACGTCCTTTCTTAGTCCGTACATTGCGCCGCAACACTTGGGTTGGCAGTACGAAACAGTAGACAAAATTCGTCCAAAATACGATTTGTAGAGGTTTGCGCGCTTCGAAATTGACGCTTTGTTTTCTGATCTTTTTGAATGAAATTTTCATAGTGTGCTGAAAACAAAACCCCACAGGGTGCTATAGAGCCAGTTTTTCATTTTTTTCACTAGATTCTTTTTAAAAAAATCGCGAAGTTGAACAGAAAAAATGCGCGCTTCAACTCATCATAAAACTTGTGCAAAAACAAAATTCCGAATAGTGCTCCTATAGCACCCTGGGGAATTATCTTCTGAACATACTGTATGAATTTCATTCAAAAATATTGAAAAATGGAGTGTCAGTTTCGAAGCAGCTGAACCCTTGTAAATGGCTTGAAACTCACTTCGTCGGAGCCGCCTTAAGAAGACAAGCCATAGCATCATTTTTACCCTGTACTTTTGTAAAAGGCCACCGAGGTGACTGAAACGTCAATAAATGGTATTTCCAGTATGAATAATCTTATTCAACTGAACATAAGCTATAACCGGTATCTAATCTCTTTTAGTGGCCTCATTGGAAGATCATGGGCGATGATATTCGCATCAGTCGGATACAGAGTATGGATTTATGATATCGAACCAAAACAAATCGAAAACGCTCTTGAAGATATCAAGAAGCAACTAGTTTCTTTGGAGCAACATGGATTACTAAGGGGAACTTTGAATGCTGAACAACAATATGCATGCATCAAAGGTAAGAACTTTTTTGAATTCATAGGAGAAGTGACGTAAATAAACGGGAGAACTAGAGAAACGTGCAGATACAAATGAAAAAGAAACATTTAAAAAATCTTGATCTTGCAATTAATTTTCGACTTCCTGGTTTCCGGTTCTCCAGACTTGAAGTGAAATTATCCTTTCAGGTACAACTAAACTAGAAGAGGCAGTAAAAGGGGCTGTCTTAGTACAGGAGTGTGTCCCAGAAAATCTGGAACTCAAGAGGAAAGTATGGAAACAGGTCGATGATGTTGCGGATCCCTGCACAATATTTTCTAGCTCGACATCGACATTTTTACCGTCCAAGTTTAGCGATCATTTGAAAAACAAGTACGTGTTTTTATATAAAAATTTAACCACCCAACATAAATTAATTATGTAAATATACCCTCGGAAGCAGCGTTTTCTATTCTATGATTTGTATTTTTCAGGAAAAACATAATAGTATCACATCCAGTGAATCCCCCATACTACGTTCCTCTAGTGGAGATTGTTCCAGCTCCTTGGACAGATCCAGAAGTTGCCAAGAAAACAAGAGCCATCATGGAAGAAGTTGGTCAAACCCCAGTGTCTTTATCCAAAGAAGTTCCCGGCTTCATCGTCAATAGAATTCAGTAGGAATACTTTTACATAAAATTCTCTTGCTAACAATGCTTAAAATTTCGATCAAGCTAAGATAAGGATTTCTACTCTAATAATTCATGAATGACTCTTCAGATTGAGTATGAATTTTAAACATTCAAATTGATTGATTCTATCAAAAAATGTCTATGGATGAAAAAAGGAGAATCTAGAAATTCTCTTAGTACTTCTCAATAAAACGATATATACAGGGTGCGGCAGAGACGTTTTTGGGATAAGTAGTACTCTCCGCCTCCGTCTACGAGAGAGGTGGGGAGGGTGCCGTTTGACTCGTGAGATCCTAGCATTATTTTACCAGTTGCAGTTATGGAGCCTTGGACGGTGGAGCACCGCGTTTTCGCCTATGATTGTTTCGTCCGAAATAATGAGTCAGTCGTCGTCGTACAGCGTGAGTTTCGTCGCCACTTCAACATTCATCGGAATAGAGCTGTTCCCTCTCGAAACACCATCCTTCGTTGGGTTGAATCACTTCGCAGGCGTGGTGAACTGATCAACAGAAGACCAAGAGGAGCGCCGCGAACAGTTCGAACTCCTCGAACGCGTTCGACAGGTCTTTCTTCGCAGTCCGACTCGATCTGCCCGGTAACATGCTGCTGCACTTCGCCTTAGTGATCGTTCGGTAAGGCGAATTTTGCATATGGATCTCCGCTTTCACCCCTACAAATTGGCCATTGTGCAACAGTTACAGCCCGGAGATTATGCACAACGAATGAACTTCGCACGTGAGATGGAAGCACTGATCGATCAAAATGAGAACCTCATTTTGTTTATGAGTGACGAAGCCCACTTTCACCTAAACAGCATGGTTAACCAGCAGAATTGTCGTTATTGGGCTAATGAAAATCCACAACAGTTACACGAAAGACCGCTGCACAGCCCAAAAGTAATAGTTTGGTGCGCTGTATCGCAAACTTGCATCATTGGCCCTTACTTCTTCGAAGACGGTAATGGTCGTGATGTTACCGTGAACTCAGACATGATCACCAACTTCTTTCTCCCTGAATTACGACGGCGACGTGTTCCAATCCGACGTGTGTGGTTCCAGCAGGATGGGGCGACCGCCCACACAGCCCGAACATCCATGGACGTTATTCGCCCTCTCTTCCCTGGTCGCCTTATTTCCAGGTTTGGCGATGTTCATTGGCCTCCTCAGTCCCCAGATTTATCCATATGCGATTTTTTCTTATGGGGACACCTCAAGGCTAGAGCATACGAACAAGCTCCGAACTGTGGACGAATTGAAGGGCGAAATTCGCGTGGAAGTCGCCCAAGTTGAGAGAGCGATGTTGGAGAGAGTCTACTCGAACTTCCAAGAACGCCTCCAGCACTGCATCAACGATTTCGGCCACCACATGCCTGACATGATTCTCCACACTTGACTGTCTCAAATGCTATTTCCTTGTGAACCTGATTCCATCAATAAATTTGTCTTCGAGTAAAAATTAACTATTTTATGATTTTTTTAAAACCGTCCATCCTCTCTGCCGCACCCTGTACAATATAGTGACAAAAAGTGGTAATGTTTCGATATTCTGTCCATCTGTTTCAGATATGCAATTCTCAACGAAACATGGAACTTGATCACAGACGGAGTCCTAACTGTGAACGACATTGACAAAGTGATGTCTGAGGGTCTAGGTATGCGATACGCTTTCCTTGGCATGCTGGAAACAACACATTTAAATGCTGAAGGGTTCGTGAACTACTGCGAACGGTATGCGAATACTATTCACGCAGTCAGTAAAGATTTCAAGCCGTTACAAAAAATGGAAGGACAGCATGTGAAGGAGGTAGCTAAGCAGTTGGAGGCAGACGTACCGTTGAACAAACTTCAGGTAAGCTAGATGACATATTGCAGAAGACGTAAAAATCTAGCGTTTGCGATGTGACCAGATAGACGTAATTCAGCGACGGATAGCTTTGGCAAAGTGGTGGCCCAGCCGAAAAGGTTTTGTACAATTTATTACTGTCGAAAATAGCTACTGGGTGGGAAGTGCTTTCACTACTCGTGTATGTTATGCTCTGTAATTAGAAATTGTTATCTCAGTCTACACTGTTATGCGTGCCATGCTGAAATCATAAAATCATACAGGTTTTACTTTCACTCAATGCTTCTGGGTGGGGCTGAGTCTACTGTCAAAAGTCGCTGAGCAGATCGCTAATATTTTCTAAACGCTACAACAACCTTTTACTTTGAGATACCGAGAAGAAAAAACTAAATGTTTGATAGTATTAAAATACTTATAACGTGAGGCAATCATCTATTCATACTTTTTATTCTAGGCTACTCTAGATTATCCAAAGATAACATATCGGTATTCAAAATAACAAGGTGATGGTGAAGAATTCGGAATACATTAATGAGCGTTGAAACTCAAATTTTTGTGGCAACTCCTCAACTTTAGAAATGCCCTATGTGATACGTCAGAGTCTGCATACATGTGTCAAATCAAACCATAACAAATTTTTACACCTATGCTATATGTCTCAGTATTGTAATGCTCTCTTCTCGGGGTCACTAACTGGCGAACTAGAAATACAGAGATCTCAGTGCCCTTTTTGCCCACTGTTAGGGACCTTACAGGGCCAACATTACGAGGAGAGTTATGTGACAATTCCCCCAAAGCATTAGGGTGTTGAACAACGACTTTTCAATCGTAATAAAGGCACTACATGAGTAGTTCAGCCAGTGCCACTTTGGCGTGTTGGTTTTCCCCTGCAAATCCCTGGATATGTTAGTACTGCCTCAGGATGCATTCCTGACGTCCTGAATATCGTCTAGTGTTATCATAAGGCCTAAAATTATACGGAAAACGAAAAACAACAATTTCTGTCTATTTCTCTGTGTAACACATGACAACAAAAACGACTGTGGAATGTCATAAAAACATGAGGATTCGAGACTCTACATATATCGGAGACAAAATAATACATACATACAACAGGGTACTATCCCAAATCTTGAATTTCGGAACTATAATTAATGAATAATCTAAAATTTGATTTCGTCAAGAAAACGTAAATACGAGGGGAGGTCAGAAAGTACATAATCCACGGCACAGGGGAAAAAACTTCATAGTATTGCTAACCAATCAAATTGAAAAGCCTACTATACTAAGTGACATATAAATCCGAACACCCAGTTTAAATGGTTTTATTTTAATAAAAGTTGGTGAATGTATTTATCTTACTGTAAATAACAAGTGAAAAAATTTTCAGCCTTGTAAGTTGGACATTCCGGTTTTTATACTACTTTTTTTTAATTCACTAACGCTCTAAAAATGAATATTTCAGCCGCAGTAAAGAATCAACGTTGGCGGATTTTGGTTCTTGACATCCTTTACGATCGGTTACGATGCCTAGAGTACGGAGACCTGTACGATTTCGTCAACTTAGTGAGTTTGCTAGGGGCCGTATAGTGGGACTTCGGGAAGCTCGACTTTCTTTTCGGGCAATTGCAGTTAGAGTGCAAAGAACTGTAGACACTGTGGTTAGGTGTTGTCAGGCATGGCTTCGAGAAGGCCGTACGCAAAGAGCAAGGGGCACTGGACGCCGCCGTAGAACAACAGACCGTGAAGATCGCCGCCTAAGATTATTGGCCTTAAGGGACCGTTTCTCCACTACCAGGTCCATTGCAAATGAATGGTTTGCAGAACACGGAAGACCTATTGGCATGCGAAGTGTTTACCGACGAGTGAGAAGTTTTGGCTTGTTTTCATACCGGCCACACTGGGTCCTCCCTTTAACTCGAGAACACCGACGTAATCGCCTTGTGTGGTGCAGACAACGGTCACTCTGGGATCAGGAATGGAACAGTATTGTCTTTAGTGACGAGTCTCGATTTTGTTTAGGCATGTACGATGGTCATGCCAGGGTTAGAAGGCGACGTGGTGAAAGGAGGAATCCACAGTTTTTTGTTGAAAGACATGTTCATCACACTGTTGGAGTTATGGTTTGGGGTGCTATAGCTTATGGTTCCAGGTCACCTTTAATCTTCATCAGAGGTAACATGAACGCGCAGCGTTATATCCACGAAGTTCTAGAACCCCATCTTTTACCCTATCTTGACACCCTGGCAGATCCAATTTTCCAACAAGATAATGCCCGACCACATGTTGCAAGAGTCACAATAGACTTCTTTCAACATAATGATGTCACATTGTTACCATGGCCACCAAGATCTCCCGACTTATCCCCAATTGAGCACGTGTGGGATATGATGGGTAGGAGATTGCTCAATTTGCAACGTCCTCCTCAGACTCTAGAAGCACTTCGAGAGGAGTTGGTGGTTGCCTGGAATGAGATACCACAGGAGGATATTGACCACCTGATCAGAAGCATGCCTAGGCGCGTTGGAGAATGCGTAGCACATCAGGGTGCATCCACACATTATTAAAGGTCAAAGGGCTTTAAAGCAGTGCAATCATTTTGAAATTTTTATCATTTACTTATTATGCTTTATTAAGTACTTATACAAAATTTTATTAAAATAAAACCATTTAAACTGGGTGTTCGGATTTATATGTCACTTAGTATATATGTGTTTATAATTCCAGGAGAGAAGAAACTGGAGAGATTTGTGTCTGACTAAACTAAGTCAACTGAAAAAGGAGATGGAGAAGCTGAAGAAATAAGCTGTGCCATAGAATGTTCCGTGTAACTCTTCTACTTACTTAAAAATATTCGTATTCACATCATCTTTGATGCTAAGATTATTGATTGGACATAATTTTGTTAATGAATTACACGCTTAATAAATGATATTAAAACTGTGTTATTACTTGTTATTCTAAAATTGTATGTGTTCTGCTGTTAAGTAAACTGGAAAAGTATGGTGAATCTAGAAAAATATTGAAATCATGGAGTAACTAAGATAAATACGAGTATAATGTTATATTTCATCAGAGACGGTAGTATCCTGAGGCCACTTCTTTTCTTCTTATATTCAGGGTGTCTGCGAAAGGTTGGGAAATCTCCAAGCTGGAGATGCTACAGATCCAAATATGTGAATTGACCTAAACGTACCTTAGTCCAAAAGTTTATAGTTTGCGAGATACAGGGTGTCAAAGTTACAATTTTATTTCCTATTTTTCCTTGTTGCTTGAGAAGACAAGAATTCGTTATTTTCTATGGCCTAACTTCTGGAGGGCGCCACTTACAGCACTATTTCGGTCGATAACTTATCATACTTTTTTTGCTTCCCCGTATGCAACAACTAACCGAAAAATATTATTTTTTCGTATTTCCACAACAAAAAGGGTTCATTTGTTAGAAGTGTTTAAAGCAAATAGTTTTCGAGATATTTGTTAACGGATTTTAAGAAATTAGATTCAGACTTAACAGGAGAAAATAGTCTCAAAAAATGTAAATCATAACTCAGAAACTCTATGTTAGAATTGCAAATATGACGATTCTCCATCTACAGGGTGTCCAATAAGTACCACGACAAACTTAAGGAGAGGTAGGCTCTGGACTGATCTCACAAATAACAAAAAATTACCTACATAAAAGTGTCACCGTTTTTGAGATATTGAATTTTTTCATAAATTTTAAAAAAACGAACCTTTTCATCTGTGGTCTTTAGCTGCATGTACAAATAAGGCTATACTTTGTTCATTTTTTCTATAAAATACTTCTAGATAGTTGGTTTATCATATACAAATGCCGTGTAGTTAAAAGGTATTAAGGAACCACGATCAAATAAGGGCTATTTTGGGATAAGGCACCACACGTACTATTTATAGAAAAAAGTGATAGCTGCTTTTGTAAGTGGACACACACTACAATGTAATTATTGGATTTAAATTCAAGTTGCACTGGTTACCGATCAGTGACATGCTAAATAGTACAAAGCTAAATTATTATTACCTGCTTCCGATATGTTTATGAAAGTTGACGTAACAATATCAGAAGGTTATAAATCCCAAAACAGTCCTTATTTTATCATGGTTCCTTAATATCTTTTAACGACATTGCATTTGTATATGATTAAGCAACTATCTAAAAGTACTTTATAGAAAAAATGAACAAAGTATAACCTTATTTGTACATGCAGCTAAAGACCACAGATGAAAAGGATCGTTTTTTTAAATTTAAGAAAAATTCAATATCTCATAAACGGTTTCACTTTTATATAGGTAAAATTTTGTTATTTGGGAGGTCGCTCCATAGTCTACCTTCTCCTTCAGTATGTCGTGGTACTTATTGGACCTGCATTGTTTCTATGCAGTCAGTGTTAGTAAAGTATATTTTTCCAAAAGATGGTTGCAATATAGATGCGATGAATCGGTAGAGAATATATTCCAATAAAGAATGCTTTACCCAGAAAGCGATTGATTCAGGTGAGACGGAAATTCGCTCATCTATGTTAATCCTAAGTCCAGCCACGCCTCTGGTGCTCAATTTAAGTTCGCACGCCACTGGTGCAGAATTGGTTGCCGACCCTATTTGTCTATCTCTCTTTTTCTTATCTGGTCAAGTGCTGTCAAACAAATAAGGTTATGTCATGTGTACTGTCATGTGGAAGTGGGATAAACAGTTAAATGACTTCGGTTATCGGAATTGCATTCCATTAATGCACACAAAAGCTGTTATCGGAAGCATGAGTAATGTCAGCGCTTTTGTCTCGTACTCAACACCGACTAGAAGACAATGAGCAACGAGTCTGAGTCTTCCATCAACAACGTTCTAAGTTGGACAACTGAAGACGTTAGAGCTCATCTGGAGAAAGAGTGTTTCGAATGGAGCACAGTGAAAGTTTTGTGCGACGAAAACAGACTAGACGGAAAATGCCTGCTAGTGTTGAACGAACTAGACTTCACCACAGACCCCCTCAGCAGTTTGAACCTAAGAGACAGAAAGTCTTTGTATGTGCTGTGCAAGTTACTACAAAGAGAAAATCAGAGCGTGTTAGTTGAACTTGGTATTGTTGATAATCATGCGAACAGTATATTTACGCATGGCCACTACAGTAAACTAGACAGTGAATATTGTGAATCTGAAAGAATATCACCACCAGTGTCTGATGATGGAAGACCCAAATACCCACCAGAGAAGACGAAAGCGCTTATTAGTTTTATGTATGTGGTAATAGTAACATGGATAACAGCTTTTGTAATGGTGATAGTCCATGATAGAGTACCAGACATGAAAAAGTACCCTCCTCTTCCTGATATCTTCCTTGACAATGTACCGCACATCCCATGGGCTTTCGATATGTGTGAAGTCACTGGGACTATCATGTTTACAATTTGGCTAGTTGTATTAGTTTTTCATAAGCACAGGTGAGTATTCTTAAAAGTGGAATATCCATTCTCATCCCTCATTGTTCAATGAAACTGCACCATCAAAAAATAACCAAGGTTATATCACATATTTGCATGGCTTATCTTTTATATATAAGATGTTACTACTCCATGTTCTTCCTTAAAAATATGGAGCAACCATTATATAGTAGCTAAATCTGAAAACACATTGTAGTATTGCCTTTTTAAATTTTTTAATTCTTTTTTTACCATTTATATGAGCACTTAAAAAAAAGCAAACAATAACTTGTAATCCATGTTTCTGTTTTACCTCTTACATAAGGACAGACTAGGTTCAGTCCTTCTCAAATCTGGTCTGACTATGACATCCAGCAGTTTTAGTTTCTGTTCTTTAATAACCTCTTTCCAAAAACCTATGGGGTTATATTCAGTGTTCATGATGGCCATGACATGGAAGCGACTCTATAGGTAATTTTTTGAAATTTGAGGCCTTTTACAGTCAACAAAAATGTAGGTTGAAGGTGTCAAGTATATACATATATATATATATATATATATATATATATATATGTACCTTTAAAATGTGTTACAAATGTGCTTTATTTTTAATGAGAAGGATTCAAAAGTGTATCAGAAAACATGTTCCAAAATGTAATGTCAACATATGGTTTCAATTTTAATGCAGTAGTGTAGCTGTTGAATTTCATAAAGGGTCTGAAAAGTTCTGGAACCCCATGATAATTTGTGAATAATGATATGAAAAAACAAAGCCCTATAATTGATAGGAGTTTTCCCCATCTATTCAATGGTGGCATTGGATCTTGACCTTCAAGGTCATTTGAAAGTCGAGTCGATTTTCTAATTGGTAGGTCAAACCCAGGTAATATGATGATGTAACTTGAAAACCAGTAGTCATATAGGGAAAATACCAAGACATTATTTTCATGATTTTTCCAATGTCCAATGGTGACCTTGGATCTGACCTTAACTATGATGACCTTCAAGGCCATGTGAAGGTTAAGTCGATTTTTGTAACCAATACTGGAAGAACAGTTTATCTGGGAATTACACAGTGCTCTGAATTATCAAGAAATTAAGGTAAACTTGCGATTGACCTTGATGGTCAAGTTCAAATAGTGTTCAAGGACACATTCGAACATAAAGTTTTCCCTTTTCTCTATATTCACAGTCAAAAGTATACTGTCCCATTTAACAAGAGTTGACCTTCAAATGATCTTGCAAGTCATGTCCAAGGTCAGATCCAAGGTCGCCACTGGATATCCGGGGAAAAAATCCTGAAAATACTGTTGCAAGACTATTAAATATCCTTCTAAAAAACAAAAAGTCCGAAAATATTGTAATGGCACTAACCTACGACGAACGCGTCACTCACAAAAAATTGTTTAAGCTGCGCAACTATTTTTTTGAGGAGCGTTAATTTCTTAGCAAATAAATTCTGAGAATAAAAAACCTCTCAAAAAGGCAAATTTATTCTTTATATCACTTTAAATCACTCCTAGTCCCCGGTACTCGCTATCCCAATCTGGCCGAGTACCGGGTATTTGGCCTTTTGGATAAAGTACTACTCAGATAGAGCCAACCTAAGGTTGTTGGTGGGACTGTTGTCTGGCCATAAGACGTTGAGGCGCCACCTGCATGTGATTGGGCTGGATGATCCCATGTGTGACCCCGGCCATGCTGGATAAAGAGTCCTTGGCGCATGTTCTGTGTCGCTGCGGTACTCTGAGCTAATACAGGCAGACTATACTGGGGTCCAACACTTTGGGTCCCCATAATGATGAGGAACTGGGACTCTGGGCTATACTCAACTTTGCTAGAAGAGCGGAGCCTGAAGCTTAGTAAATTTAGGAGTGCATAAGGGCCCGTTTAAGCGGCCTATGCGCCAGCGCCTCATGGTATCCGATATGCCTGTAATTTCGTTATTCATTCATACGAGGGATGTCTGTTGAGTGTTGCATATGGAAATAAAACAGCACAGTAGGTAGTTTTAAATGACTTTATTGTTTTTCGAAGTATTCTCCACGAAGATTAATACACATCTGTATGCGCTCGAACCAATTTTCGAAGCACTTATTCCATTCGTTTGCTGGCAGATCCAAAACGGCATTTCTGAATGCGTCAACTGCTTCTTTTAGTGACTGGAACCTTTGACCACGCAGTCTGTTTTTAATTTTCGGGAAAGTAAGGAAATCGTTAGGACTTAGATCGGGACTATATGGAGGATGGTCCAATAATTCCACGTTTTCTTCCGTTAAAACTGCCTTGTTTTTTGGGCTTGCATTGTCTTGGTGGAGGATGATTCTTCTTTCGGGGTTGATTTTTCGAAGCTCGGTGATGACTTTTGGCAAACAAATGGTGGTATACCATCCGCAAGTAATAGTTCTTTGCTCATTAAGAGGAATTCTTGCAATATGACACGGTTTTGGCACAAATGTCGCGACCATCTTTTCCTAAACACTTCGAGAACGGATGACTTATGTTGGCTTTTCTTCACCTTGGAACACCCAAACAGCCGACTGTCGTTTATTTTCTGGTTCATAATAGTAAATCCATGATTCATCACCACTAACAATGCTGTACACATTTTTTGAGTTTCCGGAATTGAAACGGTCAAGCGTTTTTTGACACCAATTAACCCTGGCTGCTTTCTGCTCTTCAGTCAACAGGTGGGGTATCCAACGAGAAACTAATTTTCTTACTCCTAATTCTTCATGTAAATTTTTTTGAATTGAGGTATTTGGGATCTTCAATGATGAGTTTGCGCACAGCATCGATATTTTCCTGGGTGACTGCCGTTTTTGGTGCACCCACCCAGGGATCGTCGCTAAGACTCACCCGTCCACGTTTGAATTCTCCATACCAACGGGAAATTATCGACTGATGTGGCGCTTCGTTGCGGAAAACAGACAGTAACTCAGCAAGGCATTCCTGTTGCGATAATTGTCTCTGAAAGTTGTAATAAATTATGGCGCGAAAATGTTCTCGGCTGAGTTCCATTTTTCTAATGACTTGGTGACACTTAAAAATTCACTGTAGTGAGAACACCGCACGTATTGTTGTGAAACTTTGAATTTAAGTTTACTAAAGAGTGAGGTTAAGATTCAGTACTGACGTTCGATTCGCGCGGCCTACTAGGTTTCTATATGCAAAACTTAAAATACATCCCTCGTACTCGGTGCTTCCCTAATTAGTATCGTATACTAATGACGGATTGGAAAACGAGCTTTCGTTCAAACAATAGATAATAGATTTCGATTTTTTTACTTAATTTCAGATTCATCCTGATGCGCCGTTTCTTCGCCATGTCCGGCACCGTATTCCTCCTACGCTGCGTGACCATGTTGATCACGTCGCTGAGCGTGCCAGGCAGCCATTTGCAATGCCAACCGCGCAATCGCCCTGGCGTATCTGGAGGCGTGTTTGCGGATTTGGCGCAGAAGCTGTCGCAGGCGTACGTCATCTGGCGCGGCGCCGGCATGAGCATACAGGGCGTGCGCACATGCGGGGACTACATGTTCAGCGGGCATACTGTGGCATTGACTATGCTCAATTTCTTCATTACAGAATGTAAGTTTATGTAGAGAAAAATGCTCAACCCTTATTTGACAAAATTGTCTTATTCCAAGCTTTTATTTATCTTGACCTGTTTGTTAGTATGTTTGTGTGGGATAAATCTTGAAACTGAATTTTGAACCACTTAATCTTGAGCGGAAATTTTATACAGGGTGTCTGATAAGTTCCGGAACCCTACGATAATTTGTGAACCAATAATGGTATGAAAAAACTAAACCCCGCGATTGATAAGAGTTTTCCCGAGCTATCCAACAGTGACCTTCGATTTGAACTCGGCTACGACCTTCAAGGTCATTTTGAAGGAGAAGTCGATTTTCTTAAATCGAACCCCCTATTTTTGACGCTGTAAATGAAAAGAGCGGAAATTTTTAACGTTCAAATATGCTGAATAGCTACTGGTGTATACTTGAAGATAGCCAACCTGATGCCATATTACCGCGTCCAAAAAAATACCCCAGATAAAATGAGATAATCTAACGTCATCTATGAGAATTTGTCACAGATGTGTTTCTATCTACTATATATGTTTTGAAAAGGTTAGTGTCTCATAGATGGCAGTCTATATGAGCTCATGCAACAGTATATGTTGCTACTGCGCCATCTATGAGACACTGACATTTTCAAAGTGTATATCATAGATGATGCTACGGTATCTCATTTTATCGTAAATATAGTATTCGGTTAATCAATGTTCATTTCACGGTTTTTGGCGGGGCACACTAAAACTACCTACATCACTTTTATACGTCCATCTCCCTCACCCATAAACATGCAATCTTCCTCTGTGTGCGAACATTTGTATAAGCTCAGACATACGTTCTTTAGCTTCGTCTCGCCACCTAGCAAACGTTCCCACCAACGTATGAGTATTCATAATCTATGTCTGCCACTGGGAGTGTGACAACCTCTTGAGATCAGCGTACCATTTTGAGTTTCCCTTGTCTCGATCTTTGTAGCATGAAACAGCAGTACCCGAAAATACAACTAGATGATAAAATTGCTGGTTTAAGAACGGTTTGCCTAGTGTGTAATTTCCCTATAGGGGTGTTGAGCTCCGCACATGGTTCATTTAGTCGATTTGCGTAATTATTTCGTATGACATTGATGACGTAAAGAACTATATATAGTGTGGAACTTAAGCCAAACCTATGTTCATATGATAAAAATGTGGCTGCGCCCCTGGCGATTTTTTGTATAGCAAAAAGAGATTCTAATATCGCCTTTCCAGATATTAACTCATACACAACAAGAATTTTTCATGATGAATAAAAACCTATATGGAATTTATATAAAAAAATCGCCAATTACCAATTTGCATCCATATAGGGTGGACTTATTTCTTAGCATCTGGAGATATCTTATCAGGCACAATTTTGTATCTTTAATCTTCTGCACTTATTGAAATTCTTATTCCATCTGACGATACATTTTTGCGATTTTGGACTTTGATAATCAAAGAAGCATCACAGATGAGCTTTTGGCTACTATCATATTCTAACACAATTACTTCTCGGTACTGTCAATAACTTTTGATTTTGCAAAAACTTTTAACTTAGATTTATAATTATAATAAATCGCATACAGGGTGTTCCTTAATGATATGCGAATATTTAAGGGTGTGAATCTACATGAAAAATTAATGTTAGTTTGCTTTATAAACTATGGTCCAAAAATGTTTCCTTACAAAAACTCGGGGTGTTGAAGTTTTAGGAAAAAAAATGAAAATTAATTAATATTTTCAGAACCGCTTCAGATATTTCACTGATATTTAGTACATAGTGAAAGTTAATAAAGTTGCATATTTTTCAATGCAAAAATATTTTTTAGCTTTAACAGTTGCGTGCGTACGGGTATTGACTTCGATATTTTTTTAGAAAAAAATGGTACGCCAATGGTTTTTTGCCAAATAAAAATTATTTTTGAATTCCCCGTTCGATTTAAAACAAATGATCTCTCTTGAGTTGCTTTCCTTCGATGCGCCATTTTTGAGTAAAAAAATAAAAACTGTTCTATTGTCTAACTTGCAAAATTATTATTAATTTAATTGGAAAAATTAAGCACATTAGGGGTAATGAACAACAACAACTGACAACATAAACATAACATTAGAACTGATTACAAAAATTGTTGAAATTGGCCCCCTTCACTTAGTAGGCATGCTTCCGCCCTCCGTCTCATGGAATTGCGCACTTCTTGAAATATCCCTGGAGTGTTTTTTATTCTATTACAAGCTGCAACTATTCTCTCTCTCAATTCCTCTACAGTGTTAATGGGACTTGGGTACACTAGTGTCTTAAGATAGCCCCACAAAAAGAAATATAAACTGTTGAGGTCTGGGGACCTTGGTGGCCATTCTTGAGGCCCACCGCGGCCAATCCAACGATTTGGATAAACAGTTTGTAAATAATTACTAACCGCTACACTGAAATGCGCTGGTGCACCATCATGCATGTACCACATATTGTTTCATATTACTAACGGAACATCATCAAACAGCAAAGGTAACTGTTGTTGAAGAAAATTGAGGTAAGTCTGTCCGTCAAGTCGTCCCGACAAGAAGAATGGGCCAATAAAGAGGTTGCCAATAATTCCTGCCCATACATTAACCGAAAATTGGTGTTGGAAATGGGTTTCGGTTACGGCATAGGGATTTTCTTCTGCCCCTAAATGATTATTGTGGAAATTCTGAATGGAATTTAGAGAAAAATTAGCTTCGTCCGTGAACAGAATCATTGATTCAAATTGCAGATTTTGTGTAATTTTTTGAAGATACTACTGACAAAAGGTCACACGCCTTGGAAAATCAATGGGAAGTAATGCCTGTACTCTTAAAATATGGTAAAGATATAACAAAAATCTACTAAAATTCTCCAAAGAATTTGATGGCAAATATTTAAGTGTCTAGCGATCTTCCTCGTACTCGTTTCAGGATGTTCTTCGACTTCGTGCAGCACCGCTTCCTCAATTTCAGGTGTTCTCACACTTAGAGGTCTACCTTCAGATTTTCCTTTTCGGACAAAAACAAGTTTTAACAAAACGACGATGAATATTAGAAAAGGTTCGACTATCTGGCAAAGCACGATCGGTATATCTCTGGTGATAAATCCGTCTGGCTTGCTCACCATTACCGTCGGCAAGGCCATATACGTAATGCATTTCCGCCATTTCTGCATTTGAATAATTCACCATTATTAACAAGATTGTAAAAACTAAATAAAGAAAATGATGCACAGCGAACACATTTGACTAGCAGAGACTTGTCAGATTTCAAAAGCCAGTGACATACTCCAGAGCAACTAGATTGCATTCTTCAATTATTACATTAATTTTCTCGGACAATAGAACGGTTTTTATTTTTTTACTCAAAAATGGCGCATTGAAGGAAAAGAGATCATTTGTTTTAAATGAAAATAATTTTTATTTGGCAAAAAACCATTGGCGTACCACTTTTTCTTAAAAAATATCTAAGTCAATACCCGTACGCACGCCATTGCATTGAAATATATGCAGGTTTATTAACTTTCACTACGCACTAAATTTCAGTGAAATATCTGAAGCGGTTCTGAAAATATTAATTAATTTCCATGTTTTTCCTAAAACTTCAACACCCCGAGTTTTTGAAAGGAAACATTTTTGGACCATAGTTTATGAAGCAAACTAACATTGATTTTTCATGTAGATTTACACTCTTAAATATTCGCATATCATTAAGGAACACCCTGTATATTTGTACCCTTGATTGACTTCTATTATTTGTTCAAACATATCCTCAATAACTTTTGATTTTGCAAAAACTTGTAACTCAGCCGTATAATTATAATAAATCGCATTTATTTGTACCCTTGATTGACTTCTATTATCAATTCAAACATATTTTTAGAAATGCCTAATTATTTAGTATTGTGAACGTAGTCGTGAACTGAACAAAGGTGTTTCGTAAGTAAATAGTCAAAATCGATAAGCAATATTGATAAATCAAGGAACCTTGTGTAGACTACTAGAGTCAATATGACATATAAACCAAATATAACATTAAACCAAATTAATGACGCATTTGTTCGTTCATTTGTGTGGATAATGTTTACTTCTTATTCCATGCTATATAAAGGCGGACCTTGGTTCGAATCAAATACTATTTTTAAGTATCTGTATGCTTGATGTTGGAGCAAATATACGAGTATATGACGTTAAATTCGTTATAATAAATAAACACACCAATGTGTTTTATAAGTTTATCAGCTCGCCAAGAGCCAATTATACAAGAAATTAATGATCTTCTAATCAGCATCGCACATAGTTACGTAACTCTTACGTATAATACTTTGGAAATATTGTTGAATGTGTCTCCCAAAAGGAATATGTTTTAGAAATGTCGTGAAGGGCGTTAAACAATCACAGAAATCCGATTCCATGACATTTTTTTGCCTATGACACGTTATATGACAGATCGAGAGCGACTGCCTGTTATATAAAACTTCTGCTTTCCGAACCTCTCGCTCGCTCCGTTACGTGACAGTTTTTGTGTGGTTGGTCTTCAAAGTGTGTTTGCGATTTGTCGATTTGTGCAAACGGAGAAATTGGATTTACACGATCGAAAACCATCATAGCGACGAAAATGCACGGAATCGTGTCATTATTGTTGCTGTAAGAGCGATCATTTTGCATTCGTACTTAAGGAGGAATTTTGATAATATGTCATCGATAAAGCATTGAAAAAATAGTGTTTTTAGGTTGCTAATTTTTTGATCTTTTATATACATTTATTCTTATTGGAAAACCATTTAATATTTCGTATATTATATAGGATGATAATTATGACGTCTTACAAGTACGATCGAAAGAATCCGTTATATTATTATTATTATCAAAGTTAAAGTAGAAGTATTAATGTACGAGTACGTTTTGTTTTCTATTATTTGCTGCGACAACGTATAATTAGTCATTGCATCAGTCCATTATAGTTAACATTCCTTTCCTTTCAGTGTAAATTAGTTTTTTTTATTTAATGTGCAAATTAATCTATCTACCATTTACTAATAACAAATGAGTTCAATATAACGTTATGTTGCTTTCAAGAATAAAAACAATTTATTTGTATAGCTACACTACTCGTCAAGATTAACATTCAACTGCTTTAAAGCTTTAAAATACGGCACTTTGTCTGCCTGCGGGCGTGTCTTTTCTTCAAGTATCAAGTATCGTTAATCGCCAACTCGCTGCCTCTCTTCCAAATGTTATCGTTCAGACAATATCATTTTCATGGGAGTAAATGGTTCATGAAAGTAAACAAAATTGGGAGAGCTCATTAGATGTCTCTTACATGTTAGACGCATTTTTCGCTTCCAGTAGGAAACCCACCCCGCTACTTGCACGGACATACGGAGTTTGAAAAAATCATCGTTTGGGAAATTCGTCGACACAATCGCCAAAAAGTAAAAAAAAACGTTTTCTATCCACTTGAAGAATAGTTCTTGAAAACGAGGGCAGTCGCTTTTAGTAGCGTTGCCTAAGTTAAGCAACCCCCTCCCTGCTACACTTCAATTGCGCATTCATAGAGCTGGAGCATTGTTCATTCATATCAACATAACATGACCAGAGAAAAGCATTCAGACTACTGATTTTTCCTGCAAAAATTTCCCCATCCATTTTCGAATCCTGTTTACATCAGCATTACTTCCACGAATTTATTCAGGTGGATTTCTTCAAGGTCATATTGGTTTTGTTTTGCAGCATACAAATTCGTGCATTATCTGACTACACGCTGCTGCCAACAGTGCGAACCACGCAACAAATTCATGCTAGAAACATTTTGAGTCTTTATATTTATTGTGGTCTTGATCTTGAAGGGAATTTCACAAAGAAAAACCTGTGCCCAGACAATGACAAAAAATAAGATTAAAGAGTATAGTTATTAATAGTATTAAACTGAATTTCTGTAACGTATCAAAAAATTTATGTGTACAAATTGTCGAGCAGTTTCGCTTGAGACAACCTCTTAATACTTTAGTCCAAAAAGCATACAGACGAATTCGTGCTCTATACAATAATAGGTTCGTTTTAACATATTGAAAAAAATGGTTAAGTGAAACGTTGGTTCTCTCTATCGTCAAAGGTGGATTCTTAGTTTATTTTCCTTGTTCAGATCACATAGGTATGTATACACAGAATTCAAATGATACAAAACTTAGGTATGCTGTCGACTCGGAAAATATGATCATATATCTGGAAACATTAAAGACGAATTGGTTAAACATCCCAGTAGCATTCTGACACATAGCTGTAACAAATTCTCATAGATGACGGTGCGGTATCTCATTTCATCTCGGATAATTTTTTGGATGCGCGAATGCAGTATTTGGTTGGCTATCTTCAGGTAGAATACATTAATCAATGGTTTATTGTCAATGTAAAACCGGTATTAGGGTCATATCGTCAGCCGATCCTACATTGTATTACGCCTTTATGGCCTCCTTGATTTTCATAGTTTTCTAGTGCTCCGTGTTAGCGCTCTATTTAGAGGTTATGTCACAAATATCTATTTGCATCAAATTGTTCATGCTTCTGTATTATTATTATTATGTCCTAAAATTCAAAAAGAAAACATAACTTCACAATAGGAGAGCGCTGACTATGATTGTAGGACGCCTTTATGGCCTCCTTGATGTTCATAGTCCTTTTCCTCCTTCAGAAAGGCCGGAGTATTTATCGATTTCTACTGTTCCAGTGTTCCGTGTCAGCCATCACCTACTGTGAGGCTATGTTTTCTTTTTGAATTGTGGAAAATTTCAGGCTGATATAAATTAAAAGCTTGAACATTTCGATGCAAACAGACATTTGTAGGATAACCTCAAAATAGAGCGCTGACACGGAACAGTAGAAAACTATGAAAATTAAAGAGGCTATGAAGGCGTCCTACAGCTGTAGGAACGACCGGCGATACGCCCTTAGAGCTGAAATGTTTGATGGCCGATTCTTGAATGTGATGAGGAATCGGCAAGTAGGAGTTGGATAATAGGTGGATACACCCCAGTTGGTATTCGTTTTTCCTTCTTAAATTACTAAGCGATAGTTTTGAACCTGGTATATTTCTTCCAGATACACCTCGCCCCATCTACTACCTGCACACCCTCTCCTGGATGATGAACATGTTTGGCATCTTTTTCATTTTGGCTGCTCACGAACATTATTCCATCGACGTGTTCGTAGCGTTTTACATCACCTCCAGGCTCTTCCTGTACTATCATACGTTGGCCAACAACCAGACGCTGATGCAACGGGACTCGACTAGGACAAAGGTGTGGTTTCCGCTATTCTCGTACTTTGAGTCTAGCATAGAAGGGATCGTACCCAATGAGTACGAGTCGCCTGGGGAGATTGCTAACAATATTTGCAGGTACTTCAAAACTTTTATTTCCATTATGTGCATCATTTATCTCGTTTATAAACATGTGCATTAGATAAGCCAAAGTTTTCCAAACTGGTTATTGAAACAGAATGGCCGATTGTATGACCACCAAGAGCGCAGATCTAGCCCCACTAATTTTTTTTTGCGGCAAGTTTTATTGTATGTGACATGTTAGACAGACGCTAAAATGCGTATTTTTCCGTCATCTCTGCAGATATTATTTGTTTAGCCGTATTGTACGCGATCCTGATCGCGGGGTCAGGTCCTATGAAGGGTGTGCTAGCCCCACTCTTTGCCAGAGTGTCGGTTGTTTCGTTTCCTTTCAGACCTGTATGTTCACCAGGACCATCTACGAGGTCTGTAAATTAAGTGATGAGAATGAGTCTTTTTTAATGTAATTACAATTTTATATTGTCACCCTCAAACTATTTTTTCCTGAAACGATATAGCTCTGGAGACGGATGAAAAACTGTTTCTCAAAAAAGTCGCTACGAACAACCAAATGACTTGAGCGAGTTCAAACTTGTACTGAAGGCGTATCACATGTTCCCGTGTTTCCCCTCTAAGCCCGGCGCCTCCATTTTTGCCGAATAGGACGCTACGTTGCCATTCTCATCACCCAATTTACAGACCTCGTGTACGAGACGTACTTTATTTTCATCTCCTACGCTACCCAGAGCTTCTTTACAATTCCACACTAATTTCGATGTCGAGTAGGGGCAGTGAAGAGCTTAAAGCGCGGCTTGACTGTCTGAAAAAATGTTAATAGTCCCGTGACTCAGTTGCTCTGCAGTCAATGGTTAAGCATCCAAATAAACTTTATTTCAGATTCTTCCATGGACTGTATGGTGATATTAGGCTCCACCTATCGGCAGCTGCGAAAAACAGTACCCAAACGGTGAGGTCGATCAGCAGGACTGTCATTGAAAACAACAAAGATAAATGACAAGCTTTAGGTTTATCAAAATTGTCTTTGTATCCCGCACACTGTATCGTTTATATAAGCTCTTCAGTACTAATTAGAAGTCATACAGATTGAAATGCTTCCAGATCAGAGAAACTACCGTAATAAAATATTTGCACAAAATTCTTGTAAATACTTCCTTATGATGTGAAAGACTGAAATGGTATAAGGATACAGAGACAGTTCACTACATTGAACTCAAATGTTATCAAAATGCAAGTTGTTCTGGATTTAGTTAGATAAAACTAAAAATTGAAGAAATTGAACAGGATTCACTGAGACAGTACATAAAGCAGTCATTTACGGTCATTGTACTCTGCTTATTGAAACTTGTATCCAATTTTAGTAATTCCTTCATATCTCACATGTGTATGTGTGAACAACTAGTTGACAGCAGCTTGTATTTTTTCTTGTGAGATGTTACATATGTATTATAAATAGAGAAATTTATTTTCGTGTTACCTATATTGTATCGAATATCTTCCAATAACTTTTTCATAAAAAAATACTGTCTTGAAACTTGCTCATCGTATGGTCATTCCGGATCACCTGAGTTCTGTCGAAGGCTGAAAATTTCAAGTGCTAAAAACCAGCACAATCATGTCATATACGCAAAGCTTCCTTCCCCCTTTAATTTATATTTTCTATGAAATATATTTGCTATAACATGGGACCATATACTATTTTGACTCTTGTTTTTGATGCCAGATCTCATGCTATCTTTTTTAATCTTATGAAATTTTGCATTTCTGAACTGTGCCAGAAATACATAACATCTTTGGAATGAAAAGGTGAAGATATACCAAATAAATTATTTTTATTAAGAAATAATGATTTATTTCAATAGCTTATACGTACTGAATATGTCATAGTTGAATGTTGAGATTTATTTATTCTTATGTAAATGTTTAATAAAAGCCGTTTTTGTAGGCAGTGTTTTAATTACTACTTGAAATCAACAGTTGCTTATTTTGCGAATTGATATCTGTCAGTTTCATACTAAACCCACACGGTTTTGTATAAGTATTTTTTTCTTTCCTGCTTTGGGATTACGTGGAAGAGTAGCTGCCAGCAAGCCTCAACAGACCAAAGAGTCGCAGTGGAAGATCGTTATTGATGCACTCACAAGAAACTTAACCTCACAAGCCGCCCGCAAAACTTTGCCCCACCACAGATACTATTTAGTTATTTTCATATTCAGCATCCCAAAGTATATATTTAGATTTCATTTGCTTATAATAGATGAGGACGAGGATGGAAATCTTGCCATATAAAGTCGTATATTTTTAAGTTTTTTTCACAGGATATTGAAAAACTCAGGTTCTTAAATTCCAAATCCGGTGTAGCCAACCATATATGATGTTCCGGCGGCTAAAAAGGAATATGGAAGATCCTAGCGCCATCTATGGTACAGTAACAGAACTAAATACTCTAACTCTTTTAAAAGTAGATTCTTAAATTTCTCATTGTGTTCTGCTAATGTCTCACAGACGGCGTTAGGTTCTTTCAGATCCCTTTTTGGACACTGAAATGCAGTATATGGTTGGCTATCATCAGCTAAAATATGTTAATCAATGGTTCCAAGCAACCTATTTTTTTTTCTTTATTCCGTCTCAATTTTTCATGTTTGAATTCAGCGCCCCCAAAATGACCTGAGTATCAAACTTAGTTCACTTGTAACAGGGCCGGTTGTTCAACTCCAGTTTAAACCGCTGTTCAGATTGAACTAAGTTCAAAGTTGAAAATCAGTTGTACAAATAAAGCTCAAGGCTTGAACCCAGTTCAAGTAGGCATAGAACCTGACCGGTCGATGTCCCTCGGTTAAACTCAGTTCAATGTGAGTAACATAAATATCGTAGCAAAGTTTAGCGAAGGAGTTGTGTGTTAAGTTTAAAAATGGACATTCCCGAAGAGATAACTGATGACGAGGACTTCTTAGAATTAATTACCATCGTACATATACCCAGGTTACCCAAAACTTACAAACAGAGACCTGATAATTTTCGGATTTGGAACGACACTCAATTCTTGCAACATTTTCGGTTATCAAAAAGTACTGTTAGATTCATAATAGATAAAGTTGCAGATGATATCAGAAATATAACAATACAGTAAGTTCATTTATAATTACTAGGTATCAGAGCCATTCCTGACGGGTGCATATTGTGCTCCAAATTGAAGAATAAATATCATTACCTATTTCAAATTTTATATATTTTATATATATATATTTTTAAACATAATTTTTTTATAATTTTATACAAACACCAACTTATGGGAATGCTGTGTTGCATCTAAATTGAAAAATCGTTCTTTCATTGTCGGTAAATTTGCAAAAACCATCTGAGCTGCTCAAAGGCTACTCACTCTACATGAATGGCCCTGGGTTGATATAATGCGGGTGGGATTTGGACAAATGTGTATAAAAGCTATTTTTTCATAGAAATCATTCCCTCACGCCAGATGATATGGTCTTTGTTATGCTACGTTACCTTGCAACTGGGTCCTTTTTGCAAGTAATAGGGGATGTACAAGGTATGGACAAAGGAACTGCAAGCAGAGTTGTGTCGAAAGTTATAAAATCATTAGCAGTCCATTTTTAAGAATTAATAAAAATGCCTGAAAATGGCGAAGAGAGAACTGTGATACGTCAAGAATTTTTCAATATTGCTAGATTTCCTAGGTGCATAGGAGCTTTAGACTGCACCCACATTAAAATAAAATCTCCAGGTGGTGCAGACCCAGAGAATTATAGGAACAGGAAAGGTTTTTTTTCCTATAATGTACCGGTGATTTGCGATGCCACTTTGAAAATACAAAATATAGTTTGCCGTTGGCCAGGTGCATCACATGATGCAAATATATTTGCAAATAGTAGAGTTCGAGCCTTATTTGAAACCGGACATTTTGGCGACATTTTGTTGGTTGCAGATAGTGGGTATGGTATTAAGCCATATTTAATCACACCACTAAGCCGACCTGAAACTCAGAGTCAACACTTATTTAATGAATCTCAAATTCGCACTAGGAATCCTGTTGAGAGATGCTTCGGGGTATGGAAAAGACGTTTCCCCATCTTAGCATTAGGAATTCGTGTAGCGAAAGAAAAAATTGAGCCAGTAGTTGTTGCAACAGGAGCTTTGCATAACCTAGCAATTATCATGAAAGACCCACAACCTGCAATAAATAATGAAATTGAAGCAGCAGTTGAATTCATTAACAACTTTGATATTGTACCAGTCCCAGTTGTAGTTCAAGATGCATCTAATAATAGGACACGATTATTGTTAATTAATTATTTCCAGGATTTATTGTGAATGATTCAAAAATTCAGTTTTTAGTATTTTTCTAATGTTATCTTCATTTCATACTAAGTGAAAGTGAAAGATATAAATGATGCAATAAAGAATATTGGAGATTTTATGTATTTATTCAAAATAGGTAAATAAGATGGCAAGATTAAGAAAATCAAATTTTATATTTATTTAACAGATACTGTTTTTCCATATTTAACATTTCCATTTTAATGTTATGTACCTCATCTTCCCTCTTTTTTCTCTCTTCATACTCTAGTTGCATTATTTCCAGTTTCTTTTTGTTTTCTTTCATCAATAGCTGTTTTTTCATTTCAAATTCATCCAAAAGGCATTTTTCTTTAGAATCTTCCAATGATTTTTTGGATTCGACCCATTTTTCCATTTTTGTGCAAATAGCACCCCTTTTTTTTGAGCAGTCGGTCTTCACTAAAATTAAAATGTTTAAGGAACATCTTATTGTGATCCACATTTACTGGCAACATATAGTATTTCATTACTAAGTCCATCAACAAGAACAAAAAAATTTACAGCACAACATGCAAAAACTTTCCATTTTAGTACTAGAAGTAACAATTCCTTTTTGAAATTTGTAATGAATATGAAATATTTCTGGAGATTATAATGTAGATTACCTTCTGCAGTTCTCAGAGCACTTGATTTTGGTGTGCGCAAAAGGGATGTACTTAATTTGCTCCAGTCCCTCGTTTGATGTCTACTGGATTCTGGACCTTCTAAACGATGCGCTATTTGATTTTCTTTATCTGTAAAATCATGAATAAATGAGGATGCGCCACAATAAGGCACATATGTTGTGTGTATCTACTAGCAACAGGTAGTATTTTATTACTAATTCAATCAACAAGAACAGAAAAAATCTACAGCATAATATGAAAAACTTTCCATTTAAGTTCTAAAATAGGTTTTTTTATTTTCATAATTCAAGATAAATGCATGCAGTAATGACGATATAATAGTTCTGTAGATTTTAATGTAGATTACCTTCTGGAGTTCTCAGAGCACTTGATTTTAGTGTGCACAAAGGGGACGTATTTAACTTGCTCCCCTCCTCCGCCTGATGACTACTGGCCTCTGGACCTTCTAAATGAGACACTTCTTGATTTTCTTTATCTGGAAAATCATAAATAAATGATAACATCAAAACTATTTATTTTATTAGAACCGCTGTTTTGAACTTCCTGTGTCTCCTCTGAAGTGATTTCACCTGAAACACCTTAAATTAATAAAAGTACATTATTTAACATACATTCGAAACTTACATTCCTCAATAATTAAGTCCCTGCATGTAGCATTCTCAGGTATGTCACAGACAACTAAAAATAAAATTAACTTAAAAATATATTCACTCAACACAATCCAGCTTCCTTACTCATGTCATCATCATACGCTGAAGGGTGTCCTTCTATTCGGACACCTAAAATGTCTTTGACTTGTTCATCAATATCGGTGAAATGAACTGTTTTTGAGGCACCTCCTCCTGTAGCAAACAGGGAACACTTCTCCTGTGAGAACTTCTTCTTTGACCTTTTTTGATATTGTCATATTTCAATGTTTTACTTTCCCTGTAGGTCACCGCTCCACTGTTAAACTCTTTTGCAATTATATTCCATGTCTTTGCTTTTGAAGAGTTTGTTACTGCATCCGTTTTACGACATTCAATAACATCTTTATATTTATTCACCAGTCTAATTAAAAGGGATTCTTCTTCCCTGCTAAAGTTACTTGTTCTCTTAGGTGCACTCATTTTTCAAATAAATCCACTACTACGAAGAGAAAGAATCAGCAGCAATTATATTTTTAATAAATATAACATAGGAAAGATAATGAAGCAATTATATACCTACCCGCCCTCCTGCAGATGTTGCGATATATTTATAGTCGAGAATAACAAGCAAACTTCAAAAAATCGCCAAAAAATGATTCCAGATTGATTCAAAGTAGGGTTATGACTTCGGTCAAAATCACGTCAAAATGACATTATTGACAAGTCTTATCATTCCGTGCCTAATAACATAGTGCTTATGGTATTACCAACTGCTGCATATTTGAGGTTCAGTGGAACCGAGCTTGACTGACAGATGAACAACGCACATGCATTTAAACTAAGTTCATATTTTAACTGGAGTTCAGGTGATCTACAGTTTAACCGAAAGTTGAACAACCGGCCCTAGGAGTCTTCATCATTCTTATCAAAAAACCTATATTGGCAGATTTCATACATTAAATTAGAAAATTAAATAGGTGGATAGATTTGGAATTCAGCATGAGTTTGACACAAGCAACCGATTTTCTATCTCAAATTCTTGACTTTGATTTTTTTTGACAATTATACTCTTACTCAACATTCCAAATTAGCCTTGGGTACCAGGTCTCATTTGCTTGAAACAGTGGGAGAAAAAATTGAAAATTTGCCTTACAAAATCCTATACCCTATTTCATGAGTATCCTCATGGTAGAATGACAGCTGTTTATCTAGTATTATTTGAAAATTCCCCATATCAGCACAGGACACATAATTTTGACGGATCCGTCAACGTCAGGTAGTCAGAGCTACAGATTCACTTTGTAGTTGCTAACAGCTCTTTTATTTAGATAACTTCATATGCATACAAAAAACAAATTGCTACAAACAAGTTTTACTAGATTTACACTCGATTCATTTTTGCCAACATTGCAGACTAACACAAAAATATCACTTGCTGATCAGCTGTTCACCTCAGTAGACGTCAAAGCGTGATGGATACTTGTGAAATAGGGTATATATTTTAAAATTCTGTATGTGCATGTTTTAAAGTATTTGAAATTTTTTCTAAAGAGTAATTCCATTTTTTAAACTTTTGCTGTGAAAAACTGAAACAACAGGAAAATCATAATTTCACAAACTTGAAATTTGATGATTGCTAAAAGTAAAATACCTTCTATAAATTTTAATTATTTATTTTCCAAATAGATAAAAATATTTACTAAATTTATACATTGGCATCATTTTGATTTTAAATGCAAAACATATTAAAAAAATATATAAAAAACACGACAATTGTCTGTTCACACTCAATCCGCTAAATCTAACTGTCCAAAGTACTTGCTAATAATACAAATATAAAAATTAATTGGAGTATAAATATCTTCATCCTCTTTATCAAGGGGTGCTCTAATTTCTATGCATCTTTTGGCCAGCTGCCTTAAGACATTACAACCATCAGGGCTCAAGGGTGTATCTATCAATGCTAGAACAGTGAATATCCAGACTCCAAGATGTCCACCAATGCTTCTGGTGTTGTCTTTATTCCCTAAATGTTGAAGTATTATTTTCAGTATCCGAATTTTGCATGCTTGAGAATAACTGACCGCTTGTGAAAACTTTGGTGGGCTTGCTATCATTTTATTGATGAACTCATCCTCTACAGATTCTATTTTAGATGGGTTACAGATGTGTGTGCTAATAATCTGTCTGAAACGTTTGAATTCTTCCAATTTTTTATTTTGCCACTCTTCTGAAGGTGCGTACTGGAACGACGCTTTATTCTCTACTTTTAGATGATACGTTTGTCTTGTTTTAAACTTTTTAATATCAATATTTGCTATAACAACATCCTCACAATGATTTGTTCTTTCATATATGACATTCTGGAGATACTCAAAACCATCTTGTGGAGCTGCTGATGGGCTGAAATCTGCTGGCAAGCTTACGTCCAGGGCTTTCTTTAGCAGTCCTTCATATTGCTCTTCTGGATCAGACAGGCCTGAATCTTCGGAGTCCGTTTCATTCATAGCCATAGTATTTGAAGTGTGAGAAATATTTTCTTGATGGAATTGTTTTCGGAAAAACCGTATAAACTAGCGCTTTACAATGAATAAATATATCTCTTTTATTTCAATCTCTTCGCAGTTGAAATACTGCATTAATCTAGTTAACCTCACTTCGCAATGTAAACAAAAAAACAACGACTTGTCAAAAGATGCATGTTCAGTGACAGCTTAATCTCCTTAATTATTGGTTCTGTGTTAAGGAGCCAACCAACGACGACGAGCCAACTATTATAATTTATAGTCCAGTCAACAAGGTAAAGACTTTTACACAATTTGGTTCAATTTCTCAAGAAATACAAATTGGCCAGTATCGTACTAAAATGTTTTAAAGACATATATTTAACAAAAAACAGTTTCTAGGCCCAGCACCTTGCATGCGTATTTGTTGTAGTAGTGGTATGCATATTTCTGTTTCTTTCCTCAATTATTATACATGGTGTTTATTTGAAAATTTCCCACCACGGATTTATCGAAAACTACTGATTAAAAGAACAAGCGCCGAGGCAACTTTTTAACTAAAAACTACTTCACCTCCTTTCACCCTCGGCCCCCCAGGGTCATTCCCTCTAACATTCTAAATGACAAGGGCATCGAGTAATAGCTTGTTTGAAAGAACTTTCGAAGTCCATTATTTTGATGTTTCATTTTTTAATATCAGTCGATTCGTTTTCGAGAAAATTATAAAAATCTTTATTCATCTTAATTTGCTCAGATAGAGTACAAAAACACAGGAAAATATCACTTTTTATTTCAAAAAGTGGTCAAAATGTTGACCGTTACTGGCCAAACAATGATATAGGCGATGTTCTAATTCCTGACGGACATTTTCAAAATCATGTGGGATATCATTCCAGCTTCGAAAGACCTTTCAAACAAGCTATTACTCGATACCCCTTGTCATTTAAAACTTTAAGGGGATGACCCTGGAGGGTGAAGTAGTTTTTGGTTAAAAAGTTGTTCCCTTTGACAAATCTTTTCACGTGTCACGGCGTTTTTCTTTCAATCAGTGGTTTTCGGTAAATCCGTGGTCTGAAGTTTTCAAATGAACACCCTGTATAAGGTACGTTTTCTTTGAAATTCAAGCTGAATTTATCCTCATTTTTTTAAGTAAATTACATCTGGTACAATTAGAAAATTCACTATAGACAACCATATGCTTGGAGTCATATCAATCTTCTTTTGGAATGTGCAATAAAATAGGGGGCATTGTTTCTGAAAAATTGAGAAGCTCCAATAATTTTTTTTAGAAATGGACTGTATCATAAGGGACTGCTAAACAGAAAGGAAGGTAAGCAAACAACAAAAATGTGGTGACAATCATTTATTTGCGTTATTGCAACATCTTTTTACATATATACACATAATTACGATAATATACACAAACATCTGTTTAGAATCTATCACAACCTACCGCTTTATAATTTTTTCTTTGAATATTCTCTGAATATACGGTAGAAAAGATAAGGACTCTGATTATAATTTCCAGCAATAACAGAAAATATATTCTGTACAAGATTTCATAACAGTTTTTTGCATGAACATTAAAGTCGATTATTAAAATTCAAGAAATTCACCTATAAAGTTTCAAACATATTCACTGCACAATTTATAGAAAATAACTCTTCCAATTGAATTTTGTTAATTGATGGAGCAATATCTATATTTGATGAATAATTTAAATATAAGATTTCGCTAGGCAGTGGTAGCTGTGATTTTCTGAAAATGTTTTTAAACAAATTAGTGAAAATGCTTATTCTTATAAGAGTAATGACACACAGTGTAAAAAGTAATATTTTACTATCACTTGAAAGCAGTGAATATGAAGAATTTATATTTTGAAACGTTCAGTATGATTTTTGAATAGCTTATTCTTATCTTGTATACACATATACAACGGTAAAGCATGTCACTTAGAAAGTATTGACTATTACAAATTTCAATCCCGAAAAGTGTGTCGACTGAATGTTTTATCAAATATTTATTTACTTGTAAATTACGACTCTAACTACTTAAGATGATTGATCATATCAACAATTTATTTGATCTTTCAAGTACACAGCCCTTAAGAAAACACACATCCCATTTTAGTTTAGAGGAAAAATGCATACAAATTGATAGGAACCTTGAAATAATAGTTCATAAATATTGAACGTTAATACTGAAGGAACCTTTAACACCTTGAGATAAATTCAACACATTCGTGAAAAACTCAAAAGTCGAATGGTTACACCCAAAATCTTTATATAGAGCTAATATTGTTGGCCATATTTGACCAAAATATCATGATAAAAAATGAGCTAGATTTTACAATATGCATTTTTCATTGATCATAAAGTGGGAGGTAATAAAGTTATGTTTAAGTTTCCAAGCCTTGGCAAATACTAAATCACAATGTCTTAATAATACGATTCCTGTAAAGGAAAGGATTACACAACCAAAGCTCTCAACTAGATATATACTCTAAAGGTACGGCATTGATATCCGCATTTTAACATCATCTAAAAATTATGGAGAGATTCAACAACTACAAATTACAACAGTTTAGGTAATAAATGGGACAAAATGAAGAACAATAAATAAATATGAAAGATAGAAAAATAGGTCATCTATGCTAAAATTTGATAAAAGAGTTTAAACTATACACAAAACCACTAACATCTAGAATATTTGACTGTTAAATGGTAGGAGACATATTACATTACCTTTCTAAATGCTATTGCAAGGTAGAAAACAACAATATAAATCTTCTATGGCAATCTGGCACTGCATGTTCAGAAACGCTCACGAAATCAGCATAATATATATAGCATTCAAAATCCAATTAGTTCCAAGATATATATATATATATATATATATATATATATATATATATATATATATAATCCCGCTAACTGAGCTAAGATCTCGCGACTTCCATTCTACAGGGTGTCCTAAACGTTGGGATTTTCGTTTACAACAATAAGCACATTTCCCAAAATCTTAAGATAACTGAAAAAATTTGAATGGGCCAGCTCGACCCTGCATCCTATATGAAAATATACGATGTTTTGTTACCGGTGAATGCTATTGAGTCTGCGCGAGCGTATTCAGATCGTTGTCCTGGATGTTTATATCCGGAACTGCATAGGTTTGTTTATATCATACAAAGGTCACCGAGGTGGACACACTAGAAGACCTAGATAGCCCCAAGTGTTTTAAATTTATGAAGAGCTTAACGAACTTGTGCTTTTGAATCAAACGACAACTTCAAACTGCATTTACGAGCAAAACATGTGACATGAAGTTTCTTACCAAATTAATAGAGTACTTTTCTTTTTTACGATTTCGCTGCTGTTTTACCGAAAAGTCCAATCTTTTAGGACATCCTCTATATTTCGTATATACATGATGACTTCGTAAAAATTATGCTGGTTTCAAGAGCTCTTTAAATCGAGCACTGAAATGATTATTTCGTAGAAAAATATGGCGACAACTGTTGACAGTTTTAGCTGTTGTTATTGCCTATTGTTGAGATGGAAAGAATCGGTTTCGGTAGTTGGTACCGCCTTGTACTCATGGATCGCTCTATGGGTGCCGCTTCTGCAGATATAGGATAAGAAGTCGCCCTCTTTGCTGACCTACTGCGGAAAGACAATTTGTCAGTAACAGATCGAACTTTATTGTCGTATGGCTATCCAGAAGTAATATAAAAAAATTCAATAAATTCATGGGATACACCGTTATTGATTATAATTTTACAATTAAGAATTCATCAAGTCATCAGAATTCAAATTCGGTCAATAGTCAATATTCATAGTGCCAAAGCCGCTCGTATCTAGTACCACGAGTTTGGTCCTACAGTTTAATGTAAATTCTGACCAACAAGAACGATATAAAAAAATGGTGCTATCCAAGCTATTACTTTCTGAATAGCTATATGATTGGTAATTAGTATACATTTCAGAATTAGAAGTATATGAATCAATTAAATTGTTTTTTCCAAAAGACAACCTTCGTGTCGTGAGCATTAATGTCACACAACTTAAGCATCATAAAGTAGATTATAGTGAGGAAAGCGTAAATGGCAAGCCTGCCTAGGTACTGTCCACCTATAGCGACACTTTACTAAAATCTCAGTTCCATTGGATAAACAATTCCCAGCAAATGTTACCCATTAAACTGATTTACTCTATCTCTTTTTTCTGAATATTGTATCAGTGGTAACCAATGAATTCAGACTAGGTAGAAGCAGCAAGTCTACAATTTGCTTGTCTCCAGAATATCAGTCTGTAGTCAGGATGAAAACGCATGCTTTCCAAGCGGACCTGACATAAGTTAATTTTTTTAAAGTTCAGCCAGTAAATTCGTACTTTTAGGGTTATTTTTTAAACGTGCGAGTGTTTGCAGATATTTGTGGTGTTACTACGATTTCGGAACATGGAACTTCTTGCATAATTCAGTAATGGTATCAGAAGCCTAATGCAGGAAGATCTTTCCACCGGTAAGTATTATGATTATGCAATGCAATGTAAAAATACAGGCTTGGCTGCTTCTAATCTATTCGAATTCGTTGGCGATAACACTATATAGTTACATTTTGATATCGTTTCTCGCAAGACTTAGAGATACACGACCATAAAATAGGTGTAGGTTGCCTTTTGTTGAAAGTTACTCTGAAATGATAATATACGCTATATTTGTTGCGTGAAAGTAGCATACAATAAACAAAGCCAGTAGATTTTTCAAACTACGACATAACATTTACAAACAATACAATGATCATTTTAACCATTTATTTATTTAGTTAGTTTCATTATGCTCATAAGATGTTTATTTATATTCCATTTTAAGTTTGGTTTAGTTGCGTATGCAGGACAATAAAAAAGGGTACACTCTGAACAGGCAACAAAAAGTGATAGAGAACCGGAGTCAATCTCATGCCAATGAAGCCGCTTCACGCTCTCTACCTAAATCGCTTCAACACATAAGCTCAGCATGTGGAAATGGAAGCTCTAAGATTTTTTGTGAAATTGTATATGTAGTAGCAGTTATGTGGTCAAAGGTCCCATTTCAAATTTTCTGAATTGTGCTGCTATATTTCCTAAACTCCCATCATTCTGTTCTATAAGATGCTCGTCTGGTAAAGGACTTCAATGGACCAATGAATGGTTCACGTTGCTTTATGAATGTCAAATCGCAATGCAGGTCCAGCAAAGACTTATCCTCGGGTATACACATACTTCCTCGGCAGATAATCTCACTTACAATAAAAAATCTGTTAATGTAGGATATGTGGAGAATCATTCTTAGCGAGATCACGCCGTCAAGCAAATTAGCCCTTTAAAGCGAGAAACTTTCTCATTTTACTGTTCATGTTGACAAGAGTGAGTTTTGAATGATCGAAAGTCAGCAACGACACTAGGAAGCCTAACATTCTGGTGTCACGTTAAGGCACACTTAACAGGAGACAAACATGTAACAGGCACAGGGGTTTCACTAACTGCCATTACCTATAGATCGACCAGCCAAAGATTGCTAGGGACGAAAGGGGGAAATGCGATGAAAAAACCTTACCATTAGACGATTTTATATGGAGTCATAGGCGGAGATCGGAGAGACTTGAATTATTAATTGAATTTATATTTTATTACAACTGGTAGTATTAATATTTTTTTGCGATTCATAATGACGTGATACCAAACATACATTATAAGAAATAAATATACACAAACACTGAATATTGAGAACAAAATAAATATATTTTTTAGGCAACAAGTAATATTCCTATGTACGCATTATGATTGAACATCAAAACAAATTATGCATTCTTCTAAAATAGAATACAACAAGTCAAAAATATCTGACTGAATAGAAAAATATAGGAAAACAAAAAGTAATTTCTTGATGAAATAACCCATAAACAACACATAGAATTAGACTTTCTACTGAGATACTAAAAGCCACAAACCAATAGTATAATAAATGAATATCTAAAAATTCTAAAAGGTAGCCAATCTAGTATAGTTTCAATCCTGATTAGAGTCATGATCACTGTCTGAGGAACTGTCATTGCTATCACTTTCACCTCCTATGTTGATTATTATTTCTTCCTGTATTTCTTGAATGAGACTGTCTTTTTCCCAATATTCATCTTCAATTTTTATAACATGTCCAATAACCTTTTGCCAGTCACTGGCACTTACTGAAGCGATGGCCTTATTAGAAATTTCATCTAGTTTTTTTATAGTAAATTCGCCGCTTGTATTATGGCTTCTAATGAAAAATTTTACTTGTGCCCAAATCATCTCTATGGGATTAAACTGACACATATAGGGTGGCGTTCGAAGTGGGGTGTGTCCGAAACTTCTTATTAAATTATCTATCTTATAATTTTTCTCATCAGATGGTGGCCTATGTAGACAAGCTATTTCATAAAGCTCCATTTTTTTAGCATTAGGATCATGCTCTATACCTTTTTTGCTCAACCACGTGATGATGTCTCTTTTTAGAGAAGATCTAGTTGGAGGCTTGTCTTCCAAAGCTGAATGGTAAGGTGCATTATCCATTATTATAATACTATTAGGAGGAATGTTAGGAAATAGTTTTTCAGTAAGCCACTTCGTGAAATTTTCTTGGTTCATTTGACCGTGATAATCACCAGTGGCACAGCCAGCCTTGAAAATGAGACAGGCTCCAGGAACAAAACCATCTTGCGAACCCGCATGAACAATTATTATAAGTCGTCCTGGAAATGAATAAATAGCCTCATTTTAGTGTTATTTTAAGTTTGCCAACACCTTTTTGAATCACTATGTATAAAAAACATATTTTTGAGAAAAAAATACTTGCAAGGGATTATGTATTCAATTAGACAAATTAAATGAGCACTTATTAAGAATATTCCAAAATTGAGAAAAATGTATAATAAGCAAAATCGAGGTGAAAGAAACTTTATTACCTGTAGAACTTATATTGCTCAGGACACCCATAATTTCTTCGCTTTGCCAGCATTTCTTGAAAGTGAGGTCATTATCAACCCAAGTTTCGTCCAAATAAATAATATGCCTTCCTTCTTCCCGGAACTTTTTAATAGACCTAAGATACTTGTATCGCCAATGTAAAATACTGGGTCTTTCCATTAGTAATTTCCTTTTGTTGTGGCATTTACGCCAGTAAAATCCTTTTGCTTTTAAAAGCAGCCTCAACGATTCTTTACCAAATGGAAATTCCATTTCTTCCTTCAGTTTGATTAGAAGTTTACTACAAGTAGGTACCACTTTAAAATCACAGTAAAATTTTTCTATCATTCTCCGAATAATGGAAAAATCGACTCCATCAATTTTTTGGATCACAGAAGGGCGTGATCTCTTTTTTCCGGGAGAAGCTAAAGGCTGTGTGGAGGTTGCATTTTGCCTGTCTTTATCTTCTTTTCTAATTTTACTTATAGTTCGTTCACTAACACCCGTATAATATGCCGCCCTTGCATTTCTAGCTACCAGTGGATAAACGAAAGTATTGTTAGCCGCTTCTGCATCGCAAGCACGTATCACGTTTGCTATTATTTCCCTTGCCTGGCTGTGAATAACTTTCCCATGCTTGAATTCCATTATCACCACTAAACAGTAAATTATATTTTCAAAGTATTTGCCAACTGCCTACGCCTATGGGAGTAGGTTTATAAATGACCGTGCCATCGGCACGTTATTCTAGTTTCAGATAAGATAAGAGTTTTGGACCAATCAGCGACCGGATGTTTACCTGCGGCCTGGGTTTTCCAGCTACATTGCCAAATTCAGCGGAACAATTCTATATCTTAAATATGTTAATATGTATGGACCGCATTTTATGTAGAACATCTGACAACTTCGCAATTTTTTGTCCGCATTCTTTCGGCTTGCAATCTTTCGCTGGTCCAACATTACCATATGCTTGAGACAGGTGGTGCGCATACCCATGTCAATCTGCAAGTGCCAACAATCAGTTCGTGGACTTAAATTTATATAGACGTCAAGTAACAAAATGATGTAACCAGTACAAATGGTCTGCATAGACAGGAATTGGGTTTCGTTGCACGCTGCGAGGTTCGTACATTTGACATGTAACACTCATTGCTGGCAAATATGCCGATCGCAAAAAATAATTAGATCGGTCATTTCAAAAACCTCATAAGTCAGCTTTAATCAACATTTTTGGGCTTTATATTGAATTTGAATTCTAGAAGATTGAAATGTTGAACAAAAAAAAAGTAAGATAGGTGTTTTGCGTGTAACTCCATGTTTATACTATCTATATTACAGTTTTTCAAAATATCTGGTGTATGTTTAAAGGACTTTCTCGACTTATTCGAGAGATGTCTTTTAAGTTTTTCATATGGAAATAAAACAACACGGTAGGTAGTTTTAAATGAATTTATTGTTTTTCGAAGTATTCTCCACGAAGATTAATACACATCTGCATGCGCTCGAACCAATTTTCGAAGCACTTATTCCACTCGTTTGCTGGCAGATCCAAAACGGTATTTTTGAATGCGTCAACTGATTCTTCTGGTGACTGGAACCTTTGACCACGCGTTTGTTTTTAATTTTCGGGAAATCGTTGGGACTTAAATCGGGGCTATATGGAGGATGGTCCAATAATTCCACGTTTTCTTCCGTTAAAACTGCCTTGTTTTTTGGGCTTGCATTGTCTTGGTGGAGGATGATTCTTCTTTCGGGGTTGATTTTTCGAAGCTCCGTGATGACTTTTGGCAAACAAATGGTGGTATACCAGTCCGCAGTAACAGTTCTTTGCTCATTAAGAGGAATTGTTGCAATATGACCCGCTTTTGACACAAATGTCGCGACCATCTTTTTCGAAACACTTCGAGATCGGATGACTTTTGTTGGCTTTTATTCACCTTGGAACACCCAAACAGCCGACTGTCGTTTATTTTCTGGTTCATAACAGTAAATCCACGATTCATCACCATTAACAATGCTGTACACATTTTTTGAGTTTCCGGAATTGAAACGGTCAAGCGTTTTTGGACACCAACTAACCCTGGCTGCTTTCTGCTCTTAAGTCAACGAGAAACTAATTTTCTTACTCCTAATTCATCATGTAAAATTTTTTGAATTGAGGTCTTTGAGATCTTCAAGGACGCCTCAATCTCGCGATATGTCACATGTCTATCTTCAATGATGAGTTTGCGCACAGCATCGACGTTTTCCTGGGTGACTGCCGTTTTTGGTGCACCCACCCTGGGATCGTCGTTAAGACTCACCCGTCCACGTTTAAATTCTCCATACCAACGGAAAATCGTCGACTGATGTGGCGGTCAGTCAGTAACTCAGCAAGGCATTTTTCTAATGACTTGGTGACACTTAAAAATTCACTGTAGTGAGAACACTGCACGTATTGTTGTGAAACTTTGAATTTAAGGTTACTAAAGAGTGAGGTTAAGATTCAGGACTGACGTTCGATCCGCGCGGCCTACTATGTTTCTATATGCAAACTTAAAAGACATCCCTCGTATAATTGAATTCAGCTGCAGCAGATGCTTTTTGAGATTTAGAACGATTTGTGGTGAAATTATTATTGTCGGGTTCGGTACATATGGACACATCAAATTTTTGGAAAATGACAGTTGAATGCCTGATTGTATTTTCAACAAGGTGTATAAACATCCATGTTTTGTAACGATAAATAGAATCAATGTTTAATAATTTTCTTGATCTACATAATGTGTCAGTTGGTTCGGTGTATGGTGAATGGTAACTAATTTGTTTTGGATTTTTTCAAAGGGTTAAGTATATTCGCACAAGCAGTGCCCCAAATTGATGCAAGATACTGCAAATACGAATATACCAAGTTAAAATACCGAACACTGTATTCGTCGGTAACCTTATTTTTGTAGCTGGTAAATTCAAAATTGATATTTTGGTGTATATACATAGCACACAAATATGAAATTCAAATGACTCATTTAGGAACTCGCCATCGAAAGTGAACGGCTATTATTTGAAGGGAAAATAATGTATTGACTTACGTGGATTTTGTCTAAAATACGCCTCTACCCTTAAGAAGGCTTTGTCAGCAAACACAGGATTTTTAAAATGACCGATTCAATTGTTTCTGTTGGTAAACAAAATTCTATCAACGAAAATGTGAGTGTTATATGTGAAACCACTGTCTAGCCCACTGAGCCAATGCATCCATGATAAGTGATGGCAGATGGAAACTTGGTTTTGCCGGCAGTGAGTACGCATAGTGCAATATGGAATCTACTGGGTCTGACAGTCATGTGTGCTGTGGGCAATCGTATAATTACCATCATGTAGACAGTTAGACATGACTTAAGAAAACCTTTCGTTTGAGAAAGCCGCTGCGTGCTGGTGATGAGATGCCAGGGTCGTGGCTGAAACATTTTTCCATCATCTCATGCGATACGCTAGAATTTCGTTTGATTTCATATCAATTTCTTCTTCCCTGAGTATTGAACTCATCGTAAAAGCTATTTGAGAGTACACGCTCTCAAGGCTTCTAACACTATTCATTCAAGGTGTCTATTATTGGTTAATTTTTGAGATTAACTGCCGGTACACACGAGCGTTAAATTGTCGCGCTGCAAAGAAACGCTCAATTACATGCTGTTTACACGGCATTTACATCACTGTAATGCTAAATGCGCGACAATTTAATGCCTGCGTGTACCCACAGTACATAGAAAAATTTCTTGCGTGTTGGCGCTGGAATCAAAAACATCATTTTGTTGATGTGGCAATGCTGCTTCCAAAGATGTAACGACAAATTAGACTTTAAGTTATAAAAACGTTCTTTTTATTTAAATTACGCTTTCAGTAGAAGAAGCCTTGAAGCTGAAAAACTTTTAAAAAGAAAAATCAAATAATTACGATAAAATGATTGATTTTAGTTACGATATCGTGTGAAATAAAAAATAAGATCAGATAATGTTGCATATAGATAATATTAAAATTGCAACTGAAATTTCACCAACAGTCTTCTGATCATCATTAATATTTTATTGTAACAGTTACAGGGGTTACAGCTGTGATGGTGGCATAACAGACATTAGCAACTTACCTCCTTCTCCTTGAGAACGGCTGCCCGGGAAGCCCAAAATACCCTCTGGGAATTACCATTCTGGCGTTACCTTGTGCTGGTCTTGACCCACCGTGAGACATCAAAATGGACAAGTGAGCAGCGTAGCCTTCCGTGAGCACGGTAGCCTGTTGCATTTGTTTCTTGGACGCCTTGCCCACGATAAAGATCTGTTTCGGTTTCAGCCCGATCTGCGTGTAGACGCTGATGTCTTTGGCACTGCCGTAAGCTGAGTGAATTATCACCCCGTGGTTCTATGAAAAGGAGTTGAGATAACAGGATTTAGCATCATAGTTGGGATACGTTTAGATTGATTGAGCCACCTTTTACTTTCTACGCCACTGGGTGAGGCGGTATTGTAATCGCGAAAATGGGATACGATGTTTTTTGGACGTACATCACGAAAAACCATGTCACTGATGTCCGTCGGTCTGTTTGTCTGTCCGCGAACCTTTGGCTCGTCTACGAGGTCTGTAAATTAAGTGGCAACGTAGCGTTCGATTTGGCAACACTGGAGACGTCGGACTTGGAGGGGGGACAGCGGAACATGTTATCCGCATTCAGTACAAGTTTGAACTCCCTCGAGTCATTTGTTTGTCCGTAGCGTTTTTCTTTTGTGGGACAGTTTTTCCTGTTGTGTTCTAAAAATGAATGGCATCAATTTCGAGCAACTCTTGGGAAGCTTCAACAGGCCAACGGTGGTTTAAGGCATTTTAATAAGGGGGAGAGTCTATTGAAGGTGAACTAAGAAGCGGAAGGCCTTCATCTTCAAGAATCAATGAAAATATCGACAGAATCCAGGAATCATGTGCGTTCAGATTGCTAGACACAGCAATATCAATAAACGAGTTTTGGCCAGAAAAACATTCCTGTGGCTCCTCAGCCTCTTTATTTGCCTGATTTGAGTCTTTGTGACTTTTTTCTCTTCCTGAAGTTCACCTCATTTTGGGTCAGTAGAAAACATTCTAACGGCTGTAACCGACCAGCTGAAGGCTATTCCAGTATCGGAGTTCAGCACGGCTACCAGTAATGGAAGAACCGTCTCCAGTGCTGTGTGGCTTGAGGAGAAAGTTATTGTTCTATGGGAGACAATATAAAATTGTCATATTTGAATAAAAAGATAAAAAAAAATCGTAAAAAGTCGTATCACTTAATTTATAGACCTCCTATAACTTGGAAAGTACTGCTCGCATTTGGGTCAAATTTTTACACAAGTCTACTAGGTACTATGCCAAAGACGAAGAAGCTTAAAAAACTGTAATTTTTGAAAATCGGTCAGTGGCGGCAGAGAAAAAGACCAAAATCGACAAAAATTAAAAAAAAAAACAACTTCGTTTTTTGACATTTCATAGAATCCTGATCATTTAAAAAAAAATAGCGAAAAAAAATTAGGGGTGGGGGAGGGCACATCTCAATTTTTAGATCTTGGTATATTTATACGATCCAAGCTCCGGTAATTTTACGCACCATTTATACTGGGTGCGCCATCTATTACTTTTTTTTACTTATAAGTTTATGTGTTACATGCGAGTCAGAAGTCATGTGGTATGCATAAATGAACTGTCAAAGGTATACCATTTATAGTCATGGAATCGTTTACAACACAACAATGCATTTTGGTTATCGAAACTTATTACGAAAACGGTCGAAATATAAAAAATACTTTTCGAAAACTTCGCACTAGTTTTGGCCGACATGGACGCCCTACAGAGCCTGGAATTCGTTGGATTGTCGATAGTTTTGAGGAAACTGGTTCAGCTGAAGGTCGTAGACCATACCAACATGCTTGTCCAGCTCGTACTCGTGAAAACATAGCCGCAGTGAGTGAAAGTGTGCGAGAAGATCCAACAACCTCGACTAGGTACCGTTCCCAACAATTGGGAATTAGTGAGACCACTTTACACCGGATTTTACACATTGATTTACACCTCCATCCATACAAAATCTAACTAACACAAGAATTGAAGCCGGCAGACCATCAACAGCGGCGGGCTTTTGTTAATTGGATGCTGGAAAGAGAAGACGGATTTTCGGCCAAAGTGCTCTTTTCTGATGAGGCTGGCTCATTTCCACCTCAATGGGTACGTAAATAAGCAGAATTGCAGATTCTGGGGGGCTGAAAATCTACACCAATATCATTAACAACCTCTCCATCATGAAAAAGTGACTGTTTGGTGCGGATTATGGGCTGGTGGCATCGTTGGACCATCCTTCTTTAGATGTAAAGATGCCGAAGAAAAGGCCATTACCGTCAACGGGGAAGGCCGCATAATTTCACGAAATTCAGATGTCAGTTGGCCCCCGAGATCGTGCGATTTAATATCTCTTGACTATTTTCTTTGGGAATTTTTGAAAGGAAAGCGCAATATTCGGACTGACATTGCGGCCATAGACCCGATTATTCTGGGAAAATCCATTGAAAATTTTGATGTTCGGATGTTGGCCTGTAAACGAAGCCGCGGTGGTCACATGACTGATGTTATTTTTCATACATAAATGGCATAAACCAACCTTCATTTATCAATAAAGAAATTAGATTTCACCTCGTAAAAAGCGTGTTGATTTTTCAAATAGAAAAAAGGTAATAGATGACGCACCCTGTACATTTGTCGTCAAAACTTAGACTGATGACGATACGTCTCTCCTTCTGCTATCTGGGCCCAATCTGCTTGATTGTTGGCAAGAGGAAACGTTGCCAGATGGACAAAGGCAAGACAGGGAAAGAATGTCTATTGACCAATTTGTGTGGGCATGTTTGACTGTCTTGATCGGTTTAATTTCTCTATTGGGGTTCAACTTCTGTTGGACTTAATCCTTCATGAACTGATGGTGGCTTTGCATATCAAGTGCAGAGTCAACCTACTGGACGCCATTTTTTACAATAGCTCAAGCTAAATCAATGTGCGGCAACAACGTTGACAACTAGCGTATGTGGTAGTCCAATGTGAAAAGGTGCCTTTTAAGAACAACCGATTCGACATTCAGGCCGAATTTAACAAAATAAAGCTTCATTTCGGTTCAAGTGATTTCTTTTTAAATGATTGAATTCGGTGCCGAAGATATCGATGTCATGCGGTAGGCGAAATCATGGAGTTAATTTTGTATACTTACATTAATGAGATTGTTGAGATATGTAGCCTTATGACCAAGTGGATCAGTGGACAAGCCGTCAGCGAATGAGATCAAACCATGCGGGAAGTTATGTTGAGACAACCAGGAAACTACCCTGCGATGTTGCATATCCGGACGGCCAGTTATGTAGATTATCAAATAGCCTAGTTCTTGCCAATGCCTAAAAATCAGTTCCAATATATGAATTACGGCTTAATATAAAAAGAGCTATATCAAGGATGGTTGAATCAAATTGATAATTTTGACATCATTAACCATTTTCCAAACTAGTTCGTAATAGATCAAAGATCAGAAAAGAAGCTGTTCTCAAAGCTTCACATAGAATAATTAGGAGGGTATATATTGTAAAACATTGACAGGCGCGTTGTGACACGCGGGTAAGAGATTGAACGGCCTTAATCGATCTATATGAACGTTTTGTCTAGGATCATTAATTCGATTCTTCTTACCTGACAACATCTACTGCTCCAGCTCTAACTTTAGGATCTCTGCCAGTGACAGACATGCTCGCTGTGAAGGAACCATCAATACTGAACACAATACATTCGGTTTTTGGAGGGACGACAGCTAGGAAGAAGTCTACGAAAGTGTGGTCTCCACGAACTACCATCTGCCAAAAAATGTCAATATCATATTTTTGAGCAGGACAACATGGGTGGTACATATATTTGTTTGATCCAAAATGTTTATTCACTGAACGAGACGCGGTAAAGCTTGCTTTTCAAAGTTGAAACGTAAAATTTCCTGCCAAAGCTGTGACGTGACGTTAAATCTAGAGTAAACATGACCTTAATCAAATTCAAGCGGACAACCAAATGGAAATGGTATTTACCATTTTGGATTGGTATTTACCGATCCGTTCAAGCGAGTGTGGTTATCAGTTTGGTTATAAGATCCATGACGTCATGAATCAGCTGTTATATGTCATAGTTATCACCGCAAAATTGTGGTATTTACCTAACTCGGGAGTAGTTTTATATTTCTGGTTATTATTTAACATGTGACAAGTTAGAATTTTGCCGGGTATTGAATATTTTTATTGTACTTCAGCTTCATTTTTGGGAAACTTGATACAGGCTGATTTCAGTTTTAGCATAAGAGATCACCTTATTATTTATAATCATTACTGTTGTTGTGGATACTTTAAATCTAGTTCCTACGCTTAACAAAGTATCCTGTATAGCCATATACCACAAGAATATTAAAATATGGCCGTATAAACTCACTGGATGATGTCCACCTGTATACGGTTTTGTTAATATCTTTTTTTCATCGCTTTTTCATCATTTCTGCTAAATCAATAAATATTTTCTTTGACATGCGGAGAAGTTTAGAGAATTGAAAGTTATCATAGCTACAAAGCCATGGTTCCATCAATAAAATTTTTTTTCTGAATAAAAAAACATTCCTCCCATTAATATTATGAAAGTTTTCTTTTTTTTCAACTTTCCATACGCCGTTGTAGACGAAAAAGCACCGATTATTAAGTGATAATAAAAATAATCAGAAATTATATACGCGCTTTTCTAAAACAAACAACTTGCAACAAACCGCGGTTAAAACCAACGCGTTCAAGCGATTCGAGTAATTGACGTCATCATCCCGTGTGTCATCTTGAACCATATTATAACCGCGGTACATAATACGGAAATTTTGGTTATCCGCTTGGATTTGATTCTTGTTTCTGCCAGGAAGTATAGACTTCCGTTAGATGCGAGTAAAATAACATTTATCCTATGACCTTGACTTTTAATTTAATTGAGATCTCTTTCCATGTATGAATTACAAGTTATATTTTTCCATAAAGCGAGCGAAAAAACCAGTGTAAACAACATTATCATTGAAAATGGATGTGATTGTAATACATTTTATAATACTGCGTCCACTAATATACAGTAGCGGACAAAAGATTGGAATCAAATATTAACATTATTTTGAACCATTTCATATACTTAAAATTGTGAAGGAACAGATAATATAAATATTAAAGTCTACCTTTGACTCCCGTACTAATAAGAGGCTTATCTTATCAATATTCTAATTCTTTGAAATATAAAAACATGCGTTTTTTAAATACAACAGTTTTTGTAACGAGAAAAGTACGGAAACATTTCAGTTTTGCCGTATTTATTCGTTCTGCCAAACTATGATATTGCGTGCGGTAAATATTAACATCAGTGAGAATGGCAAAAGTAAAAAAAAATCAAAAGATTTAAGAGACAAAGTGGTTAAATTATTAAGAAGTAGTGTCAGAAATGTTGACATTTCTCAAAGATTAAAAATAAACAAAGGGACGATTTCGAAAATTAATAAATAATAAATATCAAGAATACGGATTAACAGCAACACGGCCCAGGTGCGGAAGACCGAAAAAACCGATTATGTTTTGGATCGCTACGGTAAACGTTTGTCCCATGAAGATCCTCGAATGCCGAGAATATTTCTGTCAGAACAGTGCAGAGACGCTTGGTGGATTTTGGAGTTTTTGGTGCGTGTCTAGTGCAAAAGCCTCTCATTCCAAAAATCGTATTAATACAGTTTTATGGAGCGATAAAAAGCAAATTTAACTTGTTTGAATCTGACGGTACGGCATATGTGAGACGTCCAATACAAAAAGGATTCGACAAAAGGTATCAGTTGTCAACAGTAAAGCACGGTGGAGGCAACATCATGGTTTGGGGCTATTTTTCTAGTTCTGGAACGGATCCAATTGTTAAAATTGTTGGGAAAATGGATCAAGAACTTTAAAAAGATACTCTTAGTAAACATCTGCTCCCTTTTGCTGAAGAAGAAATGCTTGCAGCACGATAATGATAATAAAATTCGTAAAGGACTGGTTAAGACTAAAAAATATTAATGTTCTTACAAGGACTTCGCAATCCCCGGACCTAAAACCCTATAGAACATATCTGGGAGAATGTTAAAAGACAACTGACAAGAAAAACTTGAAAAAATATTAACGGTTTATTTTATTATGTAAAAAATATTTGGCAAAATATCCCAACAGACGTCTACAGAAATTTTTTTTCTTCTATGAGCAGCAGTCAGGCAGTTTTAATGCCAAAGGCCATGCTACCAAATATTAGCTAACCAGAGTTTTTTAAACCTTTTTGTAGAGTTATTGTATTCAGTTTTGTAATAAAAAACATTTGCATACCTCTGTCGTCTCATCTTTGGTCATAAAATGATATGAAGGTATTTTAATGCTGGTCTGTAGTATCACAGTAAACACAAATAGTAATTTGTACCCTCAAGACTGTAAGCAAACTATATGAGAAAAAAGTAGTCAATAATAAAGAATACAAAATTAGCGCACTTTTTAACAATCACTAAGAATGTATCCAAGCTTTTGTCCGCTACATATTCATATGTTCGTTTATTCAATTTGGAATGATCATGAACTAACCTTGATGGGATACATCCCATACCCAAGCGACTCCCCATCAGGTATCCTGTACTGTATCCTTCCTGTTTTATCCGTTACTTCGGTGGCTAGATGCGTCCATTCCCCTGCAGGTGCGTCTTTCATAATGTGGATGTCCACTTTTTCCCCCGTTAGAGTGATCATGTCCAGAGGGCCATACATGAATCGTGACACCAGAATTTGTGGAGCGCCGTCCATTACTATCACGTCATTGGCTCTATGGTTTGCGGTTACGTTCTAAAAAAAAACCAACATGTGGGTATATGCTAGAGAAGACAGTAGGCAGTTTCTTCCCTCAGAGCCTCCCTACCAGAAGCTGTTGCAGGACAAACGATACTGAGGGGACAATGAAGCAGGAACGCCCTGCATACGGAATAACTTGCACTCCTTCACTACCATTACTTTACCGATTAGTGACAGCAGTTTTTTTTACACCGAAGCAGCCAGGACACCACGGCTGTTTTGAGGATCCCAAAGAAATTTTGTTAATCCGATTTTTGAACTGCCTAAGGTTAGTAGAACTGGAAGAAGCCTTGCTTTACAATCTCGATACCATAGCGACAAAGAAGTGGTCGTATCAGCCAGTTCTGGATGCACGAAGTTCGCCACGGTTAGGATGGGAGGCCGAAGTCAGGCGGCTCTGTCTGAGGAGCAAACGTTAGTGCTAGATCACCGACGGCCCGCTGCAAGGTGATTTTACACTTCGTGGTTTTGTTATATAATTTTTACATTTTATTTGAGAGGAAAATATATGCGATACTACTACTCGCCGTTGCTTCTCAAGGCGGTCCGGAGGACCTTAGCCTTTAGGTCATAGTCACTGTAATGTCAGTGTCTGTTGTCACTCTGTTAGGTCTGCTGGCCCAGAAACCAGACAAGTTGTAATATATGCGATGTAATATTTCGTACCTTTAGCTTGACGGAAGTCCTCTTCCGTATCCACTTCTCTCTAGGCTGTCCAGGCTTGAACGACTGCTCCGGTTCATCGCCCGCCCCCATAGCCGTGACTTCGATGCCTCCGATCTGTCTCAGGATGAACGCTATGACGTCACTGCTCTCCCAGTAGCTGGCGTGGAAAAGATGCGGGAGGGCGTTCGTAGGGAAGTTCGAAAGCCCTTCGGGACAGTAGAGGGCATAGTCCATGCGTTTGCCGCCCCACCATTTTTGTTGCACTAAGGAATAGAAATATGCGAATAAACAATGACAATATTCCAGATAATGCATACAAAAATGATATGAAAGGCACATAAACAAAATTGTTGATTATCGTTTGCTGTAAAAAAGTTTTGTCACTGATGAAGCTAAATAAGGACAAGTGAAAAATATCCGAAAACACTATGGAGAGGTGGGATTGGACCTCCAATGTACTAGTTATAGATATAATTATCAGCAAACTTCATTCACTTCAAGGTATATATGTAGATGTTACGGCTACCTAAATATTTCAAACCATCTTCCTCCAAAAGGAATGGTATGAAAAAAAATCTCAAGTGAAACAGCTGTTGTAAAATGAAATAACTATTCAAAAATGTAACTGGTACTTCAAAAAAGCCGGTGGCGTACGGTATTTTTCTTCTTTCTGCTGAAGGGGTAAAAATATTCAGGTTTATACGAGGGATGTCTTTTAAGTTTTGCATATGGAAATAAAACAACACGGTAGGTAGTTAAATGACCTTATTGTTTGTCGAAGTAATCTCCACGAAGATTAATACACATCTGCTAGCGCTCGAACCAATTTTCGAAGAACTTATCCCACTCGTTTGCTAGCAGATCCAAAACGGCATTTTTGAATGCGTCAACTGCTTCTTCTGGTGATTGGAACCTTTGACCACGCAGTCCGTTTTTAATTTTCGGGAAAGTAAAGAAATCGTTAGGACTTAGATCGGGACTATATGGAGGATGGTCCAATAATTCCACGTTTTCTTCCGTTAAATACTGCCTTGTTTTTTGGGCTGTGTGCGAGCTTGCATTGTCTTGGTGGAGGATGATTCTTCTTTCGGGGTCGATTTTTCGAAGTTCGGTGATGACTTTTGGCAAACAAATGGTGGTATACCAATCCGCAGTAACAGTTCTTTGCTCATTAAGAAGAATTGTTTCAATATGACCCGCTTTTGACACAAATGTCGCGACCATCTTTTTCGAAACACTTCCAGAACGGATGACTTTTGTTGGCTTTTCTTCACCTTGGAACACCCAAACAGCCGACTGTCGTTTATTTTCTGGTTCATAACAGTAAATCCACGATTCATCACCACTAACAATGCTGTACACATTTTTTGAGTTTCCGGAATTGAAACGGTCAAGCGTTTTTTGACACCAATTAACCCTGGCTGCTTTCTGCTCTTCAGTCAACAGGTGAGGTATCCAACGAGAAACTAATTTTCTTACTCCTAATTCTTCATGTAAATTTTTTTGAATTGAGGTCTTTGAGATCTTCAAGGACGCCTCAATCTCGCGATATGTCACATGTCTATCTTCAATGATGAGTGTGCGCACAGCATCGACGTTTTCCTGGGTGTCTGCCGTTTTTGGTGCACCCACCCTTCGATCGTCGCTAAGACTCACCCGTCCACGTTTGAATTCTCCTTACCAACGGGAAATTGTCGACTGATGTGGCGCTTCGTTGCCGAAAACAGACAGTAACTCAGCAAGACATTCTTGTTGCGATAATTGTCTCTGAAAGTTGTAATAAATTATGGCGCGAAAATGTTCTCGGTTGAGTTCCATTTTTCTAATGACTTGGTGACACTTAAAAATTCATGGTAGTGAGAACACTGCACGTATTGTTGTGAAACTTTGATTTCAAGTTTACTAAAGAGTGAGGTTAAGATTCAGTACTGACGTTCGATCCGCGCGGCCTACTATGTTTCTATATGCAAAACTTAAAAGACATCCCTCGTATGCCACTGCTCTAGTTTAAGACACATTTTTTTTTTAGTGTAAATTCCTTGATCCACTACGGAGATATACTTTTTTCTCGATTTCCAAATTACTTCTGTATCTCGGTATGAAGGCATTTTGGAACACATATTTAAGTGAACAGTCCGTGTTAATTTTGAACCTACAGGGTGGCCGATATTTAACTGACTGGTTTGTATCTGCATATTTGTGAAATGAAATAAAATACGTCTATTTTTTTCATCTTAATCTTCTATTGAAACTTCGAAATTATGTATGAAAACTAATATCAGAAAATACGACAACTCTGCTTATTAACACATCCGTTCATATCGAAGTGAGCTTCATCGCTCATTATCAGTTGCCGGTAAAAATTGTTATTTTGGGTATTAAGCTGCAATATTGCATGACTGTATTGTGGCGACTTTCATGCTCACTAGGCTGTAGTTCTTGGGTTAACCGAATTTTGTATGGCCGCAAATGCAAGTCTTTTTTTTAAAATAGTGCATAATCACGTGCGGCGAATACCCAGTTCTTGAGAACGATGTCTGGTAGACGTCTCAGGGCGCTCCACTGCATTTTCACGAACTCTCTCGATATTTTTCGGAGTACGAACAGTTCGAACACGGTCCGACCTTTGCAAGTCTTTAACTTCACCAGTTTATTCAAATTTCCGCACCAACCGACGAATTGTGTTGACACTGGGCACATTATTTCGCCCGAAATCTTGTCGTAGCTTCCGAATCGTTGCAACAATCGACTGATTAAGTAAAACGTTTTAACAATTCGGACGCGTTGTGGGATCGTGTAGCGCTCCATGATAAATTGGACGCATCTGCTTTAAACAACTACTACGGCGCCAACTACTGAAATTCGTGTATCAAAAAGGGTGCACAATTTAAATCAGTCACTTATATATTGCCCACCCTGTACAGTAAAACAAATGGTTACGTCATGTGAAGCTGATTCTGAACCTCCAATATGGGATAAAAAATGAAAAAAGGACAGTATCAGAACGGAAATCAAAGAGTAAAAAGAAAGGAGATACTTACATGCTGTAACCGCTTGGAGAGGAATGTTATCGATCAATCCGGAAACGGTACTCTGTATGGAAACCTCTGACAAACGTCTGGGTTGCAAAGTATCGCTAAACATTTGAGGGTTAGTTTGGAGAATTTCAACTAAAAAGAGGACAAAAAGGATTAGTCCTAACAGAACAAACAACAGAAAAATACAACAGGGCATGCTCTCTACATATAAGGTAAAATTATGGAGATATGTATACACAATATGTAGATAATTGTCAACTACTTTAATTTTTAGATATAATGAGATTAAAAAACTATTTGGCTACTTTTACTCTTATGTTACAACGCTCAAAGGTTGCTAGGATATGAATGATGAATATTGATATAGTCCAGTTAAAAACTCACGCTCAACTCGGGCATATTTTTGTGTGAAATTTCGTACTTACAATTTGGATGTGTGGGGACATCTCCATAATGATTCTACTAAACCAAGATTCAACATTCTTCAAAATAGAGTCTGGTATATAACTTACGCAAATGGTAGGGTTGCCCGTTGCCTAAAGGGTATTTAGCGTATCTGGAGACATTTACAGGAGGCAACATCGAGAATCTGGCCGACAGAAGCGGCTCCAGTCTTGCAGCCACAGGATCGGTTGGATGGAACATGTTGTACACTTGAAGACATGTTGGACGGGTTATGTTATCTGTAAGGATATTATAAACATTCAGGGCAATTACACTGATAAACACAGGAATTGTGACATGACAATTTTTGGGTGTATCTTATGTATTTTGTGACCGTTAAATCAAATCTAAAAACAGAATTTTTCTATCACCCACAGATATTCGGTAACATCTACTTTTATGAATTACAATACGTAACATCTCATATTGCTGCATTTCTCGGCGTTATGCGATGACGCCCATATATAATGTTAAGACCTGTCTATTCCTATTTATTATATGCGAGCTCTACGTTTAGAGAGCATATTGCGTTTATTAGGAGACTAATAGCAGCCGACTCGGTTACGTTTTCTATGTGGAAAAGTACTGAGATGTTCTGAGTACTGTTAATTTTTGTTAAAACGGTATGTTATTTTTAGTTTATTGTGATCGAGACTAGCTTTATGGACGATGCCTAGAAATTGTGTTAATAGTGCGAACAGTTTTTGTTATGTGTGCGCAAAAGCTAACTTTTGAATCCCAAAAACGTACTTTTACTCCCCTTGTGTTAAAAGCATACGAACTTTATTTTGGAATTAATGTTGGCGACCAAGATAAACTATGGGCCCCTCATATATGTTGTAAGACTTGTGTAACGTTGTTAACAGGTTGGTTAAGAGGCGACAATCGTAAAATGCCCTCCGCGGTACCAAACGTTTGGAGAGAACCGAGAGATCATACTACTGATTGCTATTTTTGCCTCACAAATATTGAAGGTATTCTACCGAAATCGAAACATACTGTTAAGTATTTTAATTTACCATCAGCTTTGCGGCCCGTTAAGCATAGTGATGAACTTTCTGTCCCAGTTCCACCAGAACCTTGGTCTTTGGATGAAAAAGTCTAATCAACCCATTCTGTCCCAGTTCCACCAGAACCTTGGTCTTTGGATGAAAAAGTCTAATCAACCCATTCTGAGAGTGATGGAACAGAAAGCCCAAAAATTTACCGATCCTTCGTTTGGCCAGTCAGGATGTTCAACAGCGCCGCAATTGATCACACAAGGCGAACTTAATGACTTAGTTCGAGAATTAAATCTGTCAAAATCCCAGTCAGAACCTTTAGCGTCAAGATTAACAGGATGGAATCTTCTCCACGGTGATGTTAAAATTACTTTTTACCGAATACGGCAACAAGACCTCACACACTGTTTCCGTCAAGAAAGGAAGTTGATATATTGCTCCAATGTCAACAATTTGTTTGACGCGTTATATCCATCTGTACTTATAGCGCACGCAGTTCATATGAAGGGATCATATGAAAATATGCGAGTTCTGTTAGAGCATATCCGTTATAATGAATATCGATAGGCCATATGTGCAAATTTAAAGGTAATAGCCCTTCTTCTTGGATACAACTGGGATATACCAAATATTGTTGTTTTCTTTGTGAATGGGACAGTCGTACGCGAGATTGTCATTATGAATAGAAGGAGTGACCACTAAGTTAGGTATTAAGTCTGGGCCTCAAAAAAAAATGCTCATGAACCACTAGTTGATCCCAAAAATGTGTAGCTTCCACGTTTGCATATTAAGTTGGACTGATGAAAAATTTTGTGAAAGCTATGAATCGAGATGGAAGAGGGTTTATGCATTTAATACAAACACTTCCGAGACTTAGTGAGGCAAAAATCAAAGAGAGCATATTTGTGGGTCCACAAATACGGAAAATCATGAAGGATGATGTATTTGACAGTGCTCTAAATGAAACTGAATTACGAACTTGGAATGCTTTTAAATCAGTTACTGCCAATTTTTTAGGTAATGTGAAGGCCGACAATTATAAAGATATTGTGAGTGAACTAATTAATGCTTATAAAGGAATGGGATGTAACATGTCTCTAAAAATTCACTTTTTGGATCTCATCTCGATTTTTTTCCGGAAAATTTAGGTGCGGTAAGTGATGAACATAGTGAACGGTTCCACCAAGACATTTCTGTTATGGAAAAAACGGTATCAAGGCAAATTGAGTGTCAATTTGCTTGCTGATTATTGCTGGACATTGTTAAGAGATATTTCAGAAGCAAGATATCGCCGTAAAACATCGACAACAACATTCTGAGATTAATGTTTATTCGAGTGTTTATTAGTACTCTTACACACATATCCTCATATTTATAGCAGCAAATAAAATGCCTTATTGCAAGAAAACCGTCGGTGATAGAAAAAATCGAATGCTATTTCCGGCTTTTTGGGTACGTTTTACATAGTAACCACCTTGTTTTGTCCATGTCACAAAGAATTATTTTAATTTTGTTCACCAGTGTATCAATAGATTTATCGGAAATATTTTCTTGAGGGCTAAAAAAAAGCCTCGCAATAACTTGGTTTCTCATGATAGATTCATTTTTCTTAAGTTTCTAGTTTTGTACCAAACATGTTATCACACTTAAGGCACATCTTTTGAGACCCTGCGGTATTTAATGAGCAGAATTGCAAAAAGCAATTAACAAAGTGACAAACATTCTAAAATGAATAAGAACTTTAGACACCCAGACTTCTGAGAGTCTATCTTTCTTGAAAAAATAATGCACCATTTTATGCTTCAGTTTTTGTGTTTTACTTACAAGATTTATCATCTTGTGCTGAAATCTTCCTATACGCTAACACTAACGCGAGTGGGCTTCCGAACATAAAGAAATCTGCAACCTCAAACTCCAATCTGATGTGACTGGATGGATCACTCGTGGATGAAGATCTCCTTCTGGGCGAAGGAGCTGCTAAGTAGCCGGTTTCATTCACTTGCACGTCATCTAGGAGAAGGGGTTATAATTTTTACTAAATGTCTCCAGTTACTTCATCACAAATGTATCGCCCCATAATGAAACATCTCAAAAAATAGGTTGACTCTACAGTTCCCAAGAAACGCTGTTATCATTTCTTAAAGGATTCTGCACAGCAAAAGTTAGACCCTATCGAAATAAGTCATCGCCATAGACCTTATATCCTTGATAGAGGGTAGTTCCTATACTTTGGTTCGTTGTCCCAGGAACCAAGCCTTGATCATGCTGATGAGTTGCCAAAAAGCACGAAACAGCTATCTGTGGTTGCAGCGTGTTGGAAGGTTGGAAAGCAGCATGTTTAAGTTAGACCCTCTAAGAAGAAAGTTTCCATGCCCTACCCGCTGTACTATCTATCGTCGCCACTCCCAGGTGGATCAAACAGAAGCAGAAGAAGCACAAAAGTTCCCCAGATTTGAAAGATTAAAAAAAACCCAACTCATATTTCGGTAGTGGGGGTGTGAGGGGGGTAGGTCGTGGTACGGAGATGAGTGCGGCATGGGGAAAGAAAAATCTTCAGGAAGATAAAATTGTTATTTAGCAGTTGACAGTTTTTTGTAGTTGAAGATCGAATAAAATACCCAACGATTTTATTATTTCTCAAAAAAATCCCCCAGAACATTTTATCTCCCAAGGGCGTAAAAATCACACAAATTTGTGGAAAAGCCCTTAACATGGCAACCTTGGCCACTCTCTAATATCTGAAAACTAGACACATGGCAGAGCACCACTCGTGCAGGACATATAGGAACACCGGCAGGCACTAACGCTTATCGAAAACATTTTTTCTATCGTTCTGTTTTAAGGGAAAATGTACGGGACAACCTATGTCTGAAATATGTCTAATAGGTGCGTAGAATTATGGGGGTTGGAAGTAAATTAATATACCAACTTCAAAAAATTGCAGTACACCCTCTACTACTCCCCTATATCCCCAACACCGATAAAAACTTTTTCAAAAATTATTAGGATCCTCGGAGACGTCAAACTACGAGGTTTGAGCGATTTTTATTTCCCGTTTTTGGCCTTTTGTGCGCCGCCACTGGATTGATTTTCAAAAACTACAAATCAGTAACTTTACGTGAAAATTTATTCAAAATCCAAATGGCACTTTCCAAGTTATAGACAGGTCCAGGATTAGCGGACAGACAGACCGACATACAAACAGACCCACGGACATGAGTGTCATGGTTTTTCGTGATGTACATGTCATATAACATTCAAAAAACATATCTCATTTTCGATTACAGTACTTCCTCGCCGGCAGGCCAAGTTTTACCCCCATCTACAAGGACATCCAAACACGTGTAGTTAATGATCTCTTATTCAAGCATGAACATTTTAGAACCGAAGAAGCTTAGCAAAATATAGTCACTTACCCTTATTCAGATCGCTTTCCAAAATACTATTTTCACTGCCGTGTCTTGAGGGAAACTTTGAAGTTCTACACAAAGCGTCATATGCTAATAATGATCCCATAGAGTCCGCTACAATACATACTTGACCCGCAAATCCTTGACCTTCTTCAGACCTAATAAATTCTGAAATATAGAATTAATATATCACTCAGTATAAAGTGCTTTTAAAACACGTCCCTCCGCTACTTATTTGTTAAATGGGTCGAATTAGAAATCTAAAATTCGGGGTAATGAAATTGATGCATGAATAATATGATTTAGAGTAAAACAGAAAATATCAAGATGTCGGCTGGGCGCCATTGTTAAATACATTATTAAACGAAATCAGGGATCGTGAATAACTATGAGTATTCCATAAGCCTACAATATAAAATAGCTAACTATCAAAATCGTGATCTGGTAGGATATCAAAGTTGAGCATTTTTGTACGCTATAGTATGTTCTTCTATCGGAAGAGTTTATCCGAATATTTTTTTATACCGAAGCAGCGGGGCACACAGAAGCTTAAATACCTTGGCTGCTATGAGGAGCTTAAAGAAATTTTGTTAATCCTATTTTTAAACTGAACTGGGAAGAGCCTCCTCTGGTATATTATTCCACAATCTCTATACCCTAGGGAACAAAGGAGCGGTCGTATCGGCCAGTTCTGCATGTACGAAGTTCGACATGATTAGGATGGGGGCCAAGGTCAGGCGGGTCTGTCTGGCAGGCACATCGCGCGGCCGCATCATGGAGGAGAACTCTAAGGAGCAAGGTCCGTTGACGTAGCGGTAGAAGATGGCTGGATCGACGACGGCGCGTTGGAGGAAATTTGTCAAATTTTTATTTCATTGCACATTAAGAAAAACCCTTCCAAACAGGATTGATGCAACATGCGATAACGTTTTAATGATTAGTTGTGGAGTTATACGCGATTCAACCTACAAACACGCTTAATTTTGACAGACCAGCCAGTCAACCATTTTGATAGATAGTGATTTAATATTCAGAAAGAACTTATAAGGAGCTTCAACAAAAAGTTTTAACATGACCCTCATTCCATTTAAGTAAAAAATGCGCCCAGATGCCATCTTGAAATTTTGAACTATTATTTTTAGGTTAAGATATAGTCTTTATGCATCAATGTCAGCATCCATAATTTCAGCTCATTAATTTGACTCGTTCAAATATTAATTCTCCACCTTTCTAAAAAGAAATGTATATTAATCTATATAGATAACGTATTTCCTAAAAGTTTTGTCACAAAATATTTATCGGAATTTTTTTTAATGAAGAAATTTTTTTACACACTGACTAGTTATAAATTACAACTCAATACTTAACTAAACTATACTATCGAATTATGTGGAGTGGCCCATTCAGCCCTACCAGACATCGTTTCCCTTAATTTTAAAATAACGATTTTTCCAATGGCAAAGTGTAGGAGAATTTGGGGCAGTTAAGTCTCTTTCGATATTTAAGATCATTCCTCCTCAATTCCAACGATATCGTTCTCTTAGAAGATCTGTATTGACGAGCCAGTCTTCTTGTTGATATTCCAACCTGATTTTTTGCTCTTCTCACCAATCTCTATGACCTCTGTGCAATAAATGCACGTGGTTTTCCACTTTTTCGGAGATTCAGAAATGGTATTCCTTGCTCGCACTCCGCTATTGTTCGATAAATGATTCTGCGTGAAATGTTTTTATTCTGGATTATTCGACAGGTTTCAGCTTTGGGTACGCGACCAACCAACTTGTAGATACTTTTTCTTATTCCTAATTTATACATCTTAAAGCGAAAACTTCAAAATAAATAAATGTCAACTGACATTAAAGTAAGTAAAGAAACTTTTGTTTCCAAAGGCAACTTGATATTATTTTGTGTTTGTTAAAATTAAAACCAATGATTTTTGTGCCAAAACTTTTAGGACATTTTGTTTGTTTGTTTATTTAAGATTTATCTAGCATGATTGCTACAATTACATTATTATAAAAAACTAAACAATTACAGACATTCAGAAAAAAACAAAATTTGCATCTCAAAGAATTTTCATTGTCCATGAAATATTCCTTTAATTTTCTTTTAAATATTTTTAAATTATAAGTAGACTTTATATCATTATTTAGTTTATTAAATTCAAGTAATCCTTTCTGAAATATTGATTTGCTAGTTATATTACTATTGCAATTTTGTAAATGAAAATCTATATTTCCTCTTCTATAATAATTGTGGTAATGATTATTCAATTCTAAGTGTTGTGGCAAAATATGATTTTTTATTTTAAATATAAAAATAGGGACCAAATATGAAATATGAAATTTTTTATATTCAACCACTGCAATTCTTGTAACAGATTTTATTTTGGTATACTTATTTTTATTCAACATTATTCTCATAGCTTTATTTTGCAAGACTTGTAATTTTGAGAATACAGCTTCATTGGCAGTGAACAAGATAGTTGAACAATATAGTAAATGCGGTAGAATAATTATTGTATTATAAACTATTTTCTTGGAATAGGTACCAAGACTATGATAAGCCCCATAAAAGTAATTTGTTTTTTGTCAATTTTTGAAATAGTGTATTCATAGTGATCCTCAAACTTTAGTTTACTATCAATATATATAACTAAATATTTAATTGATTCAACATTTTCAATTATTTCTCCATTTACCCTAACTGTGATAGTATTTTCATTTAGGTATTTCCCTATTAGCGTACATTTTGTTTTAGAAGTATTCAATTTTAGTTTATTTACATTTAACCAATCTACGATTTTTGCCAAGTCAGAATTTAGCATTTTTAAAGCAGTGTCTATATTTTCATCTGATACGTATATTAATGTATTATCTGCAAATATCTGAAGTTTACAATAATCTAAAATATTACAAATGTCATTAATGTATAAAATAAATAATAGTGGACCTAGTTTACTACCTTGTGGTACACCAACAGCAATATTTTTTGATCTTGATAATGTAAATCCAATTTTGATCTTTTGACTTCTGTCAATTAAATAATTTTGTAGAACTTTGAATACAGTTCCTTTAAATCCGTAGTGATGCAATTTTGTAAGTAATTTATCCCTGTCAATAGTCTCAAACGCCCTTTTGAAGTCCAAAAACACTGTTACTGTATGTTTCCGATTGTCCATACATCTTCTCCAGTCTTCTAAAACCATTTGTGTTGCCGTTTCAGTTGAGTGTTTCTTCCTGAATCCAGCTTGAAATTTGGTTAAAATGTTATTTCCCTCAATAAATTCGATGATCTGTTCGTAAATAATTTTTTCAAAAACTTTTTCAACATCTGGCAGAACATTTATTGGCCGTATATTGGTGTAGAACTCAGAATTCTTAACTTTAGAAACAGCAGTTATGGTAGAACATTTCAGTGTTGTTGGAGATTCGCCATATTTTAAACAGTTTTTATCAGGGTTAATATTCTTGCTCCAATAATATCGAAACATTCATTAAGCACACTTTTAGACAAAATCTCACTCTTATTTTGATTTGATTTAATTTTTGATGTAATGTTCTTGAGACGATTAATGTTTATTGTTCTAAACTCACTGAATGATGCATTATAATCTGAGCTAATGGGAGATTGGTTGGGATCTCCGACAATAATTGATTTTACAATGTCTTGACACTTTCTCTGAAATAGGTATTCATTCGATCTGCTATTATTTCTTCATTTATTATTACCCCATCGTCGAATTTGATTTTAGATAGTGTACTTTTTCTAATAAGAGAAACAATGTTTTTCAACGTTTTCCACATATGTTTGCTATTATTTTTACTCTGATCAATATTGGCATTGTAATATTTTTTCTTTTCATCTCGTAGAACTGCTGCAGATTGGTTTCTTGATCTTGTGTATTCTAGCCAATCATTTTCACTTCCAGTAATCATAAACTTTTATAAATGTAGTCTCTTTTTAATTTAGAATCCTTGAACGTCTGCGAGAAGCAAGGTGTTAGATTTTTTCTTTTATAAATCGTTGTCTTGACTGTAGCTTCTTCTATGCAAACTTCAACATTATCCAATAGGCTTATATAGTAGCTATCAACATCAACAAATGCTTCAGTCATATCTTGTAGTAGAAGAGCTTCTCGTAATTTTACATAGTTAATATTAGTAATTTCTTCCACTTTGTTAGCATCCAATTTACTTTCAACTTCAAAACATATCTTAGGAGTATGCATAACTTTTGCAATTAAATTTTGTTCGTTCGTTATTATCAATACGTTACAGGAATCCTATTATTCTTCAGACAACAAAAGATACCTAACTAAGTATGTACAATGTCACTACAGGCACGATTTATTCTGAGTAACTTAATAGCACCTGATATGTGGGCAATTCTCGAACTAAAATTAACAGGAGTTACCTTGATAAGCAGCATTCGCCGCAGTGATTGTCCTAGAAACAGCCTCAACGTAATCAGAAGTGGAAGTCGCCATTATTGGGATGGCACCAATCGGTATGGAGTCATGCGTCACTTGGGGAATGTCTATACTCGACGGTGACACATCGAAACTATATGGAGTCAGGCTAAAAAGTACAAAAACGCATTATTACATAAAAGAAACGACATTCCATTAAGCATTTTTAATACTGAAGACGCAACGTATGAAACTATTTGAAGGAGCTACATGGTTTTTCATCAACAGAGGAGGTACCACCTTGATCTCAATGGTGGGATCAAAATGTGCGATTCCAAGTTCGGTATGATGGCTCAAAAAAAAAACATCTAGTGAGAGGTATCTAGAAGAAGGTATTTGAAAAATGTATATTACCTTGACAGAATGCCCAAGCCTTCCGTACAAATGGAAGGACACGAAACCAATCTTATTGAGATGTGACCAAATAGTGAAGGGTAGTGTTGACGCATCACAGACTCGAACGCGCCACGAAACGTGGTTACGTCAGACTTTTTGGCAGCCATGTCAACATTTGCATCTGAAATTATGAAATAAAAAAATATATTCCATGCTTGGCGATGAAATACGCTTTCATTTTTTGTTTGGTTTTTGATTCAATGCGAGTTATATCTCTAAATACATGACCACACTGCTATTTGTGCCGTGAAGGTTTTTAGTTTTGCAGGCTATGATCTTTTTGAAAAAATTATAGAGTGCTGTCATCAGCTTTTGTTAGTAGTATCTACTCTACTTTTGGTAGACAGGGGGTCCTCAAAGGTGGAACTTTCCTAGTAACACATATACCAAAGCCTTAAGATAACCTAGAAATTCCAAAAAAACTCTAAATGAGCCATTTGGGCACTGCTACGTCAAAGGGTATGATGTTTTGTGGAACTACGACTATGTGAGTCAGGGTCCAAATCAGGTGCCGCGCGGTGTGTAGGTTAACCTAGTTTATCCACAAACCGCATTCGAAAACAGAAATTGGCACATTCCTACAGCAATAACGCGGTTATTGATTTGATATTAGTTTACTGTAAGCTTTTTCAAGATCTTATTCATACTCCGCGAGTGTATTCGAGTATTCAGAAAGTCATCGTCGCGTCGTCCTCGATATTTCCATCAGAGTTTTTGTAAATCGTACAAAAACCGTCTGGGCGGATAAAGTAATGGTTGCTAATGTATTTACTGTATAGATATTCTACGTAAATGACCTTACCTAAAACGCTTCCAGCATGTAGCACTAATATCAACACGATAGTGTTGCACGGAGCTTTAGCTGATGAAGCGGTGGGAGATTCAGGGTAAGGAGCGTCCAAAGAGTTGATTTTTGATCTCTGCATCATCCTTTTACTACACCTTTCGCTGGCCACCCGATGCAAATATGTCCGAGAAAATATGCTGTCATCTAAATAAAAAACGCACTTAGTACCAAAATGCTGTTTTAAATCTTCTATAGGTTTAACTTGATTTTCAAAGATAATGTTAGCTTTATCTATCTCACTCTTGCAAAATCATAATCGGTATCGCGGTCACTAGAATTACGTAGTTACAAGGAAACCAACGCATTAAAATATAATATCTATATATATACAGGGTGTAAACTTTATGGTAGTCATTACTAAAATGGGTAAGAGGGGGAGTCAAAACAAGTCAAAAAGTTCATATGACCCATGGTCCAAAAGTTAATAGATTTTTGTTTTTTGTTTTTTATAGTTTACACCTTTAAGTGCTTAAGTGGTTTATATAGACCATTAACACCACACGTTTTCAAATTGGGTAATTAACAAATAAATGGCATTAAGTTTTTCTAAGTTAAGCCAAAATTTGTAGTCAGTAAGTTTCATTAAATTAAATATTTAAAACACGCATGACAACAGCGCGTCGATCTTTTGTGACGGGTACACCCAGACAGAAGGACATTTGTGCAAGTGTACCAAAGACTTCGAGATACAGGAAGTTAAATATCGTGGAAATCAATGCAGATATCAGCACTCGGGAATTAGGCCGCCGCGTAGGACTATCGCATACCATAGTCCATAGAATTCTACGGGAAAATTTGCTTTATCCCTACAGTGTACAACGAGTGCAGGCCTTGTTACCAGAAGACTATCCCCGCAGACTAACATTTTGTCAGTGGTTTTTGCACAAAAACATTGAAAATCCGGAATTTTTTAAAAAAATTCTAGCGACGGACTAATGTACTTTTACGCGAGACGGGATATTAAATTTCCTTAATACTCACACGTGGGCCCAAGAAAATCCTCATGCCATTCGTGAAGGTCATTTCCAAAAACGTTTTAAACAAATATTTGGGCGGGTATTCTTGACGATCAGGTAATTGGCCCTTTCGAGTTACCCCCAAAGTTGTCAGAAGAAGGATGCTTAGCTTTCTAGCCAATAACTTTTGGAACAGACCTTAGACAACATGCCATTACAACGGAGACAGAATTTGTGGTTTCTCCATGACGGGGCACCATCACACATTTTTAGAGGCGTCATTCAGTATTTGAATGAACATTATCCAAATCGCTGGATCGGTCGAAATGCTCCTGATCCTCGAAAATGGCCAGCAAGATCTCCTGACCCCAATCCGATGGATTTCTGGTATTGGGGAGAACTTAAAGGGATGGTTTATGAGGCTGGTCCAATAACAACTGAAGCACAACTTCATGAAAATATTTTTAATGTGGCTGAAATAATAAAGGGACAACTTCGAGGACCTAGAGTAAGAAGAAACTGGGTTCGTCGTAACGAAGCTTGTGTGGAAAGTGGAGGACGGAATTTTAAACACCTTCTTTAAATACAAAAAAGTGCAGTGTGGGTTTTAAAAAGAAAAACAATGTATGTATCAAACTTGTGTTCCCAATTTATAAGTGGATTTTTCTAATACGTTCAATAAACTTTCACATGCCAGGTGAAGCGCTGAGACAGTTAGTGGTAAGTCCGTTTTTTTAATTACGAGTACATTATCAAATAATGAAGTAATACCTAAGAGCCAAAAATAACAAACTCCATCTTTATTTACACTGCGTTCCGTCGTAATTTGTGTGTGGCATTGCGGCGTTGTCAGATTTTATTTTACTTTAAAGTCGCTTTTCTCTAAAAAATGCCGTTTTGACCCCCATGTTATATGAAACTTTTTGCCACTTTTAACCCCCTCTGTCACCAATTTAAATAATGATTATCATAACGTTTACACCCTGTATAATAAACTGCCTCTCTCTACAAATATTTTTTGACATGTTTCTCGACCAACCTTGTTTATTTGCAGCCACAGTAGCTGCCAAAGCGTCAACATCCTCTTCGGTAAGAAGCTCCATCGAGCTCCATTTAGCTAAAGAGGAAGAGTCCAGTAGTACATCTTCACAATCGAAAAATTCTTCATCGGAGGGCGACTCAGAATCCCTTCCTAAGGTTTTTATCCTCCAATTCGCCACTTGGAGGTCGAAACTTTTGATAGAAGATGAACTAGGTGAATGTAGATTCCTGGACTGCCATTTATCCTCGTGTTTTCTATAAAATATGAATAATCTAGTAGTTATGAAAAAAATAATAAATACAGGTTGACATTTGGTTTGAAATGTTGAAAAATACAGTGAAGACATCAAAACTTGGCCCCACATAGATTCTTGACGTTCCAAGGATTATTTACAATATTCACTAATCCACAGTTCTCAATACTGTAGCTGACACTGTGATGGATATTTAGGCCATGATTTGGGTCTACCAGTTTCACATTTTCACTAAATCTATATCACAAATACAAATTATGAAACAAAATTCAATGGAAGTATTTAAAACTGATGACCAAAAACATCTGATATTTCTACTGGTTAAATACCTGGTGGTTAGTTCATCGAGTGAAAGATCCGCATCTGAGCTTCCTCCAGTTTGTATCGTCGGAACTGCTGCACTTTTTCCAGGTAACGGGCTATCCTCGGCAACCTCTATACTCCCCAGTGTTGCAGAAAACGTTTTGCATGGATCTTCTTTTGGAGTACTGTTATTATAGTTATCGTCCTCGTCTGAAAAAATTATTAATATAATGAGCATTCTTTCATGAAATAATGTCCTAGTTATTAGTTTACCAAACTCGTCCTCTGCTTGTCCCATTTTTCTCTTCAAAGCTAACTGAGTCTGCCTTTCGATCTCTCTAATGTCTTCCATTGTCAAACCGTGCCATTCGTCTTGCCACGCCCATGCTTGCCTGTGCGCCCTCAGCATGGTCTTTCTCAAAGCTACGAAAATTTTGTCGATTCAGAAATCATGAAATGAACCAAAAACGACGGCAACACGACCATTTCTCCATTCCTGCATAAGTCGTAACTTTAGAAAAATATCATCGCTGTTGTGCTTTAATCAAATTTCCCCCTCAGATGTTTCTACTGTTGAACACTGGGTCATGGCGCTTGGGGGGCGTCCCCCCCCTTCCCCGGCTGCCGCTGAAGAGTAAAATATTCTTACGAAGAGTACCCGTTTCTTGAACGAGTTGCGCGTGTTTCTTTTACTCATCAAATCAGCCCTACATAGAAATCAATTTTTCTCCCAGAACTTTATGGAGACAGCAACCCTGCTTCAAACCGGTTGAGTAAGCCTGGGAGCCTAACCTGCTCCCCTCTGAATTTTGTTATATGGACGCCCATGCATGGATCCACTAATTATTTGGATATTCTTTTGGCACAACTGCGGATTAATTTCACCAATAACTTTATAAATGTTTTGCTACAGGTCATTAATCATCTGAGTTTGAATAGACTTTATCGTCGAGGAATTCTCATAAGAAAATGTCAAGCGGGGTTAGACTGAATGATCTCGCAGAGTGGGATATCACTATTGCCAAAAACCATGGGGCCGTCAAGAAAAAAGAATATAGCAAAATATATTATATATTAGCAAAACGCCATATGCCTTGTGGATATACCTTGCTGAAAGAACATATTGTTAATGAGAAAATTACCGCTTTTTTTCTACGAAAATGAATACACGCGGTTACACCATTCATGAAAAAATGAAAGTGAACTGCTCTAGTACCCATAATCCAGTGTTCCATAATTAAATTCCTTGATCTCTAGATCATAAATGTCTAAAAAAAAATGACTAAGTCGTTAAAAAATGGCAAAAAACAGTTACGCTATAAGGATGCCGGATTTCTGATGATTTTCAAACACCCTGTTCAACAGGTACATTCCGATTCTGTAATCTCATCCAATCGATCTTCCAAATTAAATTAACTACCATCAATGTTTAATTACATTTTAAAATCAATCATAAATAGAAATTTAATAATATAACACAAACCTGTATCATGAATAAACCGTTCAATCTTCGTCTGCATACCCCAATACCGAAATTCCACTTTGCAAAGTTTGTACGCACACATCAGCGCTTTTCCATTGGGCAAAGGCTGTTGTTTGCCTTTCACTTCTTCCCAATATTCCTCCAACCAGTTCTGGGTAAGAGGGCCCCTTCCAGATTTCTCAGATACGTAACATAAAGGATCCTCTTCCTTAACGTAATCGGCACCATGTAGCTGATCTTTTACCACGTCTATCACATCTAAAAGTAAAAATGGAGTCGGATCCTTAGGGAACACCCGCGTTGATATTGAGCCGTATTCATAAAACAAAAGATATCCTTGTACTTGCAAATTTTGAAGGAAATCCTCCAGATGGTATTTATAATAATTTGAAGTTAATGCTTTTGCTTTTTGAGTATAAGCATATCCTTCAAGGCAGTGACATAAGTAAAAGGATATTCATAATATTCACCTTATACTTGACATAGGAAGCATATTCTTCAAAAATTCTGAGTGTGGTCAGTAGCAGACTCAACTTCGTAATGAACGGTGATGGCGGAAATTGTGGATATTAGGGGTGTTAAAACGTACAAACCTTGTTTACCTTCACTTCGTCGAGACTTCAAAAAATTATATCGGTTCGACGAAGCAAATGTGCAATGGCTTGCGGACAGAATTTTAGTTGAGAATGAGGAAACTCGAGGCGGAGCACTTTCATGTATTCATAAAATGAAGATATGTCTACGCTATCTCGGTAGGGATTGGTCAGGAACTTGGTGTTAGTCAAGCAACGGTATCTCGGACTGTGGATAGAGTTGTGAACAGCATAGTTGCACAGTCGAACAAATGGATCAAGTTTCCAACTACCAACCATGAACTGATGGAGGCCAAGCGGGTATGGCAAAGCATGTATATATCTCTGAACGCAATTGGTGTAATTAATTGTACACATCCTGAAACCAAATCGCCATGGAGATGAGTATATCAAACGAAAAGCGAAACCTACTTTAAATGTGCAAGCCACTTGTGATGCCAGAGAGATGTTCACAAGTGTTGATGTCAGTTGACCTGGTTCAGTGCATGATTCCAGAATATGGAGAAATTCACAGACTAGATCACAACTAATAAATAAAGCAAATGTTGTACTACTTGGCGATGACGGTTATGATATTGAGCCATGCCTTATGACTCCCTTCAGAAATCCTACTCCATGTACAGAAATAAATTATAATAAGCTTTTAAAACAAGAAAGGGTAATTGAACGCTGTTTCGGCCAACTGAAACGCCGGTTTTGCTATCCTACAGTATGTTTGCCGCGTAAAGTTGGAAAATGTGCCGAAAATAATTATTGCTTGTTGCGAAGAGCTTGTGCGATCCTGACTTTGAGTTAGTTAAACAAGACCCAGATGAAGGTGAAGGAAATCATGAGAATGGCGAACTTGAGTATTATAATAAATAGTTTTACTGATTAAAGTGTATTTATAAGTTATAAGTTTTATTTTCGTGAACATAAGTTACAGGTGGCTTCTGATGCTGCATCATTTCTAATTTGGTCTTATAATACTCTTGTTGTAAAATACTTGTTTGGTACTGCTGTAATAGCACTAGACGTTGCAGTTCTTTTGTAGTTAACCCTTTGGTTTCCTCAGTTTCGTATTTCTCTGTTTCTTTTTGGTGTCAATGTCTTCTGAATTGCTGGCTCTGTAATATTAACTGTTTGGTCACTGCGCTCGGTATATAGTTCACTTCCTTCTTCTACTACACTACCAACCTGAATGGCACCTCTAATTTTCCCAATTGTAGGATTACAGTCACCTGCCATAGCTTTCAGCAACCTTCTTTCCCAATCTAACAATTTAATTGCTTTATTACCAGTTTTTTTAGATGTTTTTTCTTCAATGTTGTTGATTTTTTTTAATAAGCCTTTAGTATCTAATGGTTTACCGAATGTTGATTCGTATTTTTTCAACATCTTCTTCAAGGCATCGTCCTTTCTCATTTTTATTTTTTGAACTTGTGACTTTTGCAAAATAATGGTAATTTCATTTACGATGAACTGCAGGTCATTGCCATTATTTTCTATAGTTTCCTCATCACTTGAGGATGACGTGTTTATTAATTTGATAACAAACTGTATCCAGTAAAAATACGGAACGGTCTGTGTAAGCTCTGGAGTACAACTGTCATGGATGCTGAGTGATAGAACTCCCACGTCAACTACAAGCTGGAACAAGTCAGGACATGTCGCTCAAGATACAAATACCAGTCAACCTTTTACTTCTTCTTGGAGGATATCCTCTGGAGTATAAGGTAATCATTATGCATATGAAAACAAGTATGTGCTTATACTTCTACCTTTTTCTCGGAAGCAAGCTTCTCTTTTATGAATACGGCTCAGGGGTGAGAACCCGTCAATGAATCCGTTCACCTATTTTTCTTTGAGTGTTTACAAACAAAATAACTTAGCCTAGCTATTTTTTTGTGCCGTCTACAACCATCGCGAACGTGTTTTAACACGCTTAAGTTGCGTATAGCGTAACGCAAAATTGATAAATAGCCAAACAGTATTCGAAAGCAGGCTTCCAATACAGGATTCGAATACCGGCATTCAAATATTGGGATTCAGAATCCAGAATACCGAGTACTGACCAAAAAGGATTCCAAATACTGAGTATTCGAATATTACCCAAGTCTGCCCGACAGGAAGTCAGCCACTATTATGAAGCGAAATATCATGAAGGTTACAAGGCTATCTAGTACTTGAGAAAGTTCATACAACATTAATGAAGTGTCTCGCGTAAACCACCCCTTCAGCAAAATCACGAACACTGAAATGCGACACTTCGTGAAATGAGCGACCGAAGCATATACATATAAAATAGTTAATTTCTACTCGAAAACAAATTTATTGATGGAATCAGGTTCACAAGGAAAATAGCATTCCAGACAGTTGAGTGTGGAAAATCACATCAGGCATGTGGTGGTCGAAATCGCTCTCTCAACTTGGGCGACTTCCACGCGAATTTCGCCCTTCAATTCGTCCAGAGTTCGGGGCTTGTTCGCGTATACTCTAGCCTTGAGGTGTCCCCATAAGAAAAAATCGCATATGGATAAATCTGGGGTTCTCATTTTGATCGGTCAGTGCTTCCATCTCACGTGCGAAGTTCATTCATTGTGCATAATCTCCGGGCTGTAACTGTTGCACAATGGCCAATTTGTAGGGGTGAAAGCGGAGATCCATATGCAAAATTCGCCTTACCGAACGATCACTAAGGCGAAGTGCAGCAGCATGTTTCCGGGCAGATCGAGTCGGACTGTGAAGAAAGACCTGTCGAACGCAACATTTTCAGGAGTTCGAACTGTTCGCGGCGCTCCTCTTGGTCTTCTGTTGATCAGTTCACCACGCCTGCAAAGTGAGTCAACCCAACGAAAGATGGTGTTTCGAGAGGGAACAGCTCTATTCGGATGAATGTTGAAGTGGCGACGAAACGCACGCTGTACGACGACGACTGACTCATTATTTCGGACGAAACAATCATAGGCGAAAACGCGGTGCTCCACCGTCCAATGCTCCATAACGACAACTGGTAAAATAATGCTACGATCTCACGAGCCAAACGGCACCCTCCCCACCTCTCTCGGGGGAGGCGGAGAGTACTACCCATCCCAAAAACGTCCGTCCTTTCTGCCTCACCCTGTATAAACCATGTACTCTGAAAATAATAGATCACTTACCTACAATTCTGTTCCTCAGGTCACTAGAAGATAATTGAAAAACATTTTCTTGATGTCCATTGTCGGGAAAGTAGTACGTTTCTATTTCCAAATAGAATTTTTCGACAAAGGGACATGTGTATCTAGTCTTCGTATAAGGGTATGCGTTCCAAGCTTCTTCTTCTACCATTAAAGCTGTTTTTGGTAGAATGCCTTTTATCCATCCTATATTTTAAGTATATTGTCAAATCTTATGAACTTGTTTGTTTCGTGTTTAGTAGAAGTAGACGACAGCATGGCTTCATACAGGGTGCGCCATCTTTTATGTCGGTATTGAAACATCGAATGACTGATATTTACCAATCGAGTGAATTGGTTATACGTGTTTCTGAAACGTCAATTTACTACAATTTTAGCCATGAATCGCTTTACTCCGAAACAACGCGCCGAAATAGTCACAATGTACATTGAAAATCGTCGTTAAGTTGTGTTAACGCAACGTGCATATCGTCAAATATATCGTGGCAAACGGGCACCGTCTGACGGTGAGTACGGGACATTGGGAGATCGTCAACATACCGTTCATCAACGACCAAGACGTTCCAATAAATTGGTCGAAGCGGTCAGAGACAGCGTTGCCCAGAACACAATAGTGTCGTATCGTCACCGCGCACAGCATTTTGGCATCAGTGGAACCACGTTGCGGCTCATTTTGAAGGATGATTTGCATTTATTTCCTTATGAGGTGCAGTTAACACAAGAAATATTACCAACTGACCGTCCGCGTCGCTTGGAATACGCCCAAACAGTCGCAACCTGATTTTTGGAAGCAAATTGTGATGACCAACGAGGCCCATTTCACGCTCTCTGGCGGCGTTAATAAGCAAATCCACATGAGATCCACGAAATGCCGTTGCATGACCGGAAAGTGACTGTTTGGGCCGGCGTTTGCGCCAAAACCATCACTGGATCATTTTTCTTCAACGAAAACGAAACAGTCGATGGAAATCGATATCGGAGGATGTTGGCTCATTATGTCTGTCCACAAATGCGTGAAAAAGGACTTGATGTTTACTGGTTTCAACAAGACGGTGCGCCATGCCACACTGCAAATGAAATAAACCAGTTTCTGCAACGAACATTTCCTGGACGCCTGATGTCAAAAAGAGGTGACATTGACTGGACTCCCAGGTCTCCAGATTTGACCCCACCGGACTTCTTCTTGTGGGGTTATTTGAAAACTCAAGTGTACGCCAGCAAGTCCCAGGCCACTGAAGAACTCAAGGCAAACATTCGTACCGCAATCGCCGCTATACCACCAGAGATGCTAGAAAAAAAAATGGAAAACGCAGCAAAACGGGAACATTTTGTTTTGGCCAATACCCGATATATAGAAATCAGTTTTTTTATATAAAAGATGGCGCATCCTGTATATACACAAATATATTTTCAAAACAGAACCTGTTATTCTCGGTTCCATCCCAACGAATATTTTTCAACCAATTTCAAACTCATATTTTTTTTTCGAAAATGGATTGGGAATAAAAAGTAAATTTCACAATTTTCTATTTGAGGAAATACTTTTTTGTAACTACCAAGAGTACCAAGCTTGATACGAGTTTAACGATTTTTTCAATAAAAATACCATGTAATTATTATTCTGAAATTTTTCTGTGTTTAGAGTTATTTAAACATGAAAAACATTGCGTAAATTGTAGGCAGTATTTTCGCTTCACATATTTTTAACATGTAACATGTTATCGCTAACCTTCGTAGCATAGGTAATTTACGGTGGTATTGAATTACTATTTATAAAACGGAGCACTCTGAACTGAGTAATTCCAGACATAATTTGCTACACAGATCTCGTTTTCTATACTAACGAAAGAATGCTGCTCATAATGTACAGTATGAGCGAAAATGAGGTTGTCTATTCGTAACAAGTATGACTCTGAAATAATGCCCATGTATGCATTTCAGCAACTTGAATAATATTGGATGATGGCCGCGAAAGCCTTTGGCACTGTGGCGACGCGTGACTTTTCCTAGACTGTTACGAAAACCAGATGTGAAAAATCTTATTAAAAAAAGTTTATTTTGAACCTCCCAAATATAATTTTTTGCTTATTTTAGGTATTTTATTTAAACTATTTTCAAATTAAGGTAAACATTCCTGGACTGAGCGTCTGGGGCACTTGATATACCTAATCGTCTTATGCTATGACTAATCCAAGCCGTCCGAAAAAATAGTCGACGTTTCTAGATGTTCGGGAAATAACAAATAAATGAAATTATTTCACATAAAATATTACCAATGTTACCAATGGTAACAAAGGTTACATGGACGCTTCGCCACTGCTTTCGCATTTCATATAAATACATGTCTTACAAAATTAGCTACTTTTCTGCTACTTTGATATTTCTGTATTTCTGTGTTACTGACCTGGTAAATGGCTTCCAACATGATATATTTTCTTGGTATATTGTCCTTGTCCGCCAGGCCCATCGGTGTAAGGTTCATTGATCAATATTTCAACGCCGCTACCTGCCCCGCTACTTTCTTCCCGGCTTTTTTTCTAACAAAAACAAAACAACAAATATTTTCCGTTTCATCCTAGCAGCCTAGACACTAGCCACGATATGGCCAAACTTCATCAAAATAACAGGAAAACACACTACTCAAAAATATTCATGGAACAAGTAAAAATCAAAAGTTTTCGGTGATCTATGACTGTATTTCGGTGAAAAATGGTCGTATATAGATTTAAAAAAAAACATTTTGAAGATTTATAGTTTTCAGGATTTTAGCCAAAAAAATTTAGAAGCAACGGCTCCTATGCAAGTCTAACAGATGGCGCAAGTAAAATCTCTTGCAAAATCTTTGCCTTTTTCTTTTTAATCCACAGGCTTGAAATTATTTTTTACTGTTATATGTCATATGAATCAGATAGCCGGCTTATTCAGCTTCAATATCCTGTTTTAAAATCTGGATATGATAATTTCGCGCGGCGATATCTGCAATGAGGTATAAAAAACCTAAAAAGATCAGCAGTTCCCAAAATGCGGTCAATTTTCCAAAACAAGGCAAAAAGTAACTGTTTTGGACGTCTTCAAAATCAATACTAAGAAAACAAAAATAAATCCTCAAAGCTTGCAATTAAATCTTATAGCAGATTTATTTCAGTGTTCGGAAATAGCCTTACATTCTTTGTGCGATCACTAGTTACCGAGATATCAGTGATCGATGACAAAAGAATGCTTTTGCATTCAAGGTCAGATATCCCCGTGCCAAATGATCGTATCGAGATTTTGGAAACAGGATATTAAAGCTGAATAAATGGGCCATCTAATCCATATGATTGCCTATCAAAAAACAAATTTAGTCCCGTGGACTAGAAAGAAGACAAAACATTTTTAAGAAATTTTTTTGCGCTATCCGTTGCTCCTAAAATTTTTCGGCTGAAGAAAGTGAAAACTAGGATCTTAAAGGTTCAAAATGCCTTGAAACCCTAGATACGACCATTTTTCACCAAAATAGAGCCTGTCAAAATTCACCGAAAAAATTGGAGTTTCTTCTTTCTCCTTCATTTTTTTGAGTAGTGTACTACAGACAGTTAAATGCAAGCTTATTTAAAAAATAAAATCGCAAGTCGGCTATTGGTGGAGGAGCTTGATCTCGATTCAATTCAGTTGGTGAAATCGTGCTTAAGCAATAAATATCAACAAACTAGTGTAAGTATTAGTAAACTTACTGCTATCATGTAAAGTTGAGCTATCCTGTATTCCTCTACCGTCAAAGGTAGAGGAATACGGTACTCTTTGATGAGCATAGCTGACGAGGACTCCTCTTGTCTCCTATGTAACTGGTATTCTAGACTTCTTCATTTTTCTTTCTGTAATAATACAAAAAAGAGTACTCAGTACTAAAGGAGCATACAGTCTTGAATTTCCAAATCGATCCATGCTGAACTCCGGTCACTATCTTAGATAACTCAAATTTCTCCATACATCCCAAAATAATTTGTTCTGTTCCTACAGGTATTTTTATATGGAGTCTTGATAATCGATGCGTTACAATATAAAGGATATATCAAGTAAGTTCGGTAATCAAACGTAAAAATGTCGCTCAAAATATGTTAATCCGTAACTCCGAACCCAAATGCCACTATAATAAATGCGTAAATACGATTTAAGAAGCACTTAAATGGATTCTTTATTGAATATCGATGGAAAATTCAAGGCCTACCGTTCCCGATACCAACATACATAAAATAGGTATTATAAACCTTAATTCCATTGTATTGTGTTTAATCGATTTATTTACAACAATTTCACTTAGGTAAAAGGCAGTAAATTGTGAAAATTGAGTTCAAAATTCTTAATTTATCCGAACTAAATAAATATTATTATTATTACAGAACAAACGTGAATGAATATTGCAGATGATTTTAGAGATAGTCATTTAAATGTGTTTCTGATTATAACCTGTGATTTACCGCAGTGCCGTAAAATAAAAATTTATTATTATTTATTTTAATATAATTCCTTCATATTAAAACTGAAATGAATAGCATAATAGTAAACCTTTATACATTTGATAATTGAATTCAATAATTATGTAATTACATCTAATAATTATATTCAACAAACTTAATTATTAGAATAAAGTAGTAAACATACTGTTTTCTTATATCTTAAACGAAGAATAGTTTTCTTTCGGGGCAAAGGTAATTATTTATAACGATAAATACTTATTCACAAATAACAGATGTATTACGTAAAAAACTAAATAAGTAAACATCATATTAGGTAATAATGGGCTAAAAGGCAGTACTTGTATCGTTCAGAGAATAAAAGCAGTATACTTCAAAAACTACTGCTTTTTTACTTTTACTTTTATGCGTAGAAAATGATATGAAAACTTCTAACATTCGTATCTCATTCAAATATTTTTTTATACCAGCGTGCGGAAAGTAGCACTTTTCCGCACGCAAACTTTTACTACAAGTTTTCATCGCGTCGTTTGTGCAACTGCCGTCGAGTGCGGAAAAGTATCACTTTCCGCGCTTGTTAGGTAAATAACTATTTTAGGTAGTATTGCTATCCATCTGAGGAGTCATACAAAATTTAACGTTAAGCCACCAATTGTTGTTGTCAAGTGTAAATGTAAATTATTGTTTTGCATCTAATTCATATGAACACTTACAAAGAAAATTGACTGTTTTGAAGAGGCGTACATCGAAATTATTGGTTTTGGCGATACCCCAACTCCGACAATTTATACTATTTTATTCTATAATTTTCCTATAAATTACATACTTCGGTCGAAGGCTTCCGCATGGGAAATACATTCATTAATGGATATGTCATGTATCTACATTTGCATGTTATATGCCATTAAGTTGAAATTTCCTATCTACTTTTACCATATTACCGTAAAAGAATAATATCCGGTACAGTTGATAACCTATTATAAAAAAAATGACTCATGCAAGTTTACTACGAATTTTGTCTTTTGTTGATGAGAAATTTGGAAACTTGAGCAAGTTGAACATGTTTATACAACACAGGATAATTACCTAATTATTGTTCTAATCTTTTCAATGATTTTCAAATCAAATTTTCTACAGCTTGTAATCGTTATCTGAAAAATTCTTCCAATCTCGCGTTAGAAGCCTTATACGTCCTGTAAGTTTACCCATTCTACTTACATATAAATCTTATTTCTCTGCGGCGAGATAATAGAAAAAACAATCAAATAATATGATTGAGAGGTGGTACATGATGTACATAGAAAAATACAGGGAGCATACTTACGAATCCATACAGAAATGTCTACACCAGTGGAGAACAGCTTAAGAATATTCTTCAAATAACCATTGGTGAAGTAGTTTAACCTTCCTAATCTCCGTACAATTTGCAATGCTGGATGCCACTGAGTTTACCGTATTTTCCGAGTGAAACAGATTTAGATTTTTATTAGAGATAATTTTAGAACTATCTCAAGTATTCAAATCAAATTATCAACTCGATTTCATAAGTTAACTCCCTGGACTCTCTCTGTATGCGAAGTCGCTTAAAAACTTTTATAGGAATCATATTTTCATTCGTTTTGAGAATATTGTTACTTGTTACGAAAATAAGTCAAAACTCTACGTGACTAGACGGTGTTGCATAGAGAGAACAATGTAAAAAAATGAAACAATGTAGAGAAGCTGATGTAAAATATTTTATAGCTTTACCACAATGAAAGTTGATAGGTTGGTAATCGTAACTATTAAAAAAACAAATGACATTCTGTTGAAATAAATAACCATAAGAGAACCAGTGAGGTATAGAGGATTGCACTAATTCTCAATAAAATTAGAGGAGCCATCTTGGCTCAGACTGGTCAATGTCATAAAAAAGTTATACAGGGTGTTGGGAAATAATATTTGTAACTTTAAGAGGTGATTCCTTGCATTATTCTGAGCAAAAAAGTTAATTATAACTTATGTCCGAAAATCAATCGTTTTCGAGGAAAGTAAGTCGTAAATAATTAAATTTTCTCAAACATTTGGCAACGCTGCAACGCAACCGCGATACGAATGTACCACGACTGCAACTGATTCATAGAATTGTTTACGTTTGTATGACATTTTTGTTGAAAATATGCCTTGAATTATTGAACAGCTTTACGCAATTTTTGTGGCTAATATTTTTTATTTAATATCGCTTTCAGTACAGTACAAATACTTAAAAAAAATGACAGAACTAACCGGTACGTGGCAATACACACCACCAATTCCCACGATTATCAGTCACTTATTTGAAACGATGCGATGCACGAAAAAAGAAAAAAAAACAACATCCGTAAATCACATAAAGTTACAGTTAAATGTATTAGTAGATAATCACAACAATACGCAACGATACATGCAGTGCAGGCGGAGTACGACGTTGCCAGTTGTGTGAGGGATTTTGTTTGTCTGTTTTTCTTCGGAAAATTGTATTTAAGAAGCAAGAAAATTATTTTGTTAGATACAGTTAATTAATATTGATACATTTTACGCTATTAGACATATGAATTTAAATTATTAAGGTGCAAAATTAATTTATTTCATGACTAAAAAGAAATAAGTTCTGCATTTTTTTGCTCTGAAACGGTTGATTTCCGGACATAGGTTATAATGAACTTTTTTGGTTAGACTAATGCAAGGAATCCCCTCTTAAAATTACGAATATTATTGCCCTAACACTCTGTATAAAATATTTTTACTAGAGATAAAAACATAACAGGCTTATTGCGGATTATAAAATTGCCATAAACTACATCCGATGAAGGTACATCTGTTAAATATCGCCTGATATCATAATTGATCGTTCACCCATTATTGCGTTCAATTTCAGGGCATATTTAAAGAACAAATCAGTGAAGTTCTTAAGAATAGTAGAGAAAGGGTCGTGAAATATACTAACAACTACTGTGTAAGCGAATGAAACTGATGATAGGATAAAAGACACTTAAGGCTAAAAAAGGAATATGCACCTGAAAGGTAAAATGGAAGTTCCACAAGGAACTGTAATGAGACCGTTGCTTTTTTACGATTTATGTACTGTAACAAAAGCAGGATTTTTGAAAACAAAATAATTGTGTTAAACATGCAATGTATTTTCATTTTATTTATTCACATATCGATTATTTATCAGAAAATGGAAACAAGTACACAAGATTAGTATAAGCCATTACATGGCAAAATGGACAGGACAGGTAGAAGCATGTGAGGCATTATCCAAGGGTAATGTTATAACAATTTTAGAAAAAAGAACACTTGTAGGAAAGTATCTATAGCTAGAGAAGTAAGTAGAGATTCTTATAAATGAATACGATTCTAGCAACTAAAACTGATAAATAGACGAAATTAGATCATTATATTATCATTCTTGTATTGATATTCAGTAGTATTAATGAATGTGACTAATTTTGTATACAAATGATACGTATTATTTAACTTGTTAATTGACGTATATATAAAGTCACTGTTTTATACATATTTTTGTAGAACCGAGAAAAAGGAAATACATTTTTCCAAAACGTCGGCAACTTTATAACTAGTTCCTTTAGACCCCAAACCAACTAAGAAATGTCATTAGAAGAATAATTTTCTATAAATGATAAGGTTTTATTATAGTCTAAGGTGGGTTTCTACGTTTCTAGAAATTGTGATATATACATACTTTCACTCGACATACACTACTCAAACTACAAGAAAAAAATCCATATTTTTCGGTGACAGGCTGTATTTCAATGAAAAAAGGTCGTATCTAGACTTCAAAAAACGCAATTTGAAGCTTTAAGATTCTAGTTTTTAGTTTTTTTTTGCCTACAGATTTTAGGAGCAACGGTTCTCATGCAATTCTAACAGATAGTCCAAGGGCTTGAACAATGTTTTTCTGTCAAGCCTTCATATGGATGATGAAAATTCAGTGTCGGATCTTACGTATTTCAGTCGGATGGAACACTGGATACGCCCTGGTTATTTTTTTTTGTTTAATGGAATATTCCATGAATAAAAGAATAAAATTACTATTTTTGAAATTGAAGATGTTACAGATATCCAATAGTAATAACAAAATAAGAAAAACGATTTTTCCATTTTCAACCAGATTACAGAATGTTTTGATACAAAAATCTTGCTCCTTTGATTTCTTCCAAATTTTGGCCAGGTATAAAAAAAACCTAAAAACATTATCCTTCTCATTAGCAGATGAAAAAAAAGCGGTCGCTTTTCCTTTTTTTAATCTTTATTCAATAATCATTTTTTTTTACAAATTTTATAGAAAGCAAAGTTCAAACAATATTTAAAGTGCGAATTTTAGCTACAATAAATTCAACAATTCGAGTGACTTTGAGTTTTTTTACATAATTTCTGAATACATGTACATTTTTACACTATTTGGCAGGTTATTGTAAGTTTTTACTACATGTGTGACAGGACTATTCAATCCTATATTAGTTCTAGTAAGAATCTGATACAAATTATTATGTGATCTTGTTTCATGGTCATGTACATCATATGTGATCACAATGTTCTGTGTACATATTATGGTCTTAATATTCTATTTTGTGAAAGTTGTGAGTTATGAAATTCAGGTTTACCACACAATCACCAAATAGGTGAGATATATCTAAAATGCATTATAAATATTTGTTTTATTTTTGTAGTTAAGTAGTCTCTGCTTTGGTACAAAACAGCTATTAAACAAAAAATTCAATGTAACCAGACGAATTCAAATTTTCATCTATAATTAAACCCAGGTATTTGATGCTTGATACGTTTTCTCCTTAAACATTATTTATTTTTATACAAAAGTTTTCAATTATTTTATTCTTCTGTTTAAACATTAGGTATTTTGTTTTATCGATGTTGATCTTCGGTTTATTCTTACAGTAAAAAGCAACATCTAAATTAACTTCTTCACGCAGAGCCTGCTCATGATTTCTTTTATAGAGAAGAACTGTGATCAGCAAAATTGGAATACCTTGCATTAAGATTAGCACTCTTTAGATTTAGAACATATAGAGAATATATCAGTGGCACCTGGGGGACACCATAGTCACTAGATAACCACTCAGTATTTGTTTCACCAATTTTCACATATTGTTTGCTGTTAAGGAAATAAGTTTTAACCACATTATACAAAGTACCCCCAAATCCCACATTTTGAAACTTATTCAATAATATATTGATATCTATCACATCAAATGCCTTTCTAAAGTCTAGAAACACCGCTATAACCACTTGTTTTTCATCCAGAGCCCTTGAGATGTAATTTACAAAACCAACTGCAACTGCAAGCGTACTACTATTTTTAAATCAATATCAAGGAAACAAAAAAATATTTCCTCCAATCTTATAGGGGTTTTATTCCAGTTGTCGGAAATACCCTTACATTTTCTGTGCGATCACTGGTTACCGAGATATCAGTTTTCGATGACAAAGTCAGATATCTCCGCGCCAAATGATCGTATCGAGATTTCAAAAACAGGATATTGAAGCTGAATAAACGGACTATCTGTTCCGTATGATGGCCTAACACGACACAATTTTTTCAAGCCCGTAGACTAAAAAGTAGAAGGCAAAAATTTTGCGAAAAATTTTCCTTGAGCTATTTGTTAGAGGTGCTTAAGAACGTGCTCCTAAAATTTTAGGGTTAAAAAGCCTAAAAACTAGAATCCTAAAGCTTTTTAAAGTTTAGATACGAGTATTTTTCACCGAAATAGAACCTGTCAAAAATTTGGATTTTTTTCTTGCTCCCTCATTTGTGAAAAACGGAAAGTATTGATAATAGGTAAGTGAATGAATAGAAATTCATGTTCTAATTTTTTTGATATTCAATGGCAGCGCTGCAACTCATAAAGTTTTTTTTATTTGAGGGACATTTAAGAATCCCAGGTGTTTCCAAAATGTTAAAACAATTCCCGTCGATTATGTTGGAAATAATAAAGCTTCGATGACTTCATCAATTTTTGAAGAATATTTAAAAAAGTGGGACGCTGAACTTGTTAAGAATAATCGTAAAATTTTGCTCTTGGTCGATAACGGCCCCGCTCATCCAAATATTTCACTTAATAATATTAACCTTCAATTTTTTCCACCCAAAGTGACATCAGTTCTGCAACCAATGGGCCAGGGTGTCATTTGGAGTCTTAAACAAATGTATCGGAAACATAAGTTGATGAAAATTATAGAGCTTCAAGAAGATGTCAACATTTTAGATGCTATAAATTTACTTACTATTGCATGAGAAAAACATAGCTGAAATAGTCAACGATTTTAATCCAGAAGATAAAATTCCATTAAGTGATTTACTGAAAATTAATAGTTTACTGAATATAGACAAATTTAATGAGTATGTAAATGTTGTCAATGATTTAATAGCAAGACAGAAATTGTCAGACTCCAATTTGGTTAATGAAGGATCCGTTGATAATGAACAGGAAAAGAACTAGAAAACAACGATGAAGAAGAGCTTCCAGTGACAACTAAGGAGGCATTAGATTGCGTGAAAAAGTCGCAACGTTATTTTCAGCAAGAAGAAGACAGTACAGCCACACTTACCAAATTAAATAAAATTCAACATGCTGTTCTAAATAATTATAAAAGAACAATCTATTCAAATGAAAATTACTAGCTTTTTTACTAAATAATTGACGGTTTTTACACATA